AGTATCTCCTTATCGTAAATAGCGTAATTCCGCTCTACTAGGGTTAGCTTATAGGAGTAGAACGCTATTAGTTACTTCCGCCCGTTTACCTCCTAAGAGAGCGTTCCTCTAAGTACCTAGCCGCTATAGTCCGCTTTAACTAACGTAGACCGGTTAAAGTCCTACTAAAGTAGTACCGGGGCTTAAGAGAATAGGTCCTTAAGTATATAGAACGCTCCTTCCTATACGGGCCCTTAGTAAAAGGCGGTCTGCTTCCTAGTAATCTCGTTTAAGGGTATTATAATATAGGAGAAGCCCCTAATAAATATCCTATAATAGTTCGCGAACCTAAGGAAGCTCCGTACGCCTATCTATATAGTTAGGGTAGCCTAGTCCTAAATCGCTTAGATCTTTATAGGATCCGCCTATATACCTACGCCGGCGTAGATAATAAAGCCTAGGTACTTAACCCTCTTAACCTTAAATTTATACTTATCTAGGTTAAGGTAAAGCCTATAAAGTTAAAGGCGCTCTAGGACCCTCTATACTTTCTATATATAGTCCTTATAAGAGCCGCTTATATAGATAAGGATATTATTTATATATATAGAGGCGAACTTATTAAGGAAGTCCTAAAGTATATTATTAATATAACGCTAGAAGGTAGCGGGCGCTCCTAAGAGGCCGAAGGGCGTTATAAGCTACTTAAATAAGCTATAGCGTATATAGAACGCTATCTTCTACTTATTACCCTCTAAGATCCGTACTTTATAGAACGCCTATTTTATATCTAGCTTCGTAAACTACTTCGCCTTTAAAAGGTTATAGAGCGTATCTAAGATTAAGGGTAAGGGGTAGCGGTCCGGCCTTATAATTATATTTAGAGCCCTATAGTTATAATAGAACTATATCCCGCCCCTTAGTTTATATATAAATAGGACCGGCGCTCCTACTTCGGAGCTACTTACTTAAATAAAACCCTTATCTAAGAGGTCCCTTAGCGTCTTCTTTAGCACTAATAGCTCCGTGTATAATATACTATATAGCGGTCTAAATAGTATAGGTAGTTCCTACCCCTTCTTATTAGTATAGAGTACGATCTTATAGTCTACCCCTAGCTTATATAGGTTAAGCTTATCCGCTTCCTAGGACTTAAATAGCGGTAGGAGGTTATAAAAGCGCTTTAGTATCTATTACTATAGCTTAGAGGGCGACTTTAGCTTCTTTACTTAGAGGGCCTTATTAATATCTACTAGGCTAACTATATAGACCGCTACGTTAGCCGCTACCTAGCCTTCCTCCCGCTCTAACCGTTACACGGTTCCTATAAAGATAGAGGTAAGGACTTCTTATACCGAGTATAAAGCTTATACGCTTAGTCTTACGCTTATAGAACTATTATTATAGCGGACCTACTATTATATAGGCCTAAACTATAGCTTCTTTTAGTATAGAACTAAGTATAACTCTATATATAATAACTAAGGTTTCCTAAGGATTAAGGGAAACTCTAGTTAAGGGATTATATAGGCTACGATAAGCTTATAGCAACCGTTAACCTCTATAGCTAGCTACGTAATACCCTTAATTACTATACCCTCTATCGCGCCTAAGGCGCCCTTTACTTACCTTAGGGTAATCTTTTCTACTAGTACTTATATCTCTTATATAAGCGCCTCGTTAACTACGGCGTAGTACTAGTAGCCCTCGTCTATAAGGGCGGCGATAGGTAAGGAGTTATTAACTATAACCTATATTAAAGTAAGCTCCTCTTTTATATAGGCGGATAATTCCTCCTTCTCCTTTACTAGTACTAGTAATTAAGGCTCTAGAGCCCGTCTTTACTCTAGAGCTACTCTTTTTCCTCTAAGCCTAAGGGAGCGGAGTCCTCTTTATCGTCTAAGGTAAGAAGCGGTTCTATCCTCGCTACTTAAACTACTATAGGCCGCTTAGCTAAAAGGAAGGGGCATTTTAATATAAAGTATATAGACGCGCCGTAATATAGGCAGCGGCCGTTAGCCTTCCTTTTCCCGATTTCCTCGCTCGTTACCTACTTCGCCCGCTACTTAGAGAGCGGGATAATATAAGGGATATTTAAAGATAACTTCCTACCGCGTTTAGCTCGGTCTATATAGGTAGCCGATATTAAGGTATCTCCGTTAGTATCGATAGTCGGCTATTCCTCTTATAAAGGGGCGGTAATCCCGTCGCCGCTATACGGCGTACGCTTACGAAGCTTCTAGAAATATAGCGTCTACTTATAGCCCTATATTACTTTTATTAACCGGCTTATATACTCGCCGTAGTTAGTAGGTATAATTATAGGGATAAGTAGTTCCTATAGGGCTAGCGTAATTAAGTTCTATAACTATATAAGCTTCGCGCTATCTTCCTATACCGTAGTTCCCGCTACTTATAAGAGCGTTTCTTTAAAGTTAGGGAGGAATTTGCTAAAGGTCTACCTATCCCTCTACTTAAGGGTCCGTAGCCTATCCTACGCCTTCTCCCGCTCCTATACGTTACCGAACGTATATATAAGGTATTAGAAGAAGTCCTATAGGTCGCGTCTACCTCTAGGGCCGCCCTTATCCTAGAATCCGGAGATCCGCCGTATCTAAGGCTCCGGCAGCGTATAGAGGAGCGAATACCACGCTATATTATAATAGCCGTTTAGGCCCTATTTCTCGTCTATTATAAACTTCGTTTATAGCCGGCTAAGGAAGAAGTAGAAGGACTTAAGCTTACTATCCTAAGTCGGCTAGGAAAGCGGCTTCTATATCGGTAGTGCCGCCACTATAACCGGTGTTGCTAAGGTCGTAGGGGTTAACGCTAGTCTCGTAGACGGCTCCCTTAGTATAGCGAGAACCTCGTTCTTCTCGCTAGCCGTCGCGCTTCTAATCGCTTCTAGGATAGCTATAATACTTCCTATCCGCCTAAGGGGTAGCGGGGTACTCCCTTAAGGAAGCGGCACCCTTTCTAGGGAGATATCTATTAGATCTATTAGTTAATAGCTTATACTATTACGGAGTAGGTAGGGGCGTATACGTAGGTACCGTCCGTAGGATAATATTAATAAGCTATATAGAGCTCTTCTATACGCGGCTAGCCCGCCCCTATACTTATAGGATCCGGCCCTCCGTACGTACTACGCGGCTTAGGCCGCGGCCTAAGCCTATTACCTATAATAGTTAAAGACTCTTATACTTACTAAGGGATATCTCTAAGAACTATAAAATTAAGCTACGCTTCGCGATAATTATACTATAATAGCTAAAAGCTTTAAAGCTTAAGAAGAAATAGTTACTAAGTATAGTAATAGAATTATAAAGCTAAAAGTAAAAGTAGCTAAGCTATAAAGAAGTAAGAAGAGAAAAGTAATCTTAAACCTAAATAAATAGTTTATAACTCTTAGTAAAGCTTTAGTAGCTAAGGAAGCTATTCCTTAAAATAAAAAGTTAAGAAATACTTATTATACTAAATTCTAAGACTAAAGAAAAGGAGGTTTTAAAGGTAAAGTTAGCTTTAGTAATTAAAGTTAAGGTAGTACTTAAGGCTCTTTTTATTACTACTAGATATAAAAGAGTAGTATAAAAGCGCTAGTATAAATAAGGGCGTTTATTTCTATCTAGAATAATATAGCTTTTACATTTTATTCTTAAGTTCTAGTTATATTTTTATTATTTAAATAGTAGACCTTTAGTAGGGAATCTTTTAACTCCGTTACTAAAACGGGGGTAGGGTATAGTATTCTAGACTCTTTAAAAGGTCCCCGCTTAAATAAGAGATCCTCTAGACATCTTAGTAGTATAGGAGGGCTGCCGGGCCCTCGGCCCGGACAGGCCGCCGACGTACGCGAACATCAAGAGACAGGCCAAGGCTGCGGCCAGGCGCGACTTCCAGGACTGGTGGGCCGCGGGGGCCCCGAGCAGCTACAAGAGCCTAGGGCTCAAGGCCTCGCTCGGGTGCCCCCCGGAGCTGCACACCAAACGACAGCACCTCCATCACCTGCTCGCTGCGAGGAGCGGGCACGGGGACTTCGCCGACTACCACGAGAGGTTTAACCACGAAGAGGCCCGGATCGAATGCTCCTGCGGGAGGAGAAAATCACCGACACACCCCTTCTACTGCCGGAAGGTAGGTACTCGACACCGCCTAAGGCTAGCCCCCACGGCGGGCAAGGCTATCAACCAGGCACTAGGAAGGGGATTTGACCGGTTCCTCGGGCTAGTAACGGAGGCAGGATTCTTTGATCGGATTTGCCACCGCCACTAGCTCGAGGCAACCCCCCAACCTAATATGTACAATTCTCTTTTCTATGTTTTCTACCCGTAGGCTCCCGTGGGCCTACGGCCCAGCTGACTGCGTGGGCTTTCTCAGTCACCCGGCTCTGACCGAAGACTGACTAATATTACGGCTTTACCGCCGTGCCCGGAACCCGCTGACGGGGGAAGGGACCTGAGAATCCGAGCGGCCACAGAGTCCAAGAATTGCTAGATAGGGGAGTAGAAGTAAGGAAGGCGCGACGGGTTTCCGGCGAGCACCCTCATCTTGTACTATACCTAGCCTAGCACGTCTTTTGCCCTTATAGGGATGTCCCAGACGGTAATCAATACTACTACTACTACTATTAGTAGTATAGGAAGAAGAAATAATAGTCTATAGACCTCCCTTCTTACCTAGTTTTAAGCTATATTACCTAGAGAGACCTTAAGACCTTAACTCGTTCGGGCCTTCTTCTCGATATTATAAGGCCGGAGCAAGCAGCAGCGAAAGCGCAAGGATGAGAATTACCGTACATAGACATAAATACTAGTTAATATACTTTCACGCAACGCAATTTTATAACAAATTAATTAACTTTACTAGACGCATTAGCTAATAAGGTCAGTTTAACTTAAAGAAGGTGCTTGTAGATCGATGCTTGTCTTGAAACCGTGCTTAACACTAGGTTCTTCCAAGCTAGTCCACGAGAGTAGTCTTCGAATCGAATTATAACGCTATTAGACATTTTCCCGACTTTCTTAGTAGCCGCCTATGGGAGGTGCGGGCGGCTTCGCCTTGCGGCACTATAGGATAATGGGTCAGTACATGTCATGTTTAGTACATATCATGTTTACACTCGAATAGGAACTTCTCGTTTCTACCTTTCCTGAGATGCACTTAAGTTCCTTGCAGCATTTGTTGCCGCGTTTGGTACTCCCGCTGCATTTAGCACCCTGTTTCTTGCACTTCTTCGGCTTAGGCTTCGGCTTAGGCTTCGGCTGGGGACCGCAGCCGCCGCCATCGCCGCCGCCATCGCCGCCGCCATAGTTGCCACTGCTGAGCATGCCGGACTTTATATCGAGGTCTCCATTCTCGACGGGCGAGGCGATCGTACTCGCTGCAAAAGCGATGGTCAAAATAAGGATCTTAGATAAGTTTAACATCTTGGATGAGAAACCGGATTGCTTGTTCTTAGGCTGTGATGATAGTATGCGATAGTGAGGAAAAGCTGTCTGACTTCTCTCAATGCATGTTCCTTAACCAGTCTATATATACTATTTTCCTCGGCTTGCTTTTACTTACTTAAGTGTCGGTTAGCCGAGAAAATGAGCTTTGGCTCCGGAATGCTCTGCATATTTTCCGGGGCCGGCCTTTTTAGCAAACCTTTCGTAGCAAGGGAATGTGATCCTGCTAAGCCGCGACAAATTTCTACGGAATGAGACTAATAGAGTAGTGAGACGGCCACGAACATACGAAGAAACGCGATAGGGACGGCGAGAACCGTAGTCTAGAACGCCTACTATATTCAAGGCACTAGGCGGCGCCTTAAGCAGGCTGACCCAGAGTTGCAATCCACTCCACTAAATATACTAGCGGAGCCAGTGGAGTGGATAGACCTTGATCCACGGAGGCTATTAGTGCCGTAGATCCATTTAAAGCCATCATAAAGTGGAATGGATGGCGTGGATATGACCCCCTTCAGACGTCCTATGCGCCTATATTATCCTCCCTATGTCTAAGCCGTATTGGGCTAGGGCGTAGCGGGCTAAGCAGTTCTTAAGCAGAGGCTTGAGAGCACAGTGAAAGAAATAGGGGCACAGAAAGGTGAATTTAGTGATGCATGTCTTGGTCTATCTATTGGGACAAGGGAGGGGCTTATATAGGTACAGTGACCACACATAGCTAGCCAAAAGAGGGCATTGAGATGTTCCTATACCTGAGTCAGGCCTACATCATGTCCTTGGGCTATGGGAGCCATGTTGCACAGGCAGGCTCCCTTGTGCATGACTTGTTGGGTCGACTGGGCGTGACTGTGGCCTCTTATGCCCACTCTCCTCAACAGCAGTATATATAAAATAGGCGGCGGCCACTTACAATGTAAAGTATCTTACGATCATACGCACTCCTTAGCAAGACAACGCAAGCAGGCATATCGCATTATTGACTGGCCTGCAAATTGAAGCTATCTATAACTGCCACACCTGCTCGTACGGCTGTAGGTTCGCTGGAGGGCAAGGTGGAAAAGAGCTCCATATCGTTCGGCGGAGGCTGAAGCATCGTGTAGTATTGAAAACGGGGCTTCAATGGGCGTATTGCAGTGTTTGTGGGACTTGGCGTGCGAAGGGGGGTGCGCGTTGTGGACAGCGTTGTAGTTTTGCGATGCTTGGTGTTGAGGGTAGCCGTGTCAAGGTCGTAGTATTACTAGCTACGTATGGCGACGGCCTGTACGTATATGTACACGTTGATTGCGCCTACGCTGAGGTACTGTACGTCTATCGCTGTAGCCTTGCCCAATACGGGTCAGACATAGGGAGGATAATTTGGGCGCACAGGACGTCTAAAGGGGGTCCGTGGATATAGTGGATTGGTAGACGAGTCCTTTACGTTAGCTGTCGCATTTAGGATACGTAGAATAAAATGCGCGGTTAATAAGCGATGTTATCGAACGTTCTAGATAACATTATAAAAGCACCCTAGGTAAGTAGCAAATTCGCTACCGTAAGGCAGTCCCATTCCCTTAGAACTATAAGAAGATAGAACTTCTAATATTTATTTTTAGATAGACGATAATAAATTTCTTAACTCTTACTCTCTACTTTTATTCCCTATAAGATTAGCTGTCGGTTGCTCGGCGCGCGTTAGATACTAGGACGTTACGACGCCTAGCTCGCCTCTCCGATACAGCCTCCCGCAAGGATCGCTATTAGTCTCGCCTATCCTTTGGCTATTGTATATAGAGCTAATTTACCGCCTAGGTAAGCTAAAGGGGCGCTTCGGCTATATAGACGACATGGGTATCTGTTACGACCACGGTCAATTGGTCGCGAGACGCCCGCGTCATCCTGCACATGACGAGAGGGACTGCACGCGGGCACTGCTGCGTACGTTCAAAGCTGTGTACAATAAACAACTGGTAATGACTCGGTGGAGCCCACCTGTTCAGGCCTGTCTCTGATGGCCCATATTTCCTCCCTTTCAAGTATCACAATGCCCGTGTCTCCATTCACGGTACGTAATCATCTAACTGTCACGGCCTTGATCCTTTGATAGCATGTCGTGCGTGGTCTGTTGCCGAGGCATGGCCGAATGCCTCTCCCACACATTTATATCATTGGCCTTTCAAGCCCGAGACCGTGCATGACGGAAACACCAAACTGCGACGGGGTTGCTTTTTCCATCTAGTGGTTACCCGTCGGCAGCCGTCCGACCGGACACGCGACTCTTCAAAGCCGAACCCCGACAAGTCATATCCCGGGATTCTCGCATGCTCTCAACGCGTCCATCCTGTCATGATTCCCCTGCTTCAACATGTTCGTGTCCGCCATCGCCCGCGAGCAAATATTGCCAACCGAGTTCGAGCCCTGTCATCTTTCTGCAACGTCACATGAAAGCGTGTCATACGAGGGAGACGATCATGACCAAAGCGCCCGTCAGCCCTTAAAATAAATCTCCCCCCTCTTTGACCGTCCGGAGCGGAGCAGAACAATACGAACGATTAGTAGATGCAGCCTGCGCATGTCGGATCCCTCGCCTCCACCTCGACATGCACGTCCGTCTCCAACAAACCCGAAGGGCCAGGACAGCCTATTTCAAGGCCAGCAGAACAACACCAGTCGACCATACGTCTGCACTGTGAATACCTAGCAAACTGCCAAGGATGGATGGCGCTCCCGGAAAAAGCAAAGACGAAGAGCACCATCTGCCGTTGCACACGTGCGACGCCATAGTGGCCCCATGTCTCGTCGACGATGCGGAGTCGCAGGAAAAACCCCCGATGCGACCCGCCGCCCGACGGCCCGTTTACTGCATCGTCTGTGGGGAAAACAAGACGTGGGAAAACACGAGCCATTTCCTGAGCGCAGATTTAGGCTCGGCAGTGCTGCTGCACATGATGACATGATCCGGCCATACCATCTTATACGGGGAACGCCGAGGCATTGAATACGAGACTGCGGGCCGGAGCTATGATCTCATAGCTCTGCACATTCGCGACGGCAATCATCTTTCTCGGTCACCAGGGTCCGTATGGCGACGCCAAGGGAGGTGAGGGTCTGGTATAAATGTCCCGTGGTCCCCCCTCCAGCGTTATGGTTGTCGAGCAGCGCCTCTATCCACCTTCGTCTTACTTCCGCATCTTGCCTCCGACTCTGACTGAATAACTTTTGGCTGTCCAGAAGCAAATAAATATGCAGCTGTCTCAAATCTTTAGCCTCGCGGCCCTGGCCTCCGTCGTCTCGGCCATAACCGGTGAGTGCCCGGCTCTTCCGCTCCGCACTCGCATCCTCAAGAGAAGCTGACGAGAAACTCAAGTCTCATACGACCCCGGCTACGACAATCGCGATCGATCCCTTACCGCCGTCTCCTGCTCCGACGGCCCCAATGGCCTCATGACGCGCAAGTCGTGGCGGAAGCAGGGCGATATTCCCGTCTTTCCCTTCATTGGCGGTGCCCAGGTCATCGCCGGCTGGGGATCACCAAATTGCGGCACCTGCTGGAAGCTCGAATTCCAGGGCCAGAGCATCAACGTCTTGGCCATTGACCATACCGATGCCGGCTTCAACATCGCCCAGGCCGCCATGGACAAGTTGACCAACAACCAGGCCGTCCAGCTGGGCCGCATCGACGCCAAGGCTACTCAGATCGACTCCAAGAAATGCGGCATGTAGCCTGGGGCATAGCTACAAGGGGATGGATTAGAGAGACATTTACTGTTAATAAATAATGACCCGATTCGGCCTCGGCTGCTTCAATTCTGTCACTTTTCACAGGAAAAGTAAATGCAAGGAGTCTTTTGTCTGTCTGTCTGTGAGGCTGGCAGCTCGCCCAGTCCTGCTCAGCTATTCGCGCGCATCACAATTCCCGAGTGATCCTCTCAAACCATGGTCCATTACCGTAACGCTCCTGATCGGCAGTTGGTCGCTCCCTTGTCCTTGCTAGAAGCCACAGCTGCACATCCCCTATCCCTCGTTGTTCCCGAGACATGACGTCCAGAACGGTCAGAGATCGACCGCTTTAGCGACGACGTCTACCATTGCTGGATGATGCCTGAGGAGAGTTCGTGGGCGGGTTGACGCCGTTGCCACCCGAAGGCCTGTTGCGCTGCCGAAGAGCACGCAGCCGAAGAGCACGTCTCCAGCGGCTGTCCTCGCCCTGATTAGAACCAACTCCGTTACTCTCCTCCTCCCCCGTATGATCCTGGTCCGACATGTCGGAGAACGGGCCGTGATCCGCTACCATGGAACTGGACACAATAGACCGAAAGCCTCGGTTGCCATAGATCGCTCGAGTCATGGGTCCTTGTTTCGTTGGCACACGGATCCGCCCCGGAGTTTGAGTCAGAGAAGGCACTTACTCTCGCGATCCGCGAGGAAGAGGACGCAGTCGCCAATCTTGATCTTGTCCTCGTATTCGCCGCGGGTGAGTCCGTCGTTGAGGCCGCACAGGGGCTGGAAGAGGTTGCGAGAACGGACGAGCGCCTTGTCCACGCGTCCCAGGCGAAAGTAGGCGCTCATGATGCCGAGGAAATGCTTCAGAAGGCGCATTTCACCCTTGAAGGCCCAGCATTGCTTCTGCGCATCGTACGCCATGAAGTTCATCGAGAAGGAGCGCGAGCGACGCTCAACAACGGCGACCTCGACAGCGCCGCCGGTGCCATCCACAGTCGCGATGGTCAACTGGAGGTCGCTTGGGTTAATTTGCTCCAAGATCGGCTCAGCATAGGGCATAATCGCGAGGTGGTTGCCTTGGATGTAGTGCTCCCATCCGAGCTCAACCACATCCTCTTCAAAGACGTAGGCAGCGAGGATGTCTCCAGGAGTAGGGTTCACAAGCTCGCGGGCAAGATCATCATGATCCATCGTGGCTGCAGGCGTTGAAGAGCTGCCAGGGGACCTGGCACGATGCTGTTTTGAGTCGAGTTGTGCAGAGCCGCAGAGCCAAGCCGCAGCCGAGAGAACAAGATGGTCTGAGAGTCTTTGGGCTTAACGAGGGAAACACGAGTGCAGAAATTGAAGGAAGCCTCGACTTGCCAGTGCTTTTGCTGTGGCGAAGGTGTGAGGTGAACGCGTCTGTGTTTGTGTTGATGTTGCGAGAAGAAGCGACAGGCTGAACAGCAGAAAAACACGGCGGGCTTTTATTTGTTCCAAGGCGTGGCCGCGTTTTCCAGGCACCCATGCCGAGCCACTGAACGAGTGCCAGTTGCCACGGGGAACCCGGCCAGCTGTTCGCCGGCTGCCAATGTGCCCGGACACCAACACGTGCTCCGGATCGCCAGATGAGTGACTGTTCGTTCAATGTGGTATTTTCTTGGTTCCGTTTGCAAGGTGGCAGCTGGCAACACACAAATCTAGCCGCATGGTTGAAAGGCAGCGCTGGACCTCTTCTACCAGACATGCACTCAGTCGGATTATCTCGGAGTTGAAAGTAACTACTGATACTTCAACAGCCGCCGGTATCTGTTCAGCAAGAGGTCTTTATCTCGGCGTTGAAAGTAACTACCCGATTCTTCAACAGCCACCAGTGACTGTTCGGCAGGAGTTCTTAGTATTACATTCACCAAAATTTCTACACAGTATGACGAGGCGACTGGGGACACTTATGGTGACGCTGCAAAGGGGCTGGAAGATTGGCCTGTCAAGACCACGAGTGTATCAATGGACCGGCAAAGCCCTCATTGTTTGAAGAGGATAGGCCCTCCAGCATCGAAAAACTCACCTGCTGCCTTTCTCTTCTTCAGACCTGCCCTGCTTTATTCTACCTCGACCGACATCATGAAGCGACTACACAACAAAGAATCGTTGAGCCGCAAGGACCACATTGCTTCCCCGATGCTTAGATGGCGGGTGCTCCCGTCAACCCATGTTCCCGCTACGACCCAGACAAAGGGGCGCAAACGCCGATACGAAGTATCAATATTAAGCGATCGACGGGCCATCATTGCGTGGGATCTAAACGTATACGGAACGCGTTCACTCTGGCCGGACTCTGCAGTGGATATGGTTCACGAGCTGTTCTCTCAGGCTCGAGTTAATCTGGCGAGCCGCTGGGTATATAAGATCGCCTGCTCTCATCCGCTTCTTGACACCATCCTCAACTCACCCTTCCTACTCACGACAACTCCAGACCATTGCCAACGTGCCAGGATTTGCTCGGGACACGCCTTAATCAACCTGCGAACGAAGCCCTTTGACACATCTCTCCCTCTGGAACAGCCACCAGCCGTCCTGCCTGACTGCTCTGCATCCGAAACAACTCAACGACAAGACTCAGTCATGTGCAGGTATCTCTACGTAGGTACTAAGAGTCCAGGCAGTCGCTTTCTATCCGCTAAATTGTTAAATAGCACAAGTTCATGTGCGGGCACAAGGAATTTCCCGTGATTTCATTCTGCGATGAGTATCATCGCACAGGGACAAGATGTCCTCGCCTTACATCTATCGAGGGGAAATATGATTGGTAAGTCAGCTGAAACTCTCTATATATGGTCTTATACTTACTTGTCTTCCTTGTAGGGACCAGCTCTGCAGTAAGTTTCCCCTCATCACTGTCTGTACACTTAAGGAGCTTGCGGCTAACATTTCCATCAGCTAACTGTGACAAGCAAGGGGATCTACTGCCAGGGGAAAAGGACGAGGCAGAGAAAGCAGCCATCTTCGAGCATGGAAAGAAGATTCAAGTGTCGGGGGAGCCAAAGGATGGATACGTCAAGGTTGAGCGCTCCGACAAGGGATACTGGTACCGCGACCTGTATACGCCCAAAGGGGAATCCCCAGCGGCGGGATCCAAGGAGGAACCCCCAGCGGTGGAATAACTAGTACTTGGATTGTCTCTATTGGTTGCTGTCAAGACGAGAGAAGACGCATAGCACGCGCCAATCATGCCCCTAAAGGGGGTGTCACTATTTTGCCTGGAGTAGCAGTATTTTACCAACTTGACAGTTACAATGCCCCATAACCAGCGCATCGTAATGAGCAAGGTGACAACTCTGACGGCGACTTCCATCGCCGTATTCTCTTGTTGAAAAGGGGGCAAATGGGCAACAGAGCCAGCTGCCAACAGTATACCTCGACACCATCCGTTCCCCAGCACCACGCAGCCCACTTCTGATATACTCAAGAAAACATGGCACTTGAAGCCGTCGAGATGCAGTTGCCCAAGCTGCGAAGTCACTACTCCGACAAAAGAACCATTCCCGCGGCTCCTTTGACACGTGGTAAATGACACTTGCGAAACGCGGAGTGAGTTTCTGATGCTTAGCTATCGCAAGTATAGTTGAGTTGGCTCGGAGAAGAAGACATGTAGTTTGATGGCTGTTTCCTCCATCGTGCAGACGAAGTAAAGAGTTGCCCACACCAGATTAACGCGCTCTCAGAGTTGACATGCTGAAACCAGGACAAAGTGAAATGCCGCCTTCGGAACGACTAGTTGAGACGCTTCAGACAAGTCATGCGTTCCGACCGTCACCCCCAAAAGCCTTTGACCTGTCCCAGGACACCATCTCCACCAGAACATGTAATGCTCTCCCGTCAGCCATCAAAGGGGCTCCTACTTTTTAACCGCGCAGTGCCAGGCATTATTCGAAATCCCAGGTGTGGTGGTGTAGGCCACGCTGCGCTGGTATAGCTGGCACTTGGTCTGGTAGACTCCGTGGAGTGCGTAAGTGCACCACGTCTTGGCGCTGCATAGATTGACACATTCCGCGAGAGTGTCCACGTTTTGCGTCTCCTTTGCGCCAGAAGGATCATGGTCTGTCGCAAATCAGCTCGCTGTTCGGTCCAGGGGAGAATCCATCACTTACAGCGAGAGCACCAAATCTTGTACTGCTTTCCGGACACAGTGGTTTCCTTGGCATGCTTGCTCGGGCCTGGATATATCGAGTCAGCAGGGGCTCGCAAAGTGAGCAACTCTCTGCCCTACTTACAGTTTGCCGCAAGCACGTCCTGGAGCGTGGCGGAAGCGGCCGCCGAAGAGGCGGCATTACTCTTGCATTGGGCCAGCTCGTCATTCAGCGTGGTTTCACGAAGGAGACAGGCGTCTTTCTCTTCGTTGCAGTCCACTGCAAACGGATCATCGACGGCGGCGTCTTCGACCTTCTCCATGTACGTAACCCCAGTCCGCGGAATATTCCTTCCGCTGTCCTTGCCGACGACGCACCTCTTGGTCGGCGGATGATATGAACAGACAGCGCGAGCGGCTGCTTCGCAGAGTTTAGCACATTCATTGTTGGAGCCGATGTTGTTGTGCACGTCTCCCTCGCGGAATAAGTCACACTTGTGCTCAACAACGTAGCCGGGGCTGATTGTCTCCCGGTGTCCTGGGACACACTCGGCATCAGCCTGGGTGGCAGCCAAGAGAAGGGTGACGAGACAGGCCGCTGAAGACTTCATGGTGTTGACGGTTGAAGAGGGACACTGGTGTTCTTGAAGATGGATGATTGTGGAAGACTGGAGGTAAGTCTGATGATGAAGAGATTCAGTCAGAACCGAGTGGAGAGTTGCCGGGCTTTAAGTATCCTATCCGACTCCGTCCTGCCGTCCTGCGTTCTCTTCCTCCCGCCTTTATCCACGGCGCTTGCTTACTTTGTTGAGTCTTGGGATCTACGCTGCGCGTTCGACACACTGTCGAAACCTGCGTCTGCACCTGGCAAACAACGGATTCAAATGGCTGAAGCATCAAGCCATGTTCCAGAGCCCGTGCCGACGGCGATTCTCTGTGCATATAAGACTGCGTCGGTTCCCTTAACATGACTGGCTGGCCTCTGACGCATCGCCCCGGGCGCTCAGGTATACTGATGCGCTGGCGGCTTGAGCAAACGATGCATGCGTTGCCAAGATGCCATTTTCCGTGAAAGATCCCCTGCAACCTCGACGAACATTCATCGTGGCAGGATTTAACAGTGCCCTTTACAATCATTGTTGTCGAGCTCCAAGGCTCTGTCCGAGATTAGTGCGTCCATGCTCAAGGTCCACTGCCACAATACTCAGATTCATCCCGAAAGCTTGTCTTTGCCCCCCTCCAGTCTCAGTTGTTGTCAAGAATCAGATTCACCGGCTTTCAAGCCACTTCCGATTTCGGCAGCTGCCACGTAGATTGGTCTGGGTTTGCCGGCTGAGGAGCGCATATGAATCATTCAGCTGAGTACATTATCCAACCAAGTACGCATTTTGCCTTGGTCGGGACTAGTTTTGTCTGCGGCATTCGGTGGTGTCACAGGTCCCGGGGCCGGCTGACCGGTCATCCGGTAATCGGATTACCGCCCCGCCCCACGCAAAACCATGTCGTTTTCGAAGGCCCGGCCCTGCGGGGCTGGCGTTTTCTTAGTCGGATTACCGCCATCGGACGGCAAAATCGAAGGTCCACGCCCGCGGGGCCCTGCGCGAGACCTTCGATTTCGGTCTCGCTCACGCGCGTTGCGCTCCACCTCCCTCCTCCCACCTCCTCCTCCACCTCCTCCATTGCCACCGTCGCGACGGCGACCGCCTGCACCATGTCGAACGCGATAGAGGATCCCCGGGTCAGGGCGGCCATTGAGCACTACCTGTTAGATCTGGAGAACACCCAGCCGAAGAATACGAAGCGAAATTATCGTCCCAAGCAGGAAGAATGGAAGGCAAGCCCGCATGCGCGCCCTGCAATCTTCATGTAGATCCATGCATTGACCGCCTCACAGGAGTGGTGTCAAGCCAACTGGCCTGCGATCCCGGACGTTTGGCCGGCCTCGGTACCACAGGGCCAACAGCTACCGGGAGACCTGGTCGATGAAGGAAAGCTCTTGCTCTTCATGAAGGAGGTAGTGGCATCACGTCCTCCAAAGAAAGGAAGAGGGTCGCCGATGAAAGAAAACGACACCTCGAGGCTCAGGAAGCCAAGAGGGCCGTGAAAAGACGCAGAGCACCATCAGGTAACAGATGTTGATCACGGGATGTGGTCGTCGGACTGAGCCAGCCCATCATACTAACACCCAGCTTCCCCAGCAGATACCATCGTTGTAGGCGGCGGAGGTAGCGAATACGAGTCAGACTCCGACTTGGAGTTGTATGAGTCCACGCTCAAACTACAGTATAATACTGTACGGGGCTACGTCTCGGCCATACAGAAGCTTTACGACGAGCAGAAGAGCCGGGAGTCAATCCTGCGGCCCGGCCACGGGAGTGGCACTGAAGGCGCTCAAACGCAGCATTCTTGCAACGACTTGGAGCCGGAAGAGGAAGGAATACATGGACAGGGAGTTGGAACTCTGAGAGATGTGTATGCGCCGGCGCAGATACCCGACCACACCAACGTGGCATGGTCCGAGAGAGAGATCGCCTGCGCCCTGAGGACGCAGGTGGACTTTCTGCTCGGGAACCACATGCTGCTGCGGTCCGGCAACCGCCTGCCGATGGAGTTGGCAGACTGCTTTCCCTGGACTTACCCAACGAGGGCTTCAAGGCCCAGGGTATACCACGAAGGCGCTGGTTGTCGTGATGAACTGTGGAAGACCAACCAGCACGGCCGCATGGAGTATGGATCTGCTTTGCGGCATCGAGATCCGCGATCTTGTCTCATCGGCGCCCTCGCGTTCTGGCTTTTCTGGCGCTGGCAGGTAGAAAAGGCGGAAAGGTTTCCGTCTTCCAAAGAAGCGAAGACTGGTATGAAACGAAGGTGCTCCGCCGATCGGCGAAGGAGCCTCAAGGTAAGCGTGATGGCATTCACCGGAATCCCATAACTCAGAGGGTGCATCGACCCTTTCACTCACCGAATATACAGCTCCGTTGTCGGGCCAGACTGCCCGAGAATGGACGTCCAGGTTCTACAAGAAGGCCGGCATCAAGGTCTCCAAGGTCAGCCACGCGCCTAGAGTGGCGGCGACGCAAAACGCCGACATGGCCGGGTGGATGGAGGACAGGCGTGTCATCTGCCCTAGGCAAGCCGCCAACCCCTGGCCTGGGCTGACCCGAACTATACAGATCCGCCGAGCCGGTCGTTGGAATAACGGAGACCAAATGACCGGCTGCTATCTGACTTCCTGCCTTTCGAATTCATGAGGGCCGTGGCCGACTTTGACCCTGAATGGTCGGGGTCTTATTTCGTGCCCCGGGCCACCGTGAGGCCGCCTGTGGTGCTACTCGTGCAGGTCTGGCCTCAACTCGACAAATGGAAAGAGGCCCACAGTAGCCCTTTCTCAGATCTGGGGTGGAGCAGAACATGGCCGCCGGCGCCTTCTTGGAACTCCTGGAGTGGCTTCGAGAGGTGCTCCTGCAGGACGCTGTCTTCCTTCGCGAGTCCTACCCCGACCATCCTATCTTTCAGGATCCGGTCTTCTCTTGCCCCGAGTTTGAAGCGTTCGCCAGCAAAGTTCAAGACACATGCACACGGGACCACGAAGACAGCCATACCACGGTCATTCAAAAGCGATCCCGGTGGTTGCGGAGAAGCTGCGCACAGTACTGACTCAACAGGTCGCAGCCGAGCAGTTAGCTGAGCGAAGACATCTAGACCTTTTGGGGGCTTCTTACGAACTATGCACAAAGTTGGATGAGTTTGCGCAGGCCACCTACACCGTCACCTTCAGCCCCGGCCAAGGTGCTGCAGGTCAACATGCGGAGATCGCGGGAGCTCATCAACAGAGGCGCCGCGCTCCACGAGAGACGGTCCTCAGGTCCGAGATAGGCCCTTCGCAAGCGGGCGGTCCGACATACGCTCCGCTCTCTCTAGAGCAGCAGCAGGGAATGGTGCAAGCGGGCCAGGGGCAAGCCCAGGGAAGAGCGCATGGCGAGCCGCCTGGGCCGCGCGAACCTCCGAGCTTCAAGCTCCCCGTTCTGTCAAATCTGTACAGGAGCTGCTGCGTCTCTGGCGGCAGGGCTGGGGCGAAATGCCTTCTGTGGATTCTCTTGAGCGAGACTGGGGTGCTCGATGGCGGCCATCTGCAGAGAAGAATTACTTTTCCACGCGCAAGATCATCGTCGATGAGGTTCGGAGGCGGGCCCAGTCGGACGGCTTAACTGAAGATATCGTGGCGAGGCAAATGGACGAAGAACGTGGACCCAGCTCTTTGGATAAGTTGTTCAAGGCCATCCGAAAGGACAGGCAAGGCGAAAAGGGACACAAACGTGCGTCGGGGCAATTCAACGTCGGTGGTAGCGAAAAGTCGATGGCGCAGTGATTTTGAACACCCGTCTGATAGAATGACGAGGACCTTGGCGGCGAAAGTGCCCCCAGGCCGTCAGGGGCTGCGTCGCTACAGTCAGCGGTAGTGGCCTGTAGACAGGGTATGCATCCGCTAAGCGCCGCTGTAGCTCCAGCGCGTCAAGGCTAGAAAATGCTTCAAATCACCGCAACCTCGCAACCGACAGGATGTAGGACCTTAGACAGGGTGCATTCTGATCGCACAAACGCAGGCTATCCAGTCGAACTGGTTTTGTCGTCGTCGGTCCCGGCTTTCGCGCTTTATGGCGCTCCGAAGATGACATCAACCCGGCAGAGGTGATGTCAAGGGCAAGCGGGTAATCGGCGGTAATCTGCGGGGTAATCCGCTGACCGCCCACCAAAGCCGGACCTGTGACATCCACTTGATGTCTCAACATGACGTATTCACCAGTCTGGAAGGTGCGGGGTGCACTACGAGCTGGTAATAGAGGTCTCGTAGAGCTGTGACGTGAAGCATGGGCTCAATATGGGAGCTGTATCCGCAGTTTAAGAGGCTCGCCGTGACCTGACATTCATGGGAGGTAAGGCGCTCTCGCACACGGCCGCCGAGGTGACGGCCTGGGGATAAAGACGACGACGGAACGGAAACAATGGCTGCTCAGTGTGCATTGCCTGGGCAGCCTCGATACTCAATATGTGAATCATCGTCAGCTGCCAAACAGCTCCGTCACGATGTTTTGCCTCTCTCCGAGAATACCATCTTTGCCAAGAAAACCTTGGCGGTATCTTCAGCTGAGCTGGGGGTCGACGTTGCAGCAGTTGATAGCGTTCGTACTGTGTCCTGGCATCATGTGTCGACCAGTACCGATCGCCCAGCCGGCGCGTTGGCTGTGGCGAATCGGAGGCTTTGCCGGACGGAAAGGCAGCGGACCTCGAGCTCCAATGCGAGTCAGCCGAGAATGACGGAAGGCACTTGCACATGTAGGTCTGCCGATGGACGGGCCATTCGGCCGCTCTAGGAATCTGCTGTTGATGACCCTTGACCAAGACACGTCTCAAAGTGCAGTAGGCTTGGGGCGCGCAGTGGTTGCTCGTCGTGCCGGAAGAGCATGTTGCCGCCGTGGGAAAGTTTAGACTGAGGGCGGTGAGGTTGCATGTGCTTTCGCATTAGTGGCATTGGCCATTGCCGGACCCGAGTTGCTTGGCCAAGGAATTCAAATCTAGGCTCTCACGGTCAATGAGCCTTTTCTGCTCGTTCTTGACAAACGGAAGCAATGAGATGCTCGGCCAAGAATGCGTGACTGGCTCGAGAAATCTGGGCGTGGCGAGAGAGCGTTGATTCGAGACGTTCGGGGCATGTCTACGTAGCTGGAATCGAGCACTCAGACCTCAATGACTTGTAAGGTAAATGGCCGGCATTCTTCGGCGTAAAGTCGCCTCTCATAAAAGCGTTGAAACCCCAAGCTGATAGGTCCGTGGTCAATATAATTGGCCACGAAGCGAAGCAGCCAGGGGGCTTGTTACTAATTAATGATCACACCGGAAGAGTGCGAGATAAAGTAAGAGTCGGATGATGTTGATTTATACAAATAGCCTGCACAGTCACCCCCCCTGTCGGCCAAGATCATGTGGGCTAAGCCGACCAACTCAACTCGTTTCTGTCCCCACGCGCCCAAGGGCCACCGATTTGCCTCTCCGGTCAGGCGGCTGGGTGACGATGGTTGGTCTTCTGCCTAAATTGACCAAGCAGCGAATGAGAGATTACAAGCTTGACAACCACCATACTGTAGGAAAGCTCTGGGTATTTATATGTTTATCAATACGTCTCCCATGGACGACTTGGGCCTCTTCGCCTAGGAACACCGGGCTATCCACCATGTAAGTTCTGCTTTACGTTTACAGTATCTTGCTCTCCATAACAATGCATTGACCCCCGGCTTGCGAGCATGAGGAATCCAGATTATAAGCTTTGTTTTACGTTTACAAGACCCATATTCTTCATACAGATGCATCGGTCGTCTTTGCCTGAATTGCTGTGCTACCGGAACAATATCTCCACGTTGCAGCGAGATGGGACGCAGTGGTTACTCATTACGTGACGCGAATCCGTCCTTTATTGTCCTTACGCTGTCGAGTCGCAGCACGCTTCTTCATGTACAGTGGGTCAACCTTAATACCGATGAGGCGATGTCACGGTATGCGTATTACTACTGCCACTAAAACTGAAGAATTCCATTTCACCTCTAAAACCACGTTAAGTTAAGTATGAATGTAAAGTAGCTGCCTAACAGAGTAATAGAAACAGAACATTCTAGGATTTCTCTAGTAATACGTGGCACACCCCCCAGCGTTGAGTCATCAAGTCAACGCCGCCAGAAGTTAACACAACTAGCCCTGGGGGCATTTTTATCCTGTTCTGGGGTCCACATCCCTCTTTCTATCTGTCAGATTTAGCATCAATCGAAAGTGCTTGGACTTCGCTCTCGACTGTCAATCCCTCTGCTGGGTCTGGCATCTAACTGGTCTTTAAGTATTCTACCAAGAGCCTACCCTGCTTGAATTTTTATTTTAGCCACATGTTCTGGATATCAACGTGCCGCAACTTTTTCGTGGTTCCCTAGCTCTCCTCTACTATGAGCCGGATCGACTAAAGGTTGTCATAGTGGATGTTCGAAGGCCCTAGGCCCAAGGAGATATCTCTCAATAGCCGGTCCAAGGCGTAACTCTTTTTGGTGGTTCTCTCCAGCTTAAAGCTTTACTCTTTATAGTCAAGGTCGTAACTATGTCTTAGAGACTAGCTTTCTATATGATAGGTCTGCTGAATAGCATCATTATATATCCCTGCAATAAACGGCGGGTCTTGATGCTATCCCTAAATGATGCGTCGCCCGCGATTATAAGCGCCTCTCTTTGGTGCGCTCCATCGTAAATAATCGCTAGGAATCTCGTTGCATAAAAATAATGGATTTAATGGTTGACTGCGGCAAGGTGTTTAGGCGATGGGTTTATCAAGAATCTCGCGAGCTGCTTATGCTATATCGGGTCTGGTCATAACTGCGATATACGGTAACGACATGTACATCGCGATTTGTAGATTTAAGCCCGAGGTACAACGGGAGAACACCCCATGACGTGTGCAACGTTCGTCAGCGACATAGGTGAGTGCATACCCTGACGTGACCGGACTATGTAAGCATACAAGTCAATGTTATAGCACCTAGGTATGTTCAGCACACATCCATAGGAACTCAATTCGATTATTGCATCCTTGACTAGATATGACAGAAGTCATTCGAGTAAACTAATAGACAAGGATCAACAACACAACTAGATCACCAGCCTGCCGCAGAAAGTTTCAATTTGGTCAGCGACACTGGAATCCCCAATATCATCGAGAACTGGATCTAGGGCTGTGAAGCTTCATTAACGGCCTTCAACGCGGTACGACCCGAGCCTCCTAGGGTCGATTTTATGCTTGCCATTAGTAGGCCCATCAAGTACAATATTTGCGCTGCCACTTGGATTAGAGCCACTAAAATACTTGTCATTGCATATTCTCAGTCTAATTTTCAAGGATCGGCACTTACGACCAGCACAGCACTTTGACATTAATAGTGCTTTTGATTTCAATACCCTGGATATTGCTATACAAGGGTTAATCCCAGTAATTAGCTAGGGGAAAGATACCTCACTTACGGAGAACCCTCGAGAGTGTAATTTGTGTCAAGTCGTGGTTCATGCGTGCGATCTTTACCACCTTTCACATCCCATTTGACCTGTTCTAAAATTTAGCCCTAGATCATATAACCCACAACCCCTAGGGTTAATAAAGATGTTGACATACATAGGCAGTGTTTTGAGGGACGATGCCTTCAAAATCAATTTGGTCATTGGTAGGCTCAGCTGCCGTTGTAGGTTCACTGGTCATCTTGAGAGGTATACCGGATGAACGATGAGAATCGGGAACTTGAAAGTAGTCTGTCTATTGGAACTGTTCTTGGGAAGCAAGATTGAGCAGGGAGACGTCTGGTATTTGTGCATTTCCCATTAGCCGTTTTATCGAAGATCTATTCTATTTCCCCCTCACTATTTAGTCTTCAATAGCCCGAGTGGCTGCACCAACGCCCTCCGAATACGTGGCCTACCCTGACGCATTCTCCTGTGCCACCAGTGAACATCGCTCTGGATATTACGTGCCTATGAATCCTTAAAGAGTCGCGATATTTTCCGCCTTGGCAGACTTTGATTGGACAGCAGCCCGTGCGGGTTTTTTGCCGTGACATGACAATCGCCAACATGGCTCTAAATCGCCGATATTGGCCTGGACCGATCGAGATCCGTCGGTCCGGTGTATCATTCATTGGGCTGTCAGTTTCGATCCCTTGCCATGGTTATACTGCAGCTCAGCTTTTATTGTTCCGCTTCACGATGCAGCGAAGCTGTAGACTACGAGTGAATAGTAAAAAAGCCCATATATAAGTCTATACTATCTTGGAAACGAGAGATAAGCGGTGTGCGGCGAGACGCGATATATTGGTACGAGACGCTCCACACTGACACTGCCTTGCATTCCTCGGCTGACCATTTGCAGGATCCTCGTCTGGCTTCTCCATCTTCCCCCCCTAGAGGTATCCAGTAGGTGAGAAGACGGGCGACGATTCGTTCGCCAAAATGCTTTCCGAGGTGTCCATCGACGATCACAAGTGGACCAACTGGAAACCTGAAGTCTTCTGCCATCTGTTCCAACGCCCCGTCTTCCGGCCCCTGCCGCCTAAGCCCGAGGCCCTGTCTCTGCTTAGGGACCATTTCGAGAACTTCAACTGCATGCTCCCCCTCCCATGTCAGTCGTCACAGTCGTACGGGTATCTAGTTACATGCTGCCGCAGTTTCGGCAAGGCGAGGGAGGAGAGATCAAGGCGCCACAATTCAATTTCACGGAGGACATCCAATACGGCTTCCCGACGGATCGCGCATTTGGTACGGTGGAGCTGGTCCTGATCAAGGAAGCCGGCAGCATATGGGTTCCAGACTACGTTCTTTCTCTGCGAGCTGGAGGTGGCGATGATGATGCCTTCCACATCGTTCGGCTTGACCACCTATACCCAATCTAACTCGCCTACTATCAATTACTTAGACGCGGTTGTTCTACGGTGCTAAAGCGTACTGTACTTGTTATCCATGACACAAAAGAATGTACAGTTGGTGCCCGTGTCCGTGCCCGTGCCCGTAATTACCCGCCCCTATGTTTTTGTGATCGGTGCCGAATCTAGTAAAGAGTATTGCTAATTGCACATCAGCATATTGCTTGCTATCTGCGCACGCGCCCTATTTTCAAGATATATTATACCAACGCCGCCAGCCCGTCATTTTGTCCGGCTCCTCTGGTTCTTACGGCTGTGTCGCTGTCGGCAGCGGCGTCGGCGTCGGCGTCGGCGGCGGCGGTTGTTGTCCTAGTATATGCAGATCATTTACGATTTCTCGTAGTGGACGATCTGTATGCACCGGGACGTCGATCTTTTGGTCGCCTTCGACTACGGTGATGGTTTCGGCGTCACATTTTTATGTCCGTCGAAATGTTCGAGCGATGTCTAAATGGGGTCCAGCGTACTTCGTCACCCAGAGCTCAAGAAAGAACCGATCGTCTGGGTTCATGACTTGGAGCTTCGCTAGGTCTACGTTCGACTGGATGTCGGCAAGCAACTGCTTCGAGTCGGGCGGATAAGTCTTGGTCTTCTGCAAAATAGCGCGATATTCCTCTATGACTATCGCATGAGTGATGATTTGTGTCTTGTTAAAGGTAAACGTGCTTGGCAGCAGGCGTCGATTGGTTGGGTGATTTATACTGTCGCGCCCATTTGCCTCGTTATCGTCGGTTGCAGGAAAATTGATCAGTGTTGTATTTGTAAGAGCAGGTTGATGCAAGATGGTCGGTTTGGCGTTGTTCCCCTGGTGCTAAAGTTCTGCTTCACGAAGCAGCTCTGATCCCGGCCTCGGGACGGCTGGGTTTTCTATATCTTTGCCTTTGTCGCCCGGTTCGACTATATTGTCGTCGTCGTTATTATCGTCTTTATCGTCAATATCGGTTGTCAATTCGCCCGCCACGTTTAGGGCTTTCCAAGTCTCCATTTTTGATCCCTTTATGAAGCAAGAGGCCAATGGGGGATATATTATTGGGAAGAATGTCTCATGACGATTGTCTTCCCATCGTTGGATCGCCGTAGGTAGATTCGTCAAAAGCTTGTGTTCGATGAAGGTTTTCGACACAACGTCAGACTTGCCTTTGACGCCACGAAGAACCCTTAGCATCATCGCAACGATCATGATCGGAGCGTTGATCATGTAGTCAATCTGGTCTCTCTTTGCAAAGACCTCGATCATGGTGCATTCCTTGCCCAAGTCACGGTGGCCGCTCCACCTCGAGAAAGCTGTGGCGGTCATTGCCTTCGTAAGGTCGCATCTTTCCTTCGCCGCCGCAAAACGTTTTCGGGAAGCTTTCTTTTGGATAGCCCAAGTGCAATATCGTCGCCTCCAGCAGCATATTGGTTGCTGTGCGGAAACCACTAGGTTGTGCAGGCAAAAGTGAAGTGACACTCCAACAGATGACTTGGTAGTGGACCCTATATGCCATGGAGGTGCTGGTGGCAGCTGACAGTTGCCTTTTCCTGGTAGGCCTTAGGCAAATTGGCGGTTGTGTTTCATTCCCGCAAGTTTTCGACCATCAGCCTAAGCTCATCGTCGTAGTCGATTATTACCAACAATTCATCGGTAACCAGCTGCGCGTTCGCTTATACCTGCGCGGGTCTCATTTCGCTGGCGTTCTTGCCGCGCGCCAAGCGATGTTCCTTTGCCCCGGATACCATCGTCGGATCGCGTCCGAAAATGGTGAGTTGGGTCCGACGTTCGACGGTCAAATGTCCCAGATGATCTCAAAACGTGTGATCAGGCGTGAATAGACCGTCGGCGATTAGGGGTTTAAAGCAAATATCGTGGAAGAAGAAAAGGCAGAAATGGACAAAGCGAAAGTGGAAGAAGCGAGCAAATGTTGAAGGTGTAGGGTTTGGCGGTGTGGTTTGGCGGTGTGGTTTGGCAGCTGGCTGAACAGCTATCACCTGGCTGGCAACTGCGTGATTCACGCTTTTTTTGAAGTAAATTTTTTGCGCGCTGGCAGTTCGACTCGAGTGGTTATTGCCGGCACTCTTGACTATTGTCGTCTCTGGCTTCCTCCTCTGGGATCCGGTAAAAAGAAACATCATCACGGCGTGGCACCCATAGCGGAAGTTTTGATTACGGCTACGTCCGCCGCGGCCAGAGTCGGAACGATTGAAGTCAGTAGGATACCGACGACCGGGACCGTCGAAGTTCGATTAATACACATATGCACCGACGCCAACAAGGACAATTCTAAATGACAAGATTATTATGATTTTCGCAGACACGTATCCAACTATACTCAAGAACAAAGACAGAAATGAAACAGTTTTTCCACAATCCCCTCGACCTCCCTTTTTTTCTAATTCTTTGATAGACATATACGCACATCCACCCAAAAAAAAATTCCCTAGAAAAGCACAACGAAAGTAAAATGACCAGGCGCAGGCATCTTACATGAGACTCTCCACAAGCCCCGCCTCACTCAGAGGTGTCTATCAGGGGCTCGTCCCCGCCGGCCTCGGACCCATTCGACGAGTCGCCGAGCTGCTTGTGCCAGAGGCTGTGGTACCGGCCGCCCTTTTCGAGGAGCTCATGGTGGGTGCCGCGCTCGACAACCTGGCCGTCTTGGAGGACGAGGATCTGGTTGGCATTGATGACGGTGGACAGGCGGTGGGCAATGACAAAGGTGGTGCGCTTGGTGCTCAGCGCCTTGATAGCCTCCTGGATCTCGAACTCCGTCTCCGTGTCGACGGCGCTGGTGGCCTCGTCGAGGATGAGGATCGGCGGGTTCTTGAGAAATGCGCGCGCAATGGCCAGGCGCTGGATCTCGCCGCCCGACAGCCGGACGCCGTTTTCGCCCACGTTTGTTTCGTAGCCGTCGGGGAAGCTGGTAATCTTGTCGTGGATGGCGGCGGCGCGGCAGGCCTCAATGACTTCGTCATCGGATGCCGAGAGCTTGGCGTAGCGGAGATTCTCCATGATGGACGCGTTGAAGAGCAGCGGATCCTGGGGCACGACGCCGAGGACGTTGCGGAGGGAGCCCTGGGTCACGTCGCGGATGTCCTTGCCGTCGACCCGGATGCTGCCCGAGGTGACGTCGTAGTAGCGCATGAGGAGCTTGATGAGCGACGACTTGCCGGATCCGGTGCTTCCGACGAGGGCCACCGTCTCTCCGGGCGCGACGCTGAAGCTGACATCGTGGATGGCCGTGCGCCTGGAGTCGTAGGAAAAGTTGACGTGGTCAAACTCGACGCGGCCCTCGACGGCGCCCAGCGCCGAGGCGCCCTCCTTGTCGACAACGTGTGCCTCGGCCGTGAGCAGGTCGAGCAGGCGCTCGGCGTCGATGAGGTCGGCCATGAGGAAGCGATACTCGTGGGATAGGAACTTGAGCGGCATGATGAGGTAGTCCCAGTACTGGATCAAGAAGACGAAGTCTCCGGCCGTCGCGTGGCCGTCGCGGATCTGGCGGATGACGAGGGCAGCGAGCATGACAAACGTCGTCGGAACCAGCGCCTGGAGCAGCGCCTGGATGAAGGCGTCCCGCCTCATCCATGCCGTCTTGGCCGAGAGGTGCTTGTCGACGGCGCCGCCAAAGCGGAACTTTTCGTACGAAAACATGTTGAAGGCCGAGACGGTCAGCCAGCCCTGGACTGCCTGGTGCATAACGCGGGCCTCGCGCCGCTCCGTCTTTGTGACGCGGCGGCGGTTTTCAATGTTCCAGGTCGACGAGACGACCTCGACGACGAGAAAGGTCAACGAGGCAAACATCATGCAGAGAGCGACGGAGGAGCTGAACTTGATGTAGAGGAAGACAAAGGCGACAATCATGTCGAAGATGGTGGGCATGATCTCGAGGACGGCCGTCTTGACGACGTTTGTGAGCGCCTCACCCTGCTCAATGGCCTTCATGACCTCGGCCGAGTCCCTGTCCGAGTGGAAGTCCATGCCGAGGTTCATGACGTGGTTGAAGGCGGCGTTTGTGATTTGTCGGTACGAAAACTGCTCGACGGGGATCTTGGCAAGTGCCTGAATCAGCTCCAGGCCCGAGTCGCCCTGGGCCAGGCTCAGGATGAGGTAGAGACCCAGCTCGGGGTACGGCGCCTCTCCGGCGACAATCTTGTCGGTGATGATGCCGATTTGGCGGGGGACGATGATGTTGAGGAAGCGATCGCCAATCATGCAGACAATGCAAAGCAGGATGCAAGCCTGGACCTTGTGGTCTTTTTTGGGAATCAGGTACGGCACAAAGAGCTTGAACTTGCGCACGTAAACGATCCAGCTGCCGCTCCTGCGAAGCTTGCTCGCCTCCGAGTCCTTGAGCTCGCCGTCCTCATCCTCATCGGCGGAGCCCGAGTCCGAAGTCCAGTCGCTGTCGCTGTCGCTGTCGCTGTCGCTGTGGCAAGAGGAGGCATCGCTGCCGGCGTCGGACCGATCGGACCCTGTGCCGTACGAGACGTGACTGGCCGCCGCGTCGCCATTGGAGTCGCGGAGAAAGGGTCTCGCCTCTGCGGACTCGTCTTGTTTCTTTCTGCGCGCACACATCCTGCAGCTGCCGTCCAGCAACAGGACAACGAGGACAAGCAACCGGGCGGCCTGGACGCCCAACAGTGCATAATGATGCGCCGGAACCGGGCCCAGGGCCTTTTGATAGACGGCTTCGACCACGAGGAGCGGGATGCCGAAGACGAGGGTAATCAGGGACAGGCCACAGGTTTCGACGACCAGGAAGGAGCGCCGAAAGCTGACGGCAACCCAAGCGAGGGCGGCGAGGATGCACGACACGAAGCGGATCTCGTTCTGGGCGACCGGGCCGCCGCGCAGGGCCACGAGACAGACCTCGGCCACGTAGAGCACGACAACGAGGCCGACGGCCATGGCGCGGAGGAGGCCCTTTGGCAAGACGGCCTTTTTGTCAAACCTTTTGCGGCCATAGTAGATGAGAAAGGTGACAAAGAGGAAGAAGAGGGTGATGATGGCAAAGGCCACCTGCAGCCCCTCGCGGACGCCGGCCGGGGTTATCATGCTTGACTCGGGGCGACGGGGCCGACGGGGGAGTGGAGAAGCGCTAAGTGCGATGTCCGGAATTGTGTTGGTCAATCCCATCAATCTCCCTTGGAGTTCCACTTATCCGGGGCCGATGCCGAGACGAAGCCCGACGGGGTGTTTGACGGCGACGACGGAGCTTGCAGCGGCCGGTCGACGAGCAGCTCTCTCGACCGTCAGGGGTCGACGGGCGTCGACGGGCGTCGACGGTGCGGCGCTCAGCTGGAACGGAGAAGGGGCCGCTGGAGGAATTGAGGAGGTGGCCGCCGAAGCGAAGGGGATAGATAGAGGTGGGGAGCGATGGCGGTCGCGAGTTTGGAGGCAGAAAGTCGGGGCCAATCAGGGCATCTCGGCGAGAGTCGACGTCACGATTGCAAGAGTTTTCTGCAGCGGGCGGCGGCGACGTCGAAGAAAAGCCTGCCTTTTGTTGGCGACGGCAGCGCTTATGCACGGCGGCCTTTTATTGTTCCGCACAGCCCCCCTGTTCCCCTGTAGCCGGGGTGACTCAAAGTCTCAACGCGGCAACTTGACTCACTCGAATTGCAATCATCTCGCTCAGCCCGCCATTGGCGTCTCACCCTTCAGTGGTCCGTCTCGACGTGGTATCCGCCCGCCCGGCCGCTCGGCACATACGACAGTTGGGCGCTGGCCCCGAGCATCGACGCGATCTGCCTGCCATTGGCCGCACTGGCTCGCGAGCTCACGCCGTGCAGGACCGGCCGCAGCAGGCTCGCCATGGCCAGATGGCTGTGTCCGCGCACCTGGACCCTGCTCGTCGTCGCCAGCGCCACCACGGCAAACAGCAGCTGCAGCCCGACCGTCAGGCCCAGGACCAGGTGCACGTAGGACCAGTGCGGGATCTCGACGGTGACGCCCTTGAGCGGCACCAGGCCCGGCACCACAATGTTGGAGTTGGACTGCGCCGTGACGGCGATGACTCCCGCCGAGAACTGGGCCATCATGAGGCCCATGCCACCCACGTCACCCCGCTGCGGCGATCCGAACCACGCCTCGGCCGGGTAGCTCTGGAACTGCAGCCGCGCGGTGCTGTTGCTGCTGCCCGTCGTCGTCGACGCCCCGTAGCCTTGCAGGGCAATGGCCGACACCGCCATGCGCGAGAGGTTGGCTCCGAGCAGGTGCTCCTTGACGACGGCGTTTTGCACGGGGCCGACGCTGACGTTGCAGCGATAGAACCACGGCTCCTTGGACGAGGCCTCCATGGCCGACACGACGCTCCACGTGTCGCCCGACGGCTGCTCCGGGTCGTACATGAAGAGCGTCTGGTCGGGGCCGTTGAGCGCCGGAAGCGGCCCAAACTCGGTGTTGTTGGCGTCTCCGACGACAATGCTGCGCTGCATTCCGTTGCCGCCGCGGACGATGCGCCAGCTCTGACAAGAGGCCGACGTGGAGACGTAGCGGCTCGTGGCCACCATGCTGTAGTAGGACGAGTTGACGGTCGTGGCCTCGAAGAAGACGTAGCGACACGAGTTGTGCCCGCCGCAGTAGGTGAGGTTGTTGTCGGGGTTGAATATGGCGCCGGGCTGGGGGACCTCGCTCAAGACGCCAAAGCCATACGTGAGAGCGACGAGGCCATAGCTGCATCACCGCGTCTCAGCGCAGATTCTCAGTGGCCAGATGATTTCGGACTGACCTGTTGGCCGTGTAGCGCAGGGCGCTGATGGCCTGGGAAGGGTTGGACGACGAGAGCACCTTGGCCGTCTGGATGGAAGAAAGGTCCGGGACAGAGACCAAGCCAGGCTTTGTGACTGTGACTTTGTCGGCGGGATTAAGATTGTAGGTCAGGCCAAGCGCGGCGAGGGCGACTTGCGAGGCCTGGACCAGAGTGAGGATGAGGGCGTAAAGACGGCGACGAACGGAGACTTACGATATTCACCAGGAGAAAGAAGGCGACAAAAAGTCGCACAATGAGACGGCGAGAGGTACAGCCCAGCAGTATCAAGCGGCTCAGGTTTTCGGATTGCAGAATCAGATCACTCTAAGGGGTCCAAGTCAGCACCAAGTCAAGAAGCCGCGTGTGTCGGCGGTGGACGTGCCTCGCGCGGGGACCATGGGCCGAGGCTGAGGAGCCACCAGCGCACCTCGGCCGTGATGGCCTTTATCGAGCTGGCCGTGTTGAGGCCCAGGCCGATGGACAGGCCGATGATGAGGCCGTTGAACTCGCGCTTCTTGTCGTTTGTGAGGGCCGTCTTGGAGGAGAAGCTCCAGAGGAGGGCGTAGATGGAGCAGGCGAGGGCGACGGTCATGAGCCAGCGGGCCAGGCTGAAGAGCAGCATGCGCCGGAGCTGGGCGGCGCGGTCGAAGTGCTCGTAGGCGTAGCCGGGCGGCCGGTGAGGTTTGGAGGCGTAGCCAGGGGGCCGGTGAGGCTTGGAGGCGCCGGGGGACTCGGGCGCCGGCGCCGGCCGCGAGTCGGGGCCCATGTCCTCCTTGGCGTGGCCGTCGCCCGCCATCCGGCCGGCCGACGATGGGCAGAAGAGAAATGGGTGAGAGAAATGCGATGCAATGGGCTGCTTGTCCCCGCGCGGCCTCGACCACCTTTTGGAGCGAGAGCGCCGCCGCCTGGTCTCGGGGGGGAGTGAGCGTCGTCAGCGTTCAACGTATCATGCCCAATGCCACTTCGTCCACGAATAAGCAGGCGGCGCCACCGGCCAAAAGAAAATCCCGCGCAGGAGGAGGCACGATGATGCATCGGGCCAACTGCAGATGAGGTGCTTATCGGCTTATTAGGGCAGGTCATCGACCGAGGAGGGGAGTCGGGGGCCCGCCCACCGTTTGCGGTTTTAATAAGCTTACTATGTGCTTAAAATAGAACAAGTGTTGTGCTCTCGTGGGAGCTGCTCGACTGCGGCTATAAGCAGGACGTCTTTTCTTGCATTCAACCCCGTCAGCAAGCCCTAATGCAACGGAGACTGTCAATGCGGGCGCATAGGATGGATGAAGAAATACAGACGCCGGTTTGTATAATCAAGAGCGGGGATAAGACATGTGAATGGTCCGAAGATTGAAAGGATATTTATATTTACATCTCACTTGGATATTATATCATATATGAACCAAGCGCCGCCTCATGTAGCCAGCGCAGGTATACGTGGCGTCGGCATTACATCGCTTCCCTTGGCAGTGAGTGACTGGCTCTTCTGCGAGACAATTCAAGGTTCATCTATATAGTCAGCCAAGTCTACACGAGGCGTGACATGCCTGTTGACGGAATCCCGGACCAAGGTCTGCTGCTCGAAAGCGAAGGCCATCTCTATCAGTGTCTCCTCGCTCCACCTGCGCCCGAGAAAGCTGATGCCAAAGGGGATTCCCGGTCCCTTCTCAACCGCATCCCATCCCGCCTCAGTTTCGAACGGAACAAGGTCCGAAGCCGCACCCAGGGGGACGGTGACAATGGGCGTCCCGACGAGGGCGGGGATGGAATACGCCACCGCCGATGGCAGGATGACAGCGTCCAGGCCGTGCCGCTCCAGGGCACCGATGATGCCACCTTCCCCGCCGAGAAAGAGGTTCTCCTGGTAGATGGCGTCGAAGAGCGGGCAAGTGTTGCTCATCTTGGCCTCGATGGCCGTGTCCCAGTTGGCCGTGTTGCGGCGCGGAAACTCCTCTTTGGGGTGGCTGCGGGTGAAGGCGCAAAGGTCATGGATGTTGTGAATATTGTGTGGGTTCTTCTCCAGCCTGCTTAGGTATTGCGATATGTTGGTCGCAAAGTCTGCTCGGGTGACTGGATTATGCTTGAGCTTCTTCCACCGGCTATACGCTGTAAAGTCGGCGTTATCGACAATCGTTGCCCCTACCTTGGCCATGATGGACACGGCGTTTTCAAACGTCTCTAGCACGTGCCAAACCTCGTGGTGCGATTCTTCCAAGACATTGCGAGCGATGCCGATGCGCTTCCCTCGGAGGCCGGATGCCCTGCAAGCCGCCGGATAGTCGGGAGGTGGCCCCTTGAATGGCGATGCCAAAGTATAGCTGTCCCGGGGGTCCGCTCCGGCAATGACTTGCAACAACTTGGCGGCATCCTTGACGGTCCGAGTCATCGGGCCAACAGAGTCCTGATGCTCGCTGACTGGAACGACCAAGTATCGGGACGTCAGTCCCACGGTTGGCTTGATGCCGACAACATTGTTTCTCTCGCACGGGCTCACGATGCTTCCCGACGTCTAGATAAAGGGTCAACAAATCTCCATCAGGCCTAGATGAGAGTAGGAGAGGCATCGAGTCAGGAGGAAAAGCCGGCTCACCTCGGTCCCGAGTGTCGCCCAAGCGAGGCCGAGATCCGCCGCCACCGCGCCTCCGCCGGAGCTCCCCCCCGGACACTGCTTGGGACAGTAGGCACCGTATGTATGACCCAAGACGGCGTTCCAAGCATGAGACGAATTGTCGGAGCGAAACATGGACCACTCCGTCAGGCTTGCCTTGCCCAGGATGACCAGGCCGTGTTCTCGGAGCTTGCGGGCGACGGTCGAGTCGGCCGGGACGACGGAATCGTGCAGTGCGTAAGAGCCAGCTATCGACAGATACCCATGAGGAAACACATTTCCTAGACCAGAGTGGGCGGGCGACTTACCGTTGGTCTGCATCCGATCTCGCGTGCCCATGTTTCCCTTGACCAGAACCGGAAGACCATGTAAAGGCCTAAATCGATGACGACAAGAGTGAGCTTTCGGTTCGCCAACTCGTATGCTCCAGCGGCCTTACCCTCGCAGTTGACCTCGCGCCCTCTCCGAATCAAGTTCTGCAGCGATAGACTTGGCATCCGGGTTCAACTCCATGACGGCACGAAGAGCTCCATTCACTTCTCGCGTCCTACCAATGTAGGCCTGTGTGGACAAGTCCCTCAGCCGAGCATTCGGCGGAACCGACTTGGGTCACGGGGACCACTGTGAGGGCAGCTGACGTTGACGAGGTCGACGCTGGTATAGCGTCCTTGGCCGAGACCAGACACAAGCTCTTCCGAAGTGGCACTGATCAAGGACGGGATTCGGCAAGGGACGGACCCGCTGGCATGCGAAGAAGAGCCCATTGTTTCACGCACAGGTGGATGTCGTAAGGACTTGGGCCTGAGAAGCTCTGCATAGGGTTTTGCTGTATGATTATGAGCTGGGCAGGTGGAAACGTATCAAGTGCGTGTCAGGGCTCGGAGCAGAGGCATCGGCTTTGGAGTGAGCGACCAACATAAAGACGAGGCATCACCACGCTACTATCTATCATCCACCAAAGAGTCCTCGTGTTATGCGTTGTCCCTTCCTGCAAGCCATCACGCAGCCCGGGTTACACACAGCCCGTGTGCGCTTGGCTACGAAGCCTCCCTCCACCAGGCTTTTCCTCAACCACTCTCCATCTTCATCTTCTGTTCACGGTCCACGGACTGACGCATGTAAGCAGAAGAGGGAGAACAAGGCACAATGTCCGCTCTGTCCGACTACTCCGTCCCCAGGGAGGCCGAGGCCGTTTTCCGTCGACAGATTCTGCGAAACCCCCTGATGCAAGACCTGCCTGGAGAGCTGCATGAGCTGGGCCGGTTGGTCCGCTTTCGGGGGAATGCGCTGCCCGGGATCCCAGTAAACTGGCGGTGGGCCGAGAGCATCTCTGCGCTCAAGGCATTCGAGGCTACGATGCTGAACCATCTGCTGAGCTGCAAGTACGGCGTGTCTCCGGTCGAGGTGACCATCAATACGTGCGTTGCCCTGCCCTTGTTCCTGTTTTCTGCACGTATAGGGAGGTTCAATGGCACGATATATGATATATCTACCAAGACAAGTTGACTTTGTTCACCAATATAGCGATCATGCGTCCCTATTTGTTCTGTCGCCGGCGCTCGCACGCATCGTCGACGAAACGGGGCCGGCTTCCTCCACAGGCGGCATCAGCCCAGACACGCTCAAGCCCTTTCGGAGCGAAGAAGAGCGCCACTCGGCCGAGAGTCTTCATCGTATCATGGCCACCAACATTTACAAGACTCGCGATGGCCGCTTCTACCACGTACACGGTCAGTCATGTCGACTTGCAGATGCTCGCAACTCCGGACATCTGACATTGTTCTGGGGCTCATGTGTCAATCAAATGGATAGGAAGCCTCAACCCAGACACGACGCTCGCTGCTCTTGGCCTGCCGCCGGAGGGTGGGCCCGACGACACGCTCGAAGACGTGGTGGAGAGATTCCAAAGCCGCGTCTCCCAGCTCGACGCCGCGGCGCTCGACGAGCTCATCAACGAGCAGCACCGCCAGGCCGGGACCATTGCATGGAGCGCCGACGAGTACTGTGCCAGCGAGCACGGCAAGGCAAACGCCGACGTCGGGCTGTACGAGCTTGTCCCGGACCCTGATTCCCACCAGCCGGCGGCGTGGTGGCCAGACCACAGCAGCCTGCCCTCGAGCCCGCAGCGGCCCCTGGCCGGCCTCAAGGTCGTGGACCTGACGCGCGTCATAGCCGGGCCGACCATCACCAGGAGCCTGGCCGAGCTGGGCGCAAGCGTCATGCGCGTCACGTCGCCGCACCTCCCGGACTTCACCTCTGCCCACCGCGACCTCAACTGGGGCAAGTGGAACTGCTCGCTGCACCTGAGGGACGAGGCCGACCGGCTGCGGCTGCGCCAGCTCATCGCCGAGGCCGACGTCGTCGTCGACGGGTACCGTCCCGGTGCGCTGGAGCGGCTGGGCTTTGGCAGGCGGGCCGTTTTTGATCTCGTCAGGGGTCGGCATCGGGGTATTGTTCACCTCGGCGAGAACTGCTATGGTTGGCATGGTCCTTGGGCCCACCGGAGCGGGTGGCAAGGCATCAGCGACGCGGTAAGGCCGGTCCATGTATACGCACCGTCCGTTGGTTCGTGATACGATGAGACTGATGGACCGGGCAGGCCTGTGGAGTGTCTTTGGCGTACGGCCGGGCCATGGGAGTTGATGAGGCCGTGACGCCTCCGTTTCCAAATTCCGACCACTGGTACGTCGAATCAGCTCATTCATTATACGTAGTTTGAATTCTCATCGTCTTCTAGCACCGGAGTCATTGGATGCACAGCCATCTTGCATGCCCTTGTCCAGCGGGCCGAAAAAGGGGGCAGTTACGGCGTCAATGTAAGCAAGCCTGTCTCCTCGCAACCCCCGTCTCGCCGTTCTCCGACCAATCTCTCACCCGCAAACGCCAACCAAGGTCTCTCTCAACTACTACTCGCAATGGCTCGTCCACTCCTGCGGCACCTACGACGACAACGTCTGGGCCCATCTCTGGAGGCGCCACGGCTCGCCCGCCTTCCGGCACTACCATAACACGCGCCGCACCGGACCCGCGCTGCTCCAACTGCTCCACCAGCACGATGGTCAACAAGACGGCCTCTTCAACCCGGCCTTCTTTGGGCGGTATCGGTCCGAGGCCGTTGGCGTTACCGTCGATAGGCTTAGGCCCCTCGCCCAATTTAGGGACCAGCTGGTCCAGCTGAGGTACAACGTGGGAACCAGGGGGAACGGTGTCGACGAGCCCGTGTGGCCTGATGACCTGACCGTCGAGATTGTGATTTGATGAAGAGTTGTTTGGCATACTTGGGCATGGACTGAATGTAGTCATGGACGGTAAACTTTCAAACCAAGACTCGAGAGGGCCAAATAATAGTCGACATAACTAACTGCCTGCAACTGGACCTCCTCTGCACATGCCAAGTAGCTTCAACATCGAGCTCATCCAGCCACCCCTCACCACTAATGAAAGAGCGACTGAAATTCCCTCTGCGACTGGGGCTGTTGATCAAACGGCGTCCAGTTCTTCTTGGTCTGGATCGGGACCCAGTCGCCCACCCTGACGTTTCGCTTGGCCTCGAGCTCTTCCCGCTCCTTCTTGTCGAGGAGTCCAAGGCGACGCAGGAGCGGGCTGTCCACCGTCTGCAGGCGCGCGTCGTCGTTGGGGCGGAGGAAGTAGATGAGCCCGAAACGCTCCATGTGGGCCTGTTCCGGCGGCGGCGACACGACGCGGTGCATGCAGCTCGCGAGGTAGCCGTTGGTCCAGAAGTGGAGCATGTCGGCCGTGTTGACGACGATGCTCCCGGGAATGTGCCTCACGGCCTTCCAGCTCCCGTCGCGCTCCTGGAGCTCGAGCCCGGCGATGGGCTGCGAGAATAGAAAGGTGACGCTGCCAAAGTCGGTGTGGCCCCGCGTGTAAATGTGCTTGTACTTGTCGTTCTCCTCGGGCGTTCGCGGGTAGTACTTCATGTAGCGCAGGAAGGAGGAGCAGCTGCTTTCATACCGGTGGTGGTTGACCATGAAGTCCTCGGGAAGTTCCAAGACAGTGGCGATGAGGCGGAGCACCTTGTAGGCCACATCTTGGTGGACGAAGCGGTGGAACTTTTCAATCTCGGCATAATGATCCTTGACAATGTCGGGGTGTTCCTTCTGGTACTCTGGGTTGAACTTGAAGACGTGGTAGCATTCCCAGTTGTCTCGCAGTCCAGGGAACTGCTCGATCGACCCGAGCGGGCGATATCCGTTGTAGTCTCCGTCCTCCAGCTTGGCACGGAACTTCATCTTCTCTTCCATGGGAAGTTGGAGAATCTCTTTGCCCAGGAGCCACTGGCGCTGGAGGTCATCCTGGCTCAGGCCAAAGTTGACAATGTAGAAGAATCCTTTTGGACGTGTGTTAGCAACACAGTACCAATGGACTACATGAGACCCCTTGGACAGGGCGATGAGGACAAGGAAGAGCAACAGTCAGATAGGTGGGCATACCGTTTAGCTCAACAGCCTCTTGCAACTGTGCTGCGAGCTTCTCCTTTCCTCCGGGCTGGTCGAAGGTGCTAAAATCGAGCACGGGTATATCGGCATAGTCCACTGGAGCAGCGTTTATCAGAAGAAGTTCACCGTAGAATGAGCTTTGCTGTCTCGTGGCTCTTCACGGAACTCACGTTTGTGCTTGGTCTCGAGCGCAGGGGCTTGCGTCGGCGGCGAAGCTAGCTCGACCTGTGTAGTAGCCATATTGTGGAGAGGATGCAGAGACGAAAGGCCCAAAGAGATGAAAGGCAGCAGGGGAGACTAGGTAGGCGAAGCTGCAACTGCCAAATATTAACCAAAGACGGTCCGGATGACACGAGGGTTCGATGACGGAGCCCAGCCCGCCTTTGCTACGCCCGCTGTCAGAAATCAAGAAGCGGGAGGTGATGGGTGGTGATGACCTGACCTATCAAGGCAAGATACCACCACTCGCACGGCACGGCTCCCCCAGATAGGTAACAGAGAGAGGGCGGCAACGACCGGGGCGTCCAATACAGAAGACCACTTGCACACTGCCAAGACTGCTCGAATTTTCCGAGTTGTTACAGTATCTCGCGTCTCCATAACTCCCTCCGTGGCTGGCTATTGGCTATCCGGGCCTTTAGTTCCCGCGGGATGGTTGTCGCGAAGTCTCGGCTCAATACGGGACAAGCTTGATTCGCCAGCCAACATGTCCCGCCTCGCCCGTGATTCTACAGTGCGTCCAGGTCCAATGCAGACATGCAACACGGGAATCCATACTGGGTGCATGCTCGATCCTCTTCGGCTCAGGACTCCGTTGTCTATCTGACAGCCTGACCGCGCGTCGGCAGGGCTTTCCTTGCGGGCCCCTTGCGGAAACGCAGCATGTCGAGCCTTGGTCTGTCGATCGGGATGCAGGGTTAAGTGGAGGAGAATAAGTTGAAGTGGGCGCCGTCGCTGACCCTCGCGTCCAAGCTGGCCAGCATCCAACGACGAGTGTTGCCTGTAATTTCCTTTGAATTTGAGGCCAGGCCGTTCATCTCCAAGTCGCAATAATGCCGATCATGGTTGCCGAGACCCACGGGGCAGGAGGCGACGCTCCCGGCTTCACCTCCATACCTGTGCTTGACCTCTCCCTCATCCACTCGCCTAGTAAGAAGCCCATCTTCCTGGCTAATCTCCGAGAGGCGCTCGTGGTTGTCGGCTTCTTCTACCTCAAGGGCACGACGCGGTGGGTTCCCGCCGAGGTGCAGGAGGATTTCGTACAAAAGGCAACCACCCTGTGCAATGCGCCCCTTGAGACGAAGCTGGAGATGGACATGATGAACAGCAAGCATTTCCTGGGATACTCACGAATGGGGTGTGAGAGGACGGCCAGGAGAGTAGACCATCGCGAAATGTTTGATGTAAGTTGATAGAGTCGGCTGACCGCACATACGCAACGTCCGTTTTGACTCAGTGGCTAGTTTCTCACTCCACAGCGCGCCCCAGGGCCCGATGAGCCCATCTGGCACAACGTCCAGGGCCCGAACCAGGTATGTCTGTGGCCGAAGGGGTTGACTGAGCAAACGCTGACGCCCTCCCTCACCGCAGTGGCCGGATGAAAGGGCAGTGCCTGGCTTCCGCCGGGCGATTGAGGCGTATCTCTCTGCCACTTCCAAGCTGGGACAAGTCATGACCAGCTTGGTGGCCGAGGCACTGGACCTGGAGCCGGCGGCGATGGCCAAGTTCTTTGGCAACCCGCCGCGCAACAAACTCTCGCTGCTCAAGTACCCAGTTCCGCCGTCGCCACCGTCTGCCAATGGACACGGAGAAAGGAGCGGCAATGGGCACTCCGATGCGCTCGACGGCCTCTCGCAGGGCGTTGGGCCGCACAAGGACGGCGGGTTCCTCACATACCTCCTGCAGGCGACGCCACACGCTGGGCTCGAAGCGCAGAACAAGGCCGGGGCTTGGGTCCCGGTGCCGCCTCTGCCCGAGACCCTGGTGGTCAACGTCGGGCGCTCGCTCGAGTCCATGACGGGCGGCGTCTGCACCGCGACGACCCATCGCGTGAGTCTACGGTCGGGGCACTTTTTCGACGCCGGGGGCCGCTCGCTGGGGCCACGCTTTTCCTTTCCCACTTTCCAGACACTCAAACCAGACCTGAGCAACAAGGAGCTGCTGTCGCTGAAGATGCCGGCGCACATTGCCGACCTGGTCAAGGATGAGCAGGTCAAGTCGGATGCCGAGGCCTATTTTGCAAAATACCACCTCGAGAGCCCCGGGCTGGGCATCTTTACTGCACGCCTCACCAGCCACCCTGAAGTTGGGCGGAGGTGGTATCCGGAGCTCGCGGCACGAGCCCTGCAGGGGCAGAAGGCGTCCACCGGCTAGGCGGCGGCTGTAATATCAACAGAATCTATATGTAAGCGGCGCATAGCATGACCGAAGAAAGCATCGTGGTAGATCAGACAAAGCCGTCATTGCGGGGGCATGGTCGCCACTGCGTCCCGTGAAATCCAAGTAGCGTATGGAGTGTCTTGGGCCAAGCATAACGGCGGAATCATGAGGGCGAACGGTTCCCGCCTCGCTGCACGTATGCATACATAGACGCACGTCCTCGTGTCGTTCGTCAGGCCGTGACGGTTGGGACCAAGGCATGTCAGTGGATTCGCTCCCCTCGAGTCGCTTCGAGGGCCTGGATAAATAGATGTAGCTTCCTTCCTGTCGCTTGACGTTGCCCAGTACAAGGAACAGACTCGTGGCCATCGGCCTGGAGGAGTAGAATTTCGACTTTTTTTCCAAGCAAATCGGTCGAGGCAATGTGCGGCATCAGCGTGATTGTAGCCCTCGAGGGTCACGACGGCGCCCAAAGGGAAAAGGTGGTGAATAGTGATGTGAGGTCCAAGATTGTCAGGGAGCTGGACGAGAGCCTCGAGATGATTGCCCATCGAGGGCCCGACTCTCGAGGCCAATGGATCAGCGAGGACGGTCGCGTCGGTAACTGCCTCTTCTTCCCCGTTGCTGCTCTGGCTTTCAGCGGGACTCGGCTCACGCGGTGTCTGGTCGCGCAGCCCTTGGCCATTGCCGTCTCGCCATCAACGACCTGACGCCCGACGGGCACCAGCCCATGCACGACGTCGAGGACGGTATCCACGCCGTGGTCAACGGCGAGATATACGACTACGACCGCATCCAGCACGGCCTCTGTCGGCAGTTTGGACACGAGTTCCAGGGCCACAGCGACTCAGAGCTCGTCATCGCCCTGTACAAGTACCACGGCACCTCGTTCCTCGAGCAGCTCCGCGGCGAGTTTGCCCTGTGCCTGTACGACGCGAGGACGCAGCTGTTCGTGGCGGCGCGCGACCGGTACGGCATCAAGCCCCTGTTCTGGACCATTGTCGAGGGCCGCCTCTTGATGGCTGCCGAAGCCAAGGCATTCCTGCCGCTAGGCTGGAGGCCGCAGTGGGATGTGCGGGCCCTCGTCGACGACAGCTGGCAGCTGGGGAGCCGCACCCTATTCCGAGGCGTGCAAAAGGTGAGCGAGGGGGCGGGCGCCCGCCCTTTTGACCGAGAGTCTGACGGACGGTTCGCGGCCAGGTCCAGCCAGGCCAATACCTCGTGTGCAGCGCGTTTGGGCCTGTTGAAACGCGTGAGTACTGGGACATGGAGTATCCCGACAAGGCATGTGCAAGCCTCCGCGCCTCTCTCCGCCACCATAGTCTGCGTGACTGACTCCCGGAACGCGCAGCACCGAGTAGACGGGCGCAGCGAGGAGGCCATGGTAGCCGGGGTGCGTGAGAGGCTAGTGGAGGCGATCCGGCTGCGTCTGCGGGCCGACGTGCCCGTGGGCATCTACCTGTCCGGCGGCATCGACTCGTCGGCGCTGGCGGGCATCGTGGCCCACCTGGTGCGGGAGCGGGGAGAGAAGATGGGTAGCAAGGAGGCGAGAGAGGGCATCGCGTGCTTCAGCATTGGCTTCGACAAGGCCAGCGGGCTCGACGAGTCTGGTACGTGGCCGACAGGCATCGCATCCGCCCCCCATGCAGTGACTGACGGACGACGAGCCAGACATTGCCGAGCGCACGGCGGCGTGGTTGGGCGTGGAGCATCACCAGCTGCTGGTGGGTGAGGAGGAGCTGGCGGGCGACCTGGAGGAGGCGACGTGGCACTGCGAGCACCACAACATGAACCTCAACTTTGTCGGCAAATTTGCCCTTTCGCGGCTGCCGCGGCGGCTGGGGTACCCGGTGGTGCTCACGGGCGAGGGCTCCGACGAGCAGTTTGCGGGCTATCCCATGTTTGTGCCCGACTTTCTGGCCGAGAGCGACGCCGCGATGCCGGGGCTGGCCATGGGCGACGAGGAGCGCGGGCGGCTGCACAGGGACGAGACGGCCCGGTTGGCGGCTACGCTGCGCGGCAGGGGCGCTACAGTCCACAGCCACAGCGGCGGCACGGACCAGGCGGCGGCGCGCGAGCTCGGCGGGCTGGCGACGGCGACGATGGCGCTGGCCGGGGGCCTGTACCAGCCGCCCGCCGAGGTTTGGGCGCGGGGCGTGGCGCAGCCCAGGCCGCTGCCGGCGCTGGCCGTCGGGCTGTCGTGCCGCGCCAAGCAGCGCATGCGGCAGGCCTGGCACCCGCTGCACTCGGGTCTCTACGCCTGGACAAAGTGCCACCTGGCCAACAGCATCCTCAGCTGCCTCGGCGACCGCACCGAGATGGCGCACTCGGTCGAGGCGCGCACGCCCTTTCTCGACCATGGGCTGACCGAGTACGCCAACGGCCTCCCGCCCAGCGTCAAGCTGCGATACGACGGCGCCGGCTTCGTCGACAAGTGGATCCTGCGCGAGGCGGTCCGCCCCTTTGTCACGGCCGAGGTCTATGCCCGCCGCAAGCACGCCTACACAGCCCCCGTCGTCTACCCTGTCCACGGCCCGCTGCATCGCCTGTACCTGCGCCTGCTGACGAAGGACGGCGTCGACGCCCTCGGCTTCCTCGACTGGCACGCCGTGCGCGCGTTCCCCCAGCGGGCCTTTGTGGACGGCGACCTGGCGGCCATGCGCAGCCTCAACTTGTGCTGCCAGTGGATCATCCTGGGCAAGCGCTTTGGCATCGCGAGGGCCGACGTGGCAACCTCGGGGGACTCCCGATAGCTGCGGGCTTGGGGGGCAATATACTCGCTCAGCCAATGTTAATCCCGAGTTTTGTACCTGCTGCCGTGGTCCTGCATTGATAACAGACAAGAGTAGAGAGACGCCCCTGGGTGCAGGGTAGGTGGTCGGTAGATGTAGTACAAACGTTCGAGACATATTCTTCGCCCATCATCGATTTCCATCCCGCTTCGACATCCGGGTTACACCAAATGTACCGCGAGAATGCCGCCATACTCGAGCTGCACACCAGGTCACCCACCGGACAAAGTACATGCTTGCAAATGGAGTTACTCTCTTCCTTCTGTTCGTCGACCTCGAGTTCCCATCCCTCAGTACCACCCCTCCTCGCCATCATCTCCCGTCGTCAACGCTTCCGAGCCATTCTAAAGCGGCCGCCATCTCTCTCTGTCTGGCACCAGCTGACCGTGCATCAGGTGAAGCAGCCCCCCTACTTCTACCTGCAGACGGGCGACACGTGTCTTGCTTCTCCCTTCCAAAGACGCAGAGCCTGGGCGCCCCGAGCCGCGACAAGACGCAAGACTCGTCTTTCAAACCAGCGGCCATCGAAAAAGACGCTCGTCGTGAATCGCGGCAGCCGGCACCATGAAGCCCTCGTCGGTCCTTGGGAAGATCGACCTCTACTTGCTGCCGCTCTTACTGCTGGCCTCGTTTCTCGCCCACCTAGACAAGGTTCGCGCTCATTCTCGTGCAACCGACTCCGCAGAGAGAGAGGGGATCTGAACAAGTCATGGTTCTGCCGTAGAACTCACTGGCATACGCCGCCGTCCTGGGCATGGGCAACGACCTCCATCTCCACGGCCAGCAGTACTCCTGGCTCGGTTCCATCTTCTACATTGGCTACCTGCTGATGGAGCTCCCTACCTCGTGGCTGCTGACCCACCTGCCCATTGGCAAGTATCTCGGCTCTTCCTTGATCCTATGGGGGGGCTGCCTCTGCACCATGGCCGCCTGCACCAGCTTCGCCGCCGCCGCCACCGTGCGTTTCTGTCTGGGCGTTCTCGAGGCCGGGCTGTTGCCCTCGTGCATCGTCATCACCGCCTGCTGGTACCGGCGCGAGGAGCAGCCTCTTCGCGCTGCCCTGTGGTTCGGCCCCTTCTCAGGTGTATGTGGACCCATCAGGATGCGCTCGTAGAGCACGGTTATCCGCTCACGTTGTCGGTGGCTAGATCTTTGGGGGCATTCTTGCCTACGCGATCGGCGGGATGCGCACAGGAATCCCAGTATGGAAAGTATGCACCGGCAGACGAGGAAAGAAAGGTGTATGGATCTGGACAAGAAGAGGTTCAGGGCGCTGACGCGGCAAGTACGACCAGGCTTTGTTCTTGATCTACGGCGGAAGCACCATCTTCGTCGGCATCGTCTGTCTAGTGGCCATCCCGGACAGCCACGGCACTGCCTGGTTCCTCTCCAAAACGGAGCGCGAAGAGGCCAAACTCAGAACCCAAGAAAACCAAACCGGCGAGGATATGCGCAAGGTAATCGCTCCGCCGTTCGATCCTGCCACCGCGTCTCGCGCCCGACTCGAGACTGACTACAATCGTCTCGTCAGGGATGGAAGCTGAGCCATGTGGTCGAGGCCACAAAAGATGCCAAGTATTGGACCGTCTTTGTGTTTGGCGTTTGCCAGTCCATTACGAATGCCGGCATTACCAACGTGAGATCATCCCAGCCCAACTTCGACCGCAAACCGACGGGCTCGTGACAGGAGACAATCGCTGATACGGCTCCTTTGCAGTTCAACCCCCTGATTTTGTCTGGTTTTGGCTACTCCAAGACAACAACCGTGCTGCTGGCAGCTCCTCAGGGATTTGTCGCCCTCGTCGCCCAGGTCGCGGCGTCGATAGTGGCCCTCTATATTCCCAACATCCGATGCCTCCTCTGGGTGCTTTCCTGCTTCCCCGCCCTCGCCGGGGTCGTCATAGTGCAACGTATGCCACATACCCGCTCCTATGTTTGTTTAACTGACCATGGCTGACCAGGAGTGAAAAAGTCGTCGACGTGACCAAGAACCGCATTGCTGCTCTCATGGGGTTGTACTTGACCGGATTCTACAACGTCTCGTGGGTCCTGGCCATGAGTCTTATCTCTTCCAACACGGCGGGGGCCACAAAGAAGAGCTTCGTATCCGTCTCCATGGCCATTTCTTACGGTATTTCGAGTCCCTCATTCTTCGACGCCAGGTGGCCCGAGCAGTGGTGATTAACATGAGATGAAAGCGGTGGGAAACATGGTCGGCCCACAGTTTTTCCTCGAGAGCCAAAAGCCCCAATACCATCTCGGCATCGGCGTCATGATCTTCTCCTTTGTCATGATGGCGGTTTGTGGCATGGTCTATTGGTTAGTACTCGGCCCAGCTCCCTCCCCCGCCGCGACTTGCGATATTCTAAACCCTTCACGGACGACAGGACCATCTGTATCCGCCAAAACGAGGCCAGAGACAGGACGCGTCGCGAATCGAGCCCCTTGATAGACCCCACCAGCTTGGCAGGATTGCACCTCGCGGCCGACGAGAGCCAGGACAAGACGGATTTCGAGATTGCCACATTCCGCTATACGTACTGAGAAGGGCTAATTCTGCGCAGAAGACGGCACGCCGAGGTGTGTGGCTACTGGCCGTGCGAGCTCAGAGGGTCATTGGGCGTCGTTTGCCGCCTTTGAGGTCTGATGATGTTATTAAACTAGGAATATAATAATGCTTACGACAGAGCCCGTCGTTGCCCTGTCCACCACGAAACCTTTAACGCCCAGACGACTCAAAGACGCGGATACACGCATCGAGACAAGAGGCCTGCAACCCCTACCGCCGATCTAGCGACGAGTGCAACTTGTGCTGCTTGATGAGGGAAATACACATCAACGCCAGCGCCGCCCAGCCAAGCATGGTCAGCCAAACGCCCCGAAACGCCGCCATATACGCCTCCATTACCCCCTCATACCACCCCGCGGGCAGATGTCGCATCTCGCTAAGGTTGTCGAGGATGCGGCCTATGATTTCGGGGGCTCTTGGTTCTGAGCCAAACCGCCTCTGTAGGCCCGAGCGGAGATTGCCCTGAAAGACGGCCGACGCCAGAGTAATGCCAGAGGTGCCGCCTAAACTCCGAGCGAGGTCTAAGGTGCAAGGTGACATCAGAATCTTTTCAAGCAGCAACGACAGGGAAAGGGGTGCTTACACATGGTGGACGTGATGACGGCTTGCTCCGACTGATCCGCTGCCGCGACGCAAGCCACTTGAACCACTGTACAAGCGGAATTGTACCCGACTCCGAAGATAAAGACGGCCACGCTCGTCAACCAAAACGGACTGCTCTCCTTCTGCAAGGTGTACAAGACGATACCGGCGATCAGAACCAGTACGCTCATGACGCCCAGGTTGGTGTAGCGGCCAGTCCTCCTCATGATAAAACCTGCCCCGAGAGCCCCAATCGAGATGCCAACAGACGAGGGGAAAATCTTGAGACCGGCTTTGGAAGGCGTATTCCCAAGCACCTGCAGATAGAGTGGAACGTAAAATATGGAGGTCATGGCGAGCATGGAGGATAAGAGGCTGGTCAGGCACGCCGCCAGCACGGTCCGATCGAGCAGCAACTTGACGGGGATGATGGGCTGGCTTGCTTTATTTTCCCAAAAAATGAAGGCGATAAACATGGCGGCCGAAAGCGAGACGCACGGCAACGGGCGTATCCAAGGGACCCGGACGCTGCCCGAGTTGAGCCCCAGAACTAGGAGCACGAGGAACGAGAGGATCAAGAAGACGCCAAGGAAGTCGACACGCGCGAGGTACGACTTTTGCGATTGCTTCGGGGGTACTTTGACCATGAGGAGAACGACGAGGGCAGAGAGGAGAGCAGGCGGCGCCTGGATGAAGAAGGCCAGTCGCCAGCCCAGGCCGGTATAGTCGTTGAGAAAGCCGCCGAGAAGGGTCCCCGTCATGGCGCCAAGGCTATACCACAGGTTTGAAATGCCGCTGACGAGCCCTCGGTTGCGCAGCGGGACTAGGTCGGACCCGAGAAAGGTCGGGATGCTCATTAAGCCGCCGCCGCCGATGCCTGCGACGACTCGGCCGAGGATGATGGTATACCGGCTCGTGGACAGACCGCAGATGAGGTTACCGACGGCGAAGAAGAGATTGCTAAAGACCAAGCCCGGTCCGCGGCCGAAGATGTCGGTCAGACGGCCCGATATCGGCTGGGAAGCGGCAGTGGACATGAGATAGGCGGTGGCCAGCCACGAAAGCAGGCTTAGCGAGTGGAACTCGCTCGAGATGGGCGCCGAGAGGGTGGCAATGATGGTTGAGTCGAGGGCGCTGAGGAAGACGCCCACCCAGGCCGCGCTCATGATGAGCGCCAGCCGGGCAAAGGACATGTCCTCGACGATGACGGTTGTCTCCTCCCATTTTGGCGGGTTGTCGTCGGCGGCGCCTCGGTTCTCGGATTGGTGTGACGACAGCAGCAGCGGCGTTCTCTCAGTGCTGATGCAGCGCTCGGCCTCGGCATCGGCGCGCAGGCCGTCGTCTGCCTCCGCAGTCGGCATCGTGTCTTCGGTCGCCGGGCTAGGCTTCCTGCTGGGGGGGCAGGCTTCCACGGAGGGCAGGTGATGGACGGTGATGTGTGGATGAGGACAATGGCCAACGGACGGACAATGGAAGCCAGTCGAGCAGCTACAGAGGGGATGAGAACAAGGCAGAAACCGGCTGGCGCAGGGGCCGAGATGCGGCGGGTATATGGGCTATTCAAATCGGCCGGGGCGTAGGCCAGGGATGGGGATGCGTCTCGGGGATTGATGATGTCGGCTTGGTGATCTGGGGCCCCCCTGCTCCTTCAGCTCGGAAGCCAAGGCCACTCAACCGATGGGGATCCTTGTGGGGTGTACAGAGTACACAGAATGACGTTGATGGCGATGCTTTGCCTGAACAGCATCTCCTGTACCGCGTCTGCTGTCACTGAAGGACTCGCTTTTCTTTCTTCTTCGCGCCACGACCCCATGCATCCTGCCTGGCCAACTGTTGGGCGATGTTTTCTTTTTCCTTGCTGCTACGAGATGGGTCCGGCAGAGGGATCCGTCCCAATGATGGGCGAGTTGTGGGCAGGGAGGACGGAGTTTAACGACTGCTTGTCTGGGTCGACGACAGGGTGCTGCAAATCCAACCCGGGGATGCCAGACAGGAAGCTCCAGATCGGCAGGGGATGACTGAAGAGGGAGAGGGCTTCGGAGGACGAGCACATGAGCGGCCCATGGCATGATGCGGTAATCAAATCTTGCACCGAACACCAACTGTACATGCACGAACACCCATCTCTATCGCCGAGGACAGTGGCATGGTTGCACAGACTCAACCACTTTTCCACTCGGTGTCACACACGTCCGACGTTGCACCTGGGCGGGATGCGCTCCTACAGGCCATGGCCACTTGCCCTGTCCTCTCGTTGGAAACAACAGCCAGCTTGGTATTGGCTACGCGCCCTTGGAACTCGTTCGCGGCTTGCCTTGTCATTGGCGCCGCAAGTCGGCGTTGGACGCCCTCGCGGACCGCTTATGGACAAAAAGGAAGTCAGTCTATCGAGGTTTATATTCCCCCGAGACACGGCCTTCCTGCGCCCCTCCCTTCCCCGGTCGCAACGGGCAGAGCAATGGACCACCTCGCCGGCGGCGATGCTCAAGTTGCTACGTAGTCCTCACTGTACGCATGCGAATACCCGGTGAAGCACGACGAGGCCTGTAAGTCAGGTACGTACCGTCCTGGTAATTAATTACTCGTCTGCCCATTGAGGCCCGATGCATCGTCGGCGTCGATCCGGTACCGCTCGCCGTGTCTCACAGCCGGGGCATGCAGGGTTTTGGCGAGCGGGCGTCGGGCATGCGCAGCCCTCGGGAGATCCGCCCTGGTGTCGAGCATTTTGATTTGTCAATCCGTCGCTTTGGTCTGCTGTGACACTGACGACTGTTGGCCGGAGAGCCGGTGGTCAAGAGCACTAGTGCTTGGTTCTGAGCACGGACAAAGACCCTGGATCGTGCTCAGACGGCCTGTGGCTCTTCGGAAGAATCTCAACGATATCGTTGCTTGAAGTATTTGTATGTCCATGTCGCCATAAAAAGGGAGACTATTAAAACACCTGCCAACATAAAACGCACAAGCAAAAAGTACACAAACTGATTATTAAACAAGTCTGCCACCGGCATGGATACAGCGTCATGTTCTCCTCAACGTGTACTCCCCGAGACGCGGGGACGTGATTTGATGGCGACGCCCGCCACAGAAATCGCCACGTTCCGACTTCATTGCCAGCCGTCGTCCTGGAAATCGACCCGTCTGAATACGTACTTGGTGTAAGTTATGAAGGCATGTACGAGACTAGATAGCCCTCACTCGCCGTCTAGAGGGTCGTTGTCGGGGGAAAGCAGCGGCGTACGAGTCGCATGCCATGTAATTGCAGTACATGTTCATACCGGCAAGAACCTTGATTATCAAATCGCTCGCTTTTCGTACTAGGGGCTCTTAACGCGACCTCTTCTAGCACCAGGCATGAGACGGACATGCGCCTATAGGAAGAGGCTATGGCGCCCGAAGCGGCAGGTTCTAGCAGACTAGCTCGCGCGGGCACCAGCCAAGCAAGTCTTTAGGCCCGGGACTAGCATCACTAGTGTTTCTGCCTAATTTAGTGCATATATTCGATTGGGACGCTTCGTTAATTACTTGGCCACGTCACGTACACGAAGGAAGACTGGGGCATATTGATTACCGCGGGAAATACGCCGTATATTCCACGAGTGCGGGACGCCACAGCGTAATAAAAGTGACTCCGAGGGCATGTGAGAATGCCGACAAGTCCATCGTCTCAAAGGAGGACGGCGACTCGGTGGTCCTCGGGAGACACGTAGGCGATGGTGAGATGAAGCAAGTACCCAGTAACCATGCACTACACGCCCTCCCCCAGCCACCGGGCAAGAGTCTCATGTCCAGCGACGCTACATATCCAAGGCCAGGCCTCGCCGCTTCTCGTGGGAGCGGTCTTGATGCTGACGCTTCAGCGCCGTCTCTCTGCCTGGTGTTTGTGGTTGCCGGGAAAGCCTGCTTTGGCGGGCAAGTTTATCAGTGCAGGCTTGAATGAAAATGCTGCCTGCTCTTGTCGATGCTTGGTGGGTGCCCTCGTCTGCTTCCGTCACTAGCAGGCGCACCCTCCGGTGTTGAGCCCGCTGGTAGTTCCTAGACATTGGTCTGTGACACGCGCTGGTCGGGCTCGGGTGACAGCTATCAAGCCCGACGGCAGAACTACAGTTACGTGGGAGGAACAATTATGGCCCATGCGCCCTAAAAAGAGAGCGAGGGCGACGCGCAGGGCAGCTTGTAACTATCGGGTACGTATCCATCCGTACTTAAAGCTTAAAACTGCATGGGCTAATAATTAGAGTATTACTATGAATATTTACTATTTGCCCCGTAGTAAATCTCTATTTAGCTTAGATTTTCTAGAAATCCTTTTTTAATTAAGCGATATATATCTTAGTTATCTTCTAAATATCCTAAGTATCTTAAAGTCTTGTCTTATACGTTACGCTTACCTCGCGCAGGGGATAAACCCCTATAGTAAGGCCCCTCCTTGAAGGGGACCCCTCCCCTACTAGCTTAGGCGCTTAAGTATGCTTTTCTAAAGTTAGAGCTCTCTAGAAAATATCTAAGGATTAGCTATTAAGAGACAGCCAATATAAAGTACTAGGTAGCTAGTAATATCTAGGTACTTTTACTTTAGCGGGTTAGGCCGAATAGATATATACTACGGTGCAAATAGTAATAATACTTAACAATTAATAGGATGCCAATAGAGCTCCTTTTGAGTCCGGCACAACAGCATCAGCTAATCTTTCAGCGCCCGCGGGCCGAAGCAAGGAGTCAAATGTCAATCTAATTTCCTGGGAAGCGAGAGCTTACTTATCCCCGCGAACCTCGTCTTTTCGACACCAAGCGCTTTCCACCCACCCTGCCGTTACTTTCGCCGACGACTCCCTTTTTAGGCGCGTGCGCCACGAAGCCTCCACCCTCGTTGGTCTGCCCACGGTGTGCTCGCCAGCCAGGCGCAAACCTTCGGCCCCCCCCGCGCGCGGCAACAAGTCATGATGCGCCACTCACGACGCGCCACTCACGCGCACAAGACATGAGTGATGGGGGTTTTGGATGAACCCCCCCCCCCCACGAGAACTGTACTGTCGGAGCCGAGTCAACAAAAGTGTCGAGGGAAAAAAAGAGAGACGAGAAGAATCCGAAACAAGATGGAGAGCGACTGGCACATGACGGGCTTTTTTTCCCGTCTGACGGGGCGGGTACCTTGATCCAATCCACTCCCCCCTCCCCCCCTCCGCCAAGCCGAGGCCGTCGTCGTGTTAGTGCCAAAAAAAAAGCCGCTCCTCCTCCTCCTCCTCCTCCTCCTCCTCCTCCTCCTCCTCCATGGCCCGCCTGCCCGATGCCGAAGCAAAACGGACAGCCGCGGCGACGACCTGAAGACGCAAGTCTCCCCTCCCCCTCGTGTCAAGCGACACCACCGCCTTTTACCCGCGCAATGCCGCGCGAATGACTCCCGGCCTCGCCTTCCCCCAGTCTGCCTGGAGTCTCACGATGCCGTCCTCTCGTCGCCCACCCACCCTGCATGCAGACCTATATCCCACTTACGCAATTTACTGACATCGATAAGTCATACACTCTGGAATATAGTTCGCCACCCACCTATAGCCCTGGGCTTCGATAAAAGTGAAATACGTAAGAGGAGACAAAAAGGGATAAAATGGGATTAATTAAATATCTGCCCGTATTAATAATGCCCCCCATGGCTAGTCGAGGCCTCCTCGACTCCCTGGAGCTACCTCCGTCAAAACAGGCCTCGTCCCCGAGCCTTCGCCTGTCTTGCGCTCCGTCTTGCGCTCCGTCTTTTCTTCACCACCCCATCACAGTCGCCTTCTCCCGCAGACGACAAGATGCTGCAGCCGGGCTTCCCCAGGCGCGTCGTCTGGGCCCTCGGCGCCGCCCTCTTCTTCATGCTCGTCGTCGTCCTCCGCCAGGGTCCCTCGGCCGTCGCCGTGAGCTCGCGCCGCTGGGGAAACTCTCCCTCGCTCCTCGACGACATCAACAATGCCACGCTGGGCGTATGTCTCGCCCAACTTGTGCGCCGCTTGCTCATCGGCTAACACGCCCAGTTTGAGAAAATTCTCGTCGTTGGCCTGTCCGAGCGCACCGACCGCCGCGACGGCATGGTCCTCGGCGCCGCCCTTAGCAACCTCGCCGTCGAATTCGTCGACGGCGTCATCGACACCGCCGTCCCTGTAAAGGCCGTCCCCAAGACCGAGTCCGGAGACCACATCAAAGGCGCAAGCCTGGGCTCGTGGCGCGGACATATGAATGCCGTCCAACAGTGGGTTCCTTGCTCCACCCCACACCACCAGGAGTCGGGTCGAGTAGATACGGGGGCTGACGTGCTTAGAATCGTCCGGCAGAATCTGTCGTCGGCCCTGATCATCGAAGACGACACCGACTGGGACATTTCCATCCGACGCCAGCTCCGCGACTTTGCCCTGTCGACCCGAGCCTTGACGCAGCCTCTGCGCGCCAACAGGGCCGTCTATGCCGATCCCACCTACCCTCGCCCCAACGCCGAGTCGCTGTCCGCCGTGCCCGAAATCTCCTTTGACCGTTTGCCGCAGACCATTCCCCCCAACGTCTCCCCGTACGGCGACGATTGGGACGTGCTCTGGGTCGGCCACTGCGGCATGAGCTTCCCCTTTGAGGAGAGCAAGACGATTCCCAAGGGTCGCGTTATCCATCGCGACGACGCCACCGTCCCCGGACGCAGCCACCTCTGGAGTCTCAACTCCCCCTTTACCCTCAAGGACAACTATCCCGAGCACACCACCGCCGTCCACCACGTCCAGGAGGGCATATGCACCCTCGCCTACGCCGTCAGCCAGGCCGGCGCCCGCAAGATGCTTCGCCACATTGCCCTGAGGGAAGCCTCAGACAAGTTCGACTTTCTCCTCCGCTACTTCTGCGAGGGCGACAAGGGCCGGCCGCGACACAACTGCCTGACGTCGCAGCCCGGCTACTTCCAGCACCACCGGCCCATCGGCTTCAACAAGGACTCGAGCGACATTGACAACCACGGCGAAGGCTTCAGGCCCAAGGCCGAGACGGACATGATTCGCTGGAGTGTCAGGCTCAACGCCGATGTCTTACTGGCCGGCGGCACCGACTACATTGATCAGTTTCCCGAACTCTAGTAGACGTCGTCCTAGGTGCTCCCTTCTCCTTTCTCTGCCAGCGTTGGCTCTCGGATAGAACTTGATCATGCGGTGAATGGCGTTTTGGTCGTAGCATGGCGTGCATATGATTTAGATGATGTAATCATGAATAGCGGGCAGCATTCTCTCTTGCGTGTCGCTCTTGTTCCTCTTGTCTCAACCCTGTGATTGCCGTCAGCGGCCTGTACGAGAGCACAACGACGGAGCGCCTACGGTAGAATAGCCAGCTGGGAGACTGTGTCCCGATCTAGCGGCGCGCAGTCGAGGCTGCGCTCGTCCTGATGCTTGCGGGCTAACGCCACCAGGCCAATGCTTGCGTAAAGCTTCCAGTCCTTGGTGCATCACAGCTCCCGCCCGAGCTCATTGCGCCGGCGGCTGGGGATTGTTGCCAACCGTCTTGTACAGCTCGCGCAGCTCAAAGTCGTCGTGGCCGCCTTCGGGGATCTCGCCAATGATCCGGGCAGGCTGGCCAGCGACGAGGGAGAAGCTGGGGATGACCATGAAGGCGGGCACGACGGTGTCGTCGAGAACCTTTACGTAATCCTTGATTATGGCAAACTCGTTGACGGCGCAGCGCGCGCCAATGTGGACGTGGGTGCCGACGGTGGCGGCCTGGACGACGGATCCCTGGCCGACAAAGACGTGGTCGCCGAGGCGCAGGGGCATGTAGGTGAAGACGCCCTTGTAGAGTCTGCCGGGCGGGCGCAGCAGCACGCCCCGCGAGAGGAAGCAGTAGCGGCCAATGGCGACGGCGGTGGTGTTTGCGGGGGCGGTGGAGCCGGTGGCCGAGGCCGAGGACGAGGACGAGGGGGCGGTGCGGACGAGGTCGCCGCGGATCATGCACTCGGGCTGGATGACCGTCTTGCCGCCGAGCATGATGTTTTGGGTGCCGACGAGGATGGCCTTGCGGGCCACCTTGTTGCCCGTGTCCTGGGATCGGTCAGCAGAGGAACATGAGTGGATGTCGGGGTCCTGGGCGCACTCACGGTCTCGATGTAATCTCCCTTTGCCGGGCGACGCGACATGGTGAAGCTTTGAAGAGGGTGTGACGCCGATGAAGCTGGCGGTGAACAAGGCCCATTGGATGGGTGGGCGGGTACGTACCTAGCAGCGGGAAAACTCTTTGCCGTCCGCCTATCGGGAGCAAGCGGCCAACTCTGCCTACCTGGAGCTAATTAACGGCGGTCTGCCGATGAGGCCATCCATTCGCTGCGTGCCTTGCCGACACTTTCTACCCCAGCCGCCTTGCTTCCTGTCAATGGAACTTGTGTCGCCTCCCGAGACGGCGTTGAACCTCGGCGGCGGCTAGGCAGATGGGTCCACAACCAACGCTACAAATGACCTGATCAACGACCGGGGACTGCCGCCTCGAATCTGGGGAAACAAGCCGACGACGACACGGCATCGACCTCGGGAGTCTGTCGCGTGGCCCAGCATGAACCAACAGCCATGTCCGGGACCTCGAGGCGCCCGCCAGAGGAGCCAAGAGGCCCTGAAACGGCCCGTCCCTGCAGCGCGGGCTTGGCCTTATTGCCGCGCCATCTCCTCCCGTGTCGTGTCCTCTGCACTGCGACGACGGGCAGGAGAGCGGGGCCGTCCGCCGACGAAGCAGAGCACACAGGGCGCCGACCGTCCCTTGCTGTCTCGCGGACGTGCCTCTGCCGTACGACGTGAAGAATCGTGCCCTGCAGGTGCTCCGAGGTACGACACATACCGTAGGCGACCTGCATCGACTCTTGCGCCGCGGCACCGCACCAACAAGGGCAGGACAAGCGTGGCTAAAGATAGCAGCACGCCAACTTCATTGCTGTGAGCATCCGTTTTCTGATTTGCTCCCAGCCGCGGTTACGTAGCGCTTCATCGCCCTCCCGACCCCTGCTACGATGGCCTCCCAGAAGCCCTCCTTCTGCCATGATATAGCGAAGTACCACCTATAAGACTCGCCGCCGTCTTCACATTGTATGCAGTTTGAGAAGGCGTCAAGGCAGATCTCCATGGAGCTGTCCTCCCACTTATTTCGACGGCAAGGCCTTTCTCCGGCTACTGCAAGCCAGGCAATGCCTACTTGACCATCCAATCGGACCCAAGCACCTCGTCTACTGTTAACCGTTCCTCGGGCCGACACTTCAGCATGCCTCGCATTCAATTGAGAATTGCTTGCGTCTCCTCATCGCTGAAGGTCCCCGTCGCCTCTCGTTTTTCCTTATACTTTTGTACGAATTCTTCAAATGCCCGCTCAAGGGGAGGCCAATCGCCCGATCCCCTTTGAGCTGGCGCGGTATTCGCATTCCTTTCTCCGTGTTTGGCCGCCAGTGCTCTCGCCAGCTTGCTGGAAAATGCCGAGAACCCAGGACGTCAAGCTGCTAAACCACAGCCTCGTCTACCGTCTCCATCTCGCTGAAGATGAATTTCATGCCTAGGATCTCTCAGATGGCCATTCCGAGGCTCCATACGTATGATGGATACGAGAGCGCCGCTTCGGGCTCCAAAAATGATTCTGGTGCTCTCTTCGACCTTAGTGTGTTGCGGTCCTTTCTAGGACGCTGCTCCATGGCCTTGGCCGGAGCAAACGACTCCCCAAGACCACTGAGAATAAGGTCCTGCGCGTCCATCAGGGTGAACTCTTGAGCCTTCTCGCCGAGATATAGCGGCACCGCTGCGTGGGTTGGAACATTGGGCGGCAGTGGTTTCCCATCAGCACGGCTGACAGGAACCGTCTCGGGCTCGCCAAACCTTTCCTAAGCTGGTCGATGGAGAGGTTGTCAAAGCTCGATGGAAGTTTGATTGGTACATTGTGAAGATGAATGTCTAGAAAATCCCCTCAGTTTTGTTGGGCCGAGAGTCGGCATAGCAAATAGCCATGAACAGACCTCCGTGGACAAAGCCCCGTGAGTGAACAAAGCGACGGCCATGGTCAGTTTCGCAGCCAACTCTCGAGTAATACGAATCGGAAACAGGTGATAGGTCTTTGAGATTTCCTTGCGTGGCAGCTACTACATGGCATTTATGTGTTCCGTTGGGTTCTTGGATGTCGAATTCATCCAAGATGCTCGAGATGGCATCGTGCGCATCGATAGCAGCCGCATGGACCGGGTGCGGAGCCGTCACTGGTCCAGAAAGAGCGCGTAGGATGCTAAAATCGCGTCCGGGAAGCGACGTGAGAGAAATGCCCACCTGAATGGCGACGCAGCGATCGAGTCGATGGTCGTGAGCAAGCCAGATGGTCGAGTAACGGCCAAATCCAACTTTTCTACGATTCGATAACGATTGTGCGATACATGATGGATCATTACGGGATGACAGCCTCCGGGCTCGTATAGTTGGAGGCGCTCGCCTCCGTTGATCCAGCTATACTCGGTCGTTTCATGAAGCGACGTCAAACATCTTGAACGAGGACAGGCGCTGCCCGTTGCGAGTCTGAGGGGGCAGAGAGGGGCAGAGAGGGGCAAGAGCGTTGGGCTCCGGAAAGGGAATGGCGAGGGAGCTTTGGACGACAAATCGATGTCGTAATGCTTTGAACGCGGCACGGTCGGGTCGAGGCAGCCTTCGATGGAAGAATGCAGCAGGGCCGCTAATTACGGAGTATGCTATTAATTAGCATTTGCCTAGGAAGACGCAACCAAGAATAAAACCAAAACGGCCCCGGCTTACTCATCAAAGGTTCCGTTTGCAGCTTTGCTACGTACCAAGAAGTGACGAGTTTAGCAAGCAGCCCCAGCTTCCTCAACGCGCGGACCGCACCGCAGACTGGGACGACTATTTGCGGCCCATCTATATCCAGGCCCTCGCAAGCTGGAGCAATGGTGGGCTCGCCGCCGAGGAATGGAAGCGCCGGCTGCGACGCTTTCCCTGCAACCGAGACGGCGCGTCCAATGGCTGCCCGGGGCGCCTGGGTCAGCCCTAAGCGCGCTCTGCCCGCGCCTGCAATGTCACCTACCGTTTGTCGGCTTTCCCTCACAATAGCATGCGGATTGCGTGTACGGAGTACTGATGAGTCGGTACAGAAATAGCCAGCCTTTGCCGTCATCAACAATTGCTCACGTCAAGCAGCCAAGACACGTCGTCGACAGCCTCGGCCCTGGGGCGCGCGGAGAGCTTCTTGGCCGATGCCGTCCACCGTCAGCGCCCGTGTGCGTGTGTTGAGGGGCCAATTGCCTCGCCACAGAGACGGAGGACGGGGACGCAGGAATCAGAGAGGAGCCGAGAAAACAAGAATCACCGGAGAGAGGAGCTCGTCCTCGGCCGTCGGCAAGGTCTGCCTGCACCCGTCTCCCGGCCAGCCTCCCCCCCCCCCATGCATCCATCTACCGTCGTGACTGGCTGTCGTGCCTCGCCACGGTTACACCAGCAGCCAGCCTCTTTTCTGCCCTCGCCTGCTCTGTAGAGTTTCGATAAACTCCAACCCCTCGACTTTCCTCTCGTCTGCTTTGCATATATATACACGCATGCTACGCCCGGTGCCAAGCAAACCTCCACAAACTATCTACATACCGACACAGACAGCTCACTGTCCGTCTGACCCGTGCTTCCAACGCTGTTCCATCCAATACCGGTCCCCTGTCGGTTCTGGAAGAAGGCTCACACAAAGAACCCCGGCCTGCTGCAAGCCGCTCCCGGGGCCTCCCTAAGCGCCGAGGCGGATACACCACCACCACCACCACCACCACCAAATACATACTGTACAGTACATACATAATTACCTTACCTTCCTTCCTAGGTGGAGGGAACACCCAATTTCCTGTGGGTACTTTATACCTCCGACCGTCTTCTATTCTTGTCCTGCTCCTCCCTCTCGCTCTCACTCTCTCGCGAGGGTCTTTAGCTTCGCTGACCCCAACTGGCAGCCCCCCACACACTCACCCTGGACACGGCGTGTATACATATATCGTGCTCGGCAGCTCTCCATATCTACCTGGTCGTTCCAACAAGCAACAAGACGAGAAATATCGACACCGTACAGCCAACATCATCCTCCACTAGCCATGTTCACCACTCCCCTCCTCCTCCTCGCCGCGGCCCTGACCCCCGCAGCCGCTGCTCCCAGCTGCGGCCGCGCCGACCCGCATCCTCAAGGCCCTACTCTGCCCCAGACAGGCACCAGTAAGTCTCGTTTTGCGTCCCATCTGATCCAGGCAAGACAGCTGGCTGACCTTTCCAGGCAACGACCTCCCTCTTCCGCCTTCTCACCTCACCCTCAAGCACATCGCTCTGGGCTTCGGCATCCAAAACTACACCTGCGCCCATCCCGGAGCAACCGCCGCGGCGACAGGCGCCCTGGCCATGCTCTACGACATCACCGACCTCTACCCGGGCCAGGGCCCTTCGTCCCTGGCCCCCCAAGATTTTGCCAACCTTCCCGCCCACGCCCTCTGGTCCCACCGCGTGCCCCTCAACCTCACCCCCTCGCGATCCGGCCGTGCCGGCCCCGGAGCCCTCGGCGCCTCCCAGACCCGCCCCTTCACCCCCGAGACGCCCCTTCGCCTCGACGGCGCCCTGCCGCCGCTTCCCTTCCTCGGCCACCACTTCTTCGACTCGCGCGGCGTCCCCACCTTTGTCCTCGACGGCGGCAAGATCAACCTCCCTACCGCCAAGCTCGACGCTGTCGCTGCCCCGGGTGACGCCGACGCTGGGCCCGAGGGCACCGGCGCCGTCGGCTGGCTCTACCTGGGGCCCAAGGAGGGCGCCCACGGCGCAAAGTACGTCTACCGCGTCCTCACGGCCGGCGGCGTAAGCCACGGATGCAGGAACGCGACGGGCGACGACAGCACCAGCTACACGGCCACCTACTGGTTCTACGGCTAGGCCGGCCATTCGGCCCCCTGTGTCCAAGTTAACGGCCTTTTCATGAACCTTGTCTACCGGGGACGGTACCCGCCTTGCTTTGTGCAGCCCCTTTCCCTGCAGTTTCATTCTCCTTCTATTCTCTTCCGCCTGCCCACGGCCTGGAATACAGGTCTGCGGCGGCGGCATGTACATATTTTACAGATTTGTTCTAATCTTCCTCAATGGGCTCAAAAGATGGGCGGCATCGTTTAAAAGTCTCCTGGGCTACCAAGAAGAAAGGGGGGGGGGAGAAGGGAGAGTATAGTCGCACAGAATAATACTCACAAAATTCACGTCGCACAACACCTGCATTGCCGTGCGAGACGCGACGAGGGTGACGAACGGGAGGTGACGGCCCAGGCTTGCGTGCAGTAGCAACACCACCAGACAAGTTGCATCCGACGCAGGTCCCCGTGCCTGACCGCCGGCCACGTCACGCACCGTCACACGACGACGATGGCCCCCAAAATATCCCCATGGGCCTTGACCAGGAGCAGGCTCAGGGCCTCCGTGTTGTGAAATTGCCCTGCGGCCGCCTCGTCATCTCTGCGTTGCATCGACGGAGCTCAGCCCGCAGCCGTCCGCACTCTGCGGCCACGCCAATCAAGGAGTCTAGACTGACCGAGCCAGAGAGCCGTTGATGGTGCCCACAATGCAATGGCAGCTGGACTCAGTGTGATCGATAGGACACAGTACGGCCACAGTTACTCACAATCACTCTCGTCTCAGACACAAGACATAGAAAGAACATGGTTCGCGACTAGAAATTCGCCCGCATCCCTATCCATCCTCATCATTGGATTATGTTGTTATTCCAACTAGCCGTCATGTTGCTGCGCTCCCACCACCTCCCGGCCAGGAGGCCCAATCAAAGAGGGCAGTCCGTTGGCACCGGCCGGCGTCAAGTGCCTCAAGCTGCCCAGAGTTGCTTTTGATCGCGTTTCACAACACCTTTTTTTCTTTTTCGTTTCACTGGTTCCAGTGAGGGAGAGGAGTGGGTGAAAGAAGCAACGGGAGATGCTGCTTCAAAGCTCAAACCGCCACAGACGCCTACCTTCTTGACGCGTCCAGCCCCGCATGGAGATCCTGCTCGAGCCCCCCGTTGGCGTATTGATAGTACTCCTGCGGCCGCGGGTCTTGGGCCGTCCACTGGCCGCCCTGCTCCGGCAGCGGCACCTGTCCCGCACCACCCTGCTGGCCCGGCCCGGCGCCCGCGCCCGCGCCCCCGGGAAGAACCCTCACCGTCTGGCGGAACCGCAGCACCTCGTCCAGGATGACACGGCGCATCTCACCCACGTCGTCAATGACCTCGAAATCAAAGTTGAACGTCGTGGGGCAGTCGGGCTCGTCCGAGGCATCGTGCCAGATGTGCAGGTACGGGTGCTCGAGAGCCTGTTCGACGCTGATTCGAGACGAGGGGTCAAACGTGAGCATCCTGTCGAGGAGGTCGAGGGCGTCTGGGTTCGCGTTGGGGAACAAGCTCGGAAAGGCCTTCTTGGGCATGAACGGGAGGTTTCGGACGTATTCCTGCGCGCGCGGCGAGCCGATGCGGGCGAGCGTCTCTTCGTTGGGGGTTCCGAGGATATGAAGGATCTGGTTGAGCTGGTCGACGTAGTCGCGGCCCTTGAAGAAGGGTCTGCCGCCGAGGAGCTCGGCGAGGATGCAGCCAACAGACCACACGTCGACTGCGACGGTCAGCTTTTGTCACAGATGGACGAATCGGAGGGGGCAGCCATACTAGCTTTGGTGTAACTCTGGAAGCTCAGCATAATCTCCGGAGCGCGGTACCATCTCGTGGCCACATATTCCGTCATGTATCCGGCGTTCTCCTCCGGGTCGACGGAGAAGCCGCGCGCGAGGCCAAAGTCGCAAATCTTGAGCTCGCAGTCGGCATTGACGAGCAGGTTGCCGGGCTTGAGGTCGCGGTGCAGGACGTTGGCGGAGTGGATGTACTTGAGGCCGCACAGGATCTGGTAGATGAAGGACTGGAAGTGGGCGTCGGTCAGAGGCTGGCCGGAGCGGATGATGGCGGCCAAGTCGCACTCCATGAGCTCTGTTGTCTGTGGTCAGTTGTTGATTATCCCGACGGGACAAGGCAGCACCGACCTTCGTAGAGATATGTCTCGTTGAAGGTGTCCGGACGCGGTATGTCCATGTCGTACAAGCACGTTATCTAGCCTTGCGTCAGCCGCCCGCCTCGCCTCGTTGGTCCTGGCCTGTAGGCCGACTCACGTTGCGGTGGCCGCGAAAGTGCTGCAGCAGCTTAATCTCGCGCAGGGCGCGCTTGGCGAGGATCTTCTTGCTAAAGACATTGGTGACCTTTTTGATGGCGACGCCTTCGTTGGTCTGGTTGTTGGAGGCGGCGCTACCAGGCAATGGTCAGCTTTGGCGGGGCAACGGCGGGGGCTGGCGAGCACTCACCAGACGATGCCGTAGGCGCCCTGGCCAAGCTCCTTGGTGACGGTGTATCGGTCGTCGACGATGAAGTCTTGGTTAAAGACCTTGAAGACCTTGCGTCCCTGGAGGTCGGCCATGGTGGGCTGCGCAGGATATTCACGCTTGATGGCGGTCTGGGTTTTCTGCAGGCTGATTCGTCCTTGCGCATGGGCGAGGGAGCTGGAACGGATGCCGAGAAGGGAGGATGCGAGCGGTGCAGTGCATGAGAGGGGGGGAGAGGAGGGAGAAGGAGAGGAGGCACCAATTATCCGGGCAGCTTTATCATCCGTCCATCATCCTTCTGGCGGCGCCAACAGCCTCTGCCGGCTTAAAGCCCCGCTAACTGCCTCGGACCACCAGTCGAGGCGGTGCCCCGCGTCCCCGCTCTCCCCTCCCCCGCCACGTATCACCGCCGCCATTCAGTGGCCAACAGCCCTATCGCTCAGGGCCAATGGCCGTCTTAGGCGCGCGGGTACTCTAGCTGGGCTGCCTTGGAGTCCTCGGTCGTCAGTCTGGAAATACTCTCAGTCAGTCCCTTCAGTGCTGGCCAGTCACCACTGCACCGTGGCTGTCCTTGAACGTACCTCGCACTGATGCGTACGTGTCAAGGCGCCTCGTCATCCAACCCTCGAGCAACCGTGTAACACGTCTAATAAACACCTACTCCATCTGTCATCTGTCCTCCAGCACCAGGGGTATCACCACGCAGCCCACCGCTACTCCCCATCTCCAACCACCTCTTTCAAAAAGTTGTTTGCAAACCGCGAGCATTGCTCAAACGCCCTTTCGAACCCATCACGGCCGCCGTAGTACGGGTCGTTGACGATCTCAGCCTTGGCGCCGCCACCAAACTCGCCGTACAGCATCACCTTGGCCTTGGTGCCCGGGTTCCCGCGCTGCAGGCGCTGTAGGTCCGACAGGTTGGACCGGTCCATGGCGAAGATGTAGTCGAACTTTTCAAAGTCGGTCGTCGAAAACTGCCATGCAAGGGTCTGTCAGTGGGCGACGCTTAGGGAGAAACGGGGGGGACAGAGGGGAGAGCTCACGCGCCGCGCTTCGTGGTCGTAGTCGGTGATGCCGTTGTCCTCGAGGGTCGACATGGTCCGCGAGTCGGGCGAGTCGCCGGTATGATACGCAGCTGCGTCCAACGGAGTCAGTTACTCTCCAAGCTCCTAACCCCGTCGGCATACTGACCAGTCCCGCATGAGTCGATGCGCCCAATTCGGCCCTTGTACTGCGGCTGCTTGGCCAGGTGCTGGAAGATGCCCTCGGCCATGGTCGACCTGCAGATGTTGCCGAGGCACACAAACAGCACCGAGATGGGCTCCGCCATTGTCGTGAGGTCTCGTCTGCCAGGCGTGAAGCGTGGAGGAAGACGGCCAGGACGGGGAATGTAAGAATGCTTTAGCTGCATCCAAAGCTGCATTCGAAGCTGCCCCGCCATGAATTGGCTTGGCGGGGCTGCCGTCGTCAGTGCTCTACAGTGGGTACGTCCCCTCACGTGATGTCGCGCTGGGCTTCGGAATTCCAGCGCGACAGCCTTCCATCCGGCCGAGACGATATCTCCATCATGGTGGTATACATTGTCGCAGTTCATGGCCGTCGTACTGCGAGGTGATCATCAGCTTTGATGCCAAAATGGATCCTAGACAGAAGTGGCGCAACGGTGGGAGAACAATGTCTTCACTGCTACAGACAACACCATCATTCAGAGATTGAACTCTTCGTCATATATTCCAGACATGGGATATCCTCGAGCAAGAGAGGGGATGCCACACCGTGACGTGCAATCACACAAACGGCCCTCCGCTCACCAACCCTTTCTCTTGTTCTGCTGGGCCCATGATCCCAAGCCAAAGCCCTGTCATCCACCCACCCAAAAGAGACTGCGTGCGCCTTGCTGAAAAGGACGAGAACTAGTATACAGCTAGGGATACACATGATCCAAGAGTCATAGGGCACTCAACGGTGCCAGCCGCTCCCATCTGGCAGGCAAGCCACCCATTGGTTCAGAACTTCGGGCTCCGACGCCCATCAACGCTCAGGCCGTCTGCCTCTGGCGCTCCCGACGCAGGCTCTCCAAAACGCCAATCGCCCCATTGTTGCGGATCCGCTCCAGGACGAGCCGCATGCCGTCGCGGCTCTTGCCGAGCTGGTCCAGGGTTTTGGTGGAGGCGAGGCTCTCGATGCTGCGCTGGATGCCCTTTGCACCCCAGCCGCCGATGAAGCCAGACAGCCAGCCGTCTTCTTGGGCCTGGCCGAGCTTACCGCGCAGTTTCTCGCCTAGCCGGGACCGGAAGACGACCGAGGTGACGACATCGGTCTCGTTTCTGGCAGCCAGGCCTCGCTCGGCCTCGGAAGGGAGGCTAAAGTGCTGCTTCTCAATGACGGACAGCACGCCGGTGAAGTTGAGGTTGCGGCTCTCCGTCTTCATCCATCCCTCCTTGATGTCGACGACGGTCGTCTCGAGTATGTATGACGCCTTTTCCCCCGAGGACCCGCCGCCGGTCACGCCGGCAGGGAGCAGCTTGTAGATGGCATTGGGCATGCGGCTCTTCTTGAGATGGATTCGGGTCGTGTGCAGTTGCTGCGTGACGGGATCGACGTGGCTGGAGATTGTGTCGGTGCTCAGGACATGGGTGGCGAATGGGTTGAGCTGAGGCGACGAGTAGCGGAGAAAATAAGCCAGAGTGACGGTTGGAAACGGATGAGAATAAGTGTGTCCGGTCGTGTGTGTCAGGACCATGGTCACCGCAGCGGGGGTGAGAGGAGCGTTCGGGGGTATCGAGTGCGTCGGATCAGTCGTCGCCGGAGCTGTGCATGGGCAAAGGAGCTACGGTGCCGCCACTCTGCGCACCAAGTCCAATCCACGGCGTTGCAGAGAAAATTCAATGAACAGGAATTCTCATCAGTAATCTCACAGACGGAACGTGGGTGTAAGAGGGAAGAAGAAAGGTGAAGGAGGGGGCGAGGAGGGCGAGGAGGGCGAGGGAGGGGAGGATGTAACGCCTTGAGACGTCTCGAGAGCAATCGAGCGATGGCGATAGCTGGAATCGGCCGACTAAATTTGCCCGCCCGGCTGACGTAGCGCACTCTTCGGGGCTGTGATTGGCTTGTCGACAAGCGGGGCAGCTCTCGCCGCCGCTTCTACCAATCCCGGGGATGGCACGTGACCGGCGAGCCTGTGCCTAACGCACCATGTGAGCCCGATGGAGGCATGACGACAAGCTGGTACGATTCGCAGGATGACATTGCCTGGATCTCGTGTTGTGTGCGTGTTGTTGTGCCATGTCTGCGGCTGTAGATATACCGAGGTTGTACGTATCCCTCTCGCCACGTGCGATCGTGTTCCAGAGCTAAAGAAGTCAACGACAGAAACGTCTACTCTGGTTGTTATTTCGAGTCCTCTTCAGTCTATCTCTATGTGAGAGTACTCTAAGGCGTCCACAGTAATATTATGTCCCAGAACCGTACACCAGTGTAGGCAGTCCGTCCATATCTTTCCTTTTACTTTAGAAACTCCTCTTCAGCAAAGTGCCTCAGCACAACCCACCCCTCGTCAAATGTCTTCTTCTCCATCCGCACAATGATGGCCGCGTGGCTGTGTCTGTCGTTGCGAATCCATACCGGATACTTGCGCCAATTGAGCGAGTCCAGCGATCGGATCATCTCGAACTGATCTGGCGTTAGAGCGAGCGTTGGCTGGGCTGCCACCGACAGCCGTCGCTCCCGGCTCATCACGCGCTTCTCCTCGGGGCCCATGCCACCGTCTTCGTCGTCGTCATCGTCGTCGTCGGCCAGGAAGTGCTGGTTCTGCGAGCTGTTTATCTCCCCGTACGCTCGCTCCACCTCGCTGCGCAGCTCCTTGATGAGGAGCGGCACGCGGTAGTCATCAATGTTGAAGCTGGCCTGGCCCTTTTCGTGTCGCTTGATGCGACCCGAGCTGCGAATGGTCTGGACGACCGAGTTGCACAGAAACGCAATGGTGCCAATGGGGACGAGCAGGGCAATGACGAGCATCAACGGAATGCGCTTGGTCCATCTCAGGGCGGTGCTCGTCGCAGAGGAGAGGGTGGCGCCGGGGGCCACCTTGGGCTGGGGCATGAATGGGTACTCAGGGTCCATGATGACGCCTGCTCCCCCCTTGATGTAGTTGGGCCTGATGTTGTCCAGATTTCGGCGGTACGGGTCCGTCTTGTGGATGCCCGTGGTGTAGTAGACGGCGCTCCTGTCGTTGACAACGTTGGTGTACAAGGTATGCCGCTTGAACTTGCGCTGACCGAGCATGAAGATGGACGTGGGGTCGGCGAGGACGGACAGCAAGGGCCTGTTCGTGTCACGGAACCTGTCAATGGTGAAGAGCTGGCGGCCGGACATGGACAGGCTCCTGGCGCCGACGACGTTCCACATGTGGTTGTGCCAGCCCTTGAGGGGGGTGCGCACGCCGAGGTGGGGTGACGCAAAGGTGGCAAAGTTCTTGGGAAGCTTGAGTCAGCCAGGATCGATGATGATGGCGGGCAGCGGCGTGCGTACCATGCATTCGACGGAGTCGAGGATGCCTTTTGCATAGAGAAGGCCGACGGCATAGCGAGAGACCAGCCCGCCGAGCGAGTAGCCGATGATGCTCAGTTTCTTGATCTTGCCGCCCCTGCTCTCGATGGCGCGCAGCTCGTCCTCAATCTCGGCACAGACGCGCTCGCCGCCGAGCTCGACGCCGTCGTAGGTGAAGCTGCCGCTGTTGCGCTTGGCGAGCAGCATGTACAGCTCGTCGGGCGGGTGTCGCGAGCGCAGGGTCTTGGCAATGTTTCTCATGTGGTCGGGGTTTCCCCAGAGCTGGGAGGAACAGTGTGAGCGCCGGCCTCGTCTGCGTAGACTCGTCAGTCGAGAGAGGGAGGGCCCTTACCCCGTGGACGAGGACGCAGAGGTGGTCGGCCTTGGGGCTGCCCCCGGTGTAGTCGACATTATCGCTCGCTCGCTTGGACATGGTGGCGGCAGTGACGTGACAGGAGGACGCTGGAGAGAGGTTGCAGGAGAGGCCCCCCTTTTGCCCGCTCCGGAAAGCTCGGCGAGGGAGGGACGGGACGCGCAACGCTTTGTGCTGTGGATCGCGGGATCCGGACTTTCGGTGCAAGCGTGACGGAGATGGCGCGTGGCTACGGGGGGGTGAGTGCCCGGGGATCCACTGGCGTCAGCGTCCCAGCTCGGAGACGATGGGGCTCAACAAGAGGAGCCGGCTTTTGCCCGCGACCCGACGCATAAGAAATCCCTCTGAACGAATAGCCGTATCCGCATTTTTGGGGGCCAATCGCACGTCTCTCCCTTACTGGCTGTTTCTCCTTATTGTCTTGGAAAGGGGCTGTTTCTTCCGGCCAGGCCAAGCTGGTCACACCGTGGTGTAATTACCAGTGGTTCCCATCGGGCAAGCGCTTTTAAATCAGTACTCCAGCTATTTACGGATAGAAAGAAGATGGTTGATTTCATTTCATTGGACAATTATTGCAGCTTCCCCTGCAGCTGCAGCCAGCTTGTCGGGACAGCTGGCTCGAGGTACCTTGGCGCCGGCCAGGCCGCCAGGCCAACTCCCACCATCAGCGCCGTTAACAGTGAGCAGCTGCTGCCACCGTCAGCTAATGGCCACTACCCGCTACAAGCATGGACTCGACAGCCCGCCCGCTGCCGCTAACGAGACTGTTAGCAAGAACACCGCCCCGCCAGCTCGATACATGCATCAGGTACTCGAGTAATTACCCTGGCTGACCCTCGAGTCTCAACTCCCGACTTCATGGCCGCATCCCATCTTGAACACGCACGAAAGAGACGCAATCTCCAAGACTGCCAAAACACACACGCATTCTTCAATCTGACTCTGCCTCGTCTTCAATATTCGCTCTTCTTGACGCCTCAATCCTCCATCATCCGGTTCAAGGTCTCCCTGCATCGCCTGAAGGTGCATCCGTCACTTCAGCAACGCCAACGGGCTTCTTGAACTCGCGGTCCAGCCGCTGTTTACTTTCTACAACATTGCATTTTCCCTCGCAGCACTGCTTCTTGTTTTGCAGCCGCCCTGCTCTTTTCTCACATCACTTCTTTCTTTCCAGAATTGTCTTGTTCCGCAACACAGCCCTGATTCGTCTCCAACGCGGCGTTCGCCAACTCGGCTCAACCCGCCGTCTCTTCCACCACGCTGTTTTCTTTCAAAGACCTTGTTTTATCCACAAACTTTATACTCTTCGCAACGTCGTCTGCTTTCCACGACGCTGCTCTTCGAGCCCTGTCCAAGCCGCTGCTTCTTTCGGCAACACGGCTCCTTTCACCACGCAGATTCTAATCGGCAACCCTGGTTTCCTCAACTCTTCGCCCAAGTCACACCCTCATCTTCTGTGCTCTCACGCGGGCGGACAATCATTCTCGTCAACCGCGACATCCCCTCATGAGCGACTACTAGCTGGTCCTTATTTGGCAGCCAGCGCCCTGCGTCTGGTAATCCGCCAGCATGAGTTTCAATCTCAAACATATTCCGTGCCCGCGGGCGGAAGCCTGCACCGCCTTCAAGTGCGTCTTTAGCCATCCCCACGAAGAGGACCAGGCTTCAGTGCCAGCGCCAGCACCGGATGGAAAGAGGCCGCGGCACCGTGTCGAGCCTTCTTCGTCGGATCCAGATGAGCCATCCAAACGACCCAAGGTCGACCAAGGGAGCAAGCTTCCTGACCCAAACAAGGAACATGATGGAATTTCCGACAATAAGAGCGTCGTGGGACTCTATTCCCGTCCCAGGTCACTTTCTCCCTCCACTGCCGGTTACAAGGCCGATGCCAGGGCTGACAACCATGGCCGAAACAAGGCCGACGATGGCATCGACGACGATAAGAGCGTCGTCGAGCACTCTTCCCGCCGCAGGTCTCCTTCTCCTCGCGGTAGGCGGGATACATCCTCTGACCTCTCGAAAACGCCTGAGCCGACCAGCGCAGCAGGTGCCGTGGCTAATCCCAGTGCTCCAGATGCTGCGGTTAACCCCAGTGCTCCAGGTGCTGCGGCAAATCCCAGTGCTCCAGGCCCTACGTTTAATACCAGTGCTCCCGTGGCCGCTACAGAGCAACGTGCGGCTGTCCGCTTTTCCATGTCCAAGGATGGCCAGCAGCCAAAGCAGAATAAGATCGAAAGTCTTAACCCACGCCTCTTGGTTAGCTCCCCGGCACGCCATGAAACTCGCGTCAAGCTGATCAAGGCGCTGCACCAAGAGTACACCCGGCTCAACTCGGAGCTCAAACAGAAGGCAAGCGACGAGGAGCTCAAGCTCCTCATGTCCAGCTCAGAGCTCATCACCAAAACTCTTGATGACGAGCAAAATATCGCCAATAACAAACCGGCCGTGTACGCCAACGTTATGAAGAACACGGTGATGCAGCACAAGCGCATGGAGCTTGCTCAGTGGAAAGTTGAGCGCGCCAAGGCAATGAATTCGGCACTGTCCGGTTCAGGGGACCAGGACGACCCCAACAAGATCTGGACCGGCCTGACTCGGGACCAAGAGGTGGCCATGTTGAGGTTCCTGTACACACCCATCCATGACCTGTCCGAGTACGGCTATATTTCCGTGGTTCCAACCGAGGAAGCCGTCGAGGAGGTGCGGGAGGCCGTCGTGGCCGGCCGGGGCTGGGAGAAGTGTGACCGTTGCCGACAGCGCTTCCAGGTGTTTCCAGGACGCCGCGAGCACGACGGGGCGCTCACCTCGGGAGGAGCCTGCAACTTCCACTGGGGCAAAAAGTATATCCCCGCAAAGGCCCCGGGCGACAAGTCTAGGCCGCCCAAGCGCTTCCAGTGCTGCGAGGAGGAGGAGGGCGAGTCCAATGGCTGCTTGACCCACGACTACCACGTTTACAAAACCGTCGACGCTAAGAGGTTGGCGACTCTGTTTAACTATGTTGAGACTCCGCCAAACAAGCTGGCCCCCACCGACAGGGCCGTCTGCTTTGACTGCGAGATGGGCTACACCGTCTACGGCATGGAGCTGGTGCGCCTCACCGCCACCTCGTGGCCCACCGGCGAGGAGCTGCTGGATGTGCTTGTCCAGCCAAAGGGTGAGATTTTGGACCTCAACTCTCGCTACTCGGGCGTCTGGCCCAATGACTTGGCCCTGGCCGAGCTGTGGACCAGCACCGAGATCCCGCCTCTGGCCGAGGGTGAAGAGACCAAGAAGCTCAAGAAGGTACCGTCCCCCGCCGCGGCTCGGGAGTTGCTCTTCTCTCTCATCTCGCCTGATACGCCCCTGATCGGGCACGGTCTAGAGAACGACCTCAACGCCGTCCGCATCGTCCACCCGACTCTCATAGACACAGTCCTGCTCTACCCGCACCGGGCTGGGCTCCCCTACCGCCGCGGCCTCAAGTCGCTGATGGAGGAGCAGCTGAATCGCAAGATTCAGCAAGATACGGGCCCCAAGACACTCGGCCACGACTCTGCCGAGGACGCGCGGGCCGCCGGCGACTTGGTCCTCTTGGAAGTCAAGCACGAGTGGAAACGTATGCAGAGACAGGGATTGACGGACCCCGGGAATGGTTTGCCCCCCCCTCACCGCCGCTCGAGGCCTGGAAAGTAAAGCAGGCTGACCGAGGACTTCGTTGAGGACAGACGTCGACTCTACTGAAGGTCCTCAGGTCAATGGGCGGCGCCATCGTGAGAGGCCGTGTAAGGAAGGTAAACTGACTGAGGACTTCATTGAGGACTGACAGCAACGATACTGAGGGTCCTCGGCTCGATGGGCCAGCGTGCCGCTCTACGGGAGGAGCGGAGATTTCGGGGGGTAGCTGGATGGATGTCAGGATTTATGAGCCTATGCAAAGCAAGTCGGAGGATTCGCCAGTGAGCACAGAGGTTCCGGCAGCAAGCCATAGGTTGACATTGAGCAGACGTCTCGACGAGCAGGCGTCTTCGATAGCAAGCACGTCGTCGTAGCCTTGGACGTCATACCAAAAGATGAGAATTACGAGTCGTTCCCATGAACCGTGAGATATAATTACATGCTCGCCGGATGCACAATCGGCGACAAAAGCGGCGAGTTCCTGTGACACCAAGCCATCCTCAAGTCCCCTCAAGCCCTGCCCACAGACAACAGGAACTGGCTGCCACCGCCCTGCTTTCCGCCGCTGGGGAGGTAGGCCACGTTGGGGTTCGACGACAAGGCCTGCGCAATCTCCCTCGCGGCCTCGATCTTGCGAATCAGAATGAGGCCGTCTCCGGCCTTGGAAATGGCCTTGCTGATGGTCTCTGCGCTCTCGGCCTCGCCCTCTGCGCGGATGACGTTGGCCTGGCGCTCCTGCTCGGCGCGCTCGACGATGAAGCGCGCCCGCTCGGCGTCCTGCTGCGCAATCTGCTTCTGCTCGACGGCCTTTGTGAACTCGCGGCCAAAGGTCATGTGGGTAATGGACACGTCCTCGAGGGCAATGTTGAACTCTGCGGCGCGGCGGGTGAGGTCGTTGCGGATGCGCTGGGAGACGGCCTCTCGCTGGGTGATGAGCTCAGCGGCGTCGAACTGGGCGACGATGGCCTTGAGGACTTCGTTGCCGATGGAGGGGAGGACACGCTCATCGTAGTCGACGCCGAGGTTCTACATCGGCTGTCAGTAACTGGATGTTCAAGGAGGCGAGCGAGAGACTCACTTGGTAAATCTTGGGCAGTGCCTTCACGCTGGGCCGGTGCAGCACCCTCAGCGTCAAGCTGACCATCTGCAAGTCCTTGCTGCCCGTCGTCGTGGCAATGTTCCTCGGCTTGGTGCGCACGTCAAAGATGACGCTCCGCTGCAGCCAGGGAATGAGGAAGTGCGTGCCCTCGTTGATGACATCCTCCTTGACACCGGACAAGCGGTCGAAGATGACGGCCCTGGTGCCGCCTTTGACGTCGAAGATGGACTGGCTCAGCAGAAAGTAGCCTGCCGAGAGCGGGACGCCGAGGCGGTAAACCAGGTTGAGCGCTCTCGCGGCGGAAGCCATCTTTGCGCGCTCGTGCTCGGGGGAGCGTCTTGGGTTGCAACGGTTTGCAGGGCTGCGAGAACGTCGAGGTTGTCGCAAGCTTCGCTTATGGGGGAGTTGAGCATCGAGGTTGATTTTCGGGGAATGCATGGCGCCAGGCTCGCTTAGGTAAGCTCGGCTCGAAGCACCTGGTCAGCGGGTTTTCCTACTCGCTGGGGAGCAACCGCATCAACTCTCCCTCCTCTTCTCCCGGCATCGAGGGAATCGATAACTCTCAATCCTTGACATCAGCCACGATGAGACCGACGCAAGCTCTGAACGGTGGCGTGCCCAACCCCAAAGTCGGCCAGTACGTCTGACCCTCGCCTGTCCCCCGCGCTCCCAGGGAGCCGAGGCTCCGGAGATGCGGCCTTGTTTGCGACAGACGGGATGCGACTTGGTCTTGTGGATGGATTGTGCGAGGCAGAGGCTGACTTGCGATGATACAGCTGGATCGGCGACTGGGGTTCCTTCGGTGAGTGCTGTCTGGTCGCGCAAGTCGAGTTCGGATCGAGGGACGGGCGCCTTGAATTGGCTTCAATGGCAGACCTCAGTCACCACACGCGCACGGCGATACGAATGCCTCTCCTCCGAAGCAGTGAAGCGTCGACGGGGCCATCCACGTCGACGCTGGGATAGGACAGCCATGCTAACGGGCTGCAGGCGGCGCCAAGCAAAAGGGCATCGTCCACTACGGCCTCTCGGCCAACCGACAAAACGCCATGGCCGGCGCGGCTCACGACGCAGTCTTCAACACCTTCCGCCGCACCAAGGCGCAGATCTTTTACTGGCTGCCCGCCATGGTCGCTGGTTACTACGTCATGAACTGGGCCACCGAGCGGTAGGAGATTGCTCCCGGTATCGACAAGGGCGTGATTGCAAATGGCGCTGACACTGTGGACAGCAACGAGTACTTGAACTCCAAGGCTGGCCGTGCCGAGTTTGCGGACTCGGAGGAGTAAGGCGGTCCCCGGATGCGCGTGGTGGAATAGGGTGGTCTCTGGGCCTGTGTACATCAACTTGTTCAACGTCGTCTTTGCCTAGACCGGAGGAAAAGCAATAGACACTGTCTGCACTCGAACAGCGCTGAAGCTGTGAGTTGTTGAGCCAATTGCGTCCACAAATGCTTGCATCGTGCGTCATGGTATAAAACGAAGTTCCCACAACGGTACCATTTACCCCAGGCTAAAACCACACCGAAGGTCCAAGTTGCTTGAGTACTTTTACCAGTCCATATAAAGTGATCGTTTTGTGACTTGATATTCTATGTCTGTTCACTCTGTCTACTGGGGATCGGGAGTGATCACGTGATTATCCCTACCCAGCGGAACGGCGCCACCAGCCGCCGAAAATTTCGGGATAGCTCCCCTTGGCGGGTCAAAAAAAGTTTTGGATTTTTCGGAAGGGAAAAAAAGTTGAGTTGCGACCACCACCAGTCCCAGCATCTTATCGTTAGCCCTGCCGGTTGCCTCCAAGAACATCCGCCCCTCTCGAATTCACATCATTTCCCATTGTCATTTTTACGAAACCCAATTCCTTGGCACCTGCGGACCGGACGCACATACATACAGATATATATCCCCTGCGACGCAGGAACCGCCCGCCATGGCCGCCGAGAGACCCGAGAAGAAGGACAAGAAGGACAAGAAGGAGAAGCGCAGCGAAGAGGCCGGCGTGAGCAAGGCCAAGAAGGACAAGAAGGATAAGCGGGACAAGAAGGATAAGCTGGCCGCCGCCGTCGAGGGCTCGCTGCAGCTGCAGGATGCCGCGTCGCCGCTGAAGGCCAAGGCGGCCGACGCCGACGACGATACCGACATGGAGGGCCAGGACGTCCAGGACGCCGGGCCCCTGGAGAGGACGGTTGTGCCGTTTGCGGTGCCCGTGGCGGATGAGAAGGGCATGAAGAAGGTCTACAAGACTATCCGGAAAGGTTTGTCCTCTTGTTCCCTCTCCCCTCGCTGCTGAAGCGTGTGAATGCCCAAATGCGCATCAAAAGACCCATAGGATGAAGCATGGGATGAAGAACTGCCAGGCTAACTGCCCCATGCAGCCGCCAAGAACGGCACCCTCAAGCGCGGCGTCAAGGAAGTCGTCAAGGCCCTGCGCAAATCCCCGCCCTCGGCCCCCGGCTACACCTCGTTCCCCGGCCTCGTCGTCATCGCCGGCGACATCTCCCCGCAAGACGTCATCTCCCACCTGCCCGTCCTATGCGAGGACCACAACGTGCCTTTCATCTTCGTCACCTCGCGCGCCGAGCTCGGCGCCTCGGCCAAGACCAAGCGGCCCACCAGCGTCGTCATGATCATGGAGAAGCTCGAGGCCGCCGCCAAGAAGAAGCAGCAGGCAAAGGACGCCGACAAGGACAAGGATGCCGAGGGCGAGGCCGACGAGGCCTTTGCCGAGTCGTACGCCTCGCTGGTCAAGTACGTGCAGAAGGAATACGCGAGGCAAGCCTTTTGGGCCAAGGGCGAGTCAAAGGCATGAGCTCGGGGAATCTGTCAGGGTGGAAAGAGAGGGCCGGGACGGGGCGATATTTGCGCATTGAATGGTGGTTTTGATCTGGGTCGCACAAAGACAAGGCTCGACTGGCTAGCAGGGCCAGATATCTGGGCACGACGGCGTTTAGGCATATTCTGCATTGATGAAATGGAACTGGCTTGCTTTCTTGACCCTGCCACTTGACAAATCACTCACGGAATCAAGCAATCACCATTCGACGAAACGATTTGCGCAAGACGGCATTATCGATTGCGACCACACAAGCTAAACTCTACATTCCCATCGCCCAATAGCCGCCATTCCATCATCCGTTTACAGCAGAGCACCTCGACGCGGTGAGCGATCTTTACCGGAGATGCGGTCGGCGCACTGAAACCTCATGGGTTCGCGAGGTTGTGGTGCCTCAGGCCGTTTAGTCAAACGGGTTCGTGCGGGTTCCCCACCAGGTCAGGAACATGGACAGGCCAACAGTCTCGCAGAGTTTGGCGGCGACGCTGACACCGACGGTGTCGAGGGGCCTCTTTTCAGTGAAGAGTTGGGCGAGATACTATCATCGGGTAATGGCTGGTCAGCAACAGCTTCACTTCATCATCTGGTTCCTCGTCGCTCGACCGGATTAACCGGCAATGCGAGGAGGGGCTTCGAGCAGGGCGAGGTACGCACAGTAGGAGCGGCCGTGGCGGCAAAGATGAGGGCACCGAGGTAGGCAGCGCCCTTGTAGCTCAGGGTGCCGGTGGCGTTGATGAGGGCGCCGACGCTGTAGCTCTGCAGAGCGGAGCCGACAAACGAGGTGCCCCAGGCGGCGGCGGCGCCGCTAGCCTCCTTGGAGCGGATGAACTCCTCCTTGGTGTTGGCCTGCTTGGCGCGCTGGTACGTCTGGCCGAAGACGGGGGAGAGGACGGCGAGCTCGATGCCGTGGTTGAAGACGGTGCCAAGAGCAATGGCCGACGGCTTGACAGGAGGAAGGTCTGAAGGAAGTTAGCACGCCGCTTGCCGGGTTGGCTCGATTGCGAGGCGAGCTCATCCGTCGCGCGGGCGGCAGCGGAAGAGGGAGGGCTCGTCACGGGGAAAGGGAATTGGCAGAGGGGAGAGCTGAAGCGGGGAACAAGGAGCTTACAATGCAGAGACATGGCGGCTGTGAATGGATGAGAAGGCAGTTGCCTGTCGATGAGGACGAGTGTTGAAGAGAGAGGAGTGACAGCTCGTTTTGTTGCAGTCCAGCAACAACGGTGAGAGGATGATGATGATGATGCAAGGTCCAAGAGAGAGTCCAGCCAAGGAAGGACGCAGAACCAGTACGTACTCGCCTGGCCTAGGAAGCCCCGGACCTCCTCGTCCTCCTCCTCCTCCTCCTCGACTCTACTGTACAAAGTACTGCCTACGCTACAGTACAGTGCTGCTGTACCCTCCCTCACGATCTCGATCGGGCCAGGCAAGACTCTCCTCGCCCCACCAACCGAACCCCTGCGAAGCGCCGGGGGGCTATGATGTCACCACTCGCGGTAAACTGGGCTGCCGGATAGACGCATGTACCCAGTACATAGCATATACAGATACGGACAACATGAGCTCCTCCATTCACCACGTCTGCGAATTTGAGTTCATGGCTACGTACTGTACTTACAGGTATATGCACGGAGTAAACAGATACAGTAGAGCCTGTGGGTACGAGTGGCAGCTGGCAGGGAACCGCGGCTGGCCGGGACGAAGCGCCGGCTTGAAGCGTCCTGGCCGAGGCTCCCAGCAGGTACCTCCTCCTCCCACTGTAGCTCAACGACTGCGACAGGTACCCAAATATTGGCTGTAGCTGCTGTAAGGGACATCTTCTTGGGACCGACAGTTTTCTCTTCGCCCGAGACTTCTTTTCTTTTTGCAGCTTTTGTTGTTGTTTGTTTCCGAGCCTTGTCTTGAATTTCAGCCTCCGCCTGCAGTACTGCACAATGGCGTTTTGGCTGCAACCGGACAGCCGCTGCGTGGGGACCCAGCCCGTTGCCGGGTGCTCGTCGCGACGTGGTTATGACGTTACCGTGAGCCATGGCGTGGGTGGGCAGGGCAGTATTGAAGTAGTCCATCAGGCACATGGCTTTGGTCGAAGAGCCTTATTCTTCCCTTGACCGAGCTACATCCTCACGCAAAGCCCGTCGTGTGCTTTCTTCTTCTATTCTGTACATATCGCAGTCCAACAACATTGCGGGAGGCCAGTCCATCCCCGACTCCTGCTCCCCTCGCCCTGTCGTTCCGGGTCAAACCCGCCTGCGCCGCCTAGTCTTTGCTCGCTCCCTCTTCCTCTCGTGTTGTGGAACAACAAAAGTCAACTTACAGAAACGCCACCTTGTGTGCTAATGCCTGTCCCTTTTTTTCATCTTTTATTATCCCTTCTTCGTGCGTCATGCCATGTGCTGGCCGTCCTCACCTCCGCGCAATGCCAAAAGCGCTCTAACGTCGTGGACGTACTGCAGGCCCTCGAGCAGCGGCACCAGGTGCATCAGGTCGTTGTCCGTCGGGTCGTTGATCCAGCCCTGGATGGGAATCGCGTTATCTGCAGGCCCAAGTCAGCACGGCTTCACGTCGCCAACATCGGTACACTTGCCTTGATGAAATAGGTAGCTCAGCGGGCTATTGTCGAGAATCATCACCTTGCTCAGATCCGGCTCCACCGAGCTCAGGTCCTTGATGTAGGCTCCCTGCCGATACGTGCAGTGCTGGCGGTAGTAACGCGCCGAGAAGAACTTGCGCTCCGATTCCAGCCAGTCAATCACGGGGTCGGCGTACTCTTGCACCGACGCGGTGAAGATGACCAGGTTGAACCACTTGCATACGCGCCGTAGGAACTCGTCGCAGTACGGCCGCTTATTTACCCAGTACAGGATCGGGTGCTGCGCCGCGCCGCCCGGGCCGCTGCCCATGCCCAGCGAGGCCGTGTTGAGTCGGACCTCGACCATGTGCCCGGTGCTCATCCTGCCGCCCTTGGACATGCTGTGTATTAGCGTCTCGTCCAGGTCCAGTATCAGAGTCTTTTGCTGCTTTAGCGGCACTTCAAAGTTGAGGTACGACGGCTGCCGCCGGGGAATCAGAGGTCGCGGCGGCGCCGGCGTCTTGGGGTACCTTGTCAGGGCGGCAATGGGCGACGTCGGCGACTTGAGCTGTGCCGACAGTTCCTCTTCGCTGGCCTTGGTCCGCGCGACGGCCGACAGGGCCCGCCGGTGCTTGCGCTGGCCCACGCCGCTGTCGTGCTGCAACTTGATGCGGATGGACCTGCGTCCCGTGCCAAGCTCTTCCGCGGAGGCGGGCGGTGCTTCAGACTTGTTGTGTTTGGCCTTGGCGCCCTTGAGCTCCTCGGCCTCGGACTCGGAGGATGCGCCCGAGGTGGAGGACCCCGACGACGACGACGAAAGCGCCGGTCGATGCGCGTGGCCACCATGACGCCAGCCCGACGCTGTCGAGCAAGGCTGGGCCGCCGCCGCGTAGTCGCCGCGCCCGCCCCTGCGGACACCAAACAGCTTCTTGAGCTGCAAAAAGGGCGCAAAGTTGCCCTCGTCGTCGTAGAGGCACGCCATCAGGTAGACACCGGGGGACGCGAGCGTGGCGAGGATCCAGCGGATGGGGCTGACGATGCTCGCCGCGAGGTTCCGCGGGAAAGCATGCCACCAGCTGGCGCGGCAGTTGTCGTCTTGCTTGCTCTTTTCCAGCAGCGTGGAAGTCTCGGTGGCTTTCTCGTCCTCGGCGGCGTGCCTGTCGTCAAAGGAGCCGTTAGCGTGGCGGCCGGCCTGGTCGCGGGCGTCGTCATCGTCGGCCTTGGCATCAAGCGACTTTTCGTCGGAGCCGAGATCAGCTTCGGCGGAGCTGAGACCGTTGAATCGAGGCTGGGTGGGAGACGGCGGGGGCGAGACGCGCGAGGTGATGATGTTGAGGGAATTCATCTTGACAAAGGCCGGCAATCCATGAGGCATGGGCGGTATGGCAGGCGGTTGGGGCGCTGGGCTTGGGCCGGAGCTGTTGGGGAATTGCCGAGGGCGCGCGAGCGTGGGCACACGACGCGTTGGCAGCAGAGCCGAGGATATGGCCTCCTCCTCCCCCTCCCCCGTTGGGGAGATGATGTCCAAGAGTCGCTCGCGTCACTCGCGGGAATTGGCAGTGAGGAACGGGGCGGCGAGTCGAGCGTTGTTTTTGTGCTGTGTTTCGGCAAGGCCAGCGAGGGTCGCCGGGGAAGAAGCTTGGTCGTCAGCCTTGCCGGGGGCACGTCTTGTGTGATGACTGATGGAGAAGCTGGATGGCGGGTTTCAGATCAGCAGACGAGAGAGGCCAGCTGCTGTCCACAAGGCCTACCTACTAGTCTGCGCCGCAGTGCGCCTCGGGAACGAACGCCCGGGGGCGGCCAATGGGGGGGGGGGCCGAGGAAACCCCGCCGCGGGTCAATTCGCCTGGTGCCTGAGGTACCTAGGTAGGTACGTACTTGAGTACCTACCTCGGTACCTATCTTTGTGGTACAAATCCTGCCACAGGGCGGCCATCTAACACACTCCACGAGAGTTTGCTGCTGATGCTAACCTGTTGTGGAGCGTTGCCACGAAACAGCGCAATCGGTAGGTATTCGTAAGTACATATGTGGCAAGTGCTTAGGCGATTTGTCTCGGGATTGCCCAAGACCGGACGTGCAGGTACCTGACTTTTGGCTTGCGCGAGGATTATAAGTGGCCGAATACTTATGTTGCCAGTCTTTTTTATCGATGTCGTTTTCCACGTGGCTGTCGCTATCGTTGTCGTTGTTACTGCCTCTCTTTTTAGGAGTACAACCTTGCCTGGCCGCGGTCGTGGTTGCATTGCCAGATAAAAGACAGAAGACGGCAGTAGAGGGTCAAACAAGAAGAGATGGCTGGCAGTTGGCGGATGAACTCATCACAGTCGTTGTCCCCTCCAGCAGATGAATGAGGCTACTTCTCGGTCGGCCGTCCAGTTTGGTGTCCAGTAGATGATGGGTCAGGCTGCTTCCCCTTGTCGACAGGCGGCTGGGTGGCCTCGCCTTCGACACTGCCTCGAGCCACGACGTTGGGATCGGCGTCAGCTTCTTTGCTGGGGTTCCTTGAGGCCTCTCGAGCCTTCATGGGATATCCTGATCGATGGATGCAAATTCTCGCCCAATATAGGTAGAGGGCTCAGCGCCTACGGTACAGGTACGTCTGTGTATGACTTGCACTATCTGACTGTGCGAAGAAAGCATCGTCTTCCGATGGCAAGTGTTTGTGAAACATGTCACTACAACGTGAACCCTTCAACTGCCATTCCAAACTGCGGTGCCATGGCTGCAACGTAGCATATGAATATGGGGTCAAATGAAATGAATGTGAGGCTTTATTGCCAGAATATTCCTCTTCTTGAACGCTGGAGATGCTTCAGGATCATCCAGCGTCGTCAGCTGGGGGGTGTATGGTTGGCTATGGGGTATGTGTAAGAGAGTCGGCAGAGGCGGTACAGGGTATAAAGCGGTGAGTCCTCATTTATGCCCTCTGGAGCGTGGTATCTGCGAATCTCCATGCGGTTTCTGTAGAATTCTCGGCGAGACAGAAGTTCCCTTGGGGTTGTTGGTGGCCACACAGGAAACAAAAGCTCGTCGTCTTCTTTCGTGGGTATGGTCGCGGGCACATTAGATATGTCGACAGGTTGAGATCTGCGGAAGTGCCGCTTGAGCTGGCCAAAGATGGAAGAGAAACAGCTCATGATGCGACCGTGCCGGCCAATTTAGACAAGCTGCTTATTGGTACCCGTGCCCGCCTCCATGTTGTTGTGATCGATGCCGAATCCAGGATGAGGGGGCGACCCCCCTAGCCGTCCGTCCCTGCGCCGTTTTTATCCCGCCATACTAAACCCAGTGCACTAAGTACGGAGTACTGGTTAATTACGACTTTCTCTTGACATTTGCAGCTTAACAGCCAATAAATCACATACAACTGCGATCCATGAGAAGATAAAGCCGTTAAAATTATTTCAAAGTATTAAAGAGTACATAAGCCATTTTATAAGTTTAAGAAAATTCTTTTTAAAGTACATTTTAGGTAGACAAAACCCCTTATAATGGTATTCTATGTGTAGAAAAAGTAAAGTCATGTGGGGCGTAGAGTACTTCCTATTCCTAGCAATTGACGTGGCACGTGAGGTCACCGACTTCAAGGAGCAATTAGAAGCTCTGACTGCACAGGGACGACTAAGGGCCCCGAGGGGGGGAGGAGAGGGGCAGGCACTCGGACGCTTACAGCAGACCGCCCGAACTTTCAGTGCTTTTAAACTCTGCTTCGGGTCCTAGCCATAATTACGTTCACGCTCCTCCTATATGGCTGCGACGAAGGCTTCTCTGTGGTCCACATTTCCACGCCCTCCCACCATGGCAGCATTGATGAGGCGCGTCCCTCTGGTCTGCTCCTGACTTGGTGCAACACCCCATGTCCTCGTAACCCTCAACCAGACATGGCACAAGACCAGGCAGAGCACAGATACCCACCGCCTCCTCCCGAGCATCACGTTCTCGTACCAGCTGTCAACGTGGTCGAAGCGAAGCCATTCTTCCCCTCTCCCTGCGTGGATGTGACCACACACCACAACTTTGGGCCTTACCCTCCAGACTTCAGCAAGCAGCCTTCCACAGCCCTTTCCCCCATCGTCTAGATGCCCTTTGGGCGGTCCATGCATCAGCATGACGTCTGTGTCGGCCGGCGCTGTGCCCAAGGTCTCCCTATCGCCATCTCCCTTCCCGTACTGGAATGCCCAGTTTCCACACCGTGGTGTCCATGGGCTGCCAAACACGCGGATGGACCTGTTTTTCCCCTCGACGGCGATGTCCAGTGACCCGCGCTCCAGATATTGGACGCCCCCCCAGTCGAGATCGTTTCTGCGCTGGCCGGGGTGCCGGTCCAGTTCACGGTCTGGGTTCGTAGAAACGAAGACGGAGTCAAGGAGTAGGTCGTGATTGCCAGCAATGACAACCTTGTGTGGGTGCGGCTGCGCGGCAAGCCATGACAGTTGTGCCTGTATCTCTGCAAAGGTGCCGAACTGCGACAAGTCCCCGGCATGGAGGAGAATGTCGCCTGGAGGGAGAGACAAGGGAGTGGTATTGTGAGTGTCAGAGACGCATACTAATGTAACTGGGCTGGGAGCAGTCGAAGCTGCCGCTTGATTTGCACCCTCGAGTTGTCGCGTTGCATGATAGAGCCTGGTTGCGAGCCGCTGGGGCAAACTCTCCTGCTTTGGAAGCCCAACAAACGGTTTGCTTATTGTCTGAATCGGCACGATGGATGAAGGATGGAGTAGGAACAGAGAGGCAGCCTTAGCCTGGGGCCCTGGAGGATTCAAGAGGCCCAGACATGTCTAGCGTGTTTGATTGGTTGGTTTGGTTCCGTTGGGTGGAACTTCAAGTGGAAGCACTCTGAGTCTCTGACATGACGCTTCGAGGCGCCTACAACCCATAATGATTCCAACGAACCAGAGAGAGGCCGAAGGAGCGCAGATTTGGAAACTTCCAATAGCCCCTGACGGGCTACCTTACAGGCCGCAACAGACTTGTAACCAGTCATGGTGGACCGGCAAACTCGTTGGTTTAGAAATAGTAAATTGGCGCCAGCTCTGCGGTAGAATGCAATAACGACCGTTTGCTAATCCGTCACCTTCAGACGGCGACCCTCAGTGACCGCTGAGGTACTTCGCGAATATAAAAGGACAGGCAGTGTGAGGGAACGATCATGTGACTTTCATACTTTATGAAATGTCTCACTTTGATTCATGTAAATAGCGAAAGTCAGAGTCTTCCTTAGGAACCTCCTTCTCTCTTCGTAGACAATCACTTTACCCAAGTCGCACCCGACCTTGTTCGTGCACTTGTACCGTCACATATTGTCTACCAACTACCCCTCCTCAATAGATCACCGTCCGCGACGTGACTATTGATTTCGATAGTTCTAAACCGCACTTGTCGCTTTCAAACCTCACCAAAACACCCTGCAACCAAATTCTCACCTAAACCACCACACCGTCAACAACCCAATGGCTACCGCTGCCCCACACCCGTCGATCGAGTGCCCCCTGCCCCTCCTCAACGCCAGCAATACCAATGAAACGTTCCGAAATGCCTTTGTTGCTAACCCAGCCGGTCTCATGAAAGAAGTCTTCCTCGTATGCAATGCCGCATACAGTATGCAAGCGGTAATCGATTCACTACGTGCCTCGACCACGACGACAATAAGGGACATGGAGGACCTCCAAACCCGCCTAGAAAACACGCTCATTTCTAAAAGTGATGGAGACGCAACGATCGCCCGTCTTATGGCAGAAAATGAAGCATACCTAAAGATCATTCAGTCAAAGGAGCTTCACACCGCACACCAGAACACCCTGATCCTGAGGCCTTCACCGGAGAGGACCCCACGCTTCTGCCGAATTTCCTCCAGCACCTCGAGTTGAAGCTCGAAATGAATAAAGATTGGTGGAACTCGGAACCTCAACGTATGGGATATGTCGTCTCATGCCTTAAAGGCAAAGCACATGACCAAGTCCGCTACAACATTAAAGATGGGGTGGTTCTCTTCGACGATGTCAATGCCATAAAAGCACCCTTCAGTCAGCCTTCGGGGATATTGACGCTAAAGCTACCGCCCAACTCAAAATCTTTGACATGAAACAAGGCCATAGATCCCTTACGACATTCCTCCCGAATGGTATGCCGTCGCCAAGCTCACCGAGTGGGATAGTGGGGCGCTCATTGCTCACCTCCGACGTGCCCTCCACGACAACGTTATCTGGAGACTTTCTCTCACTAAGGGCAAAGATACACCTACCGAACTTAGTCAATTTATGGACCTTGTCCGTATCTGCGATAACGAATGCCGTCAAGTCAATGCCAATTACTTCAAGAAAAACACCGACAACTCAGCAAGTCACAAAGCAACCTTACAACCTCCACCACGCCACAATCGACGACCTCTAACGGCGGGGATTCAATGGATTTGAGCGTCATCACCTGGGGGCCAAAGATGTCGCCTCTGGTCGTAGACCCCAAACGGAAGCAGAGAGCGGCACGCAGAGCCTATTGCACAACGCATGGACTCTGCCATTGGTGCAGCTCGGCAAACATCGTTCCTCAATTGCGACACCGCACCATGGAGGACGGAAAAAGTGTAGTCTCCGACGGAAGTCGCCGCAGGAGACGCAAGAAAAAGGGCGATCTACTGCTCTCTTCTCTGGACACCAACCAAGCTCATTTGCTACTGCCTTGTAACCTAATCGAAGACAATTCCACTCCGATTAAAACCGAAGCAATGCTTGACTCAGGTGCCACCGGAAAGGGGTTTATAGACGAATCCTTCGCGCACACCAACAAACTCACGCTTTATGAATTACGAAACCGTCGCCGGCTGAACGTAGTCGATGGAAGACCCTCCTCGGCTGGCGACATCACTCATGTGGTGAAGCTCAACATGGACATCAAGGGACACAAGGAGAAGATGCTTTTTTACGTAACGAAGCTTGGGAAGTATAATGTCATACTTGGAAAACCCTGGCTAACAGATCACAACCCAATCGTCAATTGGAGCACGAATGTGGTCACTTTCAACTCTGATCACTGCCGCAAATACTGCATGGAGAAAGGACAATACCAACTGCCTGTTTCTGGAGCTCCCTCTTTGTCAAGTTCTGCAACCACGACTATACTGCCACGCCCATCAATCCCCCGAAGAGTCGGCGCAGCCGCATTCCACATGCTGACCAAAAACCGCGACGTCGACGTATTCTCATTATCACTGTATGAGATCGACAAAAGGCTGGCTGAACTTGGGGTCATCACAGAAGCCTCCACCTTCGTAGAACCTAAAACACGCCGACGGGTCCGATTCGACTCTGCACTCACAGACATGGACAAGATGAACCGAGAGCTCCAGCTACAGGACGGAATCACCTCCCTTAACCCCAAGGACCAACAAACACAGGAACCTGAGCTTCCCGGAAAATAGCAGCCGATATGTACCTTTCAGGGCATCACTCGAAGACATTCACAAAGCCCTCGAACCCAAGACTTTGATCGATCCTGCAACAAAAGTACCACAACACTACCATGAATTCTTGAAGGCATTCGACCAATCAGAGGCGGATAAACTCCCCCCACACCGAGACTGCGACCACGAAATTGAACTTCAACCTGGAACGACTCCACCACATGGACCTCTGTACGGGATGTCCCAAGACGAACTTCTCGTCCTCCGGAAATTCCTTCAGGAAAACCTTGACAAGGGTTTTATACGCGCTAGCACCTCACCGGCGGCCTCGCCGGTGTTATTTGCAAAGAAGCCAGGAGGGGCCTTCGTTTTGCGTGGACTACCGAGCTCTTAACGCGATAACCATCAAGAACCGCTACCCGCTACCGTTAATCCAGGAGACACTTTCTCAGCTAAGCCAAGCCAAGTATTTCACCAAACTCGATGTCGTCGCAGCGTTCAATCGAATACGCATCAAGGAGGGTCAGGAGTGGATGACGGCGTTCAACACAAGATATGGTCTCTTCGAGAGCATGGTGATGCCTTTGGACTATCAAACGCCCCAGCTACCTTTCAAGCTCGAATCAACGAAGTCTTACGCCCATTCCTTGATAGATATTGCACAGCCTACATCGACGACATTCTCATCTACTCAGACGACCTCGCCACCCACAGACTCCACGTCAAATCAGTACTTCAAGCACTTGAAGCCGCAGGCCTACAACTTGACGTCAAGAAATGCGAATTTGAGACTACTGAAGTTAAATATCTGGGCATGATCATCTCAACCACTGGAGTACGGATGGACCCAGAGAAAGTCGACTGTCTCATCAACTGGGAGGCCCCTATCAACGTCAAAGATGTTCAAGCCTTCTTAGGATTCTCGAATTTCTACAGACGGTTCATCAAGGGATTTTCACGCATCGTACGACCACTTGTTGCCCTGACACGGAAACTAGTCAAATGGAACTGGACTTCATCGTGCCAAGAAGCATTCGATATGCTCAAAAATAGCTTCACTTCAGCGCCAATCCTCAGACACTTCGACCCCGCAAGAGAAGTGTTTGTCGAATGCGACGCATCCGATTTTGTCTCTTCGGGCATCCTCTCCCAGGAAGATGATCAAGGAGTGCTACACCCAGTGGCTTTCTGTGAGGGAACGATCATGTGACTTTCATACTTTATGAAAGGTCCCGCTTTTATTCATGTAAATAGCGAAAGTCAGAGTCTTCCTTAGGAACCTCTTTCTCTCTTGTAGACAATCACTTTACCCAAGTCGCACTCGACCTTGTTCGTGCACTTGTACCGTCACATATTGTCTACCGACTACCCTTCCTCAATAGACCACTGTCCGCGACGTGACTATTGATTTCGATACCTCTAACCTCACCAAAACACCCTGCAACCAAATTTCCACCTAAACCACCACCACCGCACCAAATTCACCAATCAACGAATCAGCAAACCAACAAACCAACAAATCACAATCGCAAAGTCAACTAAAACGTAACGAAACTGTCGAACGCCACCTGCACTATAGCCATCACCGTCAACAACCCAATGGCTACCGCTACCCCACACCCGTCGATCGAGTGCCCCCCTGCCCCCTCCTCAACGCCAGCAATACCGATGAAACGTTCCGAAATGCCTTTGTTGCTAACCCAGCCGGTCTCATGAAAGAAGTCTTCCTCGTATGCAATGCCGCATACAGTATGCAAGCGGTAATCGATTCACTACGTGCCTCGACCACGACGACAAATAGGGCAATGGAGGACCTCCAAACCCGCCTAGAAAACACGCTCATTTCTAAAAGTGATGGAGACGCAATGATCGCCCGTCTTATGGCAGAAAATGAAGCGTACATAAAGATCATTCAGTCAAAGGAGCTTCACACCGCACACCAGAACACCCTGATCCTGAGGCCTTCACCGGAGAGGACCCCACGCTTCTGCCGAATTTCCTCCAGCACCTCGAGTTGAAGCTCGAAATGAATAAAGATTGGTGGAACTCGGAACCTCAACGTATGGGATATGTCGTCTCATGCCTTAAAGGCAAAGCACATGACCAAGTCCGCTACAACATTAAAGATGGGGTGGTTCTCTTCGACGATGTCAATGCCATAAAAACACCCTTCAGTCAGCCTTCGGGGATATTGACGCTAAAGCTACCGCCCAACTCAAAATCTTTGACATGAAACAAGGCCATAGATCCCTTACGACATTCCTCCCGAATGGTATGCCGTCGCCAAGCTCACCGACTGGGATAGTGGGGCGCTCATTGCTCACCTCCGACGTGCCCTCCACGACAACGTTATCTGGAGACTTTCTCTCACTAAGGGCAAAGATACTCCTACCGAAATTAGTCAATTTATGGACCTTGTCCGTATCTGCGATAACGAATGCCGTCAAGTCAATGCCAATTACTTCAAGAAAAACACCGACAACTCAGCAAGTCACAATGCAACCTTACAACCCTCCACTACGCCACAATCGACGACCTCTAACGGCGGGGATTCAATGGATTTGAGCGTCATCACCTGGGGGGCCAAAGATGTCGCCTCTGGTCGTAGACCCCAAACGGAAGCAGAGAGCGGCACGCAGAGCCTATTGCACAGCGCATGGACTCTGCCATTGGTGCAGCTCAGGCAAACATCGTTCCCTCAATTGCGACACCGCACCATGGAGGACGGAAAGTGTAGTCTCCGACGGAAGTCGCCGCAGGAGACGCAAGAAAAAGGGCGATCTACTGCTCTCTTCTCTGGACACTAACCAAGCTCATTTGCTACTGCCTTGTAACCTAATCGAAGACAATTCCACTCTGATTAAAACCGAAGCAATGCTTGACTCAGGTGCCACTGGAAAGGGGTTTGTAGACGAATCCTTCGCGCACGCCAACAAACTCACGCTTTATGAACTACGAAACCGTCGCCGGCTGAACGTAGTCGATGGAAGACCCTCCTCGGCTGGCGATATCACTCATGTGGTGAAACTCAACATGGAAATCAAGGGACACAGGGAGAAGATGCTATTTTACGTAACGAAGCTTGGGAAGTACAATGTCATACTCGGAAAACCCTGGCTGACAGATCACAACCCAATCGTCAATTGGAGCACGCAGACTTGCAAATAGATAAATCAAATCAAATCCGGGGTCCAATTTGATTTGATTTGGATGGCAAAATCATGGATCTGATTTGATTTGATTTGATTTGAGTCGATTTGGATCTCATTTGGATATCTGGATAACTCCACTTTTTTCCCACGACGAAATACACTGAGCCGCCCCGATAAGGTCCGCTTTGAGGCGGCCTCTCTGAGCTGTGACCATCTGTCCGGCAAGGCTAAATATTCTCTCCGGCTCTGAAGACATTGCCGGAATAGAAAAGAGGTCGATTGCCATTCGCGACAAGCGTGGATACTGGCGTCTGCGGAGAAGCCAGTACTGGATGGGATTGTCCACAAGACAATCGCCCGGATCGGTACTGGCCACCCATTCTGCGTATTCGTCACGCGTGGAGGACGGTGAGGGCGCAGGTTGGGCGCCAAGTTTCCTAATTGAGGTCATGAAGTCATCTAGGTCCGTTGTCTTCCTTGCAGCTGTGGGCTCCTCGGGTATCGTATCTTGCTCGACCGCGAGGGTTCGGTACTCCTCCCATAGCTCTTGCACAGCCGCCCTTCCTCTGGCCAACCAGTCCGGATGATCGGACCACTGCGACTCGACGGTGGACCAGCGAAACGCGGGATGGAGGACGAGGCTCGCGAGGTACGCAGGGCTATCCTCCGTAAGGGCGTAGTATTGATCCAGCTTCATCCAGCCGAGATTGCAGCCGATTCGCAGGTACGGTTCCTCGTCCCGTTCGTGCTGTAGCTTTGCCTCTTCTAGGTGCTTCAGAAGCCACTCCATTGTGAGCAAAACTTCCCAAATCGCGCCGAATTTGCCTTGTCGTGGCTGGCCCTCTAGGCGCTTTGTCGCGATCTTCAATGGTTTCAGGATCGCCAAATACTCTGCAATAACGGACCAGTCCTCAGTGACCATCTGGTCGTCCACAATTGTAGGCTTCTTGCGGCACTTCTTCGGCATCGGCTTTGCCCCGTGCTGTGTCCTTCTCGCCACATATTGATTCCACTCTGTCACTTCCGCTTGGACCAGCGAATCGAGTGCATTGCGAAGCATGTAGCCCCGCTCCATCATCGCTTCGGACGAGTTCCAGCGAGTAGCGTTGTCCATGACCACATCGTAGGTTGTTTTGTCTTCGAGGCCCAGGGCGGTGTTCTCGATGGATTGGAGCATGTGGAGCCTTTCAATGCGCTGCCCAGACCTTTCCACCCAGTGAACGATATTGTGCAACTTGCCGATGGGGCCCTTGATCTCCAGAGTCTGACCTCATCTTGGATCTCTTTGTTGGCTTGGCAATCCTCTTCGAACGCGTCGGCGTCCGTGCCGAAAAGGATGGATCGGGCGACGAGGTTGATGATGTGGCCGCAGCAACGGAGCCGACGATGCTGCTTGTTGAACCCCAACTCAGCGCCCAAGTCTTCAAGGCACGTGTCGTTGCTCTCCGCATTGTCTGTGACAAAATATCCAACGCGATCCTCGAACCCATACTCGTGGATTATCTCGCTGACACGGTCGGCCAGGTTTTCTCCACAGTGGCGACCTTCAATCCGTGGCAAGCCGAGGAGAAACGTACGGAACTTCCTTCGTCATCAATAAAGTGTACGGTAAGGCCGAGCAGAGATGTGAATTTTCGGGAGGACCAAGCATCAAAGGAGACGTTGATGCGGCTGAGCGACCGACGAAGCAATTCCGTCACGACACCTTTGTGACAATTGAAGGAGCGCACAATCCAGTCGCGTATTGTGCTATGAGTGGGAATACTGCCCGAATCCGCAATTGCGCTGTTCGCGTAAGCCATAAGGTCGCGAAAGTACGGACTCTCCAGTTTGTGGAATGGTATGTTGTCGCATGCCACCCAGCGTATCAAGAGATGTTGAAAGCGAAGCGGTTCAAAGGACGAGATGAAGGCATTCATCAGAGCCTGATCCTTCGGTCGGTTGGAGTCTAGGTCAACCACGTCGAAAAGAGTGCGTTGCTTCTTCCTCTGTGGTAGCATTGGCCCGCCTTTGTTGATGTGGTGAATTTCTTCCATGTGACTGTTCGCTTGACTTGTGGATGCAGCATCGTACATATGGGTAATTGTAGCCTTCTTCCCGTGGCAGGCCTTGCAAAGCCAAAACCGATGACCGGAATCGGTTTTCTCGATATCGAACCCATGCTCCCATACCCATCCCGTCCGCGCTCTTTTCTATACTTGCGTATGGAGAAACCGAGAGGCGATTCCAATCGATGCCTTCATATCCAACGTAGTCGATCGAAGGTGATGTGTCAAGGTCGGGGGAGCTCTCGGGAGCGCTAAAACTGGTGGACGGGACACTAGAAAGGGCGGCTGACAGCGCCTCGCCTTCTGCTGTATGCGCCATTGCAGTCAAGTGCAGAGCTGTCCCATTTGGCCACCGGCTACAAATATTTCCCAGTAATATGGCAGACGCACCCAAAGATATATTTCACGATCAAACGTGTCAGGTAAAACGCAAAAAGAAAGCTTAGTGACACGGCCTGGAAAAGCAACTGCCAGTAAGGGATTTCCCGGTGATCTGCCGGATCGGGCGATTCGCCGGATTCACCGCCAGTTCACGTCTCCACTTCAATCCTGAATTTCTCCACCACCATGGCCCCGATTGATGAAGCGCTTGAGTTTCTGAAGCTGTGTGACACTGTTAACTATGCCAAGACTGCGCGTCAGTTCAATTGCGACGAGACTACCCTGCGACGGCGACACCAAGGCAAACAGAGGTCAAGACGGGATGCCGACAGTTTGTATAAGTCACGTCTCTCAAAACAGCAAGAAAGGGATCTTGTTGCGTATATTCGCAAGCTTTCATCACGTGGGATTCCGCCTACGCTGCCGATGATCAAAAGTTTTGCCCAGGATATCGCCAAAATTGAGGTCGGAAAGGACTGGCCGTATAGCTTCGTCCGACGTAACAGCGATGAGCTCGGTTGCACTTGGTTCGACGGTTTTGATATCGCAAGAAAGAGAGCAGACAATGCTTCTAGATACAGAGCCTACTATGAGCTTGTAAGTAGGTGCCCAAGTCCATCCCTTCATTGCTGATCGTACAAGATTGGCGAGAAAATCGAGAAATACGACATCCTGCCTTGCAACACGTATAATGTGGACGAAAAGGGCTTTCTCCTCGGCGTCATCAATCGTACCAAGAGAGTATTCTCTGTTCGTGCCAAGAAGCAAGGAAAATTGATCGGTGCTGCGCAGGATGGCAACAGATCATGGATCACGTTCCTGGCATGTGTCTGTCAAGACCTGACCGCGCTACCCCCGTTTCTCATCTACCAAGGCAAGCCAGGGCAAGTTCAGGACTCCTGGCTCACGGAGTTTGATCCGGAGCACCAAGCGGCGTTTTTCACAACCTCAGAAACGGGTTGGACGAACCATGAACTTGGAAAGGAATGGCTCATTGGTGTTTTCGACCGGTTCACGAAAGAAAAGGCGCGAAACGGCCGGGATTACCGCCTCCTGATTACCGACGGACACTCTAGTCATGTCAATATGGACTTCCTGGAGTGGTGTGACCAGCATCGGATAATCGTTGCCGTGTTTCCGCCGCATTCCACGCACAGGCTGCAGCCCTTGATGTGTCCCTTTGGCCCTCTTTCGACCGCATACACCAACCAGCTCATCCAGTGGACTGCAAAGACACAGGGACTCATCGGGCTATCGAAACGCGAGTTCTGGTCGTTATTTTGGAACGCATTCGGGTCATCTTTCTCGGCGGAGAACATCGCAAGTGGTTGGAAACGGACCGGACTCCTCCCATTTGACCCTGAAGTCGTTTTGTCGCAGATCGCGGAGAAAACAGAAGATGAGTCTGAGTCTGGCGACAGCTCCGTTGACTCGCTCGCCCTGCAGCAGCCCACTGCTCGGGATTTGCGCCGACTTGTCGACAAGGTAGTCGATGGATCCTCAAAAACGCTAGCCGAGACAGTCGGAAGCTCAAAGTACTCTCGAAAGTCTCCAATCTCAGAACGAATTGCTTCGATATGAGAATCAGGGACTTCGGGAGACTATCTTTCACGAAAAGCAGCGCAGAATGCGCGGTAAAGCTCTGAAGGATTACCTTTTCGATCGTGTAGATCCTAACTCGGCGCAGGTATTTAGCCCTGCAAAAGTGGCCCAAGCGCGCTTGAAGAAAGCAGCCATGGAGACTCAGAAGCAAGAAGAGGCCTTGGAGAAAGAACGACAAAGGTTTGAGCGACAGCAAAGGCGGCAAACCTCAAAGTTCTCGCTCTGGAGAAGAGAAGGCAGCGGGAGGCAAAACTGAGCAAAGACGTCAGGCAAAGGAAGCCAGACAACAAGAGCGGGAGAAAAACAGGCAGATACGGAAAGAGCTCAAGCGAAAGAACCAGAAAAAATGTCGGAAATGGGATCCGATCTCTGTTGCTCCACAGACTCGCGAGAAGAGTCCGGGCGTTCGAGACGAGATTGTCGTCGCCATTTCGGCTCCACCAGAACCGACGACAGCTCCGGAACACTCAAAATCGCCAAACATTAAGTTGCGTAAAGATCCAAAGCCGGCATTGACCACTTCCTCACGTCCCAAAAAGCCATCATTGGCTGTCGAGCGCGACCAGGAGATGGTAGTCGCAATGCGGGGACTTGCGCGATCGGGACGCCACAGGAAGCGGCCACGGTGGCTTGATGACTGCGAAGTAGATTGAATGGAATTGCTAGGCATCTTTCTTGCTTCTGCTTTAATGTGAGATTGTTTCATATTATTTTCGTGGAGTTTCACTCAAATCTTCACCGGAATGCAAGGGAACCAAAATCCGGCGAATCATCCGATCCGGCAGATCACCGGGAAATCCCTTAATAAGCGACCGCTCTGGGCCAGGGCTGGCTCCCAAAAATTATTGGCCCAGGTCGCCATTGTGGGGCGTATCCAAATAATCAGATATCCAAATAAATTTGGATGTTGCGATTTGATTTGATTTGATTCAGCGCAGGGGCAATTTGATTTGATTTGATTTGGATAAATTTGATTTGATTTGATTTGATTTGATTATGATTTATCTATTTGCAAGTCTGGGAGCACGAATGTGGTCACTTTCAACTCTGATCACTGCCGCAAATACTGCATGGAGAAAGGACAATACCAACTGCCTGTTTCTGGAGCTCCCTCTTTGTCAATTTCTGCAACCACGACTATACTGGCACGCCCATCAATCCCCCGAAGAGTCGGCGCAGCCGCATTCCATATGCTGACCAAAAACCGCGACGTCGACGTATTCTCACTATCACTGTATGAGATCGACAAAAGGCTGGCTGAACTTGGAGTCATCACAGAAGCCTCCACCTTCGTAGAACCTAAAGCACGCCGAAGGGTCCGATTCGACTCTGCACTCACAGACATGGACAAGATGAACCGAGAACTCCAGCTACAGGACGGAATCACCTCCCTTGACCCCAAGGACCAACAAACACAGGAACCTGAGCTTCCCGGAAAACGGCAGCCGATATGTACCTTTCAGGGCATCACTCGAAGACATTCACAAAGCCCTCGAACCCAAGACTTTGATCGATCCTGCAACAAAAGTACCCCAACACTACCATGAATTTTTGAAAGCATTCGACCAATCAGAAGCGGATAAACTCCCCCCACACCGAGACTGCGACCACGAAATTGAACTTCAACCTGGAACGACTCCACCACATGGACCTCTGTACGGGATGTCACAAGACGAACTTCTCGTCCTCCGGAAATTCCTTCAGGAAAACCTTGATAAGGGTTTCATACGCGCTAGCACCTCACCGGCAGCCTCGCCAGTGTTATTTGCAAAGAAACCAGGAGGGGGCCTTCGTTTTTGCGTGGACTACCGAGCTCTTAACGCGATAACCATCAAGAACCGTTACCCCCTACCGTTGATCCAGGAGACCCTTTCCCAGCTAAGCCAAGCCAAGTATTTCACCAAACTCGATGTCGTCGCAGCGTTTAATCGAATCCGCATCAAGGAGGGTCAGGAATGGATGACGGCGTTCAACACAAGATATGGTCTCTTCGAGAGCATGGTGATGCCTCTGGACTATCAAACGCCCCGGCTACCTTTCAAGCTCGAATTAACGAAGTCTTACGCCCATTCCTTGATAGATATTGCACGGCCTACATCGACGACATTCTCATCTACTCAGACGACCTTGCCACCCACAGACTCCACGTCAAATCAGTACTCCAAGCACTTGAAGCCGCAGGCCTACAACTTGACGTCAAGAAATGCGAATTCGAGACTACTGAAGTCAAATACCTGGGCATGATCATCTCAACCACTGGAGTACGGATGGACCCAGAGAAAGTCAACTGTCTCATCAACTGGGAGGCCCCTATCAATGTCAAAGATGTCCAAGCCTTTTTAGGATTCTCAAATTTCTACAGACGGTTCATCAAGGGATTTTCACGCATCGTACGACCACTTGTTGCCCTGACACGGAAGCTAGTCAAATGGAACTGGACTTCATCTTGCCAAGAAGCATTCGATATGCTCAAAAATAGCTTCACTTCAGCGCCAATCCTCAGACACTTCGACCCCGCAAGAGAAGTGTTTGTCGAATGCGACGCGTCCGATTTTGTGTCTTCGGGCATTCTCTCCCAGGAAGACGATCAAGGAGTGCTACACCCAGTGGCTTTCATGTCCAAGAAGTACGACCCCGCTGAGTGCAATTACGAGATATATGACAAAGAACTTTTGGCTATTGTACGCTGCTTCGAATGCTGGAGACCCGAACTCCAAGGCACACACCACCAGATTACAGTCATCACTGACCATGCCAACCTTCGATATTTCATGACAACCAAGCAACTTTCAAGACGACAAGTCAGGTGGAGCGAATTCCTATCACAGTTCCAATTCGCTATCAAGTCAGTGCCTGGGAAAGAGAACGGAAAGCCTGACTCACTCACACGGAGATCACAAGACTTACCGAAAGATGAAAATGACGACCGCATCCAGTACCAACAACAGTCGCTGCTTAAGCCTTCCAACATAGACTCCTCTGTACAAGAACAACTAAGGCTTGACCCCGAGCTCTCAGAGCTCTTTGCAAATCTCTCCTGGGAACAAGAGATTGCACTATGTCCCGCCATTCTTGACGAAATTCAGCCAGAACCAATCAACCACAAAATCACAAGACTTCTAGACAAGGGCTATGAGGAGGACGAATGGTGGATGAAAATCAGGGACGAGATGCTCAAACCCCATGGAATTCCCCACTCAAAGGAAGTTTCTATCGGAATGCATGATAAACGAAGGCCGATTATATTTCCGAGAGAGGCTATACGTACCCGCAGGCGAACTACGGACCCTTCTCACTCAACTCGCCCATGACAGCGTCGAATCAGGCCACCCGGAAAAACAAGCTATACGAACTCATTTCACGCTCTTATTGGTGGCCAAAGCTTAGCGCCGATACGAAACAATTCACACGCAATTGCCACGGATGTCTGAGGAACAAAACCTCCCAGTTGCGGTACCAGGGGACATTGAAACCGCTCCCAATTCCCTTGCAAAGATGGAGAGACTTATCCGTTGACTTCATTGGCCCAATTCAGCGCACAGCTCGTGGATTCAACGCAATCATGGTGGTAGTCGATAGGCTGTCAAAGGACAGACATTTCACGCCCTGCAAGACCGACATGAAAACACATGACTTGGCAACACTCTTCGTACGAGATGTCTGGAAACTCCATGGACTACCGGATTCATTCGTGTCTGATAGAGGACCACTGTTTGTCTCGGAATTCTGGAAAGCGGTTTGCCACCGTCTACGGATCAATATCAGCCTTTCTACAGCATATCACCCCGAAACTGACGGCCAGACGGAAAACGCTAACTCATTTCTCGAACAATACCTTCGCCAATATGTTAGCTTTGCTCAGGACGACTGGGACGAGTGGCTCCCATTGGCCGAATTCGCAGCCCGTAACGTTGTCAGCGATTCAACGGGAATGTCCCCATTTTTGCGAACACAGGCTATCACCCCCGAATGAGCTTTGGTCCCCCTCGCGCAATACCACTCGCGGCATCCAAAGACCTGGCAGAACGCTGCAACGAGGGGAACGAATTTGTCGCCAAGATGCAAGAAATCACTGATCTACTTCGGACAAACCTGCTCTCAGCTCAAGCCTCACAAGAGCAGTTCGCCAACGCAAATAGATCACCGGCGCCAGCTTACCGAGTTGGAGACATGGTGCTACTTAGCACACGCAACATTGATTCAGCCCGACCCATCCCAAAACTAGATCACAAGTTCATTGGCCCTTTTCGAATCGAGCGCGTGCTCAACCCTCACTCCTACCAACTGAAGTTGCCACATGAACTAGACTCAATTCACAATTCATTTCACACCAACCTCCTGCGACCGTCACCAAACGACCCGCTCCCCGGCCAATACAACACACCGCCCCCACCAATAACGCTAGATGCAAAGGGGGAGAAACTCTGGGCGATTGAAGAAATACTGGACTCGAAACGCACAAAACAGAAAGGCTTCCAGTACCATATACTATGGAGAGGCTTCGACCTTGAGCAGGCAACATGGGAACCACTACACAACGTCGTCAACGCTCACATCGCCATCAAAGAGTTCGAGAAGCACAACAAAAACAAACCCAGACCGACGAAACAAGAAGCGCAAAATGCTCGCCTACAGGCTCAGCAAGACGTGGAAGAATCAGAAGCGATGGAGTAAAGGAGGCCCATGTGTGAGGGAACGATCATGTGACTTTCATACTTTATGAAAGGTCCCGCTTTTATTCATGTAAATAGCGAAAGTCAGAGTCTTCCTTAGGAACCTCTTTCTCTCTTGTAGACAATCACTTTACCCAAGTCGCACTCGACCTTGTTCGTGCACTTGTACCGTCACACTTTCATGTCCAAGAAGTACGACCCCGCTGAGTGCAATTACGAGATCTATGACAAAGAACTTTTGGCTATTGTACGCTGCTTCGAATGCTGGAGACCCGAACTCCAAGGCACGCACCACCAGATTACAGTCATCACTGACCATGCCAACCTTCGATATTTCATGACAACCAAGCAACTTTCAAGACGACAAGTCAGGTGGAGCGAATTCCTATCACAGTTCCAATTCGCTATCAAGTCAGTGCCTGGGAAAGAGAACGGAAAACCTGACTCACTCACACGAAGATCACAAGACTTGCCGAAAGATGAAAATGACGACCGCATCCAGTACCAACAACAGTCGCTGCTTAAGCCTTGCAACGTAGACTCCTCCGTACAAGAACAACTAAAGCTTGACCCCGAGCTCTCAGAACTCTTTGCCAATCTCTCCTGGGAACAAGAAATTGCACTATGTCCCGCCATTCTTGACGAAATTCAGCCAGAACCAATCAACCACAGAATCACAAGACTTCTAGACAAGGGCTATGAGGAGGACGAATGGTGGATGAAAATCAGGGACGAGATGCTCAAACCCCATGGCACTCCTCACTCGAAGGAAGTTTTCTATCGGAATGCATGATAAACGAAGGCCGATTATATTTCCGAGAGAGGCTATACGTACCCGCAGGCGAACTACGGACCCTTCTCACTCAACTCGCCCACGACAGCGTCGAATCAGGCCACCCGGGAAAAACAAGCTATACGAACTCATTTCACGCTCTTATTGGTGGCCAAGGCTTAGCGCCGATACGAAACAATTCACACGCAATTGCCACGGATGCCTGAGGAACAAGACCTCCCGGTTACGGTACCAGGGGACGTTGAAACCGCTCCCAGTTCCCTTGCAAAGATGGAGGACTTGTCCGTTGACTTCATTGGCCCAATTCAGCGCACAGCTCGTGGATTCAACGCAATCATGGTGGTAGTCGATAGGCTGTCAAAGGACAGACATTTCACGCCTTGCAAGACCGACATGAAAGCACATGACTTGGCAACGCTCTTCGTACGAGATGTCTGGAAACTCCATGGACTACCGGATTCAATCGTATCTGATAGAGGACCACTGTTTGTCTCGGAATTCTGGAAAGCGGTTTGCCACCGCCTACAGATCAATATCAGCCTCTCCACAGCATATCACCCCGAAACTGACGGCCAGACGGAAAACGCTAACTCATTTCTCGAACAATACCTTCGCCAGTATGTTAGCTTTGCTCAGGACGACTGGGACGAGTGGCTCCCATTGGCCGAATTCGCAGCCCGTAACGTTGTTAGCGATTCAACGGGAATGTCTCCATTTTTTGCGAACACAGGCTACCACCCCCGAATGAGCTTTGGTCCCCCTCGCGCAATACCACTCGCGGCATCCAAAGACCTGGCAGAACGCTGCAACGAGGGGAACGAATTTGTCGCCAAGATGCAAGAAATCACTGATCTACTTCGGACAAACCTGCTCTCAGCTCAAGCCTCACAAGAACAGTTCGCCAACGCAAATAGATCACCGGCGCCAGCGTACCGAGTTGGAGACATGGTGCTACTTAGCACACGCAACATCGATTCGACCAGACCCATCCCCAAACTAGATCATAAGTTCATTGGCCCTTTTCGAATCGAGCGCGTGCTCAACCGGAAAGGCTTCCAGTACCATATACTATGGAGAGGCTTCGACCTTGAGCAGGCAACATGGGAACCACTACAGAACGTCGTCAACGCTCACATCGCCATCAGAGACTTCGAGAAGCACAGCAAAAACAAACCCAGACCCACGAAACAAGAAGTGCAAAATGCTCGCCTACAGGCTCAGCAAGACGTGGAAGAATCAGAAGCGATGGAGTAAGGGAGGCCCATGTGTGAGGGAACGATCATGTGACTTTCATACTTTATGAAATGTCTCACTTTGATTCATGTAAATAGCGAAAGTCAGAGTCTTCCTTAGGAACCTCCTTCTCTCTTCGTAGACAATCACTTTACCCAAGTCGCACCCGACCTTGTTCGTGCACTTGTACCGTCACAGGCAGATGTCGTTTTGTTGTCACGAAAACAGGAACTCTCAAGTCCAACACAGACATTGCTCGTTCCTACACTCAACTTCTCCATATTCATACCCGGTTCTCTCCTCCCTCCACTATTGTTGCCTTTGCCCTCACCATGTGTTTTGGATCAAAGAGCGATGATGCTTCAGCACCGGCGCCACGACGCCGACAACAACGAAGGAATGGTGACCCTAGACGACAGGATATTCCGTTGCAGCGCATGGACATTAGCGGGCCCGTGACGCCGCCAGGCCAAGTTCCCGCTCCAGTACGAGACGAGCGTGGACTGTGGAGGCAATATGTTCAACATGAGGTGACGGGCCCGACTCTCTTGGTGGCTCTCGGCAATGTAGCGCAATTGCTTCACGGGCGTGGCGAAAATATCGTCCTGGTCGCCGTTGGTGGCGCGGTTAATACCATCCTCCTTCAGCCACGGAATACAACGCACGATGTGGACTTCTTTTGTCGACTTTTATCTGAGCCGCATCTTGGAAATCTTCGCGAGGCTGGACGAGTGGCGGTTGAGAGAAGTTCCGCTCCTTTGAGCCAAGATTGGCTTAACAATGCAACCGCTAGAATGCCAGGCGTGGTTGAAAATGTCGACAGCCTCATCGAAGAGGCCGTTGCTCAGAACGCTGTCATATTCAACGGCCCAGGACTGAAGGTGGTCGCCGCTCCCTGGAACTACTCTTTTATCAAAAAGGTAAGCCGCATCACATAAGGAACGGCCCGTCCCTATGACAGTGCCGACGCCGTGGCCTATCTCAGGGAGTTCATCAGGACGAGCAACTCGAACCGGCCTGTAACGTTTGAGACAATTCAGCACTGGGGACACCAGTACAAGGCGCTTTGTCCGATTGGGACGCTATGGGAAACAAACGAACTCTACAAACAGACACATGGGGTAGATGGAATCCTCTTTCCAAGGCAGGGTGGATCGCGTGGTGCACGTCGAAGTCGGCGTTGATGGTACGTGTGTTTCGAAGCGCATGGCCACTTGACCTATTAGTTACGCGCTATTCGCGTGAGGAGGAAACTTGGGTCCCTGAGCTAAAGCATAGCATGGGAAAAGGAGCCGAGTCCCTATTTATATCAGAACGTCCGTAACGTACACGTCGTTAGCAGCTTCGCCGATCAACATAGAAGAGCCTCTCTTTTGCAGCATTTGTCCCACTATTTGCACGATTCTTGTGACTTTGTCCCATTAGGCAAGCCGCCAAACCCTTTCGTACAGAAGTGCAGGCAATTCCAGCCCTACGAGGCACTGATGACACAGCCCCTTGGCTCTTGCCTGGTGACGTGACGCTCTGACGACTTCGACGCCACAAATGACTCTGCATTGCCTCGAGCATGCGAGATGAATGTATGAGCAGACATCAATTACCAGTAATCGGTCCAGTGCATGCTTCTGCACCCTGCTTCCCGCCTCGTTCAAACCTTGGGTACCTGTCAGTGGATGTTGCGAGATGGACTTGGTGGGTACCTGGAACCTTGCTGTGGTCCTACTCGAAAAGCGCAAAGAGCAACTGGCCAGAGGCGGACTGCAAGTACCTACTTCACAGATGACAATTCGACTTAGGGGAACCTGTTTTGCTGGCGGCAAAAATGCGCCTCCCCTGCATGTCAATCGGGGTTAGTTACGATTTGCACGAGAAGGGCACGATGAGCGGTACAGCGGTACTTTGTACAGGATACCCGGTACGTACTTTGATGCCCAAAGCCACTCCGTGGGAGCCCCCACGATGGGCAATTTGAGTCACCATAAAACCTCAACCTTCAAGCTCTCGACCACCGCCCGACCACTCCCAATTCCTTGTAAAGCGACGATCTCCTCACTCTCTAGTCCAGCCGCAAGTACCGAACCGGGAGTATTGCATCGACACGCCCATCGATTATCCGGCGCTTGGCGGGCGTCCTCTTGCACAATTTTCCCGCCCATTGTCAAGCTCGACGGAACCGAGGAGCTGCGCAGCACACCATGCCCTCGCTGACTGCGGGCTACGCGCCCGACCTCGAAAAGTACCTCAAGTCTCTCAAAGGCCAGCCATTGGCGGCGTCAACCGAGAACCTCATATCGTGCGTCGCGCCCACACCCGGCGCATTCGTCGCTCTACCGGCCTGTGACACTAACTGGTTACTCGGCAGACTCCTGAAGCGAAGACAGATCCGGGGCTCCGAGCCCTGCGCCGTCGCAACCGCCCATATACTCCTTCAGGTCGTCGCCAGGTCCAAGTGGCAAGACGTCGACGGCCTCCTCGAAAATGTCAGCGCCACGGGCCGTCGCCTGGTCGAGGCCCAGCCCAAGGAGCTCGTCGTCGCCAACATTGTCCGGCGCGTGCTTGCCCTGGTCCGCGACGAGGCCGCCGAGGACCGCAACGAGCCGTCGAGCGAGACCCAGAGCGAGGCCCTCATGACCCCGACCGACCCTGCCCTGTCACACAACTGGCCGCTCACGACGTACGCGAAGCAAGACTCGGCCGGCGACTACATCTCCAACAGCGCGGCGCCTCAGCCGCCGTCACGGCCGGGGCCCATCTCGTCGTACAGCTCCGTCAACGTTCCCAAGTCGCTGTTCCACCTGCTATCGGCGTCGCCCACGGAAGGCTTCACCTCCATGAGCCCGCCTTTCCGAAACTCGGGCACGTCGACGCCCACCAGCAAGGGCGCCCACGCCAACAGCCAGGTCCACGCCCTGCGGTCAGAGGTGATTGACGGCATCGAGGAAATCAAGGACGAGATCAGCCAAGTGGACGACCAGATTGCGGCCTTGGCCGAGGTGCAGATTCACCCCGGGGATCACGTCCTCGTGCACCAGCCCTCGCCCACGGTGGAGCGCTTCATCCTCCGCGCGGCGCTCAAGCGCAGGTTTACGGTGCTGGTCGCAACCGAGGCGCCGCGAAGAGGAGTCGAGGACGACGCGCAAGTCGCAGCGTTCCGGAAGAAGCTGTCGGCAGCGGGCATCACGGCAATCTGCGTCAGGAGCACGGCCCTGATGGCATACATGTCACGCGTGGATAAGGTGATTCTGGGCGCCAGGGCAGTCGTGGCCAACGGCGGCGTGGTGGCGGACTCTGGGGCGGCGGCCATTGCGCGGGCGGCGCAGGAGATGGGCAGCGGCGTGGTGGTGCTGACGGGCGTGTACAAGCTCAGCCCGGAGAACGCGTTTGATGAGGCGTCCCTGATTGAGTGGGGAGACTCGTCGACGTTTGTGAGCTTTGCCGACGGGCCGCTGGTGAGTGGGGTTGAGGTCCGGAGCGCGGTGACGGAGCTGGTGCCGCCGGAGCTCATTGACACTTATATCACCAACCTGTAAGTCAAGGGAAGCTTGCGGGGGCAAGCTTGAGACTGACAGATGGCAGGGGAACTCATTCGCGCGATCACTTGGCGAGCTTGATTGCGGACCACTACAAGCAGGAAGATGCCGACTTTCACCTCTGGAGCACGGCCGACCAATGACACTCCCGCCGATCACGGTCTTGCCAGGCTCTGCATTGAGGGTGCAACGGGACAGGGTTGCAGTGCCTCGGATGCTGGTATGCACATGGCTCGGAATCCGGCCAGTCGGATTCCTTTGCCATGCTTGTCAGGGGCCGCGTCAGCACCGGCCAGCCTTGGGGCGAACGGCTTCCCGTGAGGCTGGGGGTCCTCCAGGCTTCCACTTTGTCCGAGGCGGCATCAGCGACCGCTGCAGTCCCACCCGGCGCAGTGCTGGTAGGGGTGTGAAAGCCGTTCAAAATGCTTGCGTAACCCAGGCCGGGGGTATGGCCGGGTGGGGCAAGGATGGACCTGAACAAGCAACAAGGTCGCCAGGTATCTCGGGCGGTTCGTTTTGTGTTATTCTTCTGCTCATGAAAGTAGATGCAAGGCCTCTGCTGGGACATGGCCAGATGACGAATAGGCTCCCTAGGTAATACTGAACGAAAGTCAAGACGGCCTCCGAGTTCTGCCTGTCTCGGAGCCTCGGCCCAGCGGCCTCCAAGCCACTACACTAGTGGAAAATCCGCCTGTGGCTGGTTATGTACTACTGTTTTAGGCTCCCGCTTCCAGCAAGCTTGTTCTCGGTACCGTAGCGGCCCCGGGGCCCTGTCAAATTGTCTCTTCAATGCCAGGCGACCCTGCGCCCCCCGCGAGCTGGACCCCGGCCTGGATTTGACCTCTCATCTTTTTTCTTACTTCCCTGATCCTCCTCGTCTCCCCCCCTCCCTCCATCATCTTCCCATCCCCATCATCATCCTCTCCCATCGTCACCACCCATCAACCTCATGCCTTTGGTCCGGCCGACGATGGACAACACCACCACCCAGCCCCCAAGCAGCCTCCACGCCCAGGCCAACGAGGCGCCCCCGCCGCCCTATTCGGAGACGGACATCTACTCCAACTCGGCGCCGTCGCCTCGCGCCGCCAACGACGACGGCGCCGCCTCTCATCTGTCTTCGTCCCCCGCCGGCGACGTCATCTTAACCCCTCCCGAGACCCCTCGCACCTCGGCCTCCAACCCGCAACTTGCACTACACTCTCATCCGCTGTCCGGCGCGAGCCTTTACTTTGTGTCACGCCCTCCACCCCCGACCGGCCCCCTCGAGCCCGTTGTTCACACCGTCGACGTCCGCGGCGCCTCGTCCCCCGCCGACTTTCCCTACCCCAGCGGCTGGGCGGCCCGCGATGTCACCCCGCAGGACTGGGCCACCTTCATCAACTTCCTGCTCCCGGACCACACCACCAGGGGCAACGAGGCCGTCTTTGAGAGGAAACTGAGCGCTGAGGCCCCCCTCGACGATGCCAGCACTGTCCATGGCCGCTCGAGGGCCGAGGCCCAGCTCCATCATATTCGCGAATCCAGCCCCGACGCTGTGAGAAGGAGGACCGACGCAGACTCCACCGTCCAGCAGTGGAACGGCGGCTTCTTCGGCCCCCGCGGCATCCACATCCATCTCGTTCCTCCGCATGCACCCGAGCGCATGCCCGGTTCATGGGACACCGTCTTCGACGCACATGTGCCTCCTCATCGACCCGGCGGTCCTCAAGGCCCGCCTCCTTTCCCTCAGCAGCAGCAGCAGCAGCAGCAGCAGCAGCAGCAGCAGCAGCATCAACGCCAACAGTCGCCGCGCACCAGGACCTGGGGCGGCTTCACCATTGGCGACGATAGCATCCGGTACGGCAATAGGTTCGTCGCCGACAGCAGTGGTCTGCGCATAGGCAGCCTCGTCATGGACAACAGCGGCATTCGTATAAACGGCCAGGGCGCCGAGCCCGCATCCAGGACATATGTACGGCCCCCAGGTTTCGTTCCGCGGCCGCCCCCCATGGTCCCATTCGGAGGCCCACCGTGTGAGCCACAGCATCGCCATCGCCGCCAATACGACCATTTTGGCGGCTGGGAACATCACGACGAGAAGCATTCCAATAAGTCCTGCGAAGAGCGCGGTAGGCAGCGCCAATCTGAACCCAAGGGCGGCCTACAAAGATCCGGATCGGTCAGCTCCACATCCTCGTCCTCTTCTGCCTCGTCGTCGTCATCGGAATCCTCCATCGGATCCCTTCCCGACTATGACGACATTCGTGATCAGCAGCTACCGCTTTACGTGGAACGCCTCCAGAGCTGGACCGCGAATCCCGACAAGCCGCGCTCCAGGAGCGACGTCAAGAAGCTCAAGGCGGAACTCCAGGGCGCCAAGCATGCGCCTGTCGATCCCAATCAAGACAGAAAAGCGCTCAGGGCGCAGATGAAGGCGTTGTCTCAGCAGTGGAAGCAGCTCAAGAAACAGCAGAAGAGCGCGCGGAAAGCGGCTCGGCGAGAGCGGCAGCAAAGGCGCAGGGCAGACAAGAAGGAGCGGAGGCAGAGCCGGAGAGACACGAGAAAGTCCCGTCGGGATTACCGAAGGGGTAGAGCCGGCTCAGGTGTGCCGCCGCCTCCTCTCGTGCCCGGCATCATGCCTGCCGGGGCCGCCGCTGCCATCGAGTCAGCACACTACGCCGGCCGTGGCGGGTGTGGTCCTGGCTGGGCACGCGGCGGCGGTTTCGGCGGCTTCTTCGGCCCTTCACAGCCGGGCTTCTTTGGTGGTACCCACGGGCCGTTTGGGCACAATGGCTTCGGGGGGCGCGGGCCGCCTGGATCCCGAGTGCCCTTTGCTGATCGCGGGTCTCGCGGTTGCGGTGCGCCTTGGAGCCGCCTGGGAGCAGACTTCCTCATCCCAGGCGGCGGCGGTGGCGGTCCATGGGACGGGAACCGCCGTGGTGCACCAGGCGCCTGGCCGGACGACGCGAAGTCACCTTGCGACAGGGGCGACGGGCACGAGACCGGGACAAGCACCCCGCCGCCCGGAGCGGCGTCGGCGGCCAAGTATCGCGCCGCGGAGGATCTCGAGGCCGAGATCCGGGTCATGGCCAAGCAGGCGGCGGAGCTTGATGGGGTCGGCGGCGGGGGTGGCGGCCAGCAGGCCCTGGACAAGGAGATGGAGGCGCTGACGGAGAGGCTGGAGCGGATACGGATGGAGGCGGACGAGGCGTATGCGCGGGAGCTGGCGGCGCAGGTGGAGCACTGATGCGGTCTACAGGGGTATGTGAGCTTGTCCATGGACACGGCGAGTGACTTGAATCTTGGTCTTATGTGTGTGTGTTATATAGTAGCGTAATGACGTGAAATGACGCCTCTCTTTCCTACGAAAGCCGACTTCAAGGTCGCTTGCCAAGTAGATTGATCTGGTAATTCGTCCCCAGCGCCTTCATGTTCTCCGCGTCGTCTTTCGTCTCTGGCTAACCTCCTTCTTCATCCTCAATGTAGTCGCTTTTTGTCTACCCATGAATAATGCTATGCAGGACCGTCAACCCCCTCTCGTCCCCACGTTCGTCCACGCCGACCGCCTGTCGTCAACCACGGCGACGGGTCCAACGGAGGGCAGCAAGCACCTCAGCCTCAGCCTCCCGATCCCGCCTCACCCACCAACCCCCTCCCCGGGGGCGGATCAGTGCTTCCTCTCATCCTTCTCCACCAAGTCGCCAACCCCGAGGCCCCGACCGACGGCGACCTTGATCTTGCGCGGCTCATCCCTGCCCGGCGCCGTGGCAGCAGCAGCAGCAGCAGCGACGTCAGCCGCGGGATCATGCCCGACGTCGCCGACGGCGTCGCCCTCATCCAAGCCCTCGGTGGCGGCGCCGCCGCCGCCGTCGGCCTCGTGGTCTTCGGCGTTGGCGTTTGCGTCGTCGTCGTCGGCAAAGGCAGCGGCCGCCGCCTCGTTGGCCTGGCTGCGCAGCTTGTCGAGGTCGAGGCGCATGCAGAAGGCGTCCTCGCCGTCGGCGTAGTACTTGGGCTCCGTCTTTTCGTTGTTGAAGCCCAGCGTGTCTTCGTACAGGTGCCGCGCGGCGATGTTGGAGACGCGGACGTGTAGCGAGACGTACTTGGCCTGAAAGGTTTCGACCATGGCGAGTTCTGCAAGGCCGCCGCCGCCGCCGCCGCTCGCTTCTAGTCAGCCACACAAAATAAAACGTATTCCTCTCCCATCCATGTGAGTGTGTCTAAAAGGGAAAGGGGGAGAAGGGGTGAGTGGGGGGGGGGGAACACCTACGGCTCTGGCGCATCAGCTTCTCCGCGATTCCCAGGCGGCGGTGCGTGCGCATGACGCTGAGGCTGGTGATGTGGCCGTGCGGCACCCCGTCGGCCGGCTCCTCCTCCATCTTGGCCAGGACATAGCCGACAATCTTGGGGTAGTCGTAGGGCGAGCGGCGCGGGCGCGAGGCGTCGACGGCGACGAAGCTGAGCTGCGGCCACGACAGCGCGTGGTACAGGTAGTACTTGAGGAAGTAGTTCTCCGGCAGGTTCTCCAGGTTGGCGTGCTGGATCAGCGGTAGGTCCGCGCACGTCAGCAGCCGTACGTCCATGGTCCGTTGGCCAGCGACGCTGGAGCTGGCTGGCTGGCTAAAGGAGGAGGAGGAGGAGGAGGAAGAAGGCGTCGGCCGAGGGGGATGGATGGAGAGGCGGGCGGTAGTTGGGGCTTGTCTCTGCAGAGAAGAAGGCTGCGGAGGACAAGGGCGCGTCGTCACTCGTCGTCACTCGGGGCGCCGACCGTAGAGGAAGATGAATCGACGCGGTGCAAGCGCGGTGCAAGCGAGGGTCGTGGAGAAGCAGAGTTGCGAGCTCCAAAAATCTGCCCCTCATCAGCGGCCATCGGATTTATGTGGGCCCCGAGACCGGACCCCTCCGGCCGCCGAGACGGCCTTGCGGTGGCCGCCATCCGGAGCTCGCACCGATACTCTGCAGAGCCCGAAGATCTGAGCCGCCGGCCAATATCCAGAACACCCACACGGAGGATTAACGCCATCTAGCCATTTCTATCGTCATGACTTCATCTGCCCATTCTCGCCCCACGGCAAACCATTCACCATCCCCGTCTGCGCCTGGAACCTCCATCTGACCGTGCTGCATGCATTATGATCCGCCATCCATCGTGCCCTCGTCGACATCGTCCAAGATGCTCTTCTATCAGATACTTTCAACCAACCAACCTCTTCCTTCGTCTACTGGCCTGGCTGCTTGCCTCGAATGGGCAGATCCTTGGTCACCTCTGCTGACGACGCAGTCATGCCGCCAGCCGCCGACGCCTCGTCCTGCGCCTTGGCCTCGAGGGCGCCGGCCTCGTCTACCTCACCTTCCTCGAGAGCAGCCGCCTTGGCCGCCTCCGCCGCCTTGGCTGCCTTCCTGGCCTTCTTCCTCTCCTTCTCCTCCTGCTTCCTCCTCTTGACCTCCTCCTCCGCCGCCCGCGACTCGGCCGAGCCGCCAAAGTTTTGCTTCCATTCGGCCACCTTCTTGTCCTCTATTCTCGAGAAGAGATGGGCAGCCTTTCCAATCTTGTGTCCGCCTCGGAGCGTCTCGGGCGCCCAGCTGTCTGGGATAAGGCCAAGCGTCGTGTTGAGCTGCGTGCAGATGGCCTCGGCCGTCGACGGCATATACGGCGACGCGAGCGACGCCAGCAGGTGGCACAGGTTCAGCGCCAGCCCAATAACCGTCTTGGTCCGCTCTGGCTTCTCCACCAGGTTGGTGTTGTCCAGGCGGTACTGCAGCAGCGTGTTACCTTCGGTGCTTATCTCCATGAGCTTCTTAACGCCTGCTCGCAGGTGCACGCGCTCCAGGAGGTCGACATACTCGGCCAGTAGGCCGTTGACACGCGCGATCCAGGCGGCAAAGTCAAACGTCTCGTCCTTGTGCGAGGCGGAGAATTCAGGCACGGTGCTATCGCACTTGGCGTTGACAAACTTGACAATGCGGTTGACAAAGTTGCCAAAGTTGGCCAGCAGCTCGCTGTTGTTGGCCTGGGCAAACAACGACCACTCAAACTGTGTGTCGCCCGTCTCCGGCCGGTTAGATAAGAGGTAGTATCTCCACACCGACGGCGAGATGCCAATGTCCTTGACCTGGTTGCCAAAGACGCCGACGCCCCTCGACTTGGAAAACTTGCCGTTCTCGTAGTTGAGGTACTCGGTCGTCGACAGGTGGTTGAGCATGGTCCAGTTGTAGCCAGTGCCGATCTCGGAGCCCGGGAAGATGACCGTGTGAAAGGGAACGTTGTCCTTGCCCATGAACTGGTAGAGCTTCACCTCGTCCGGGTTCTTCCACCATTGCTCCCACTCGTCCGTGTAGTTGGCCGTGATGGACGGGTAGCCGATGCAGGCGTCGAACCAGACGTATATGACTTTTTTCTCGAAACCGGGTAGCGGGATGGGCACCCCCCACTTGAGGTCTCTGGTGATGCTGCGGCCCTCGAGGCCCTTTGTGAGCCACGACTGCGTGATGCCGATGCCGTTTTGCGGCCAGCCGTACTTGCGGTGGGCCTCCTGGAACCACTTGTCAATGTCGGGCTGCAGCTGGTCGAGCTTGAGGAAGATGTGCTTTGTGTCGCGGGGGATGGGCTGGGCGCCGTCGAGTTTGCAGCGCGGGTTGATGAGGTCAAAGGGGTCGAGCAGGCCGCCGCACTTGTCGCATTGGTCGCCGCGGGCGTCGTCGTAGGCGCACTTGGGACAGGTGCCCTCAACGAAGCGGTCGGCAAGGTAGCCGTCGTGCTTCTCGCAAAAGGGCTGCGTCGTGGTGCGTTCCTCGAGGAAGCCGCGTTCGTGTAGCTTGAGGAAGATGTCCTGGACAATCTCTGTCTGCTTTTGCGTCGTGGTGCGGCCAAAGTAGTCGAAGCCAATCTCGAACCAGTCGTACACCTCCTTGTGCTTGACGTGGAACTCGTCACACAGCGCCTGTGGCGTCTGGCCCGTCTCGAGCGCCTTGGTCTCCGTGGCCGTGCCGTACTCGTCAGTGCCACAGATGTAGAGCGTCGGCCGGTCGCGCAGCTTGCTGAAGCGAGCGTAGACGTCGGCGCTCAGCACGCTACCCACGACGTTGCCCAGGTGAGGCACATTGTTGACATAGGGTAGAGCGCTGGTGATGAGTGTGTTTCGCTTGCCCTTGACGGGTAGGATGGGGTTTTGGACGGCCATTGCAGCCTTTGCTGTACTGGTGGCCTTGTTTCTCTTTCTGTTCCTTTTTCCTTGTAGTCTCGGCGGACGAGGACGGGACCGCGAGTCCGAGATGGCGCTGATTGATATGCCAGTGGCAGAAATAATTGCACGTGGATGCCCAAGGCAAATCCCTTTAAAGGGCACACGAAGTCAACTGAGTCACAGGCTGGATGAGAACAAGGAGGGGTTTGGCTGGCGGCAGCGTTGGTCGGAGCTTTGGAGTCATTTCCCTTGTCACGTGTGAGGGGCAATTGTGTTCCATCGTCACCGCGGGGTTTGTCATGCAGCAAGTGCCAGCATAGAGCCAAGCTCCGACTTCTTCTTTCAAAGTCTGCTTCAACTGACCTTTGCTCACAGTGGCAACTTGTAAATACGTGTTTGTAATCCCACCATTGACCAAGCTCGCCATCCTTTCCACTCCTCACGTCAACGCTCCAAACACACCCAGACACGGGGCGCAAAGGAAAGGCAGTCCACGACATCCCATATAGAGCCTCGCCCATGCCCGCGGACCCCTTCGATGCCGTCCTCGACCTCGAGGACCGCTTTTACCAGCAGGGCTACCAGCAGGGCCTCCAAGATGGCGCCCAGGCCGGCCGCATCGAGGGCCGCTGCTTCGGCATGCAAAAGGGCTTCGACAAGTTCCTCGAGAGCGGCCGCCTAGCCAGCAAGGCCGTCGTATGGGCCAACAGACTACCACAGAACCTGAATGACCAGCCCGCCGCCGAGGCCGAGGCCGAGGGGAAACGGTGCATGCTGCCGTCCCTGGCCAGCAACCCGCGTCTCGACAAGAACGTCAAAACGTTGTACGCCCTGGTTGAGCCGGACACGATGTCGACGGAGAACACAGACGAGGCGGTCCAGGACTTTGACGACCGCGTGAAGCGGGCCCAGGGGAAGGCCAGGGTGATTGAGCGCATGGTTGGCTAAGAGGGGGATGCATCGAGCGAGGCGCATGTCAAATGTTCATTGATTCCGGTTTCAACTTTGTCGTGGTGGGCGGCTCACCATTTTTCACGGGGCTCAAGGGATGCAGGATGGATAATGAATGGAACAGAGAAACAGCTGAACTTGTCGAGAGACTTGGCAGCAGGATCTATAGCGCTCCTCCGGGGCTTTTTCCGATCCATGCCACTTATGTACAACGCCACTTCAGTCCTCCGTCTATTGGAACGACCGGCACGGGTATCTGCCAGTATTGTCAGTAAAACAACTTCATTACCCGTTCAAGTGCACAAGCAGACGCCTGCACAAAAGAGCGACTCACCCCTGAGGATACGAATTCTCCTCCGACAACTTGTACTTGTGCACATCCCACTCTCCCGACGCCAAGCTCTGCCCGCTAGGGAGCGGCGGCAGCCCCGCGACAAAGAGGTCCTTTGCCACGTCCTTGGGCGCCTTATCGAGACAGCTGGCCAAGCCCGTCTCGCCCTCCTGCCTGGCGGCCACGAGCTGCTTCTCACCGGCCTCGCCAATCAACTCCACCTTGGGCTGCGCCGCGCTGCCGACCGTCAGCAGCTGCGCGACGTCGCCCTGCCCGACGACGCTGAGCTTCGGATACGACCGCCGCGCGTCGCGCTTCCAGTAGGGATTGTCGGCGATGTCGCCCGCCGGCACCGTGACGGGGTCGTCGTAGCCCTTCGGGTCGTTGGAACCGGGCGGTGGGTTGCGGTACCACGGATTGAGCGGCACGCCGTTGGAGCGATTGGGGTCGATGGACACGGCTCTTCGGAAGAACTCCCAGATCCCCTTGGATTGGAGGGTTTGTTTCTAGTCGAGACAAGGGTCAGTATTCTTGTCGCCGTAACGCCGCTTCGCAGAGAACGGCCCTCGATGGCCTAATTGGGCGCGACGGGGTGGGAGCAATACCTTTGCAATAGACACCACGCCACCAGCGGCCTTGGCCACCGCCTTGGACGACATTTTCGCGGTGACGATGAGGTGCGGCGATGTTGCGAGGGCGACGGGGAAGCTAGAGGTTGATGGTATGCACGTCCGATGGTGCTCGGCACCAGACGGAGTAGATTAGCCGATGAATTGCCTCCAAGCTCGCGAACTACCCTAGAGCTTGGTCACCGCTGTGAGCGATCTGGAACACCCAGCCCACCTGCTGGGAACAGCTCCTGCGCGCTTCCTGTCTATCATGCCTGAAGAAACCAACGAGCTTCTTGAGTCGAGTATTCGGTTGTCGATGCTACGATCAAATCCTGCGCTATTATGCCTCGACATTTCGGAGGAAATGGAGGATATCGTCAGTTTGTTGGCACCCACCACAAATAAGCTCACAATCAGCCAAAATAACGCTTTGACATGAAAATTCGGACTCATTTCTCGGGGATCAAACAAGAAAACTCGCGCAGGCTGGTTTCAATCCAAAAACTCGCTTGCCATCACGGGCCTGCACCAGAGAACACGTTCAATACCCCGTCCTAGAGACCCATTACATCGCCATCACAGTGGAAAACAAGCGCCCGCTCGCTGCCGTCCCCATGCCCACTCGGCCTGACCACATCACTCCTTGAGCTCCTCGACCAGCGCTTTGATGCGGTCGGCGGTCGCGGCGGGCCCGCCGGCCTCGGCGACCAGGACTTTGCCCTTCTTGTCAATGGCAAAGACGCCGCGCTGGGTGCCCTTGGGCTGCTTCTTGAGGCCAATGGCGGCGATGAGCGTCGCCTGCGGGTCGCACAGAAGCGTGTAGGGGAGCTTCTGCTTCTCCTTGAAGTTGGTGTTGGCCTTGGGCGAGTCGCTGCTCAGGCCAAAGATGGACAGCCCGTCCGCGGTGAGGGGTTCGTAGGCGTCACGGAACAGGCAGACCTGGGTGGTGCCTGGCAGACAAGTCAGCGCGCATTGGAGGGGGAGAAATAAAGGGGGAGATACTCACAGCCCGGCGTTGAGGCCTTGGGGTACGTAAAGAGCACGACGCCCGCCTTGCTCTGCTCAACCAGCTCCTTGAGGCTCGTCTGCTTACCATCGTTGGCCTCAATCTCGCCGCCAAAGTCGTCAAGGTCGACAACGTCGCCCACAGCCACCTTGCCCGCCTTCTTCTTGTCCGCCGTCTTGGTCGGCTCTTCATCGTCGTCGTCAACGGGAGCGGCGGGGGCTGGGGCGGCCTTCTTCGCCGCCTTTGCCGTCTTGGTCGCCGTGGGCTTGGCAGCTTTTCCAGCCCTTTTGGCAGCCGGGGCTGGCGCGGGCGGCGGCTGAGGCGCCTTGCGCTTGCGAAGCTCGACGGGCATTGGATTTGCGCGGGCGGGGCCGATTCGAGTACCTGTGAATTGAAGAAAGCGGAAAGGGTTTTCAGGAAGAGAAAGCCTTTCGCTCGAGTCGCGCAACGTCGGGAGAAACAAAGGAGGAGAGCAGGGAGAGGGAGAAAGACGACGCTGGGCAGAGATGGGTTGCGTCGAGGGAAAGGCAGGTGGTTGTTGCGCGAAGCAGTGCGACTGCACATCCTGTCAAGGCGGCCAATCAGCTCAGGCAATGGCTCCTGGCGCGCGCTGCCCCCCAGATGTGGAGCCCTAAGCGCGCTAAAACCAGGGCATCTTCAGCACCTGACAAGGTACCTAAGGTTCCCCTACAGGGCAGCACCCACGTTTCCTCGTTGGATATAACTACCGGTACAGTACGTACGTAGTTAGAGCTGGGTGGACCATGGGCGTCACGTCCGAGACACACCAAAGTCAATTCGACGACCTGCCACCGTGTTCCTGTCCATAGCCTCAGCTGGTGAGCCGCCTGGCCGAGCCCAGCACATCAAGTAACCGACAAACGAAAAGCTCGCGTCCTTCATCTTCACCGAGTCGCAAACCTACCACCCCCAGCTTCAACCCCATCTTCTCAGCCGTGTCCCATCCTCTGGGCTCAACATCCATGGACCCTCGGGTGAGTCCCATCTCCAACGATGCCCCCGCATGTCTTCCCTGCTGACACAACGGCTCCGCACGTGGCACCTCGCAGAAGCTTGTGGCTCCCATGGCCGCATTCACCATGGCCGGCCTGCTGTTTGTGTACGTTTGGTTGCAGCAGCAACGCCGCTCCGCCTACTCAAAGACTGGGAGAAGTTATAGTTGAGCGACTTTGGCTGATGCGAATGGCCGCCATAGATACACGAGGTCGTCCATCCGCAGCGCAAAGAGCCAATCGGTCCGCCACCCAGCCTGACTCCTCCCCATGTCGTCTCGTGCGGCCGACTGACCCTTGTCATGCCGAGCAGGTGAGGCGATAAGGGTCGAGGTGGAAGGACCTTCCGTCATTATCTAATGCTGGCGCCGACCGTGCTCCTCTGGTCATGCGGTCACCCCGAGTGCTTAGAATCTCATTACAAGACTAGGCCGAGCTCCATCGAGGCATGGGCAAGCACGCACTTCACCAACGGAGAAGCACGGCGTCCCTTGTCCTCCATCACCCACGTGATGCCTGCAATCAAGTCGTGTCCGTTGGCAGACAACATCCTCCGTCACGTCGAATTTGAAGTGAGGAGACGATCAAGAGTGATCAAGGTTAAAACAAAGTAGATAAAAGAGCCGTGGACCGACAGCCAATGCTAAATGCATTCATTCACGCAACCCCCACCCAAGTGTCTATACCTAGGTATTTCCTACAGTTCTCCCGTCCGGGTATCTGACTCTCGCGCCCATGTGTCAAACCGCCCCTCCCGCAATGTGTTCGATGGAGCCGTCTGTCTCACTCCACCACAGGTCTTCTCTTCGTCTTCTCTGATGCATGCATGCCACTGGCTGGGAATCATCATCATCGCCGCTCTTTCTGGATCCCCAGCTTCTCTCTTCCTTCCGTCTTGGCCCTGTTGAGCTGTCTCATGACGAACTCATATGTCAGCATCGTCACCGTGGCGGCTGGGACGGCTCGCATCATGTTGGTACCAAGGCCGGCGTAGAACGCCCGCCAGCCTTCCTCGCGCAGGATCGTCCGAGATGTCGTGATGATGCCCTCGTATTTGCGGCCGCCCTGCCCCGATTCGGTGGCCGAGGCCGGGGTCGAGACGCCCATCCCCTGGAGAAAGTGTTCGCCTGCAACCGGCCTGCGCTGCGTCTGCAGCCGGGTCCGAATCACCTCGTGCGGATACGTGGCGCTGCTGGCGAGAATCTTGGACAGCACGGAAGCCGACAGGATGCCCAGCCAGTGCGCCTTTTCCCCCTCTACAGGCGCCTCGCCCATGCCCTGGCCGGTAAAGGTTGTCTTGAGAAACTCGTAGGTGGGGAACTGGACGGCCACGTGAGTCAGGCCGAGAAGTGCGGGCGTGAGGCCCGAGTAAAACGACGCGAGGCCCTCGGACGTGTACATCTTCCTCGCGGCATCGAGCGTCGACCGATAGTGCCACGGCGCCTGCAACGTCGGCCTTGCCGTCGGTGTGTTGCCGGGCTTGGGAAACATAGAGGTATAATGGTGCTCCGCCTCGGGCATGTAGCTCTGTGACATGAGCCTGGTCTTGATGACCCATATGGGGTTCGTGACGATGGTACTGCTCGCACCGGCTATGATGGAGGACCAGAAGCTCACAATGTATGGTGTTTCTGTCACAAAGTCCACAGGTCAGCTCATGATGGACACCGCCGAGGGAGAGAACGGAGGGTGCAGGATCGGGAAGTGGCAGACGTACCTGAATATTGAGCCATCCAGCCCTTGCTCTTGTTGTAGACGGAGAACCAGACCGCCCAGGTCGGCAGGTATCCGAGAACGATGGGGCCTAGCCCTCGGTACATGCCTCGGATGCCCTCCTGGCGCCAGATGACCTTGGCGGTGCCAACCAGGCCGTTGTACAGCTTCGGATGGCCGACATGGCGGCCGTTGTCGACAAGCTTGTATGTGCCCTGAGCCTGCAGCTTTGTCTTGATGACATCGAGAGGGCATGTGACGATGCCCGAGGTGAAGCCGCCGACGGCGCCGGCAATGACGTTGAACTGTGAGTCCGAGGCCTTGGAGGCCCATCGCTGCAGCGGAGTCGGGGTCCCGGGCGGCCGTCGCATTGGGGTCGAGGCATCGACGGTGAGTCGTGAGTACGGAGCTGGAGCATTGTCGTCTGGAGGCGAAGAGACGCGGCTTGTCTGCGGGGATTCTTCGTGAGACATCCCCTCCTCGGCGCACCTAGGCTGGCGTTGGGATCAAATGTCGACGAGGGAGAAAGAGAGGAAGCTCCGTTGGGAAGCTTGCCTTGGTCGGCGAGAGTCCGGCGTCGCCCGGGGGAGGGATGGAAGCCGCTGGGTCCGGTCCACCACCTCCTCCTCCTCCGCCGACGCGAGTCACTTCAGGACGCCGGCTTGGCTGCTGCCCTAGAGCTGCCGTCTTGCGTGACGGCCGAGGCGTGTGCTGGAGGGGACGTGGGTGGGTGTTTCTGCTCCGGTCGGGGATCGCACCCCAGCATCCGATGCCGGTGCAGAGAGAATGGGGGCGGACACTGCGGGGAGCCGCAGTAACCGTTCCCGCCTAGCGAATGCCACCGGCCATTGACCTTTGTGAGGGAACGAGACGAAGCAGCTCTTGCGGGAATAGGGGCGGGGAGGGGGGGCGAGACGAAGGGGGCACGCGCCCGGAGATGAGTTGCGCAGGTGGGTTGTTGGTAATAAACGGGCGAGGGTTTTTGGGTGGGAAAGCGGGAATGTGGAGGAGGCAAGACAATGACGAGGCCGCGCTGTACCCAGATGGGCCACTCATCACTCAGCAGCAGCCAGGCAGCCGTTGCCGGCACCTGCTGACGGCCAGCTGCCAGGGCGCTGAAGGTCCGCTGAAGCACTCGCTGTAGGCCAGTGGGCCCGGCCGCTGCGGGCACTTCGGGAGCCTGTGCGGTCTGTCGTCGACGCACCGTCTGGTGTTACCCAATCGGCTTATCCTTCCTTGCAACGAACCGCCTTGCAGGTTTGGGGCTTGGGATTTCGTCATTCCGAGTCACGGCAGGCGAGATTCACAGCTCGACCCACGGTTCCCCTAATCTGCGACTTTACTCCTCCGACACTCAGACTGTACTCTTTGCCGGCACCTTCACGGTCCAGACGGGATCCGTTGCGGATGTGCCGGACAGAGAAGGGCCAAGATCGCGACGCGTCGTTTACATATGTGCTTTGCAGAGGAGTACAGGCCAAAGCTACTCAAGCTCGACAAGGTTTTTTAAGGAACGCTGCATGTACAAGTTCCCTCTCGAGGAAGCGATATATCAACACCCGGCCGTTTAAATATCTGGCCGTTTGACAACATGTGAACCATGTAAATCTTGCAGCGCTGGCTCAGTTGCTGGCTCATTTACCAACGGGAATCACGTGACGGCATACTCTGTCTAAATTCCGGCACGTGATTCTCTCGGCTCCCCGTTTTGAAGGCCAACCTGCCTCTCCCAATCATCGTCGCCGCAATTCACCCATCACGGATCGTCGCCCGGGACGCATCGATCGGCCAGAGAATCACCCCCCCTCCCTCCCCAAAAAAAAGAGAGACGACGACAATCCGCTCCCGACACATCCCGCATCGCCTCTCAATCTCGACGCCCACCATGAGCGCATACTCCCTCGCGCCCTTTGTCCTGCGTCGGCCTTGGCTGACCAAGATGCTCATGCCCATGGCCGATTGGTACGCCAACGCCGCCGGCTACCGCAAGCTTGGCCTGAGGTAAATGCTCCCGGTCCCTGTCCTCGGCCCGGTCGAGTATCCAAGGCGGAGATCGCGCCAAGAGACGGCAAAGAAGGAGTGCAACATGCCTCGTGGGAAAAGAGCAAGCTTTCGGGAAAGGGCGGCAAAGGGAGGCTGTGACGAATACGAGGCTGACTCGGGGCTCCCGTCTCACTTGACAGATATGACGACCTCCTGGAAGAGGAGCGCGAGTCTGTTCAGATCGCCCTCAAGCGCCTCTCACCAAAGGAGGCCTACGAGCGCGTCTACCGCATCCGTCGCTCCACGCAGTGCAGCTACCAGCACAAGCTGCTGCCCAGGGACCAATGGACCAAGCCCGAGGAGGTATTTTCCTTCCCTCCATCCCCGAATCGAGATTTCCGCTTTCTGGACAAAACCGTCAATAAGAACCAAGACGACCGGCTGACCATACCTTGCAGGACACCCCCTATCTGCGCCGGATTGTCGAAGAGGTCGAGGCAGAGCTCGCTGAAAAGGACGCCCTTGACTCCATGTACGTCGTCAAGAAGCACTAAAGCAATCGCGTGGATTTGGTTGAAACACTGGGCAGCTGGGGCGAAGAGGTCGGCTGCCGGTCTGCTTGTCTACTCCAGGGACACTGAAGACTGTTAATTGGCATGAGCTCGGCAACGACCTTTTCACTTGTACTCTTACTTTGTAGTTCGTATAGACATGCTCAGCATCCCGACATTCCCCTCTCGTTGCAGCTCGGTTTGTACGTTGAAGCCCCGGCCAAAGTCTGCAACTTCATTGTCACTGGGCACGCCTCCCTCATGGCCCGAATACCTCGACCAAGTACGAAGTATGAACATCTTCCGTAAAATCTGACGGCAAAGGGTGTTCAGGGAACTGCATTATGCGCACAAGCTTGCACTAGACACACTCACAACAACACCCACCACCTACTGCACTCGATAATATCCCTCAGATCTCTTACAGGAATCCTTGCCGAGACGCCAGAAGCGCCTAGACAAGGAACGCTGGGTATCTACCACCGTCGTCTCTTTGCTCGCGGCCCTTTTAGCATCCACCCCCCCTATCTGACAAGGTGGCAGATCCGCTGGTCCCTTAACAGTTTACCAGATCTTCATCCTGCCGAAGCTCCCAGCCTCCCTCCCTTTTACCTCCCTTCGACTGTCCATCGGACCTCCTCGCATTGCCTTCACCCGCATCATAATGACAGCCAAGCCAAGACGAGAATCGGGATATGCCGCCAAGTCCGCCGCTTCCTACACGCGCTGGTAGAACAGCAGATAGGCAACCTTGTTGTCCTTGATGCTCTCCTTGACCTGCTGCTGCTTATCCTTGGCGTGTCCATTGCTGCCGCCGTTCACGACGCTGCTCCACCGCTTGTTGCCACCGGCCGAAGCCGTGACTTGCTTCCAGCCGTCTTCGTCACCGGTGTCGTCGTCGTGCATGGCGCCGAATCGGTTCGCTGAGGCGCTGGCGCCACCACCATCTTTTCTAGTGTCCTTGACCTCTTCCTCGGACCCCCCCTCGGCCACATCCTCGCTGCGAACACGGCGAAGAACAGTGTCATCCATCCGGATCCACTCGCGGCCGTCCTGTCGGCGCACGTCGACAGTGTAGTGACCGCCACTGGCGTTCTTGCCGTGGTGATAAACTACGCTGATGAGCCTGTACCTGGGCATCGCGCCGTCGCCCATGGTCTGGCGTTTCTGCCTCGACAGGGCCTCGCGCGGAATCTCGAGCTCCAGGGGATACCCAACCTTCTTCCAAACCTTGATAGTGCCATGGCCCTCGGCGTCAAACTGGAAGCGCTTCAGGTGGAGGATAAGTACTGGAGGCAGGGACTCGATAAACACCTGCTTCGTAGCCACGATGTCCTTGCCTCGGGGAGAGTTGAAGTCTCCCTGGAGGCGTTCCGGGCGGGTCAAGCCGCGTAGGGCGTCAAGGACGTTGCGTACGTCTGGAGATCCAATGTCCAGCTGCAGCGGCTGATAAGGCTCAGTGGTGATGGAGTCCTTGAGCCCCGGCACGCGGAACTCGGATCGAAGCAGTCCACCAAAAATCTTGGTGATGGGTGTCGACGAATTTGACCCCGACGAGCGCGTGACCGCAGCCCGCTGTTTGCGGCCGACCTCGAGCCAATCGCCAGACGGATCCGCCATCGAGCTTTGGCTAGCTCCCAGATCGACAGACGCAATCTCAGAGTCATTCGACTGGAAGCTGCCCATGATGTGAGTGCACTCATCGTCGAGCGACTGGAGGAGAAACCCCAAGAATTCTTCCGCGTCTTGCTGATGACCACGCTGAGCAGGCGATTACAGTTAGCGCGTGTTCCTTTGCCTCAGTCGCACCCTGTCGCACGCACCCTCATGCTTGCGAATCGCGCGAGCTGTCTTATAGCTTCGTAGACGAATTCGGGAGTAAAAGGCTCGCCGTACTTCTCGAGATCTTCGCTCTTGAGCTTGCTGTGCAGTTGATTGGCGGATGGCGCCGAGTCGATAATATTGTACTCATGCATGAACATGATCCTAGATATAATGAGCCTCCTCGAGCCGCACTCGAAGTATATTGATAGAGCTCACATGGCGTCCACGAGCGGAGTCTCGCTCTTGAAGCTGTGGATGGCCCTCTTGCTGACCTGATCCAAGAAATCGTGGAAGGGGACGCAGAACATGAGCACTTGGAGAACCTGTAAATGGGAAGAAAGGTCAGCCCAAAGCGTCCAATAATTGCATGAGGCACGTGGATAATCTTACCGAGTTCATGTAGCACATGTTTCCTGTGTTGATGAGGCCACGAGGCTCCAGGAAGGAAATCTTGTCGACACTGCCCACTTGATACTCTCGAATGGCCTCGGCGAGCGAGTTGGCATTGGTTTTTGAAAAAGCCGAACTTGGGGCGGCTGCAGTAGTATTGGATGTTCCTGAGCCATTGAGGGCGGCTGATCCGTTTGTCCCGGCCGGGGCGACGGGTCCCTTGGGGGAAGCCTTCGCAAAAAGGCCCGCCCAGCTAGCCGGAGCCGCTTTGACAGGCGGGCTGGCGGCCGCAACATCATTAGTACTGACAGCATCATCAGGTTCGTTAGCCTCGGTGGAAACAGCGGTTATCGCGGCACCGTTCATGCCGGGTTTCTCGCCCCCGCCTGTCGCTTGCTTCCGAGCTTCGTCTATTTTGTCCCCGCTTGAAATCTTTGAGGTCGGTCTTGGCAGGGCCGGAAGCACGGGATGGGCTGGACCCGCGGGCCGTTCATCGACGGGGGCGGCCGCCTCGGCAGTTGTCACGTCCGCCCCTCGTTGCCGCGAAGAGTCGAGAAATGGAGTAGACGGAGCTGCCTTGGCTTCAGGCAAATGGCCACCGGAGGAAGATTCCTTCGGGCGGCTGTCGTCACCAGGAACATGCGACGACACATTTGCGTCCGTCGCACGACCCGACGAGGGTGTACATTGTTCCGTTAGCGAGCCGTGTTGTTCGAGGGGCAGGGAGACAGCGGCGCTATCCGCCGTTAGTGGCTTTCTCCGCCGCCTCGACCGGGGCGTTTTGGCAGGAAAGCTTGTGTCGGGACAGGAGAACCAAGGAAGCTAACGAATTAGTTAGTGACGAACAACAGGCACAGATAATTTCGCATTTCCAACTTACTGGTGGCCGGAACGGCTCGCGCTGCTCGACTGGAGAGTGATTCAGGGGCTGTGCGGGAGGAGGGGGCGGTGGGGGAGCAGCGACAGGAGCAGGGGCTGGTGGCGGTACAGAAACATGCTCGATCGTCTGCGGCGTCGGAGGAGTCGGGGGAGGAAGCATCTGGGACGAGTGCGATGAGGAAGGCGTCTGTGGGGGGATCGGAACCGGTGCGGACGGAGGCTGATAGGCGGTAGAGAGGTTGGGCGAGTGCTGAGACGGGCGAGCATAGTTCGGAGGAACGCTGACTCCTACCATCGGCACATATTGCGGCATGGACGGTGGCGATCTGGCATAGCCTTGATAGGCCATATAGCCCTGGGACGGCACGCCGCCGTTCTGGAACTGCGGCGGCATTCCGTAGTAGCCTTGCGGCCCATACGGCACGTAGCTCGGATACATCGGCCCCATGTGCTGCTGCTGGTGATGATACTGCGGCATGTACTGGGGCTGCCTCCGTCGAGGGCCTCCACCGGGGCCGCCACTCATGTCGACTCGGGGGACACCGCCAGGTGCCGGTGCGGCTCGTCGGCCCTGGTGGTGTATGTACTGCCCAGCCGGCAGATAGCGGAACTCAACCTGCCGGCTTGGGGTGGTGCAAGGTTACGGGTGCTGTCCAACAATGCGACTCCCGCATCTACCGCGTCGCCGTCGTAGAAGCCCAAGCCTTGGAAGAGGAGAGGTGCGAAGGGGCAAGGAGAGCGCTCGGCGTCGACGCCGAGTTGGTGATGTGGAGCCGGTCGAGCTTCTCTTGCGTCTCACCCGCTCGGGCTTTGCCGGCGCTGCGCTCGCTCTTGCGGGGACGGAACAGCGGTGCTAAAGTTGCACTTGCACAGGTCGGGACTCGAGGGAGATGGGAGGAGAGGGAATGGAGGAGGGTGGAGAGGTTGCCAACGAGATGGGCAGCAAGGAGGTGTCGAGAGCGCGGATGGAGAGAGGTGGTAAAATTTCTGACGTTAGCAGAGGATGGCGGCAAGTGACCCCGGAGCTGTCCCTTCCGCGGGTCACCCAGGATCGAGGCAGAAACAGGTACGTACTGCAACCAGGTATCTCCGTCCCCGGAGCGCGGGTACGTATGAACGTACGGATACCCCTCCAAAAGAAACTTAAGAGTCAGGCCCCCACCAAACGTCGTTTCCGAGATGACTGCAAGTTAAAACGCCTGTGAGTCAAGAGCTCGACGACCATCTTTCTCCGAAACGGCCACGATACCGACGACTCTAAACCTATTTCCCTATCCACGGTCAACCCCCCAAATAGCTTCGGCAGGCTCGAAACACAATGGCAACCACGACAGCATCGGAGAGGCTCGTCCTCATCCGCGAGAACCTCGCCGAGATTCTGAACCCAGAGATAATCGAAAAGATTATTGAGGAAGGCCGCAACCCCAAGATTTACTGGGGTGAGCGGGGGAAAGCTTCATGTGGCATCCTTGCGCAACAGCTAATGTGTCTGAACTCGCAGGAACCGCGACGACGGGCCGCCCTCACTGCGGCTACTTTGTCCCCGCCATCAAGATAGCACAGCTGCTGGCCGCCGGCTGCGATGTCACCGTGCTGCTCGCCGACATCCACGGCTTTCTCGATAACCTCAAAGCTCCCATTGAGCTCGTCGCACACCGAGTCGAGTACTATCGGTTTGTCATAACGGCCATCCTCGAGGCCGTCGGCGTGTCGACCGAGAAGCTGCGATTTGTCCAGGGCAGCGACTACCAGAAGAGCGCCGAGTATGTCATGGACGTCTACAAGCTCTCGTCTTTGATATCGGAGCATGATGCCAAGCGAGCTGGCGCCGAGGTGGTCAAGCAGACGGACAATGCTCCCTTGAGTGGCCTCCTCTACCCGATCCTCCAGGTCCTGGATGAGCAGTACCTTGACGTTGATGCCCAATTTGGAGGTAAACACTATGTCATACAAACCCTTTTTGCAATTGACTCCAGACTAACCTCTCCTGAGGACTTGACCAGCGCAAACTCTTTGTCGCCGCCAAGGATTGGCTTCCTAAGCTTGGATATAGAGAGGTAAGTCCGGATTGCGACTCGCACTTGCGACCGCGTCACCTTGTCGCAAGGGCTAACAGGCTTCAGCGCGCACACATCCTCAACCCCATGGTCCCTGGACTGCACGGGGGAAAGATGAGTTCCAGCGATCAAGGTAGCCATCTTCCCATGGCTCACAAGTCCCTTCCCAGTATGTTCTATGCTTAACTCGGCGTAACAGACAGCAAGATTGACCTGCTCGATGCCCCGGAGGCCGTGGCCAAAAAGATCAAAAAAGCCGTCGCGGCGCCCAAGGTGGTTGAGGAAAATGGCGTCCTGGCCTTTGTCGAATATGTCCTGCTCCCGGCGGCGGCGTTGCGCGGAAAGCGAGAATTCTCCGTTGACCGAGAGCGAGATGGGTTGGAGCCATTGGTCTACTACGACATTGCCGACATGCATCGAGACTACCAGAACGACGTGGTATGTTCCCTCGCTCGCAGCATACGACGACACAACTGACCCTGGAACAGCTGAGTCCCCAAATACTGAAGCCAGCTGTGGCAAAGGCGCTCAACGACCTTCTTGCTCCGATCCAAGCAGCCTACCAAGCCTCCAAAGAGTGGCAGGCCATTGCCCTGAAAGCTTACCCTCCGCCTCCCAAAAAAGAGAAGAAGGTCAAGGACAAGGGTTCCCGCCACCCTGGCAAGGTAAACAACAAAGAACTGCCGATCCGCGAAGCGCCCGTAGGATGATAGCCTTTTCACGGTCCCGGCGATGTGCTCGTCGGAAGAATTGAGCGACATAGATGACCCAGCGAGCGAACTGATTGAGGAGCTTCATACATCACCACCGCTCTGGGCCAACATCTGAGATAGCTAGTTGCCATAGTACGCTAGTAGGCTCTGATCGTGTTGTAAACACTGCAAAGATCGAGCCGTAGTGACTTCTCCACCGCTCTAAGTCTGTTTAGCAGCAAATGGTGCCCGGCTTCACTCGTCCTTGAATAGCCATCTTCCGCCGGGACGCATCGCCTCGCGATGACGCTCAGCAACGGCCTGTCTCTCCCTCTTCGCCGCCTCGGCCCTGTCCTCCTGAAGCTCCTGCGTGCTGGGAAAGTCGGCATTCCAGAAACCTGGCGGGGACTGCATGCGAGAGAAGCGGTGCCTGTGCTTGCCGTACTTGTTTGCCAGCTCCTGCGTCTTGGCCTCGACCCAGAGCTCTGCCTTCTCTTCCTTGCTCATGCTGGCGAGCCGGTACGCGTGATCTCCCAAGTACACCTCCAGCAGCTTCTGCTCCTCCATCCGCTGTGTGGGGGTCAAGGGTGGATCTGGGCGCTGTGAAAGGGCCAGGGCTTTGAATTGCTTCCCGCAGCAATGCAGATCAGTGCAGCCGGGCAGGCACGCCCTCTCTCCCTTGTCTCTGACGACGTCGGCAAACGCAAAGTCGTGGCCGTCGTTTGCCAGCGGGCTGACCTTGAAATCATCCAGCTGCAGCTCCGAGAGCGGCTTGGCCCGCAGCTCCGACGCCGGCTTTTTCTTGTTCTTTCGCGAGGGAGACCGCTCGTGGGCCCTGTTCTCGCTTGGTGGCGGAGCTGGCCGCGGGGTTGAGCCAACCTTGACACGCGGAGACTTGCCAGGCGGAGCAATGTCCTTACTGAATGGAAGCCTGCGGCGCTCTGGGACTGGTGATTGATCTTCCGAGGCTGTGTGCCTCTCCCAGTTTCTGCTAGCCGGACGGGAAATGACCGAGTCGCTAGGAACAGCGGAAGGACTATTCAAGAGCGTGTGCAATCGGCTCTTGGCCGATGCAGGCGCGGCAGTCGGACTCTGGCCCTTCGCCGCAGACGGGTTTGCTCCATAAGCATCACCGTCTTCCGCGAGGACAGAGATGGCGAACGCTATGCCCCTCCTGAGTGGGCGCCCATCTGGTTTGCTTTCTGCCAACCCACGCTTTTGCACATTGACACTGAGTGGCGTGAGCACCGAGGGCCGTTTGCTCAGAGTCGTTTGCTGCGGTAATGGTTTGTATCCGGCAGGCGCCGCGGAGGGCGCCGCAGATGACGTCTTCAGCCTCGGCGTGGCCGTGTGGTCTGCCGGTTCGGGTTGTTCTGCTTCCTTCTGCTTGCGTGGCGTTACGATTCGTTGCTCTATTTCGCCGAGATCGACGTTCTCTTGCGTGCCACACGCAAAGTGAATCCTTGAGAGTATTGGACTTGAATCGTTAGTCGGCTCCGCCTTGGGTCGTGGCTCGACCGTGGTTGGGATGGAATCGCCGCGCTTCCGTTTTCTCACCGCACGCTCGGAAACAAGCACTGGTTCATCGGAAGATGGTTCTTGCTTGATGAGAAGGCGGTAATTGGGCTGTGCGGGAGGCAGCTGAGGTAACTGTTCGCTCGACCCGTCGTCGGTGTCGCCCTGAGTGGATTCCGCCTGCTCGTTTGAGACTGTCTGCTCTGCTCCAACAGTGGGAGTGTACAAACAAGGCTCCGGACCGCACGCAGTGTCTTCAGGCCGCTTGTTCAAAGAAGCACTAGCATCCCGCATTAGTGCAGTGGCATCGACATGAGCAGTGGCAGAAGCCGGGCTTCGAGGAGACTGGCTCCTCGGGTCGAGAATCTTGATTCCAAGCTTCTTCTCGGCCGTGGAGATGAGTCTTTCAAGATGTTTCGCCCGGCTGGCCCACCCGTCTCGCTCGTCTACCCTTTTGCGAAGTGCTGCCTTTGCAATCTTGAAGTTTGCGGAGAGGGCATTGAATTTGCGGCGAAGTTCGGAGTGGTCGGCTTGCAAGGCGGTCACATCAATATCTTCAAGGGCTCGAGCCGAGTTCAAGCTTGTCGAAGAAGCAAGGGCTGTCAAGGTTGGACCTGCAAGCGCTGCGGTTGTCGTAGACGCTGGAGTCTGCTTTAGCATGGCGTATGCTGTCGTTTGCTCCGAATTGGAGGCTGCGGGCTCATGCAACATCAAATCGTCGTATTTTCCATCCTTGACGGACTGGAGGAACTGCCTGAGCAAGCGAGTGTTCCTGTCTTTCTCTGCACGACGTCAGCCACAGGGTGCTGACGCGTAAAGCTGGAGGCCGCAGACTCACCAGCGACGAGGTCATTGTCTATCTGCTCGCGGAACCGATCGAGAGCCGCATACAGCGCCTGACGTCCCTTCTCAAGCCGGGGTCCGTCCGCTGCCATGACAAGGAGGGGGCCGTCGGAGCATGTGTTGGCCATTGACGTCTCCCAGCGCAGTGTGTTCTGGTAAAGACGCGTATCCACCGGCCCAGGAAAGAGACGCCAGACCACGTGACCTCGACCAAACCACTCAGCCTACTGTACACGTTGCACGGAGCATTCCAGCAATGAGATCAGCGCAACGAAAAGCAATGAAGGGCCGAGAGGCGCAAGGCATCAGGCTTGGCAGTGAAGTTCTATGGAACAGAGGCTGCTGGTTTGCTGGTTCACTTCCGTCTATGCTTGTAGAACTGTTGACCGCATTTCGCGATGTTTCCGAGTAGCTTTGCTTGTAAATGAAGGAGCTGAATCGCTTATTCGTGAGACGTTGTGAATGCTGAATGACATCGCTGCAGCCCTTCTCCCCTCATGATGATTCTGATGCCCTCGGCCGGACGGTGCGGTGCCACAGGCCGTCGCACAGTGGATTCTCTCTGTAGTAGTGCGCTACGGAAACCCCCGCAGCGGCGTCGGCCATAATCTTGGCTCTGTAAACGACGGCGATTGGCACTGGTCTCGCGCTGTGTACACCGCAGCAGCCGATTTTCACTACAGCCGCAGCGCCCCATTAAGTCACCTTCCCCCCACCGCCGTTCTCCAGCTCCCTCTGCTTCCTCAACTTCCACTTTGCGACCGTCTTCCTGGACTCCCACCAACCACCAACGCTCTCCCACATCGGCAGCCCTCACAGTCGCCAACTCGCCTCTTCTGCCGTCTCCTCTGGTAAGTGCTTTTCACTTCACTCATTTGTTCCAGCCCCAGGCCGCGCCGTCGAGGGCATTTCAAGTGTCTCGGCAGAACCGCGGAACCATTAAATTTGTTCCCTGCCATGCAAAATCTCTATCCTGCCCCGCTTGCATTTTGCACCGTTTGTTTTCTGGCCAACGCCGTGGCCAATTTTTCGAGCACCGTTATCGCACAGAAAAATCTCTGCATTCTTCGCCTCAATGAGAATCTCCATCCTTACATTTCGCAGACACTGCTTTCTCAAAATCGCACCCCAATTCCGCAGTGGTAAGTATCCAAGCTGCTACACCACGTGCCCTCGGCCCGCTCGGTCAGCGCTCGCTCCCTTGACAAGCAGAATCAACACCGCCCGCGTCGCTTCGTCATTGTCAGAGCGTCCTTGTACGGTCTCGACAAGTTCACACCTGCTAACGCTTCGGGTCGGTAGTTCACGCGTCAACCCAACTCTCAGCCAGAATGGACAGTTTCGCGCGAGGCGCGTGCTACTCTTGTGAGCACCCTTCCCTCTGATCAATCCTTCGGCCATCGGTTGAAGTTTCCAACGGCAATGACTGACAGGGATTGATCATGCGCAGGCGGCTCCAACGGCCATCAGGTACGCCAAGACGCTCGGGCTATTCTTGAAGAAATCGCTAACTCATCGACATGCAGGCCCGTGACTGCCCGACCAAAGGTCCTGCTAAGTGGTGCGTCCCGTCTGCCCCATCTTCGTGCGTTCCCCAGCTAACCAATAATTCAGCTACAACTGCGGCGGTGCGTAATAATTCCTGGCATTCAACCGGTCGCGATGATGCTAATTTTCTGCACAGGCGAAGGTCACATGAGTAAGTTGTTGCATGCTGCACGTCTTGAAGACATCGTCACTGATCCACTCTCCAGGCCGAGATTGTCCTGAGCCCTCCAACTCGGGAAACAACGTCAGGGCCTGCTACAAGTGCGGCCAGCCTGGCCACATCTCCCGTGACTGCCCGTCCAATGTTGGTGGCGCCAGCGGCGGCGGCGGCAGCGGTGCCATGGGTGCCGAGTGCTACAAGGTAAGGACGCGCAAACTACCGTCGTCCTGACATCAGCTGACAATGCCAGTGCGGCGAGGTCGGCCACATCGCACGCAACTGCCCCAAGGCTGCCGCTTATGGCGGCGGCTCCTACGGTGGCAGCTTCGGCGCTGGCGGCGGCGGCGGCGGCGCGGGCAAGACCTGCTACTCTTGCGGTGGCTACGGCCACATGTCTCGTAAGACTGCACATGCCCCTCTCTAAGACGGCGATGCTGACCTTTTGCTTGCAGGGGAGTGCGTCAATGGCATGAAGTGCTACAATTGTGGCGAGTCTGGCCACTACTCTCGTGACTGCCCAAAGGGTGGCGAGGGTGGCGAGAAGATCTGCTACAAGTGCCAGCAGCCCGGCCACGTCCAGGCGCAGTGTCCCAGCAACTAAGGATGGCCATGACCGTGTTCTCTCGGGGCTCTTGCTCCGCCGGGGAGGAAGTTGGCGTGGCAGCTGCATGATACCCACGACGAAGTCATAGTCCTTACTATTCTCTTTTTTTCTTTTACCATCTCCCGGGAACCTCTACACAGAGTCTTAACGAAAAAGTTTTTCCTTTCTCCACTATGTACGATGGACGCGAACCCCATGTGGCTGGGTCGCAACTCGCGTTGCGCGGACCTTGGGAATCAAGAGCACCAGGTTTTATCATTGCGGGGATCTGGAACGTCTCGGAATTGGATTCGCCCTGCAGCCGACGCCTTCGAGGACGCGTTGGCGGTCCTGACGTCGGGAAGGGAGACGAAATGGTGGCGGATGCCAGGCTGAGCAGGATGTGGGCAGTTCATGGCGGCATCCTGGCATGATGTCCTCCCCCGTTGTCCCAACGCTTGCCTAGGGAGCAACCTGGCCTGCTCTGTTTGGTAGCCAGGACAAGATGAAGATTGCTGTAGATCTTGAAGGCGATCAAGGCCAGACTTGCGTGTGAAGTGCGCGAGTGAGCAGATGTTTTATTTTATTGCAACTAACCAACTGGCAAGGGGCGTCGAGCTGGACACAAACGGCAATGTACATGATACGGGAAGGTGGACGGTTCATATATATTACACTTGGGCGGGACAAGGAGCTCTGTCCAGGAGATGGGAAGCTGGCTGGGGACTGGTAGCCACGAACAGGGACGGCCGTTTTCGAAACGCTTAGCATCACAGCATGGCCTTTGGAAAATTGCGCATGGCCTGCCTGACGCCGAGATCGCCCAGGACCTCCTCGGCACCACCGAGGATGGCGTCGAACTTGTATGTGCGGTTGAACATTTCGATGTGCTTGCCCATGCCCGTCTGGGTGAGACCGCGGCCGCCCCAAATCTGGACGGCCTCGTCGGCAATTTCGTGGGCGGCGCGGGTACAGCTCATCTTGAGCAGGCCAATGGGGCCGGCGAGGTGCTGGGCCTGCTGCTTGTAGGGCATGTGGCACATTTGGTAGGTGACTGTCTCGAGCCACGACTGGTTGGCCTCGACGAGGGCGATCATCTTGGCCAGTCTTGTTACGGCGAGGGGGGGGGTTGGTCAGCGGTGCGCGGCGCACAAGCAAAGGGAGGGCCTACTCACTTTTGGCGGATAACGGGTTGATCGACGAGGCGCTTGCCAAAGACGAGGCGTTGATTCGCCCATTTGAGGCACTCCTCGACAATCATCCTGCACGCGCGGACAGTACCGCCTACCGCCCTGGTCAGCACGCAACCTCTGCTTGCATCGACAGGCCCTTTCGACTTACAAGCCATGGTCCACCGCTCATGGTTAAAGTTGCTGAGGATGACGTGGATGCCCTTGTTTTCCTCGCCCAGAAGGTTCTCGACGGGGACCTTGACGTTGTCGAAAGTAATGTAGCCGGTCCCGGCGGCCGGGGAGTAGGACGTCTTGATGGCCTTAGTCTCGACGCCCTCGCCTCGCTCGATGAGCATGACGCTCAGCGAGTTCCCGGTGCGGACGCCGGTGACAAAGTAGTCGCACCAGGTGGCGTTGGTAATCCACTTCTTGGTGCCATTGACAATCTGCCAGCAAGCGATGAGCAAATCGGTGCTGGAGCAGGACAGATATGGAAGAAAGGGGGAGAAGAGGACGGGTAGGGGCCTTGTTGCTCACATAATGCTTTCCGTCGGGCGTCAACTCGGCCGTGGTACGGAGGCCGGCCACGTCTGACCCGGCAAAGGCCTCTGTAATGGCGAGGCACAGCTTCTTCTTGCCGGAAAAGACCTCGCCGGCAATCTTATTCTTCCATGCCTCGTCGCGGGCAAAGTTGAGGACGGCCGTGAGGCCGATGGTCATGCCGGCCATGTTGCCATCCTGGAAGCCCCTAGTCATGGTGCGGGTCATTTCCTGGGCGACGATGAGGTCGTGGAAGTAGTCAAACTCGTCGCCCTTGACGGCGCCGTTCATCAAGTCGACGCCGTGGAGGTGCTTGCCCGGGCCAAGGCGCATGTGCAAGATGCCGAGGCGGCTCATGTGGTCAATCATGTCCTGGCTAATGTACCTGCCCGTCGTCTCGCACTCCTGGGCCTCGGGGACGAGGTGCTCGTCGGTGAACTCGCGCATGGCGCGCTGCAGGCGGCGGTGCGAGTCGCCGTAGTAGGGGCTCCGGAAGGGCGGGGAGAGCCAGAGGGGCTCGGCGTAGGGGACCTTGCTGAGGTCGCCGGGCTGCGGGGAGATGACCTGGGGCTGCTCGCCGTCGACGGTGCCGAGGGCGAGGTCTTCGTACTTGCGCAGGACCTCGTGGCGGTGGAGGTTGTAGAAGGCCTGGGTGGCGTCCTGGCCGGCGACCTGGCGGAGGACGGCCTCGCCGCCGGGATGGGCGTCGACAAAATCGGTCAGGTCGTAGACTGTGCTGTCGATGATGCACCAGAGGGAGTCTTCGGAGGTATGCTCGCGCACCTCTTGGCGGGTAAAGGTTTGGGACAGGGAGGGCATTTTGTGTTGTTTTTCTGCGTGTCGAGGTGATGAGCAGGGCGATTGGGGGACGAGAAGTCGAGTGGCGGGCGTCGATTGCTCGATGGGTGCGGGTGGTCGGAGTCCTTGACAAGCTTGACGTGCGAATCAGAGATGAAACCGACGATGATGCGAGAGACGTGCTGGCCGACGCCGAGGATGAGGTGCCGTGAGCCTCGGCCTGGAGTGGGGGGAGGGCGGACGGGCCGGAAGGTTGGAATAGCTGTGTCATGATTGGACGGAGCTGCGACAGGAGCAGATCGCGGAGAAGGTGGGGCCGCTGTCGTTCCTGCCTTGTACGTACTGTACATCGTGTGGCCGCACCTCTTTCTTCTTTACGTTTTGAACGGGCCAGTCTCCATTCATGGTCCGTCATTGACGGCCTCTGCAAACGGCCGATGACTGATGGTGGAGTCGAGGTGCGTTGCGATTACAAAACAGTTCGGTGCACTAATCACTGTATAGCTACACGGAGTTGTCTGGTGGCTAGCTGAGCGGCCAACATGTGACCAATGCAGTGGTGCGTGTCATTGCTTTCTCGTCAGTCCCAATCCCTGTCGAGTGCATCTCGTTGGTCGCTTACCAGCTCGGCAGAGGCCGATGGACCCAACGGGGAATGCGGTGCGGCACTGTGTAGACTACCGTCAGCAGGGCAAAGGCCAACAATGCCCCATGCCCCTACTGGGCACCGGCAGCCTGCGTTGGGTTCTTTGGCTTTCTGCGGGCAGACAAGGAGTCGGACGTAAAAGCTTGACTCTCGATATGCTCAAATACGAGGTACATAGGTAGGCACATACACAACATACCTAGGTACCTATGTACACAACATAAGGTACCTACCTAGGTACCTAGGTAGGTAGGTACCTACACAAGCGCAGGTGGATCGGGTCAGGGTGCGTGCGGTACATGGCTGTACTTGCCCTCGCCAGGATGCGAATGGGGCGCTGCAACAACACGCTGCAAGAGCACGCTGCTGGCGGCGCGGTGCACGAGGTACCCTGGGCTGCCGGCATGTACCTTGCTGTAGTCGCGCACATGGTGGGGTCGCCCGCCGACGCAGCGCTCGCGCAACGGCCCGCCTCGCATCTCAACTCTCGTTTTCTCCCTCACTCGTTGAGCGACGCCCCGTCAGCCGTCCTTGGCTGGCCACTCTGGGGATCCATCGTTACCCACTCTCCCTCCTCCTCTGCGCTCCCCTCCTCACCTCCTCCCCTCCTCCCCTCCTCCTCTGCGCTCCTCTCTCTCCCCCCTCCTCCACCGCGTCAGTATGCTCTCCCGCTCGTCATGTCCAGTCCAGGCCCGTCCGAAAGCCCAGCGGCCAGCCGGCCATTGCCTCAGTCACCTCAATCGCCAGAAGCCTCTGCACGAGAACCCCAGCCCTCGCCTCCGCCACCTCAGCTGCCAAAGGCGCCTTCACGGGAACCCACCCCCCCGCCGCAGCCGGCCCAGACGCCTCCGACCAACACCCAGATCCCCTTTGTAACGACACCCTCTCCCATGAATCCACTGATGAAGCTCGCCGCTGACCACCACGCCCGCAGAACGAGGATGACGACGATGTCGATTCCGCCATTGGCGACGGCGCAAGGTCGGTCAAGCCTGGAACCCCCACGGGCGAAACGACCTGCTCACTCGTCGTTGCTTTCCTCGCTGCAGTATCGATTCCTCGACCGCATCCCTCAACGACAGCATCTACGACTACCGCAGCATCCACGGCCGCACCTTTCAGAGCTCCAAGACGACCGAGTACTGGGGTCCCAACGATGACCGCCAGAACAACGGCCTCGACATAGCCCACCACTTCATCACCATGCTCAAGGGCGACCGGCTGTTCGAGGCCCCCCTCGCCTCGCCCCCCTCAAGGGTCCTCGACGTCGGCACCGGCACTGGCATCTGGGCCATCGACATGGCCGACGCCTACCCCTCGGCCGAGATTTTTGGCACCGACATCAGCCCCATCCAGCCCACATGGGTGCCCCCCAACTGCGTCTTCCACATCGAGGACGCACAGCTCGAGTGGAGCTACCAGCCCGCCATCTTTGACCTGATCCATATTCGCGGCCTCTACGGCAGCATCGGCGACTGGGCCGCCCTCTACCGCCAGGTCTATCTCGCCCTCATCCCCGGCGGCTGGCTCGAGAACTTTGAGTTCAACATCACCATCTACAGCGACAGTCCCGAGGTCCGCGACAACCCCGACCACATCTTCAAGCGATGGTCCAAAGTCTTTCTCGATGCTTTTGATCGCATCGGCAAGACGGCCCGTATCGGCCTCCCGGGCAACATGGCCAAGCTCATCAAGGAAGCCGGCTTTGTCGACGTGGTCGAAAAGACATACCAGGTGCCCTGCGGCGGCTGGAGCAGCGACCCCAGGCTGAAGAACGTCGGCATCTACAACCTGGCCTTTCTCGAGGAGAGTCTCGAGGGCTTTGCGCTCTTCATGCTCAAGGAGATTATGGGCTGGCAGTACGTCGAGGTGCAAATGTTTGTGCTCGAGATGCGCAGGGCCATGCGCAACTTCAGGCTCCGCCCGTTCTATGTCGTGTGAGTGATGCCCTGGCGACGGCGTGGGTAGTCATGCCCAACTCTACTGACATGCAACGCAGGACCAATGTCTATGCTCAGAAACCCGAGTGGACTGTCTAGACACTGGTCGAGCAGGCATGGCCCTCCCGCGACCGGGGCTTGATACCCTTGAGGCTTGTGTACTGCTTTTCGGAGCAGGGAAAATGGTGTTGTTTGATATCTTGTTGCCTGTAGGCCATAGTGACAGGCCCAGAACCTCCATACAAACTGCTGCAATGTACATGTTGTGAGCTAAATATTGCAAAACTCCATCGTACCATTCTTCACAACCTGCCTGACGTGGGTATGCAAGCGAGAGCACACAAAGAAAGGGGGGGAATGCATCCCAGATTCCCATCCGTCGCATATCACGACACGCGGTCCATGACTTGCACCCACATGTCCGAGATCATAAAGAGGCCGAGGCAGTTGCGTGTCTTCCAGGGGCGTGTCGGGTGGATGAGGGCCATTTCGAAATTGCGCATCAGCTGCGTGGCCAGTCAGTCAGGGGGGGCGCCCAGCAAGGAAGGGCTCAAGGGGAGAAGCCGGAAAGGGGCAACAACAGGGAAAGAGGGCGAGCAACCTCAAAGATTGTCTTTGATATCTCAATCATGGCGACGGGCCTGCCGAGGCAGCGGAAGCGCGCGTGGCCAAAGACGAGCTCGTTGGTGCGCACCATGGCGGCCAGACGGTCCGGGTCCGGCTCGAACCAGCGCTCCGGGCGAAAGACGTGGGCGTCGGGCCCGTAGACGTCGCGGCTGCGGTGCATGGCGAGGGCCGAGTAGCCGATGGAGACGCCGGCGGGCAGGAAGACGGGCCGGCCGTCGACGACGACGGTGTCGCCGCCGGCGGGCACGTCGCGCGCAAATATGTTGACGGCGGGCGGCCAGATGCGAAGCGACTCGCGCACCACGGCCTGCAGGTAGGGCAGCTGGCGCGCCCGGGCGGCCTCGACGATGCCGTCGGAGCCCGTGGCGGCGGCCTCGGCGTCGACTTCGCGCTGCAGCTTGGCGTGGACGCGCGCGTTGCTCATGATGTGCAGCAGGGCGCCGCGGAGGGCGCCGGCCGTCGTGTCCGAGCCGGCGACGACCTGCTCCAGCGCCTCGGAGCGCAGGTCATGGCCCTCGATGCCATGGCGCATAAACGACGCCAGCATATCCTCGTGCCGATGCGCCGCCGCCGCCGCCGCCGACGGCCCCTTGGCCCCGACACGCTCATCGACGGCGCGGAAGCACGCCGCCATGACCCGCCCGTAGCCGCCGCTGTCCTCGGGCGAGGGGGCTACGAAGCGCCCGATGCCCGGGACGTGGGCCAGGCGGCTCAGCCCCGTGGCCAGGGCGGCGTTGGCGGCGACGAGGCCCTGCTCGCTGAGGCGCACGTGGCCGTCGACGTCGGCGTTGCGCGGGAGCATGCCGAAGGAGCGGCCGAGGCCGACGCTGCTGATGACGTCGAGGGTGAAGAACTGCACCTTTTCGCCCAGGTCCATGGGCTGTGTCGCGGCCTGCGCCGTGGCTGGCAGGTAGTGCGTGCGGATGAGGGCGAGCAGCTCGGCGAGGCGCTGGTCGATGGTGTGCTCGAGCTCGAGGTTTTCTCTCCCCGAGTACTGAGAGACGCTGTGGTTAGCCCCATGCCCATGCTCTCCCACGGACACGTGTATCCACGCGTGTTAGGTTATCACAAGACACACACGCACCCCCGGGGCCATCTGCTTCCGCCGCACGTCGTGCTTGCGGTTGTCCGTCTGGCTAAAGATGTTGTCGCGCCGGTGCTCGAGCCGGCAGGCGTGGTAGTACCAGTCGGAGCGCTTGTAGCCGGGCTTGGTGTTGACGTGGATCCAGACGTCGGGCGACGAGGTGACGAGCACTCTGGGCGCGACGCGGGCGATGGGGCCTCGAAGACGACGGTCAGCGAGGACAGAGAACGACAAGGAAAAGGGGGGGGGGGGGTGGTTCCGCACCATACTTCTCGTTCACCTCGGCGTACCACTCATGGTTCCGGTGCCGCAGCATAGCCAGGCTATGAGGCCAGTCGGACAGACCCGCCCACAGCGGCCCGCCGAAGCGCCGCAGCCGCGCGTAGACGACGAGCCTGCGCACCAGCCAGAGGCATGCGAGGCCGCAGAGCAGCGGCACCGCGTGCTCCGCCGCGAGGGCGAAGAGCCACATTGCGAACCACGACGGCCTGGACCGGTCAAATGAGGTCTGTCTTGACGCTGATGCGAGGGAGCGTTGGGGCTTAGGTGACGGGAACGGGGGCGTGTAAGTGAAGATGTTGGCTCGAGGATGACGACGGAGCACCGCGCCATGGAAACTCTAACCCAATCTATCGGAGAGCGGGGAACCTTCAAGCTTAAAGGGGAGGGGAAAAAAGAAACGCGGCTGATGCCAAGAGGGTCAGCCAATCTATGCCGCATCGCATAATTGGGTTTAATCCGGGGTTGCGACGTCAAGCTGCTTGGCTTGGCCCATCACCATCACCTACAGCCGGCCTACCCTGTACGTCTACCGAGTACTGTAACTTGTATGCTTGTGCATACACGTACAACACGTACTATACTCCGAAAGCCGCAACCTCCTCGAGGCGTTTGCATTCGCTTCCATGCATGTACATGCAAGACACGCACCCTTGCTTTTGCTTAACCATCCTTGTACAGCCACTATGGCGTCTGCATGTGTCGTGGCCAACCCCGCTCAAGTGCTTTGCCGGTCAACCATACTCCGTACCGTATAAAGGAGAAGAAGAGCATCTCGGTACTTTTTACCCAACCCGCTGGCACAAAGCCGTCTCTCGTCATGAATGGTACATATATGCACATACCCCGTACAAGCACCCGTAGACACCGGCAACCCCCCTCAGCGAAACGACGAGCTGTACCCCAGCCAGTCCGCCTCGGGATCCGGGTTCCTCGGCGTCCCGTCGCCCGCCGCCGCCGCCATCCCCTGCATGAGCGGGTGGCTGCCGCCCGGCGTGATGACGGGCCCGCGCGCCGCCTCGGGCATCTTGGGATAGTTGAAAAAGTCAAAGATGTCAATGCTGTCCAGCTCGCTTAGCGACACCGGCTGCGACGACGTCTCCTCCAGCCCGGACCGCCGCGTCGACGTCGTCAGGCTGACCAGGTCGTGGGCGCTCCTGACGAGAAACTGGGTTAGCAGGATGCTCAACAACATGGAAAGGGGGACGAGGACTTTTTAAAGAACTTTCAACAAAGGGCCAGCCAGACAAGGGGACAACTAAAGTGAGCGCTCACCTTCTCATGTCCGCAAAGCTCCCGTCGCCTTGCCGCCCCCGCTGCACCACCCGCGCCAGGATCCGCGCATAGTTGGCCGCCACCTCCCAGTACTCACCGACGTAGCCGAGGATGTCGATGAAGAAGTCAATCTTACTGTCGACGGGGCCCCCGACCGCGGCCGCGTGGACGACGAGGAGCCGCGCCGCGACCCAGAGCGAAAAGGCAAAGGGCGGCCCCACGAGGTCCAGGCCGTCGGCCTCGTCGACATCGCGGGTAATGTCTCGCAGGCTCTGCACCGCCGCCAGGCACCGCTGCATGGCGTAGTGCGACGGCGGTAGCAGCGGCGGCGGCGACGCACCTGTGTTCGGGCCCGGGGCCGGACCCGGGTAGGCGGCGGGCGAGTGCAGGCGCACCACCGACGTCACGTAGGCGCTGTGCAGCATGAACCAGTTGGCGACGCGGCTGGCCGGGTCCGAGTGGCACAGCGCCGAGATGCGCCCGTACTCGCTCGGCAGGCTCTGCAGCCACCGGTCCAGCGCCGCGTCGAGCGAGCGGTATGTGTCGCGCCACCCGGCCATGTCGGCCGCCGACGACACGTCTATAGGCCGCCGCACGAATTCGTGCACCCGGCTGAGGATCCGCAGGATCTCGCAGTGATACGAGAAGCTGCCCAGGTTCTCGGACCGGTCAACGGCGTAGGCGCCGTGCTGCTGCTGCCCCGACTCGAGCGACCTCGTCTCGACGGGCACGTTGCGCGAAAAGAGATCGTACGAACACGGCAAGACGCGCCTCATCTTGCCGTCGTCGAGCATAAAGTCAAATGTCGTCGTCGCCACCGTCGCGTACCGGTCCAGCAGGTATACCATCCAACATAGCCGGCGACGGCCCTCGTCTTCGATCCACGACTCGGGCCGCCCCACCGCGACCCGCCGGACGGACCCGGACCGGGGCACGTCCTCGGCGGCGGCCGACGACAGGTACATGCTGTTCTCATTGCACAAGTCGAGGTGGCGCACGTTTTGCGCCAGCAGCGACAGCAGGTTCCACCCGCGCGGGCCGTTGGAGGTGCCGAGCTCGTCGAGGGACAGGATGACGAGGGCCTTGAGCGCGGCGACGCTGACGTGCTCCATGGCGAAGATCATGACCGTGTGCTTAGATACGGCGTGATAGTGGGCGCGCATCTCGCGCGTCAGCCGCGAGCCCTTGAGGAACCGCAGCGTCGTGGCCACGATGGCGTGGAGGAGGATGCGGTCCACCTCGCTCAGCGACGTGGACCCGAAGAAGATGCCAAACGTCGACTTGCGGTCCAGGATCGGGCACCACGTGTTGCAGTGCTTAAAGTACAGGTCCACCAGGGTGTAGACTATGTCATCGGAAGGGAGGTCAGCTCCGCTCGAGAAGGATGAAGGGCCCGCTCGGGGAGCGGAGGCGACCCGCGAGGCATGTTCCGAAGGGTGGATGGGTGGAGGGGGGGCCGAGTCTCCCCCGGCCAGAGATAGGGTGGCGGCCGTCGCCGTTGTCGATGGAGGTCCCGCCATCAGGGAGGACCGGGGCTCGCCGCCTCGCAGGCCATCTCGGCCGCCGTCCGCCGAGTCTCGCCACAAGGGACTCGAGTAGGCACCAGGGGTGGTGCCCTGGAGAACGGGAGTGCTGGCCGAGAAGGCGACTGGGAGGGGGTGCCCGGTGGAGGCGGCGTGGTCGGCGGCTGAGGGCAGCTGATGAAGGCCTTCGACGTGGCTGCTGCCGGTGGGCGAGAGGCTCTGGACGGGCGGGAGACCCGAGGGGTGGTGGTCATGAGCAATGTGGTCCTCGACGCGGCGCCACAGGGCCTGGAGGAGGGCGTCGACACGGTTCACCTTTGACTCGAGCTCGAGGGTGAAGCCGATGCGGCTGCCGGGCTTCTGCCTCTCGAGATAGACGCAGGTGCGGTTGTGACGGGCGCACCACGAGCACGCGGGCTCGGCCCTGTCGCACTTGACCTTGCGGGCCTTGCACAGCTCACATCTGCTCGGAAAGCGTCCGTCAGCGTGCCATTGTGATGACCAGGAAAGGGGGATAGAAAGAGGGGTGGAGCAGCTGACGATGTCTTTTGATACTTGATGCGCTTCCTCTTGTTGCCGGCAACCGAGGCGGGGCCGTTATGCGTCGTGTCGTCGTCGCTCGACCCGCCCTCTTCGTGACTGAAGGCCGAGTTGGCCTCGTCCTCGGCCGTCGGTACCGGGTGTGCATTGATGTCTACCATGGCTATTCCATGGCGGTGCCAAATATTGGATCTCAAAGGTCCCCACAGCCGGGAGCGAGAGGCCGACGTTTAAAGCAGGAGACGGGGCACGTTTGCCTCGTCCTTGCGAGAGAGAAGAGGAAAACGTTGACTGGCTTGGCTGGTGGCTGACGCAGAGCAAAACAGTCTTCTTGGAAGCCTCGCCTTGAGGCGATATTAGGGGCTGAACCGTGCAGCGGCAGCAGCAGCAGCAGCAGCTTGCTGCATCAAGCAATGACCGCCACCTTCAAAAAGCCCCTAGTTTGCCACGGTCACCACTCAACTAATTCCAAAGCGTCGCAACCCCCTTTGTGCCTCTCCTGGACGGACCGGGATGAGAAAGGCAGGGCGACTGGGCCAGGGTTTGTTGTTGCGTCAGGAAGCGCCGCGAGAGTTGGGCGTGACGAGGGTCAGGACGAGTAGAGCAAGGGCCGGCGAGCCACGAGGTGCTCTCGGGGTCGCTCGGCCGGCGACAACGACGTTCTCGGGGATTGAAGCGCGAGTCGGCCCCGAGCTGCTGTGGAAGAGGATGAGACGGCGATCGCTGTCGATGACCCCGAGGGAAAACGGTGGGCGAGCAGATTATTAAAGCCAAAGACAAAAAATGCCGCTTGCTCGTTGTTGTCCTTGGAGGCGTACGTGCGGAGCCGACGGAGCGGATGGCAGTGGGAAAAGAGGTGGAAAGGGCAAGGAAGAGGATAAAGTGAGGAATGAATGAAGTTGACGGGGTGGCGTGAGCCGGATAAAAGCGCCCACCCTGTGTCGCTGGCTGGCTCAAGGCGTGCGCTGCCAGAAACGTCCACAGTGGGTTTATTTTGTCTTCGTTGGAGGCTCCACCGCCATGAGGTGTCGCATGTCGCACGTTTCGGCAGCGGGCGAGGCTCAAGCCCCTCCCCTCGACAGGTACCGCCAGTCGCCCTAGACTCCCTAGACTCCCTAGACTCCCTAGACTCCCTAGACTCCCTAGACTCAGGCCTCTCGCCCACAAATCCGAGCTACCCGAGAGACGAGACGGGACGAGGCGAGAGCAGCAGCGCTATGAGCTCCCCCAAGTGCCGCGCTGCTTGATTATCATGCAAGCTATCCTTTTAGCGCTTGTCATTGCAACCTAGCCTGTTCCTTTGTTTCAAATCTCGCCAGGTAACTGCACTGTACATACTTTTTCGACTCTTGGGCAACGCGAGCCCGGGCCCGTGAGCCCACCCCACATCGACAGGACATCCCCGTTAAATAGCACACTCTTCCAGGGGGACTTGCACGCCTGTAGGGTCAGCTCCTGATTGGTGGACGTCTGGCTTGCTTCTACAGTTAGTACAGTCGTCGAGGCCATCCAGAGCGGCAGCCGCCACCATCGCACGCACTTGCAGGCGGCAAGGTACCGTTGCTCGCTTCTGGAGAATAGACTTTGGCTCTCTCTCCTCTCTTATCTCGTGCTCCTCTTCCTCGGAAATCCCATCTCTTTTGGATACAAAGAGCCCCCCCTCCCCGCGCTTATGCCAAAGTCTGCCCGAGACACCATCATCCAGCCACCCTCGCAACAAACAACAACAAGGCCGTTCGGTCATGATATAAAGTACAAGCGGCTCACGCCCAACAAGGCACGCCCAACAAGGAAAGGAAAGAGATGAAATCACTCGCCACCGCTAGTAGTTGGCCCAGCCCTTGCTCATCTGCACAGCCTTTTCCCAGCGCTCGAACCGCTTGGACGCGACCTCGGCATTGATGGACGGCTTGAACAGGGTCCGGCCCTCGAGGTTGACGTTCTTGAGATCGTCAAACGACTTCCACACTCCCACCGCCATGCCCGCCGCAATGGCCGCCCCCAGCGCCGTCGTCTCTCGCATGCCTGGCCGGGTGACGGGGATGCCGATTAAGTCCGCCTGAGTCTGGACGCACCATGTTAGCAACATCAAATGACACCGTCCCGGGCAGGCTCCCACTCACCTGCATGATGAGGTCGGCGTTGCACATGCCGCCGTCGACGGCCAGCTCCGTCAGCGCGTGGCCGCTGTCCTTTTCCATGGAGTCGAGAATGGCCTTTGTCTGGAAGCACGTGGCCTCGAGCGTGGCGCGCGCAATGTGTCCGCGCTGCGTGTAGGCCGTGATGCCGAAGATGGTGCCGCGCGCGTCGTCGATCCAGTAGGGCGCAAACAGGCCGCTAAAGGCCGTGACAAAGGTGCAGCCGCCGTTGTCCTCGACCGTCTCGGCCAGCGCGCTGAGCTTGGAGCTCGACTCGATGAAGCCAAAGTTATCGACGAGGAACTTGACGCTCGACCCGGCGACGGCGATGCTGCCCTCGAGGGCGTACATGGTCTTGCCCTTGCCAAAGTCAAAGGCCACCGTCGTCAGCAGGCCGTGCGACGACACGACGGGCTTGGGGCCGACGTTGTACAGCAGGAAGCAGCCCGTGCCGTACGTGTTCTTGGCCAGGCCGGGCGTGAAACCCTTTTGGCCGACGAGGGCCGCCGACTGGTCGCCCAGGCAGCCCGTGATCTTGGTGCCGCGCAGGACGGTGCCGGCGAGGGAGCCGTAGGCGGCTGCGTCGGCGGAGCGCACAATCTTGGGCAGCAGCACCTTGGTGCGGTCGATGCGGAACCAGTCGAGCAGCTTGCTGTCGTAGTCGAGGGTGTCGAGGTTCATGAACATGGTGCGCGAGGCGTTTGTCGGGTCCGAGACGTAGACGTTACGCGCGGGCCCGCCGTTGAGCTTGTAGGCGAGCCAAGTGTCGACGGTGCCAAAGGCCAGGGTGCCGGCGTTGTAGGCGTCCTTGACGGCCGGCACGTTCTCGAGCAGCCAGAGCAGCTTGCTGACGGAGGGGTAGGTGGACAGGGGCAGGCCGCAACGCTGCGTCAGCTCGCCGGAGCCGATGCGCGCCTTGAGGCGGCGGACGAGGTCCTGGGCGCGCGTGTCGGTCCAGACAATGGCATTGTGCAGCGCCTTGCCCGTCTTCCGGTCCCACACGAGGGTTGTCTCGCGCTGGTTGGTGATGCCGACGGCGACGATTTGCTCGCGCGAGTGGCCCTGCGTCTCAAACTTGGCGACAGCGCCGTCGATGCACTGCTCGACCGACGAGATGAGCTCGTCGGGGTTGTGCTCGTGCCAGCTACGGGGGAGTCAGTGGACAGCAGGCGCGCATGGATCAAGCAGGGCCGACTTACCCGGGGTTTGGATACAGCTGCTTAAACTCAATCTGGTGCAGGGCGACAACCTCGCCGTTGCGGTTGAAGATGAGGAAGCGCGTGCTCGTGGTGCCCTGGTCGATGGCGCCGACAAAGGCGGCGGTGGCGCCGGGCTTGGAAGGAGGAGCCATGGCGGCAGTCTCTGCTGTTCAGGAGAAGAGGAGCTCGGTTTGGAAGATCTGAAATCAGGGACACGCGACAAAGAGGCGCAGACCGAGTGTGGGGGGGGAGACAATGAAGCGGCGGGGAACCGAGGAGGGCGGGCGAGCGGGGGGAAGATATGAGGAGGTTCTTGGAGAGGCTGCGGGGGATGATTGATGCAGTTGAGGTGCGGGTTTGGGAGCTGAGGCTGAGAAGGGGGTGAGGGTCGCCAACGAGGGAAGGGGTCTGGCCTCGGTGTTGAGATCAAGACGCAGTGAGGCATTCGACGAGACAGGCGCGCTAAATTAAACCGTGCCTTGGCTCAAGGTAGGGGCATCGTCATCCATGCCCCCCTCGTGGGGCCCCTTCCGGGCTCCCCCGCTTTCTTCAGCATCCTGGCCTGTTTCTCCACATCCGCCCCAGAAGCTGTGGGGGAGGAAAAAATCGACGCTGGTCACGGGGCCAGCAGCAAGGCCGAGAAGCCGCCATGGATTGGCGCTTGGTGCTGTGCATCTCAAACATCGTCGAGGGGCCAAGGCGAGCAAGCTAGGCGATGCCATGACACGGGCGCTCGGGGTTTGGGGACCGAGCTCGCTCGAGGCTAGAAGCTGGTCTAGAATATGCATGCGCCTGGCCGTTTGTTGGTTTTCCTTTTGCTCTGCTCGTGATGGCGGCTGACGCCGTGCATAGAGCCGACACGTTGTCCATGACGGACATGCCCCCTGTGCGGTGTTTGTTGCCGCAGCGTCGGATTAGGCAGGGAAGAGGAGACGACGGAGCGCTTTGCAAACTCTGGGAGATTATAAACAAGGAACGAAACGGAGGGCAAAGGAAGGCATCGGAAAAGTCTGGGTGTCTGCAACCAGCAAAGGATGCCGCCTCATACGGAGCGTGTCCCGGAACGGTGTTGTACAGCTTGCACAGCACAGAACTATCCCAAGAAAGCTACGGCTAGCCACTCGAAACCAAGTTGTCAGCCATGCTGTGCTGACCCGATGCAGGGAGGCGGCTGGGAGAAGAAGCTGCGCTCCCGCACATGTAATAATTGTATCCTCGCATGCAAGCCTGGGTGCGGCTCAGGTGCAGGGCGAGGTTTGGGAGGGCCGAGGCCAAGGCTCCGAATCGGGAGGGCGCGTCTTTTCTCTGCCCGTCGATTGAGGAAGGCCGTTGAGCCATTTGCATGAAATCTCTTTCTTTTCGTTCCGCATGTGAATAACCTCAGGGAACTGGTCGAGGTGGCAGGGATTCAGACCTGCAAGAGAAGCGGGGAGCGGAGAGAGAGCGGGTGGGGGAGCGGCTGTTCTAGAACCAGGCTGGAAGCGGAGGTTTGCGGTGCGTTCTTGGCCGTCACGATATTTCAGAAAAGTCACCCGAGACTTGCTTCATTGCGCAATTCTGAGTCTGCCTGCATCTTCTTTTCAAACAAAATTAAATTCGCGGATGAAGCCCATGTTGTTGTTGTGACAGAGTTTGTCGTCACGGGCGCAAAAGCTCCGGCACAATCGTCATCGCGCAAGTTTCTGTACCGGTACTTGCGTGGGTGGGGGGCGAGCCGCGGCTGGCTGCTGGCCGGCTGTCGTCACGTGCGCCCCGGTGGAATTGTTGCGTGCCAGGGCGCCCCGACGCGTTGCAGGCCCTGGCTAAGCATCCGGGGCCCGTTTGCATAGCGGGCCAGTGGAGCATGTACAGTACCTGCCTACGGGCGGATGGAAGCTCCACCGCCCAGCCTTGCGCTGAAGACTGCCCGCAAAAAAAAAAAGCCCCCCGTCGTTGGAGGTGGGTGGCGGCTTCGGCAGACTTCCATTGCTGGGGCTCGTGCGTGATCGCGATGCTGTCCTCGTACACACGCATGTGCGGCGGTTACATCAGGCCATTGCCTACATACGCATTCTGCTGTGCCCGGGCGCTTCCGACTGGCCGAGGGGAGAGCCGTTGCTGGGCTCGGCACGTCTGTTCTCGTCGTCTCCGGTGTCGGGAACGCTGGCCGGAGAATAGCGCGGCTCGCAGCGGCGTTTTGACAAGAAGAGAAAGAAAGAAGGAAGGAAAACAAAATCCCAACCCCGGCCCATGCCTTGTTGCGGATGTACTGTACATGGTACATACCTCCGTACTTGGCACCTTGTCCATTATTAATTAATTGTGACGGCGTCGGGACATCGGGGGCCTTGCAGATTCGGTCCCGCGGCGCCACGTGAACTAGCACCGCCAGAGTAAGCCTAGCCCGTGCCCGAGTAAGGAATAGCCTAGGCAGAAAACTGCACCGAGGCTCAGTGTCTCTCTCTCTCTCTCTCTCTTTGTGTGTGTGAGTGTGTGTCTGTGTCTGGGTGGCTGCGAGCAGAACTAGCCTTGGGCTGCGACAGAGAGCTCCTCCCTCTCCTCCGCTCCTCTTTGTTCTCGCAGCCATGGCATGATTCTTTTCCAAGGTTTCATGCCGGCAGCGACGTTATTCTGCGGGGAGTCGGCCGTTTCTCAAAACCCTCCAAGCCTCGATCCATTCCCAAGACCCCCTCACTCCGTCACTCCGTCACTCCGTCACTCGTCTCTCTTGTCTCCTCATCATCCTTCCCCCTCCCCCCCCCGGTCTTCGTTTTCTTTTCGCCTCCTCTCCGTCCAACTACTCCTGGCACCACCCCCCCCGAATTGCCCGTCCCAAACCTCCTTCTCTCCTCACACCCTTCTCTGCCCTCTCTCTCTCACTCGCGCGTCTCAAACCACCGCCTCCATCCATCCACCCCTGCGTCGGCCCATCTTGTCCGACTCCTCTTTCTTGCTTTCTGCCAACGCTGTCACATTTCCCGCCAGCGCCCCATCCCCGTCCCTCTCCGGTCTCCTGCCGCAGCCGTCTGCCCCGTGGGGACTTGTATAATAGCCGCCGACTTCCCCGGCGTGCCGCGCCATGAGCCGCCGGTGACACTGCGTCGTCCTTCCAACGTTGTCTCCCTCGTCTTGCTGTCTGCCGTACGCACCTACGCGCGCACACCACATCGGCCATCGATTAGGGTTTCTCGCCACCCGTCGACACAGGTCCGACCTCTCACCACATCCACAAGCTCTCCCGGCGGAATATTACTTCTCGCCGGTCCCTTCTCCCCTTTCAATCCGCACTCATGTCCCCCCTCTCACCCACCCACGACTCTTTTTCTGAATCGTCCGTCGACAAGTCTGTCCCCGTATTCAAGATTGACATGGGCGCTTCCACCAAGCACGAGGATCCCGTCATGGATCGAGATGTCCCCGACACGCCTCCGCCGCCCGAGAAGCAGCTGCCCTGGACCAGGGTCCGCTCCCTCTGGCAGGATGCCTTTTCCGAGTTCCTTGGCACCATGGTCCTCATCCTCTTTGGCGACGGCGTCGTCGCCCAGGTTGTCCTCAGCAAAGGCACCAAGGGCGACTACCAGAGCATCTCCTGGGGCTGGGGGTAAGCAACTCTCTCTCCCTCTCTCTCCCTCTCACTCTCCCTCTCCCTCTCCCTCTCCCTCTCCCTCTCACTCTGTCAGCCACGGGCCTCTTCGCCCGTGCCCCCCCTGCCTGCCATGCAAGTGCCGCATACGCAGAGACTCGGCTGCTGACTCCCCTCTACAGCATCGGCGTCATGATGGGTGTCTATGTCTCGGGCAAGTCTGGAGGCCACATCAACCCGGCCGTGACTCTTGCCAACTGCGTCTTCCGCGGCCACCCCTGGCGCAAGTTCCCCGTCTACGCCCTGGCCCAGCTCTTGGGCGCCATGGCAGGAGCCGCCATTGTCTACGGCAACTACAAGTTGGCCTTTGACAACTTTGAGGGCGGCGTGGGCCTCCGCACCGTGAGCGGCCCCAATGCCACAGCCGGCGTCTTCTGCACCTATCCCGCCGCCTTCATGACCCGGACCGGCATGTTCTTCTCCGAGATCGTCGCCAGCTCCATCCTGCAGTTTGTCATCTTTGCCCTTGCCGACTCGGACAACATTGGCGCCGGCCCGCTGATGCCCCTGTGCCTGTTCTTCCTCATCTTTGGCATCGGCGCCTGCTTCGGCTGGGAGACGGGCTATGCCATCAACCTGGCTCGTGACTTTGGCCCTCGGCTGGTCTCGTACATGATTGGATACGGTTCCGAGGTGTTCTCGGCCGGTGGCTACTACTTTTGGGTGAGCAAACTGCCCCAGAAGGCTGTGAGCCGCGAGCCCCGCGCTAACATTCGAGGCAGATTCCCATGGTGGCGCCCTTTTTCGGCTGCCTGCTCGGCGGTGCTCTGTACGACACATTCGTGTACACGGGCGAGAGCCCCATCAACACGCCCTACCTCGGACTCACCCGCCTGTTCAAGCCGCGGCGCAGCGTGTGGTCCAACACTCGCAGCCACGGGATCGAGTCTCGGGTGTAGACGAGAAGTGTTGTCGGGGACTTTGAAAGGTCCGCAAGCCGGGAGCGAAGATGGAAGGTGGCTGAAAATTATAGCAACGTCGAGTCGAGGGGGCGAGCAGGTGCCGGACCAGAGCGGCAATGGACAGTGTTTGGCGTTTCCCCCTTTTTCCTTTACTCGAGCGGGTCGTTTTGGGATACAGCTCTACACGATCAACTTTTGGAGCGGCGTGCCTTGATGTCTGGATGACAATGCTCCACGAGGGATGATGGTGGGAGGGGGGAGGTTAGAAGGCTTTATATCCTGGGTTCCCATCATTTGACTCTTTATCTTTGCCCCATCCTGGTGCCGCCCCAGTCTCACATGTCTACGGGATACCACGCGGGCTTATCATCAAGTGGGCCACGGGCACATGAGAAGAGGCTGCCCAGTGCGGGTATGCTGCGCGCCGGGCCGTGATGGGCGGGCATTATGTACATGGAATGGGTCAAGATTTTGGCAGCGCGTGGGGAAGAGGCGGTAGCCGGTGGACATTTCACAGAACTGTTTGGTACGGCGAAGGGGATATCGGCAGGACGGGGCCTTTGGTGGTCTGGAAAGGGGGCGACCATGGAGCCGGCTCTTGCGCCGAGGGCCGTCATGCGAGGATCGCGGGCAGGCAGGAAAGGCGGCGTTATCGTACATGGTATACGTCTGAGTTATTCAGCACCGAGTTGTACGGCATGTACACACATATGCCGTCGGCTGTGCCCACATGGCTGCGAATCAGAGCACACAGCGTGTAACAAGCCCGCCCATCCGCCTGTCCTCGGGCATCAATGGGTAGCCTACAGCGCCTGCAGGCCTGGCTACTTCAACGTGGCAGCGCGCAAGGAGAGCTTGGCCTGCAGGTCGCCGCGGCGCGAGGCTTTCTCGCCAGGTCCAGCCGCGTTGCTCACCGAGTCAGTCGGGCAATGTACTTGTAACTGCATGTTGTGTGTCCTGTATGTATTACAATGGCGATAATTCAAGGACGGGACGGCCGGGAAGGGCGCCGTGGTCCCTCTGCGCGCGCCGTTTCGGGTGCCGCCCGCTAATGAATAATTAGTGGGACGTTTTTTTTCCGGCAGAACTACTAGTTGTTGAGTGGGCAGGGGGAGGTTGATGGGTGGTGGTTTAGGCGCTTGGCGCTCGGGACGGGATACCGAGACCGAACCGAACGCGTGGGTCCCCTTGGAAGGTGCCCGGAGGACCCCTGAAGAAAGACTCGGGGCGGGAAAGCCGAGGTGCGTCGCGGCCGGGCGCGATGACGTATGCGGGGTACGTACCGGTGGATTCTCGCACGTCTTCGGGGCGCAAGGACCGAGACGACAGGCTGCGAAGATCATGGCGATTTCGTCAGAGTCGGGCCAGTTTGAGGCAGGCGTCGAGAGGAGTCGAGAGGAGTCGAGAGCAGGAGGAGGCTGTCCGTAGCGGCAGACGGCGAAGAAGAAGACGACCCACCCACGTCGGAGATGGACCATGGCCGGAGACGTGCGAGGGCGAAAGAGTGCCAACTCGGTACACGGATTTCAATCCCGCCTGGAATCTGATGTCGGCTGTCTAGAGCCGCCGCCGCATGCGCAGGTAATACATCGTCAACTCGCTCGTCTCGTCATGTCCATTAGCCGCCCAGCACGTGGACGCCCCGGCTGAGAGCGCCATGGGCCGGGGCGCCCGCTGCCGAGCGGCCGGCCATGTTTCCACAAATACCGCAAAAGGGCGACGGCTTCCCCCCCTGTTTCAGCACTTGCCGTTCTTCTGCGGCGTCCCCCTATAAAGCGTTTCTCTTCCTCTCCCCGTCCCCGTGTTCTCTCTCCTCCACCCGCAAGCACGCTCCGTCCTACGAGCCAACCAGCCCCAGATTCACCACCCCCCCCCCCCCCCAGCATCTCACATCCCGGCCATGCCGCCGTCGGCCTTCTCACGGGCCTGGCGCCCCCTCGCCGCCGTCACCGTCACCGCCGCCGCGGGAGGAGCCGCCGTCGTCTACAGCCAGTCCAGGCGCCGGCGCACATGCCGCGACAAGCCGCTCGCCGAGCCGCGGCGCGACGCCGCCGGCCGCATCGTCGCCCCCTCGTTCCCGGCCGTCCCGCGCCGCGCCCACCAGCTGGCCGACCTGCGGCGCGCTGACGCCGAGTTCGACCTGCTCATCGTCGGCGGCGGCGCGACGGGCGCGGGCATCGCCCTCGACGCCGTCACCCGCGGTCTCAAGGTCGCCCTCGTCGAGCGCGACGACTTCTCGGCCGGCACCAGCTCCAAGAGCACCAAGCTCGTCCACGGCGGCGTGCGGTACCTGGAAAAAGCCGTGTGGAACCTCGACTACCCGCAGCTGCAGCTCGTCATGGAGGCCCTGCGCGAGCGCAAGGGCTTCCTCGACGTCGCGCCGCACCTCTCGGGCTCGCTGCCCATCCTGCTGCCGCTGCAGCGCTGGTGGCAGGCGCCCTACCTCTGGGTCGGCTGCAAGATGTACGACCTGCTCGCCGGCTCCCAGGGCCTCGAGAGCTCCTATCTCATGAGCCGCACGAGGGCCCTCGAGGCCTTCCCGCTGCTGCGCAGGGACAACCTCATCGGCGCCCTCGTCTACTACGACGGCCAGCACAACGACTCGCGCATGAACGTCTCGCTCGCCCTGACCGCCTCGCTCTACGGCGCCACCGTCCTCAACCACGCCCAGGTCACGGCGCTGGAAAAGGACGCCCGCGGCCGCGTCTGCGGCGCAAGGGTGCGCGACCTCATGGCCGACGTCGACGGCGACGACGCGCGCGACTTCTCGGTCCGCGCAAAGGGCGTCATCAACGCCACGGGGCCCTTCACCGACGCCCTCGAGCAGATGGACGACCCCGGCCGCAAGCCCATTGTCGCCCCGGCCTCGGGTGCCCACGTCATGCTGCCGGGCAAGCTGTGCCCCAAGAACATGGGCATCCTCGACGCCGCCACGTCCGACGGCCGCGTCATCTTTGTCCTTCCGTGGCAGGGCATGACGGTCGCCGGCACCACCGACAACGCCTGCGAGGTTGAGCGGGAGCCCGTTGCCCGGCAAAGCGACGTCGACTTTATCCTCAAGGAGGTCAGCAAGCTCCTGGCACCCGAGTCGGTCCTCACGCGCAACGACGTCCTCGCGACTTGGTCTGGTGAGTCCTCCCCCCTTGCTCTGCGCCTCCGCCTTGCGCCACGAGGGTTAGCTGACGGTCGTCTTGCGCAGGCATCCGACCCTTGGTCAAGGACCCCAAGGCCGTGGGGAACACCGAGTCCCTCGTCCGCAGCCATCTCGTCACCGTCTCGCCCTCGGGCCTGCTCACCTGCGCCGGCGGCAAATGGACCACGTACCGCCAGATGGCCGAGGACGCCGTCGACGAGGCCATCAAGGTGTTCGACCTGAAGCCCCAGGCCATCGCCATGCCCGACATTAGCGGCGGCGGCCTGCCGGGCTTCACCACGACGGGCGAATGCCGCACGCGATGGACCCCCGTAGTCGGCGCCCACGGATACTCGGCCGCGCTGCCGGCGCAGCTGATGGAGACACACGACATCGACGCCGACGTGGCCTTCCACCTTGCCACCAACTACGGCGACCGCGCGTGGGCCGTCCTCGGCGCCTCGTCGTCCGCCTCCCCCCCCTCGGCCGGCGCCGCCACCACGCGTCTCGCCGCCTCGTTCCCCTTCGTCGAGGCCGAGGTCCGGCACGCCATCCGCGCCGAGGCGGCGTGCACGGCGGCCGACGTCATCTCGCGGCGCATGCGGCTCGCCTTCCTCGACGTCAACACGGCGCTGCGGGCTCTCCCGCGCATCATCGACGTCATGGCCGAGGAGCTGGGCTGGAGCAAGCCGCGCCAGGAGCAGGAGTGGAAGGCCACGGTGCATTTCCTGCGCAGCATGGGCCTGGCCGAGGACAGGCTCGCAATGACGCGCGAAGAGGTCCTGCGCGGCGTCGTCGAGGCCAGCCGGGCAAGGCACGCGGACGGCACGGCGACGGGCGACGCTGGGGCGAAGAAGGCCGCGAGGGCGGCGGAGCTGGAGGCCGGTGACGACGGAGCCCTGGCTTCCGAGGCTTGATGGGCAGGCTTATAATATCTCGTGGTTCCATGTTGTTTGACGGTGTTTGGGCGGTGAATGGAGTCTGGGCTGGCGAGGTTTCCAACCCCCCTGTTTTCTTGCATAGCATTGCCTGCGGCGCGTCCGCAGAGGAGCGTTTGAGAATACCGAAATGCGACGAGCATGATTGAAACGACGCCGTGTAGTCGCGAAGAAACCCATCCGGTGAAACACCAAGGCACGGGGCCGAGCTCGCCAGCATCGACACGTTCACGTCACACCGTGGTTCACGTCAACAACAGCCGTTGCACAGGCAAGACGGGCGTCCGTGGCTTGCTGGCTACACGGCGTCCTCGGAAACCCCATCCCATTTGCCGCCCTCACAGCTCGTCGTCGGGACGCAACGGGGTCCCAGCAGTCGCACAGAAAGCCACTGCCGCGCTCCGACCCGCCGAGGCGTTTTTCGTGCTTCTGCATGGGCTCAAGTGATACGACGGATCCCGTTCAGCCTTGCAGGGGCAGGCCATCTGTGTTCCAAGCCGGGTGCGCTGCAACTTACACTGTTGAGCCTGGGACTCTTGGGAGGCATCGGCATCGGCCAAACATACATACAAGCAAGCCAGCACAAAGTCCAGCCGGGCTCACATCGTCAGCAATCATGGCAAAGCAGCCCTTGGACCCGACCCTCGCCCCTTGTTTCGAGGAAGTTGGCCCTTGGACCGTCCACAAGCCACTCAAGCGGCCAAGGACAGGGGGCGAGTTCAGAGCAACGGTGCTCGTCGACGACCGGAAAAGCTCACGGGTCAAGACGCGATGGTTCGCCAGCGCAAGGTCGGCCGCTCGACGTCGACGGCTCCTACGGGACGGAAATGCGCTTCATTTCCTCGCCAGCCTGCACACATGCTCCTCTTCCCACGCATGCGTACGTACATACGCAGGGAAGCTTATACGCTCGGCATGGGGAGCCGGCAAGATTCCGCGGCGCGTGACGGCCTCAGCTCCGTATCCATGCCAGGGGTGCATATGATACGGCCTCTCCGCACTGAACTTTGCAACCAAAGCTCGCCGAGTCTGCTGCTCGTTAGCCCAGAGCCCGTCGCATCTCAAGTCCTGCATGCGTGGCACCTCTCACAACTCGGGACCGGCCTTGCACGGGCACCCGGTAAGCTCTGGACGGAGCCCCCCGGCTCCAGCTTGACCCTTGCTCGCCCTCGGGCCATTGATTCGCGAGCCCCCCAGAATCACGTCCCGAACCCCGGCGCCCTCGACCGCAAGCGGTAACATGCCCAGCCGTGACATGGCAAAGCCCGCAGAGCTGAGCTTGGCAACCAGTCACGTTGCAGCCCCGATAACCAATGTCCCGCAGACATATCGTACAGCATCGACTATTGCCCTCCCTCATCGAAGCCGCCCGGCCCCTGAAAGACCCCTGTTTCTCTGGATGCGAGGTGGACATGCCTGCCCGGAGTGATGACGCCAGGGTTGCAGCAGCAGCCTCGACTTGAACCACACGCACGACTTCGTGGCGCAACTGAGATTGACCCCCCTCCCCGAATCTCGTAATTGCAAAAAGGAAAGACGTCTAATTATTTGTGCTGTACACCTCTCTCCCGTGGCAGAGCTCAGCTGGGGGTTGCACGTTCGCACCATTGCCCCAATCGGACTTCTGCGGACAACCAAGGTCCCGTAGTGCTGCTATTCCTGGAGTCCTCGCATGTTGAAGACCAGTCCCGGCTTGGCTGAATATCCTCGTGCGTTTTGCCAAAACTGGCATCGGAAACTCTTGATTCCGTGACGACGTTGCATTGCGGTACGGGTCCTGTGGTCGGGGCAGAAGAAGCAAGCAAGCAAGCCAGTGATTGATCACCGAACAAGCCCGGAGAGACGCGTAGGCGACAAAGGAAAACTTCAAGCGTTCCCTAAGGCCTCAGCCAGCCTCCAGTCCAGCTCCTCGGACATATGTACACACGGACAGACGCCATGGTCGGGGACCGGCCGGGGACGCTGGCCCGCTCCGAGTCCCGGTCCGGCGATGCTCTGCTGGTGCCCGGACGCATGGTGTCTATAAAAGAACTCCAAACGTCTTCCACGGCTCACCACACCAGGGCCCCAGCCATCACTCCTGCCTACAACCCCTTGGTCGTCTTCTCCTATACGCCCGTCAGACCACCATGCGCTTCCTCCTAGCACTGTTGCTATGGGGCTTGGCCGGGGCGGCAGCAACACCACCGCCCCGAGACGTCGCCGCCGTCTGCTCCACGCTCTACTCCAAATACCCCGAGAACCTGGTATGGGATCCCGCCGGCACCCGGGGCTTCCGGACGGCCCAGAGGGCAGCCGTCTACAACGCCGCTCTCCTCGACTACTGGAACGTTGCCAGCGCGGCCAACCGCCCTGCCTGCGCCCTGTTCCCCTCCGACGCCGAGCAGGTTTCCTTTGCCGTCCAGACGCTCAACGCCCACCCGTCGGTCCCTTTTGCCCTCAAGGGCGGCGGCCACAACCCCAACCTGGGCTTCTCGAGCGTCAGCGGCGGCCTCTTGATTGCCTTTCGGCCCAAGTCCCAGTTCGCCGTCCCCGCTCCGGACGGCGAGACTGTCCATGTGGGAGCCGGTGCCAAGTGGGACAACGTCTACTCCGCTCTCCAACCCCTGGGCAAGACGGCTGTCGGGGGTCGCTTGAGCGATGTCGGCGTGACCGGCTTCATGCTTGGGGGCGGCCTCTCGTACCTCTCTGCCCAATACGTGAGTTCATCACGCCTACCCTCGCCCGGCAAGAGAAAGAAAGGCTGACGAGTGCAACTTGGGGCTCAGGGTTTCGCCTGTGACAATGTCGTCAGCTTCGAATGCGTCTTAGCCAACGGCACCATCGTCCAAGCCAGCCCCACGTCTCATCTAGACCTGTTCTTCGCCCTCCGCGGCGGCGGCAACCAATATGCCATCGTCACCAGCATGACGCTCAAGACGTATGACATTGGCGACAACGGCATCGTCTGGGGTGGCATACGCATCTACACGGCCGACAAGGCCTCCAAGATCCTCTCGGCCGTGTCCAGCTTCACCGCCAACACCGAGGATCCCAAGGCCGCCATCATCCCCAACTTCATCTTCATTGGCGCCGTCGGGGTCAACCTGCCAGTCGCACTCGTCTTTTTCTTTTACGACGGGCCAAGACCACCCGCCGGCGTCTTCGACGAGTTCAACGCCATTCCTCACCTCGCCTCGGACACCGAGTCCAAGAGCTACCTGAGCCTTACCAGAGAAGCTCTGGGCGGTGACATGAAAGGGCTCCGGTTCCAGATCCGAGAAAACACGTTTCCCAACATGCCCATGCCCGCCATGTTGTCCTTCCTCAACGACCACTTCCAAGAGGTCCTCAAGTTGACGACCGCCGGGGCGCTCGCCGACCTCATCGACATCAGGCTGCTGACCTTTGCCGTCCAGCCAATGCCCCGCGGCATCGCAGAGGCCTCCAGGAGGGTCGGTGGCGGCAACGCCCTCGGCCTCGTCCCGGGGCACGGAGACCGGTTATGGATCGAGTACGATCTCGCGTGGACGAGTCCCCTGTGCGACAAGAAGTGTCCCGCCTTTCTCAAAAAGACGGCCGAGACGATGCTCCGCCGGCACAAGCAAGAGTACGCCGACATCCCCCCAACAAACTACGTCGGGGGCGATCTTGGCTTTGCGAGGCAAGTCTTCTTTCTTCGCTGCCCCCCCTTTCTTTCGTGAGGTTGCTGGCCAGTCGCCCTTGGGATGAGGACCTGACCGGACCGATCCCTAGTTACAATCCAATCTTCATGAACGACGCCATGGCCGATCAAAACGTGTTGCAGAGTTACGGCGATGGGACCTATCAAAGACTCAAGGCTATTCACCAAGACTATGATCCGGACGGCTTCTTCTCCACTCGGCAGGGCGGGTTCAAGTTTTCAACCTGAGTGTCCCGGCAGGGTTAGGCAGGTATTCAAGCAAAAGACTCGCCATCGTCGACAGGTTGTGTCGAGCCATCTCGCCACGGCAGCCTCTCGTCCGACCAACGCTGCTACGTTATCATGAATGCACAATCGCCACTGGCAAGAGGTGGAAGCCGGTCAAGGTGAAAAATGTCCAATTTCAGGTTGTTTCGACGACGCCTATCGAGCGTTGCGTCGTGTGGACCCACCGCCGGGTCCCGTCTAAGCTGTACTGTGCGTAGCATCTATAGAGTAATAGGTATTAGAAGGATTTATACTTACTCGGCTTTCTTCAGGCCCGGCATCCGCCCGTATGCCTCCGCGATTCGCCTACCGACCGACTCGCCGCTCCAGTATGCGCCCGTCGCCGTCCCGAGAGCCACAAAGGGCGCCGTATGCTCCCCCGCAAACCATAGGCCGCGGTCCGGGAGACCCTTCCTCATCGTCTCAATGTCCGCGTCGCCTTCCTCGAGGCCCACTTGGAAGTTGCTGTAGGACCCAAAGCCGGCCAGCTCGTCGTGCATCCAGTCCGTGGCCAGGCAGCCCGTGGGACGGCACTCGTCCGACTCCTCTGAGTAATGCGGGAGTCGCGAGTAGTAGGGCTTGAAAAAGTCAAATAGAAAACGGTCCTTGTCGGCCTGATCTTTGAGCTGCGCCACCGAGGTCGTCAAGTGCTTGGATTGTTCGCCGAACATGTAGAAGAGGAGCGTTGGGTGGGCGGTCTCGGGCGCCAGACTGGCCAGCTCGACGGCCTCCTGATTCCACCAGTCCGGGTTTGAGCTGGGGGCGTAGTCTGGCGAGAGCCATTGAACGAATCCCTGGACCTTGCGGTCATCTCCTTCTTGACACAGCCAGAAGGCCTTGGGGAAGCTGATGTACACCTGAAAAGGGGTAGAGGCGAAGAGAAGGGAAGGGATGGAAGTTAGCAAGAGAGCCTGGCTAAACTTCCATCCACTCAGGATATCGCATCTACCTTTTCGAGGCAACCGTAGCCAATGGACCCGATGGCCCGCTCCAGACGTATGGGTAGTGGCGGCTCAAATGCGTCAAGATTCCGCTTTAGCCAACCGAGAGGACATGTCACGACAACCTCGTCAAACGACAGCGGCGGGCTGTCGACACTGTCAGCCGCAAGCTGGACTCGGACCTTGTCGTCTTTGGATTCTCGGCGACCGAATATCCGCTGGGCCTGGGTATTGAGCAAAATGTCTGCTCCGGTGAGCACCGGCTTCGTAACCATGTCCAAGATCTTCTTGTACGTGCCGGCGCAAAACAGATTCTCTACACGCCCGGAGAAAGAAAAGGATTAGCCCCATGCCAACTCTCAGTTCGTGCATGTGTGGTTTGAGTGAAATACAGCAAGGAAGCATGCAAGGGCCTGCAAGGGAGAGAATTCATCGAAAGGGATCCTTGCCTCCTTCGATGCACTCTTCGAGCCAAAAGAACTTGAGGCTCTGGCGCGAGACGGGGCTGCCGATGAATGCACCCCACATCTCCGACATTTGCAGAACAACCCGTCTCTTGTGCTCAAAGTCGGGCTCGGTCTCGGGGATCTTCTCGGCCACCTTGTCCAGGAAGAAGTCGGCCAGACTTTTAGCGCTGTCGATATCCGTGGTAGACCTGTTGGAATGCTTGAAGGCGTCCTGGATAATGTCCCAAATGGCGTCAGAATACCGCTCGCCCTGGGGCACCGGGAATAAGGCTCCGGACTCGCCAAAGACATAGGAGGTTGTGTCCCAGCGACCCGCGACCGTCTTGGTCTGCTTGGCCAGTTCGTGCATGGGGTTGTCCGAGGTTCCATGGATCCAGTTGGGCCCGACATCGACCAGGTGTCCGTTGGGCAGCACCTCCTGGTGGAGGCGGCCTCCGACGCGACTCCTCGCCTCAATCACAGTGACTTTGAAGCCATGCTGCAGCAGCATGTCGGCGCAGCGAAGGCCAGACAGGCCGGCGCCGACGACGGCCACGTGCGGCCTCGCGACGGGCTCGCGGCTACTGCACTACAAGGAGAATGAATGCGTAAGCGGGAGACGTTGACGAGGCACCCGCTCACCCGGCGGACAGGGGTCAGGGCCGGGCCTGGGGCTGGGGTAATTACGAGGCGGCCAAGTTGAGGTACCTTGCATACCTGAGAGGATGCATCCATGGCCGTCATGTTGCGCAAAAGCTGGTCGCGGTGCCGAGACGGAACGGTATAGGGACGGGCGGATCTGAGGTCTTGGTAGATTCTCGAGGAGCCGCGGTGCGAGGGGCTAGTGTAGCATATCGAGTAAGCATCCATGGTGGCCAGGAACCGAGGCAACGACGAAGCAGCGAGTGAAGCGTGGAAGGCGAGAAGCGTGGGTGAATAGCGAGCGCGGATGTTGAAGGCGAGGAAAGAGGGAGGCGCGGCGATAGGTAGCAGAGCGGCGCAGATGTCAGGCATCATGGATGGATGCGCAGGCGGGATCCGATTGGCAGCGTTGACGAGGGCGTGTCGCGCTTAACCCACGATCTGCTGCATGCTGACGAGCCTCGATAGGCATAGTTAAGGTAGGCAGAGGTTGGTGTGGACGGCATCTTACGGGGCCAAACTCAAAGCTGTGGCAGGCACCGGCCCAACCGTGAATGAAGAAGAAGTAGCGGGAGAAACGATGGGCAACGAGGGGATCACGGACTTGGACGTCGTCGGTAGTGCACCGGCGAGGATGATGAATGGGTGGATGACGACGGGTGAGTGGGTGGACGAAGGGCTGGATGAAGCGTCGTCTTGGGGCGATGCCGTCGTCGTCGCATCTCAAAATCAGCTGGCCCTTTTTGTTGGTGGCACAAATGACGAGGTAATTACAGTACAGACGCGCACCCAAGCCAAAGCCAAAGGGGAGGCGGGGGCCAAGACACCCGATCACGGGCTACCCGCGGGCCCTACTACTGGTGACACTCGGCGGGGCCCTTCCCCTAGCGACCCTGTGCACGCCTGGCCGCCCCACTGCCGCCTCGTGATTCCGTGAACCTGTGCCCCACGATCTTGAACCGCTCTCTGTCTTCATCATTCATCCTTCTCACCTGTCCAACCTTTGGACCTCGCACATGCTCCGACCAACACACACCGACGACAACTGATTGCCGCAGCAACAGCGCCCGCCGCAGCCTTCGCTCGCGCATCTCGCTCGCGCATCTCGCTCGCACCCACCGACAACAACCGACCCCTTCCTCCGAGACGATACTCCCCAACAAAGGAATAGAGTTGGCAGCGGACCGTCACCTTTCTTCTCCTTTTTTCCTTTCCTACCCTCTATCTGCCTCCTCCGTAGCCGCCTTGCAAACGCCGCCCATGGCTCGCAATATCGCCTAACCACCATGACCTTGGGCCCCTCGTCTGGCCGCGGGTCTAGAGTCAGCGCGCCCGCAGTGCAGCTCATCGAGGCCCCCGTCGGCTTGTAGGCTCCCGTCCGTCTCTGCAGCCCGACAAGACATACTTTTCACTGCCATTTCAACATCATGGCGTCTTTTTTTCAGTCGTTCCGGAGCTCCAGCATGCCCAAGAGGCTGCTGCGATATGCTCTCTCGCGCCTGGAGCTGCTCGATGCCGACGCCCTCGATATGGACAACCTCGATTTCGCCCTCGGCCGCAACACCGTCTTCGAGTTTAGGGATGTTGGAATCAAGTTAAAGGTACCTCGACGCTTTCTTGCCTGCATAAGCTACCACCCCCCTGAAGACCTATCTGACGCAACTCTTGCTAGAAACTCGAGAAACTGCTTCAACTCCCCGCCGCCATCCAACTTTCGCGGGCCAAGGTCCTGCTTCTCAGAGTCACAGTGCCGATGGACTTCTACACCAGCCCGATAACAGTCGAGGTCGAGGGAGTTGAGGTCAGACTCAAAGTCGACGGAGCCGAGCGCGATAATCCGGGCAACGAGACGCCCCTGTCGGCCGCCCCTCCCGCCGACGTGGTGCCCAACACTGTAGATCTGGCCCAGTCATTTCTTGAGATGCAGCCTTCGTCGGAGCGGAAACGGTTGGAGGAGGCCCTCGTGGCCGAGACGCAGGATCTCGGCGCCTCCGTCTCCGTTAGCGACGACGACTGCGGCAGCGAAGATGAGCCCAACGCTTTCGGCACCGGTCAAGCGCTGTCACTGCCCGATTTCTTGGCCGACTTCTTACAGGGCATCGTGGACCGTACGCAGATTAAGATCAGGTGCGTCAGGTTTCAGCTCGACATGGAAGTTCCAGCCGCCGATACAAGCTCGCCCTCGGCGCTCGAACCGGTGTCGTTCCAGATTGCCCTCGAAAGTATCGAAGTCGAGGGTGTCACCACGGCCGTCGGCATGGCCAAAACCACCGATAAAACCACGCACGAGGGCGACACAGAGGGAAAAGACTCGTCGGTGCCGGCCATCGTACCGAAAGAAGGGAAGCGACACATTTCGCTAGCCAACGTTCGCGCATGTCTAATCTCCGAGGCCAACGTCTTCTCCGCGCTGAGCCGCTCGCCGTCTATGCCATCACCCTCCACCGCCTCTTCCTCTCCCGTCATGACGCGAACCCCCCCGTCTCGGCAGTCCACGTCGCTGCTGTCGCAGGGAAGCTTCCGCGAGCAGCCCATGGCCTCTCTGCAAGAAAGTTTTCGTGAACGTCTTTCGGTCCGCCACAAATCTCCGGACTTGGAGGAACATCCCCTCGGCGATAGCGAAGAGGCCCTGGGAATCCCGTACGAGTTTGATGACGAGAGTCCCCCGACGCCGCGAGCCTCGACGTTGCTCCAGGAACCCAGCACGTCGTCTAGGGAGTCGTCAATTTCGACGTTGGCACATGAGCAGCAGCAGGAACCGGAACAATTAAACGACGCATCGGCTTTGGAATTCGATCACGGACGACTGCCTTTACGACTAGTTGAAGCAGGAGGTCCAGACGGCAGTGACGATGACAGTGAACTTAGCGTTCCCTTGCCAGGGCACAGTCGCTCAATGGAAGATCTCACCGAGTCACACTTATATACCCATGAGGAAGCCGAGAGCATGTACCTAAGTGCTTTTTCCACTGCAGAACCTGGGGCATCGGCCAGTGTCTCGCGCCTTGCGCTGTCGCAGGAGAACGACCGGGGGAAAGCAGTCGTAGACCTCGCAACCCCAGCGGCTGCGTCGCGCAGCCCCCGATCAATAATGCCGGGAGCTTGGGGCGAAGAGTCAGAAAGCCCCCGCGAATCCCAGCGTCGCACACACGAGAGAGCAGAGGAAGCAGAGACGGCCCTTCCGGCGTCACAGAACGCAAGCTCTGTCATACCCTTGAGTGGTTTGGCGTCCGATTCGGGCCACTCGGAGCCTGGTGCGCGACCGCCAGAGACGGAGGCCGAGGGGCGACTGGTTGAGCAGGACGACACACCGACGCCGCGAGGACCGTCGCGAGTTGTCAAAGAGATAATGCACCTTGAAAACGTATCCATCTACGTCCCATCGCATCATCGGCACATCCAAGTTCAAACTGGAGTGCCACCGCAGCCAGGCACCGCCCAACAGCCTCCGTCATCGACCGCGTCTACCTACTCTGAACCACTTGGGACGGCGGCCTCGTCGAAAAGCCCTTCGGCGGTCTATGATGACGCCGTGGAAGTGGTGCTTTCGCCGCTGCATGTTTACTTTGACACTTCACTAGGAATTTTAATCGCCATGGCCTTTGATAAGTTACTCAAAGCTGTCAAGTACGAAGAGCCCGCTAGTGTGGGAAAGCCGCGGCGGCGACAAGCAAAGAACGAGGTCAAGAGGGTTCCCGAATTCAGATTCATGGCCCAAGAGATGTCTTTCAACTTTCTGAGTCAACTAAACGGAGTCGCTGACATACCTGGACGACATCTGAATCCATCGCCATTCATCCGCGACCACGATGATGTTCTCCTGAACGCCACCTTACAGAACCTTGCGGTTTCGACGTCTTCGACACGAGTTGAGACGCCGTCTGCCTCTGGCGACAAGGGAAGCGACCCAGCAAGTCAAGATGCCGTGGTTACCAAGATTGACCTTGAGCGATTCCGCTTTGGCTACGCCGACAGTGACATGATTTCTTTCGATAGCAGGCCGATGACAACGTCGGTGAGAGACGTGTTCCTCAGTGACGGGCACGATGTCGGCATCAAGATGATTCACTCGGACGGGCTGAGTAAGACCGACGTGGAAACTCTTCCGCTCGTCGTGCAGCTCGACCTGCAACGCTTGGACGAGACAATCGGCTGGTTTGGCGGACTCAGCAGCTTCCTCAACATGAGCGTTTCCTCTGCAACTTCTGGCATCAGCAGGTCCTCCTCGCCAGTCCTCAAGTCTGCTGATCCACCGTCATCGCTGCCGCCGCCCCCAACGCCCCCGACGTCGCGGAAATCAAGACCTGTCGTTCACTTTGAAGCTCCCTCCACATACCGCCGTATCCAACACAGTGTAGAGGACAGTCGGTCGGCGGTTATGAAGAACAAGATTAACGTGCGAGTTGGTGGCGCCCTGGTCGAGCTCGCCGGCAGAGAATGCAGTGTAGCTGCCGAGACGAATGCAATCAAAGTCGTCGGGAGGGACCAAGGCATCGGAGTGGCATGTGGCCGCATTCGCTTTATGGGGCCGTATCTGAAAACCCCTTACACGCCAACAGGTGATAAAAACAACGACTACCGTCACCACCATCACTACCAAACCCCCCCTCTAACGACAGAAGTTGGCGGCCTGCGCCTCGAGCTTTCGCCAGTCCCCGAAGACAGAGACCTGGAGAAGCTTCTCGAGCTTATCATCCCCTCGAAAGTCAAGTTTGACGACGACGGCGGCGGCGAGATTATGGTCGAGACCCTCCTGCGACAGAGGCGAAAAGGCTCGGTGCTCAGAGTCACCGTCGAAACGGTCAACGTCCGTGTTGGGAGCCCGGCACAGCTGCTGCCGGCCTTGCCCAACTTGGTTGAGGAGATTGCGAAACTGTCGACCACTGTGGCTGCCAAGTACCTCCCGGAGGATGACCGACCCGGCATTTTAACCCTGACCAGGCTTCAAAAACTAGATGTAAGCGTCAATGTTGGGGACAAGATCGGCCTCTTGGAGAGCCAGTTGAATGAATTTGAGGTTGCCCACATCACCGTCCCGTCGCTCGTCGCCGTCGCAGTCCGTGGAGTGTCGATCCGACGCAACGGTGACGAGGACCTCATCTGTTCCGATCCTGTCCTTCAAGGCCAGCCATTGTCATCGCCCGAAGAGAGAGGTCCTGTTATCATGGCCAGGATTATCGGTGACGAGATGGAACCGATAATCAAAGTGAAGCTTCGGGAACTGAGAATCGAGTACCGGGTACCGACGATAATGGACGCCCTCGGACTCGACAACGACTCTGCCACCCCGCAGGAGTTTGAAGCCAGTCTCGCAGCCTCTGTCGCTAGCCTAGCAGAGCGCGCCCGTCTCCCCCTCCTCAGAACAAACGTGCAAATAACCGAGACGGCAAGCGAGCAGCTGAGGCAGGAAAAAGAGAAGCCCACTGCTCTTGATGTCGGGCTGCGCGACTGTCTCCTCGGGCTCAACCCTCTCAACCTGTCATCTAAGCTAGTCCTGGCGCTGACAGACGCACGTGTCCAGGCGGACCTACCGTCATCGAACGGTATCACGACTGCGGCAGTACATATCAACAAAGCCTCCTTGCTGTTAACGGACAATTTCGCTGAGACGGAGGTGGTGTCGACAAGCACAGGCGCGGCCTCCAGGGCAAAACGACGACGGCATTCGGCGTCTGCAGCGTCCCCGCAAATTGCGGACATGTGCGCAAGGGGCTTCGTGGACATTTGCTACATATCATCTGCTAGAATTGCAGCCACGGTGAAGCCAACCCGCGGCGACGATGGGCCGTTGGACAACGGCAAGCAGGTCGAGGTCGAGCTTCGAGACGACCTATTGGTCCTGGAGACGTGCGCCGACTCGACTCAGACACTCATCGCACTATTCAACGCCCTGAAGCCGCCCACGCCGCCGAGCAGGGATGACAAGTACCGGACAAAGGTGGTGCCCGTGCAGGATCTGTTGGCCTCCATCTCAGCCGAGGCTTTTGGCAAGCCCGAGGGAGACTATGATTTCGATCACGACTTTGCCGGGGCTCAGGAGTTGGCCGGCAGCCTGTCGGACGCAGACTACGGGAGCGGCAGCCGCCTATTACCGCACGGCGGGTCAGACGTGTATGACTCGCAGCTCGGCGGCGAGGAACTCTTTGACGCGACGGCGCATGGGATGTCGATTGATGAGACGACGATGCAGGACACAGCCGAGGGCGTTCTTCTCACGGGATTTGATCATCCGTCCCAGAATGAGTCGTCTGTCAACGATAGTGGCGACGACCTAGTCATCCACGAAGACTTTTACGGCCGCGATGAAGGCGCCAGTGAAAGCCAGACAGCAAAGCTATGGAACTCGGTCAAAAACACGTACGACAGGGCGCCCGACGCCCTATTCAAGTCCAGCCCGCTCCGGGTGTCAGTCAAGGATGTCCACGTCATCTGGAATTTGTTTGACGGCTACGACTGGGCACGCACTCGCGATGTCATTACCAAGGCGGTCGAGGACGTCGAGGTCAAGGCGACAGAACGTCAACAGCAGAAAAACAAGCAGCAGTCGTCGAAGATCGGTGGCGGCAGCGGGTTAGAGACCTACGAGGAGCAGGATGAAGATGAGGAGACCATTGGCGATTTCCTATTCAACTCCATCTACATTGGCGTCCCACTGAACCGTGATCCGCGGGAACTTACCCGGGCTATAAACAAAGGACTCAACGACGAGGACGACACGACAGAAACGGAATCGGTGGCCACGACCACGACCACGGCAACCAAGACGGCCTACCTGCAGTCCATGCAGGGGCGCCATCGTCGCGGCCGCCGCCTCCGCCTCCACCGCAGCAAGCACCACAAAATCACCTTTGAGCTGCAAGGAGTCAGCGCGGACGTGGTCGCGTATCCACCCCCCGAGGCGACAGCCGCAGGGGTCACAAGCCGGGGCGGCCAGGAGACACTGAGCAGCATTGACGTTAGGGTCCAGACCCTCGACATCTTCGACCACGTGCCGACCTCGACGTGGAAGAAGTTTGCCACGTACGATCAGGACCAGGGAGAGCGCGAGATGGGTACCAGCATGGTCCACCTCGAGCTCCTCAACGTGAGGCCAATACCCGATCTGGCGGCCTCGGAGATTGTCATGCGCGCCAAGGTGCTGCCCCTCAGACTGCACGTCGACCAAGACGCCCTCGACTTTATAACCCGCTTCTTCGAGTTCAAGGACGAACAAGGCGCGGGCCAGCCACCGTTGGCGCCCGCTTCGACGTCCGCCAGCGACATTCCTTTCCTCCAGCGCGCCGAGGTCCTCGATATTCCTGTCAAACTCGACTTCAAGCCCAAGCGCGTCGACTACGCCGGCCTGCGGTCGGGCCACACAACCGAGTTTATGAATTTCATTGTGTTGGAGGAGGCGCGCATGGTACTGCGCCACGTCATCGTCTACGGCGTCTCGGGTTTCGACCGCCTCGGCAAGACTCTCAACGACATCTGGACTCCGGATGTTCGGAGAAACCAACTGCCAGGCGTCGTGGCCGGCCTGGCGCCCGTGCGGTCCCTGGTCAACATTGGCAGCGGTTTTAGGGACCTGGTGGAGATTCCGCTCAAAGAATACCGAAAGGACGGCCGCGTTGTCCGCAGCATTTCCAAGGGCGCCGCCGCCTTTGCGCGCACGACCGGCACCGAGCTCGTCAAACTGGGCGCCAAGCTTGCCGTGGGCACGCAGTACGCCCTCCAGGGGGCTGAGGAGATGCTGCTCGCGGAAAGAGGCCAGCGGCTCCAGCAGCAGCCCCAGCGCCCGTTGCGCCAAGCGACGGAGGGCGGCCGGGAAGCGGACGAGGACGACGAGGACTACGACGACGCGGATCTGGGAGGGCTCGACGACGAAGACAAGAAGCAGATCTCCCTGTACGCCGACCAGCCCACGGGAGTGCTGCAGGGAATCCGGGGCGGGTATCGGTCGCTGACCCGCGACGTGAACCTGGCCCGCGACGCCATCATCGCCGTCCCGGGCGAGGTCATGGAGAGCCAGTCGGCTGGTGGTGCGGCGCGGGCGGTGCTGAGGCGCGCGCCCACCATCATCTTCCGGCCGGCCGTGGGAGTGACCAAGGCGATTGGGCAGACGCTGCTCGGGGCGACCAACACAATGGACCCGCAAAACCGGCGCCGGATCGGCGAGGTAAGGACTGCTCCCCCAACCAAGGCCCGTGTGTGCGATGTATGGGACACTGCTAACTGAGAGACAGAAATACAAGCATTGACGGAACCAAGTCGCGGGTTGTACGAATGGCCAGATTTCGGCACGCACTCTACCGACGTATCGGATCGCTTCTCCTGGGGCCGGCATTGACTGTTGTTCATATTTGCCCGCCGACTTGAATTCTTTTCTGGCGTTTTCGTGGCCTGCAAATACCGCTCTATTTCAGGCTGCCTTGGCTCCCGCATTCCCTCTCTTTGGTTTCACCCATTCCCATTGGTTTCGTGTACGGCGCGGAGTTGGCTAATGAAGCAGACTGGCAGACGCGGAGTTTTGTTTCAACTGGTGGAGTGAAACCGGCGGAGAAGGCGAGAGAGTTGGAAGACTGATGGGCACACAGCATGCATGTAGAAAAGTTTGGTATACAGTAGGAACCGAGCAGGATCTCCTTGCTCGTCACATCACAACGAGATTGGAAAGCAGATGGAACGAGGTTGAGCCCAGGATGCTGGCTGCGGCTAGAAGCCATCGTCGGGAATGCCTCGGTCCCGCTCTGCTTTTTTCCTGTCGCGGTTCATGTCTACCCACCATTGGTGCGTAGGGTCGGTGCCGGTCCACTGGCCCTGGTCGTCGAGCTCGTCCCAGGGCTTGGGGCTCAGGATGTAGTGCAGGTTTTTGACGTGCTCGTCGCGCCAGATTGCGTCATGGACGCCGGGCCAGCGCAGAGTCTTGAGGGCGTTGTAGACGTAGGGCAGGGGCACCCAGCGGCCGCGGTAGAGGTCGGAGAGAAGGGACTGATCGGCAAAGTCCATGTTGGCAGCGTCAGCCTCCATGTGGGCGAGGATCTGGCGGTAGAGGACGGCGGAAGGGTTGACGATCTGCAGGCCGCCGTTCATGAAGCCGAGGGGCGCAACGGCCGGGTCCGGGGCGACGGCGTGAGCGTCGTCGGGGCGGGCGTGCTGCGAGGTGAAGGCGCAGTTTTCGGGGACCCAATCTGCGGGATAATGCGGCTTCTTGAGCGGGTTGCAGACGCAGGCGTGCCCGGCGGCAAAGACGCGCCGACTAGTCGAGGCATCGCCCGTCTCGCTCAGAGCGGGGTCGTCGAGGGGCAGGGCCATGAGCTCGTCCATGTTGCGCAGGACCAGCATGTCCGAGTCGAGCTGGACGACGCGGGCATACTCTGTGAGGGAAAAGGGAGCGAGCTTGCTCCAGCAGTCGTAGAAGCGCGGGTCGTTGGAGTAGTCCTTTGAGGCGGCGGGCAGCAGGTAGGGGATGCGGCGGGCGGGGATGTGGCGGGCCTTCAGGGCGGCGAGGCCCGCGGCGGGCAGCGAGTCGGTGTAGAGGGCGACGAGCGGGTAGGCGGAGCGGACGCGGACGAGGGAGTGGGCGAGGGTGAGGAGGCCGGGGAGGTAGTCGAGGTTCGTGATGAGCGTTGTCCAGACTTTTGTTTGAGCGGTCGCGTTGTTAGCGGAACAGCGGACGGCGTGCCCGGGGGGTGCATACCGCGGTCTGAGTCGACGACGCGAGCAGAGGTGCTGCTGCTGCTCGTGCTGGTGGTGTCCGCCATGGCCGGGTTGTGGATGTCGTGGGTGTCGTTGTTCTCTTGGCCCGCTTCCTTCAGCGGGAATAAGCGAGGATTGGGTGATGCAGGAGTTAATCGATGACAAAGACAAGGCGTGCAGGCCCTGTTCTTTCTTTGTGCCCTGATTGGCTGGACCGCTGTCGATTTTGAGTGGTCCGCAGATCTTCAGGTCGGACCCACTGGCGGCTCCTCCCACCTGCCCCCCCCCCTGCCAAGCCGCCCAAAGAGGCAATCAACCGATTCGGTCCTGAACAGACAACAAGTTCAACAAACCCCTGCACGGGCGCGGCGGCAGCAACAACGAGGCAGTCAATATGGCTTGACTTTGCGGGCGCCGCATGCTCGCTCGGCCGCTGTTGATGCACGGAGCCGTCGGCCTTCTTTGTCATGGTTGTCGACGCCTTGTGTGACTTGGCTGGCCCTGGGCCACTGGCAAGTCTCGTTCAGCAGCACGAAGCCAGGACGGCTCCAGATCTCGCCAGGGCCTTTCGGATTGGACTTCGACAGCCGTGCACGGGGGTGGGACATCAGAGGGGCACTGTGGTGAATTTTGAATCACTTGCGGAGGCTCGCTTGACGCAGGAGTCTCCCGTAGCCGAGAGGCTGTATATAACCCGAGAAGCGTGCCTCGTCTCTCCTTCTCCTTTTCCCTCTCAAGACAGTCCAGCACAGCACCGCAAGCCTTCCTCCATTTCTCTCGGCAAGAACCTTCAGATTTCCCCGCAACCAAACCTCAGTCAACTCAGCAAAATGGGGCCAGTGTACCGCGTCGGCGACAAGATTTCTCCCGAACACATCGACTTGATCAAGGAGAGAAAATACCGAGTGAAAAGCATTGCAGCTCTTTCCTACACCATCAATGACGAGTCCGATTTTGCCTTCAAGTGGAACTTCGAAACAGGCTTCGTCCTGGCCAGGTACGCTGGCTTTGGCAGGCTCGCCATCCTCGACGAATGCCTCGTGGTTGAATACCCAAACACCAACGAGCTCTATCTTGAGCTACACGTCGAAGTGAACGGAGGAGGCAAAAAGAAGACTGTTGAAACACCATCCACCCTCTTCAAAAAGTGGTTCCTAGACGACTCGTGCACCAAAATGGTGGGAGACGGAGAAATTGACCATGACGACCTGGTGCCCGACTTGTGGGAGCAACCCCGCCTCGGGAAGGAGAGTGTGAAGGGAGCGTGGAGGTTCTCCATCAACCCTGGCGAGGTCGCTAAGCGGCGCGTCTACTTCGGCAAGAACTTCCAGACGCCCCCCGGCGTGAAGCTGGCGCTCCTCTCACGAAACATCCCAGAAGACCATAACCTTGGAATCACCATTGGCGCCTCCCAAATTGACCGGCAGTGCTTCACCATCTCGGTGACTACCCAGCCACCCGCGATTTATGTCCGGTGCGTCGTCGGCTGGGAGGCCATGGAGGTTGAACCGGCCAGCGGCTAGAGAGGGGGGCGTTGGTGCTTTGGGGCAGACGCAAAGGAAATCCTACCCAGGCTTTTCTCTTTCTGATTCCTCCCCTGAGGTTCTCTATGGATAGGGGACCTGTGAGTCACTCTTGTTGGATTCGGTCATGACTTTGGCGGTTGAGAAGCAACCGCGCCAGTTTTCGGGCTTTGGTATGGAGACTTGGATTCTCCGATCAGCTGTTGGAGGCAGCTTTGCGATAGTGGGCCTACCGGCTCGAGACGAATAGAGCCCTTTCATCATCCTTGCCTAAGCCTTTTGTGAGTTGTGTGCAGGCGCGAGTAAAGTCCACGTGGAAGTGTCGGGTGTTTCACTGCTTGGTAGTTGCCGTCTCTTTCTTCCGAATCGCATAACACCGGCCAGTTTTTCAACTGGACACCTGGGGCAGAGAGGGGAAACGCAGGTGTGAAATGGCACAAGCAGTTTTCACATGAGCTGGCTGTTGCCGTGGGTAACCAACCCGAAACGCAGCTTTACGGCGAGAAACGACTGTGTCTGAACGAGTATTTCAACGCAGGAAAAAAAAAACGCTCCCCGTTGTTATTTTCATCCCTCTTTCACCACACAACAACAGCCCAGCGAGCAAACTCGTCCTCCCCCCTTCTTTGAAACTTTCCAGCAACGACCACCCATCTCGTCACTCACCACCATGTCCAAGTCCTACCGCGTGGGCCAGACGATTGCCCCGAAACACATCGACTTGATCCGGCAGGGCAAATACGCCTTGACGCTTCAGGACGAGGCCACGGTGCCCGTCAACCAAGACGGCTTCCTCGACGCCAAGGACGGCTTCGGAACGGCCTTTATCCTCGCCGAGACCGCAGCGTCGGCGCGCAAGATGGGCATCCTCGACAACCGCCTCCAGCTGGAGCGGAACTCATCCTGGGGCTTCTTCCCTCGGCTGCGCGTCGATGTCTCGTCGCTCGAGCCCGAGGACGCGGCCAGCAGCGGCGGCCAGGATGACCTTGCTGCTTCTCTTCGCCTCGACGGCCGGGTCGCGGGCCTGGAGATGAAGCTCGACTACCTCGCGTCGATGCTGCCGCCCGACACGGCGGCGGCCAGGAAGTTCGTCGTCGAGACCGGGAGGCTGACCATGGCCAATCTGCTCGCGGTCAAGACAGCTCGCCGCGTCGAGTTTGCCAAAACGTTTCAGGCGCCTCCGGTCGTCAAGGCAACCATTTCCTCCGTCGAGCCGCTCAAGACGCCCACGTTGGCACTCAATGTTCGCGGCGAGGACGTGGACTCGACCGGATTCCGCTTCGACATCTGGCCCTGGAATATCCCCCCGCATGAAAGCGGGGGGCCCTACGACGCCGTCATCAAGTGGACGGCGACCGGGTTTTGATGGTCTCTGCACCGGAGAGGCGTGTTGGCGCTGGGAAATGTGCAACCTCGGAAACCGGTGGTTTAATCGACGCGGCCTCGGGTACAGCCGTTTGCCAGCCTACAATTCAGAGGTCACTTGGTGAATACCAAAACGAGCCCGGATGATGTCGACTCTTTGTATTCAGTAGCCCCAAGTTCATAGGTGTGCCCATTCGGGTTTGACCTGACTACCTATATACTATTATCGTCGGACACTCGGGCCGACGTGTTAAATATATACCTCCACGAAGATTTCATCGACGCTGCTTGCCACGGTGCGCCACTGCGTCTCCTGTCTGTCTCTCGAGCGAGCGCCTGGCCCAGCCGTCGGACACCCGTTGCTGCAGTAGGAAGACAGCAGCGGTCTCCTGTTCGGAAATTGCATCCGGCTTAGTTTTCGTCGTCGTCGTCGTCATCGGCGGCACCGGCAGCTTGATTGCCAGTTGCCTGGTTTCCGGCACCTCTGGCACCGGCGCCGACATTGGCAGCTTGATTTCCGGCAGATTCACTACCGGCAATTTGGTTACCAGAAACTTGATCTCCGGCAGCTTGGTCGGCAGCTTGGTTACCGGCACCGACGCCGGCACCAGTAGCTTGGTTGCCGGCGCTGATACTGGCAGCTTGATTTCCGGCAGATTGACTACCGGCAAATGGATTTCCGGTAGCCTGGTTACCGGCAGCTTGGTTGCCGGCGTTAATACTGGAAGCTTGACTACCGGCAGCTTGGTTACCGGCAATAACACTAGCAGCTTGGTTACCGGTGCCAACACTAGCAGCTTGGTTACCGGTGCCAACACTGGCAGCTTGGTTACTTGCAGCTTGGTTTCCGGCGCCAGCTGCCTGATTTCCGGCACCCTGGGCACCAGCACCGACACCGACACCGGCACTGGCAGCTTGGTTACCAACGCCAACACCGGCAGCTTGATTACCAGCAGCCTGGTTGGCGGCACCGGCGGCTTGCTGGCCCGCGCCGAGGCCTTGAGCGGCGCCAGCGCCCTGTCCGACACCGGTGGTTTGGCTGGCCAGGAGGGCGGCGGTGGTCTGGCTACCTTGGCCGGCGGCAGCGTTGGCTCGGCCACCAGCCTGGTTGGCTGTTCCGCCAGCGGATGCAGCGCCCTTGTCGGCGGCAGCGTCGGCAGCGTCGGCACCGGCGGCAGCCTTCTTCGCCTTCTTGCCCTTCTTGCCCTTCTTGCCCTTCTTGGCGCGCCGATGGTTCTCATGAGCGCCAGCAACCTCATTATCGACATCGACTCCCTTGGGGGCCACGCCGGCACCCAGGGCGTCCCCAGCAGCGTTTGGGGAGGGCACGTCGGCGACTCCTCGGTTGCTTAGCTGAGCGCCGCCGTGGACATTTCTCCGACTTGTCCGGCCCGTCCTGAGTTGGGCATTGGCGGCCAAGGCCACTGGCGTCTCGGGTCAGCGAGTGCGTGCATGAAGCCGAGTTGCTTGCGCTTCACTTACCGGTCAGGAGAGAGATGAATGAGAGGCGAACCATGATGATTTTGAGTTTGTGTGAGGGGAATGGACGGAAGAGGTGAAAAAGAGGTGGTTAAATGATATAATTGATATTAAAGGCTCAACGTCGCGTGACGCCTGGTCACGGGTGGTAGGAAGGAAGAGAAGAGATAAGGAATTGAAACTGGATGCCCCGGAATAAGAGACAACAGACTGATGGCACAGGCTGGATGTAGACGAGAGGATGGCCTGGGATCGCGGATAGCTTTATACCCTGGACCCCGGCAGGCTTCCCTGGCCTTCTGCTTCCGTCGCAGATCCGGGGGCGGCATCATGCTGCAACGCAGGGCCAAACTGGTCGGCGCATCTCCAGAAACAATGGTCCTCATCGACGAGGATCGATAGGCCCAGCAGCGAGAGCAGCAAGGCAAGACACGGCACGGAGCCCGGGGGCCGAAACGGGAATCCTGGCGGCGACGTTGAATGTTGCATCGTGTCGGGACGTTCGCGCTCGAGGAGGCAGTGAAGCAGAAACAAGGCCGCGGCGATGCTGTCGACGCGTGGCGGAGATTGTAACGCATCCGAGGCGGGAGGGACGAGCACACCTCCCCCAGTGCCTTGGGCGATGTGCACGATAGGCCCAAGGATGCCGATATGGCGCCATGGCGAGGCCGGGGATGGTGGGAAGGCCGAAACGCCGTCTTCATGTGGAGGACGGATGGTCGGGTTGCATTCCGGGACGGCGGCTGCTGGCTGCTGCTTTGCCGGCTCGACGAGACACTCTAGCTGTGGCACGGGCGGCGAGGCTCGAGCGCCGGCGAGGAAACGGCCGATTTTGACATGATGGGCGTTTGAAGCCTGTTTCTCCCTCAGCGACGCTTGCCGCGACGCACGTGGTCCAGGGGCCTCGAGGAGTCGAGATAACGTGACGGCGCGGCAGCGCTACTAATAAGCTAGATGCCTCTTTAACTAGATACATCCGCCGATATGTCAGCAATCAGCAAGTCCGTCTATCTTTGCTTTAATACTATGTAGCTCTATTAGCTAGATTCGGGACGATATCGTTATTATCGAGAGATAAGCCCTCTGCCAGCCAATTATATATATTTGTCGCCTATCTTATCGTTATAGCCCGATAATCGTAACATACCCTATTCGTTATAGCCCAGGTTTACTGTATCTATGCACGCGTGGTGGCGCGACGCGCTAACTAAGCCGCCGCCGCCACTGTATTTTCCCCAGCAGCAATTTTTCTAACTCTAGAGGGCGGCGCACAATCTAGGCCGCCCCTAATTATCGTTTGGCGTGCAATTCAGGCTGCTTGGGTCCTCTATAACGTGTAATGCTGTCTGACTGGCATAGGCACATGTGTATTCGATCCCGCTGTCCAATCAGTAGGATTGGTCGACGGATCGAGTGGACGATCTAGTCCCTTTGTTAATCCGTCGTGCCCCTGCCCATCCCTTCCCGCCGCGGCGTTATCAACGCTCAGCTGGTTTGTCCAGTAATCCTGGCTGCTGTGGTCTCCGGTATGACTGCCTAGTTTCTTTCTTGGGGGAAGTGTTTCATCCGAGCCATCAACGGAGTCCTCGATTTTAGGCTGCAGATCGGCCTGCCTGCCTGGTTCCTCTTTTAATTCGTGCCCATGTCCATCCATTTTGGCCAACTCTTCACCGGCGCTCAGAGTCGATGTGCGGAAACTCGGGTTGTCCTGGTCTCTAGTATGACCGCCAGTCTGCAGATTGGACTGACTACCTGGTTCCCCTTCCAGTCTAGACGGCTGCATAGGAAGATCCTCTCCCCTTAGCAAGTCACAGTTCTCGGGATGGCTCCGGACAGACAGGTTCGGACAGACATATTGCAGGGATTATCGCGCTAAGCATGGGTTAAAAGCCATCGCGCCTTGACTACAACCTGAACGGGCACAAGTGCCATTTTTCAGTCTGAAGGGAAATCCACTAGTATACAATCCTGGGTAGGCCGCTGCTGCAGTTCCAACTGCGTTTCATCCTCCTTGGAAGCCTTCCGCTTCTTGCACCGCGGCTTAGGCATATCGGGTTCCTCACCCTTTCGGGCCTTTCCCGCTCTATCTGGAGACTTCCCAGTAGCAGTCGTCGCCTTCTCTATATCCTTCGTGCTCCGTGTTCGACTACGTCTCGTTTCCCGAAGAAGCTGTGGCGAAGTTGCCAAGGGAGAGGACGGGGTCGAGGAATGGTCAGGAAGCTGATCAACTCCCTTCAGCAAATCCGAAGTGGCTCGGTCCGCTCGAGCGGCAGTATGCTCTGCGGCCTCACGGCCGGTCATGGATCGCCTTTTCGTGCTACCGTGCGATTTGAACCTCTTCAAGCCAGGCGAATGCAGTGCTTCCGGCAATTCCGGAGGCAGGAGGGCTCTTGACTGTACCTGCGCCTGGAAATCTGCTATTAGACGGTCATTCTGTAAGCAAAGAGTCTCGAGAACTCCTCTGCCTGCTGTCCGCCGAGGCTCCCTGTACTTGAACGACCTCCAATCCCGATTGAAGAACCATGTTCCTACCGCCATCTTGGATTCTTGGTAACGATTCCCTGGATTTTTGTGACCTCGAGCTGGCTGCTTTGCATAAGACATGGTCCAGCTGCGTACCACCGCAGGTCCGTCGAGTAACCAGCGTGGATGAAGGACATTGAGTGGGACAGGCCAGGACCTGACAACAGCCTCGTACAGCCAGTGTCGACAGGGCAGGCCGTATCTGAGTGGGAACTCACACGCGAAGGGACATCCAGGTTCGTTGAGAAGGCCCAATACCTTACGCTCCTTCTCGAGCTCAGTGTTTTGCCTCCATCTTAGAGCTTTGCTGCCTCCCACTCCGGAGCTAGCTTGCTCAGAACATAGTGTGGAACCTTCCCGATAAGAAGGCGGAAAGCAGCTCGGTCCAACAGCCTTGGGACGTCAGCCCTGCTCCGATCCTCGTCTTCAGTGATTTTTGAGTTAATTTCTTCAAGCTTTCGGCCAGTTTTGACAGGATGCCTGCAGGGAAGCTGCCTGTTGAGAGACTGTTTGACCACGACATGGTAGCTTTCGTTCCTCTGCGTGCTGTTACATCCGAGGTTCGGGTACTGTCGTGTGTGTGCTCGGACAAATTGGCGCTCTTTCGGTTGCCAATTATTCTTGAGATAAAGGCGTTCCGGCTCCGAATTTCTGCGAGCAGCTCGCCTCGCCGTTCTTCAAGTCGCGCCTCATCGGGAGCTTGTATTTAATCCCAAACGAACCGAAGTAGCTCTTCCTTCGTTCCTTCGTATATTTGCCCGAGTCTAACAATCGCTTCTTGAAGTTCTCTGCGGCATGCCATTCACAAAGCTGCAATATTTGCCCATCTTCATCCTGAGGATCAGCTCGCTTGGGACGCCGCCATCGCGGCAGCGAGCCCTGGTTTGATCCCCGAGAACGACTTGAGGTGGTGGGCAATCGTACCAGACCAGTTCTGCCAATTGAGCATTCACAAATTCGAAGGCTTCAGCTGATTCAGATGTTATAAAGGCGAAAGCCAGAGGAAATGTCTTGCCTGTGTTTGTGATTCCCACTATGACAGATAAAGGCAGGTGGAGGCAATTGGTGTTGAACGTCGCATCGGTTTGCATGAGGAATCCGCTGACGAATCTTCTACCCAGGCGGATCTGCTCGGAAGAACAGAAGAACAGATGCTCGAGTACTCGCGCTGTCTGTCGTCCTTGGTCGTCAAGAAGGTATTTGAAGAAGCAACGAACACGGAAGTCCTCGAACTCCAAACAAGTGAGCAAGACGTCAAGCGCTTCTTGACTGCTGCGTCTCCCTTCAGACCGGCTCAGGTTGTAGAACTCCTTTGCAGAAAGACAGTTGCCTAAGCCGTGTTGGTCGAGAATCCGGGTTGATTCAGTTGCTGACAGGCCGGCAGTCCGATGCGCGAGGGCCAGATCGACTGCCGCAGCCCGCTCTGGGATACGGGATCTATGGCAGGCGTAGTGGAAGGGATTTTGAAGTGGCGGATGCGTATGGTACGCGTAAGTGAAACCGACCACCCAGCCTTTTCGCTCTTCTATCCTCCGCGGCCGCTCCGGATAGTTTTGTAGGAGACATAAAGACTATAAGGACACTCCTTGGCCTTGGTGTACGTAAGCTCCTTCTTTCGGTCCCCTCCCTCTGTGACGATGTCCGGCAGCTTTCGAGTATTTCGGGTACCTCTACCGTGATGGATACAATTCACTCGCAGGCGGTCGCGTACCTTGCTGGCAGTGACCAGAGCGAAACCCTGGGTGAATGCATAGTTTTGGAACCAGTGAAGGGCTTCCTCGGGGCTGTTCACTTCGTCACCGGTAACAGGAGCGCGGAGATGCTCTTGCGGTAGGGCTTCTACAGCTTTGTTGAAGCCGGAGCGGACATCATCGGGAGGCTGTCGCGGTACTGGATCTCCATCGCGTTCGCGTTCGCGTCGGACGAGATGCTGGATCTCCATTGAACCTGAACAACGCGATTCTTATTGCGACGCGCACCCTAGCAAGGGGCGATGAACGATTATTCCCGTTCAGGTTGTAGTCAAGGCGCGATGGCTTTTAACCCATGCTTAGCGCGATAATCCCTGCAATATGTCTGTCCGAACCTGTCTGTCCGGAGCCATCCCGCACAGTTCTCGGTTGTGTCATCCGTTCCCGTAGCCCTGGCAACTTCCTGGCCCATGTCGCCGATGGTATTGGCGATTTCCCCGGCGGTTTTGATCTAGTCGCCTTGGACATCATGGGCCGTCTTCTCGGCCATATTCTCGGCCGCGTCCTGAGGAACACCGGCTTCCTCAGGGCAAGGAGCCACCTCCTGCGCAGCCTGTTCCATGTTCGCCGGCGTGTCCACTGGCTGCAGGGCCGAGGCGGTGGCGGTGGGAACCTCGGACGGAGTCGGCAAGGCCTTGACGGCTAGCGGAAGAGCCGCGACGGCGGCGAGGAGGACCGAGTACTTCATGGTGGAAGAATGGCAATTCAGTCGAGTCTAGAGAGTGGATTGGCTTGGATGATGCCGGACAGAATGAAGCTAAGTTGGGATGGCTTCGAAAAAATCGAGTAGCTGTGGAAGTAAACGAGAAGGTGACTGTTTTGGTATGGAATCTATCTAAAAGGATGGGAGCGGCGACGGCTTAAAAATACAGATCTAACGGCTGCCGGCGATGATTAAACGAAATGAAACAAAGAGCCGGTATCCCACGATATGCAGCCCTGCAGGCTGGCATTGATCTTGGAATGAACATGGCCCTAGGCAACGAGTCTCAGAGTTATGAATTTTCAAGGCATGGATACTGCCAGGACAAGAGAAGACTTATACTAGGCGCCAATTATGCCCCGAATGGGGGTGCCCCTATTTTGCCCGGTGTAGCGGTACTTTACCAGTTTGACAGCTCCTATGTATATAACAGCATGCTTAATATTCATATGGTATGCAAGTATGTTCCGTGGCAAGAAGGGTATTGTGCTAAACCCAGAGTCCTTGGCTAGCTAGGCAGAGAGAGGCTACAGGCGTCCAAGCATATCAAGATGGTCCAGCTTGCTATCTGGTTAGCAAAGCTGGCAGCGTTAACCAGACATTGAGCGCACTCAAGGAGAGCTAGCGAGTCTCTGGTTCCAGGACTCGTACACGATGCTATTATTGGTTGGCGCTTTATGGCTTAGGACTATACGAAAGCGAATCGTACGCCATGTTCTTGGCGAGGGATTTTTCTCACAGCTGGGTTCCGAACGCCCTCTGTACTGGGGTGTTCAAGGCATCTCAAACCAGATGCTGGATACAGCTGGGGTCCGACTCAGTGTCCTCGGCTGCTTGGCGGCGACACGTATCAACTTGGAGTGGTTCTCGAACACTATACAACGGATGAGATTATGAATACATGAACCAATCAATTTACAAGCCAACAGAGGAGTCATGGTTCATCCTAACATGCCACGGCAGGGCCTGTCAAGTTTCGCCCTCTACGGACGGGTATTTAACATGTCCATGTTTATTAACAACGGCGTTGGCGGGGCCTATGTTTTATGCGATTTTGCTCTTTGCAGCCGAAAACGGCTACGAACATACAGGAATCTGGTCGTTTTATGAGACTTCATTATGCGGCCACGGGGAGACGTTCCTCGATCATTTCGCACGGGCCTTGGAAGTTTCATGAGCACTCCCAATGACAAGGGGGAACTTGACGTGTTGGACGACCCGTGTTCACTGGCGCGAGCTCATGAATTGACCGGGACAAGGCGTGTCGCACGGCATGAAGGAGGGGCACAAGACTTGTCCTAGAATTAATTAAGATCAGTTAGATTCTGCAACACTCATGTCGATCAACTACCGGCAAGTCTACCCAAAGGTGCACCGAGGAGACTCACCACCCCCGGTGGTCAAGTAAATGCACGCTTATACGCGCTTTGCAGCGAAGAACCGAGGGTCATGTATTTTGACTCCATTGTTGTTGATTGTACCAGGCTAGCCGGAAGCCCGAGTTCCTTTGCCTATAACTTTCTACTACCAAGGAATTTCACCCCCGTCGTACTGGTTAGAGCCTTCGGCGTGTTCCCAGCCCGGCACACGAATATTGTAGAATTTGCCATTCATCTTTGCATCCGCTGCAAGAACTAAGTCCTTGACGGCATTCACACCCTGTTCCACATCTAGATCCGCCCTTTCAGACCCCATGTCGGTCTTGAGCCACTAGGTTGCAGCACGTTAGTCGCGCACGCTGACGCAGGGGGTGCTCCGACGACTTACTCCCGGAGAAATGGCCAGCACTGTGAATCCCTCCTTCTCGTAGGCTATGGCGTACTGGACGGACAGCATGTTCATTGCGGCCTTTGTTATCTTGTATTCCGGGGTCGGCAGCCAGGTGAATCGGTTTGCCTGGCCAACGGACCCGAGGGGTGACGAGCTAGAGTTTCTCCAGGTCAGAAGGCCCATCCATTGTCCACGGTGCCGAGGCTGCTGCTGCTTACACCATGATGATTTTCTTCTCCTTGCTCTTCTGCAAGGCTGGAATAAGCGCCGCAGTGACGCGATGCGCGCTTATTACGTTGACGTCAAACGTCTGCAGCAATGTTTCCCCGTCCATGGCACGAACCCCCTCTGCGCCGTACGGCATCGCCTGAGTTTCAACAGCGTTAGCCAGCGGCCATGATCGACGGGCTCGAACGCTTCTTGGCCTCGAGCTTTGCAAGAAGCACCTACCCCGACATTGTTGATGAGAATGTCCAATCCTTTGCCATCAAGCTGAGCCTCGATTTCGGCCGCAGCCTTTTGCACACTCGCTTCGTTGGTAACTTCGCAGCCGATGTTGACAATGCGTCCCGCCGAGTTGGCGATGAGCTTTGCCAGCTCCGCGGACGGGGCCCCTCTGGTCGTCACAATCACTTTGGCGACGCGCGACGTGGGCAATTGTTCCAGCTGCCGCGCCAGCTCGAGTCCAATGCCGCGCCCGCCGCCCGTGATGGCAATGTACGACATGATGATGTGGTTTTGCGAATTGCGTGTGCAGGGAAATTGTCTGTTCGGCCAAAGATGCTGGATAACTGTCTGCTGGAATAAAACACAGTCCGTGTACGACGCCGAGTATCATCTTTATATACATATTGAGCACGTCAAATCATGTCGTGACGGCGCATGACAGAGCCCTCGTGGCCCGCGCTACGGATTTGAGTTCGTATTTCTAATCTGCAAATCATTACTTCGCCGGCTGGCTCCCCGAAAATTGGGACACGTCGCTCGCTGGAGGTGGTTTGTAATTCTTTCTCGACGGGGCAATTCAGAACGGTTATGATGCCATACCGCGGTGAACCTGAGCTGCTGTTTCCGTCATAGTGGGCTGTTGTTGAGGCCTTGACGGTTAACGGGTTTAGACGGACTTGGGCGGAGTTTACTAGTTTAGGAGGTATTGACTAGAAGTAATTAGTCACGACACCGTACACTCCGTAGATGTATTCTACGTTAATTATCCAACCAGTATCCCTCGCTAGAAATGGCCCTATTGTGTGCCCGGGCTAGTCGTAATTACGGCGCACGTGCTCTGTTACCAAATGCCTCGCTGTTTCTTCAAGGCAGCCAAAGGCGGTGCCCCGTCTCGCACCATCAAGTCTTGTAAAGAGGCCTATCCCACACCGTCAATCTCGCGCATAACTCGGACTGCTAACTCCGGCTCCGATGGAGATACATGCGGCCGGACATGTGGCATGTCCCGGCTGAGTGCAGAACGGCTTTGGTGATGGTTACATGTCAATAAGCGCTTGGCGGCATGGTTGTTCAGTCACGCGATTGGCCAGGGCGACAAGCCAAGCGCGACGTAATAGACGCCTCAAGTACTTTGTGCGACGCAAGTCCACGTAAATGCAAAAACACCGCACCCATCTCTCCACGGCCGACTGCCCCCAGCCATCAACCACCGCCCAAAATGCCCGGCTTCGTCCTCACCAAGGAGCACATCCTCGCGGCCTTTGCGCCCCTCGCCGAGACCGACGACGCCGCCGCCCGCGCGCGCTTCTTCACCGACGCCCTCGTCCCCGACGTGACGTGGCACATGGCCGGCAGCGCGCACTCGCTGGCCGGCACGCGCCATTCGCTGCAGGCGCACATGGACGCCACCTTCAACCGCCTGGGCCCCCGCCTGCGCGCGCCCATCCGCTTCGACGTGACGCGCGTCGTCGTCGACGCCCAGCCCGGCCCGGACGGCGCCTGGTGGGCCTGCATCGAGACGCGCGGGCACGCCATCCGCAAGGCCTCGGGCAAGCCTTACGACAACGAGTACATCTGGCTGACGCGCTGGAACCAGGACGGCAGGATGGTTGAGGTCCGGAGCTACTGTGACACTATGCTGGCCGAGGAGGTGCTGCGCGAGCCGGTCGAGTGAAACTGATGCTCCCGCGCGCTTCTCTGACATGAAACGCTTGCTCGGACTATGGATAAAACGAGATCATCGAGGCAGCGTACAGTGAGCACATGCTTCGACAGTCTACGGCGTTCGCACAGCGAGCAAGAGATTGGGCCCAGAGTGGGCGGGAAACAAGCTTCATCGTCAGATTTCCCGAATCCCATACCCGCCAGCGATGAAACGGGACACGAGGCAGAAAAGACCTTGTTCTCGCCGCTCCACCCCAGGCGAGCAGTGCACCCCCCAGCAAAACAACTTCAATCCCAGGCTGAGACGCCGCCCATCTTCGCGTCCGGTGCCCGGACCACCGGTCGCCTCGCCCTCGTCCGAATGTCCAGTGCTGCAGGGACATGTAATTCCCATCTTTCCAAACCTCAGAAGGCTTCCTCGGCAGGGCACGGGCTTCAGAACGAGTGAAGCGTTGACATGGACCCGTTCTTGGCGGATGAGCATATTCGAGCTGACACCACAAGTCGAGAGCCTCTTGTCCGGTGAAACCCATCGACGCACAGGTCTAAAAGACGCCTAAGAATAGAGACAGATGCCAAGTATTCCATATTTTGCGCGCCCAAAGTAAAGAGCAGCCGGTCTAGGCTGGCCGGATGCACTTGTCTCCAATGCCTGGCGTATCTCCTCCGGGGGAAAACAGAGGAGCATGAGGACTGGGGACTTGGCACGTGGCGCCAACTTCAACAAGGAGAGGCGAACCCCAGAACCGCACAGACTCCCCCCCTCCATTTCGCCCCATCACTACAAAACTAGATGGCCATTCGTCGGCTATAAGATCTGGCTTTTCTCACTTTGATTCTCCGTCTGCCTTCTTCTATACAGCAAGTCTGCCTCGCACGGGCTGGCATCACTAACGGCAACTCAAGACGATATGCTCATTAAACAGTCACACAGGAAAGAAAGATTGCAGAAAATCATTCATCATGGTCCTAAGGCGCGCCGCTCCAAACGCCAAGCGCCCCGTCCACCAGCCGCCACCAGGCGAGACTATATGCGCGCAGAATCCAGGCCCTCTCCCACTGTCCGCCTCGCCGAGGAGAGAAGAAAGAAAAAAGCGGGTATTGTCCGACAAGGTCGGGTTGCACACATAAAGGGAAAATGCACACGGCCAACGGACGCCGGCGGAATATGAAAGGTGAAAGCAACATGTCATCGGCACAATCATCATCGTAAACCTCCGATATTGCCCAAACAGCTAGACGCCTCGGAACATGCGCATGATGAGGAACCACATGGCGCCCAGAAACTTGAAGCTGCTCAGCACCGCCACGCTCCACAGCACAATCGCCATGTAAATGTTGGACCGCGCCTTCTGGTCGTCTTCCCGAGACGCAGTGCCAGGCGTAATCTTCTCGAGGCCGGCCGAGCTCAGGACAAGCGCAGCCAGGGCAAAGTTGGTAATCATCCAGATAAGGACGACGCCGGTACGCACACCGCGGTAGTAGTCCATCTGCTTCTCCTGCAGCAGCGCCATCGTGGGCGGTGTCTTGACAGCCTTGAACTTGGTGCTGAACAGGGCAACCTCGCGCTGGTATTGGGCGTTGAGGTCTCCCTCGTCTGGGAGGTCCGTTTTGCCCTGGCCGTCGGTTGTGTTGACCGATGGCAGCTTCTCCACCTTGTCGTCACCCTTTGTGCCCCAAGAAACGTCATGCGTGTTGCAGAAAGCGTAGACGTTGAGGACGTTGATGTACGTGGGCGTCAGGAGCATGTACTGGATGAACGACGTGATCATGTGCCACGGGTCGAACATGACGATGGACGCAATGAGCCAAATCCCAAATGTCGACATGACGGAGACTATGAGCGTGTAGAAGACTTGGTTTGTAAAAAGCTGGTTGATGTTGAAGCCGTCGGCGTCGTTAACGTCGGCAATAATGGCCTTGACAGCGATGAAGATTGCCGCAAACATGAGATAACTAAGTCGAGTGGTCAGCACGGAAGAAATACCTCACGCATACTCGGAGAGGAAACCGGCTTACATCATGATAATTGCCCAGAACCAGACCATGGCCGAGTACAGCTTGCCCGAGCCCGCCGGCCGGTTGCCCATCGAGAGGACGAAGCAGGTGATGAGAAAGACACCATAGAGCCAGGTGAAGACGACGCTCAGAATCTCCCCGACTCTACCGAGGAGGTCGTTGGACCCCAGGCTCGTCGTCAGAATCTTGAAAACCAGGAAGAAATTGCCAATGGCAAACCAGGCGAATATCATGTTGACCGTCTGGAATACAAACTCGATGAAAAAGGCGAGCTTGCGCAGCAAGGAGTGGTCGGAGCGGAAGAAGTCGTGGAAGTGGGCAATGGCGTAGATGGCGGCGAAGAAGGAGCCGTTGAGCCAGCGGCGGCGCTGGAGGACCAGCTCGGTGACGGTGTCCGGCACGTCCGTCTCGCCGTTGGCCGACTTGACGTACTGCAGGATCCAGTGGCAGTTGCGTTTGGTGACGAGCTCGAAACAGAGGATGCGGTCTTCGGCGAGGTACATATTGGACTCGAACAGGCCGGCGCTGCTACCGCCGTGAAGCGTCTCGCCCAGAAAGTACTTTTCCAGGGGCCCCTTGCCGTTCTTGTCGTTTTGCAGGGCGACGTATCGGTAGGCGGAGAAGGCGCCGGGCAAGACGGAGATGAAGCCAAAGGCTGACTCGAGGGGCTTGTCGAGGATGTTGCTCATCTTGTACTCAAAGTTTTGCGTCGCGACGAGGGGGTTGAGCAGGTTCTTGCCGCCGGTGCCCAACATGGCCTTGATTTCGCCGCAGGCGCCGCCACACATGGGCTGGAGGTCGAAGGCCTTCCACAGGTGGTAGATGGAGTTGCCGCCAGGCCGCGTGCCGGCATCGAGGAGGACGCAGATGTTGGGGTCGAGTACGCGGCCAAAGGCCTGGAAGAACCAGCGGTGCGAGTTGATCTTTTTCTGGTTCTTTTCCTTGAGGCAGAAGAGCATCTGCACGGGCTGACGGCGGTGGACGAGGGAGACTACGTCGTTCTTAAGCTGCAGGTGAGTCTGCGTCGTGTATTCGTACACGTGCGCCGTCACATCCTTGTTGTTGACTTGCTGCTTGGCGATGCCCTCCTGGTATACGCCCATGCCGGACAGCAGGGCCTTGGTCCGAGGGTTGATCTTGGAGCGGCCGTCGCTGACAACGCAGACGACAATCTTCTTCCACGCCTCGGCGCCCCACGTCTTGCTGTTGGGGCGCTTGCACATGTACTCGATGTTCTTAAAGACGCCCATGAGCGTGCGCGCAAACAGAATGTCGTCCTCGTTGTACATGGTGATGACGATGAAGAGCTCCGTGTGGCGGGGCTTGCTGAAGAGCTTCTGGCGGAGAGTAAAGTTTTCGTTGTAAAAGTCAGACGGATCGCACGTCGCCGCCGTATATCGCATGTGGGTAAACTCATCGCGCTCGCCGTGGGGGTTCTGCTGCAGGAGGACAGGGGGTACGGGACAGTCGAGGACCAGGTTTCCGCGGTATAGAAGCACTTGCTTCACCGTCTTCCAGCGCCTCAAGGCTCCTCCGTTTTGCTGCTGCTGCTGTGCTTGGTCGCGGTATGGGTCACCATATCCCGAGGAGCTGTGGTGGTCAAGCATCGGGCGGCGGTCATCGAGGTCGTAGCCGTGCGTTGGGGTATCACCGTAGCCGGCTTGATACTCGTCTGGTTGGGGGTACGAGGGGTGCCTGCCGCCATACTCGTCGTGAAGCATCTCGGCGCTCACGACCGAGTCGCCGTACGACGGATTCTGGTGGTGAGAATGGCCGCCGGCATGCGAGAGGTTATCAATGGAGTGCTATCGAGATAGTCAGTCGAGGCGTCGAGGCAAGGCGCGAGATGGGGCCGCAGCGCCGTGCTTCGCTGGATAGACCTACCGCGGCATTGAGATTTAGGTGGTCGCTGGGCGTGGCATATCGCTGCGGACCAGGAGTGAGGCGCTGTTGCTGACTGAAAGGGCTCTCCTCGAGTTGGTAACCCTGGTTGAGTGGCCGATTCGGAGACGGAGTCCGGAATCGACCGCCCGGGTGAGGATCCATGGGATCGTGGTAGTAGTCGTCGTCTGCAAAGACGTGATTGGTTTGGCGACGTTAGCAGACGAAAAGGAGAGACGATGCTTGTGTGAAAGCTAGGGGACGAAGAGCAGCGAGCGAGTGCCGAGTGACAGGGCTGCTTGGACAGACGAAAAAGACGGGATCCAGCCCAGTGGCAGACAACAAAGGTCAAGATGGAAAAACTGGAGCGCGAGTGTGTAAAGTCGATGTGCAAGCGGCTTGGGCAAAGGCCGACAAAGGGAGGGATGGGCCGAAGGGGATGAATCAGGGGAAGGGCGGAGAGGGAGGGGCCCAAGCGGAGGGAGGGAGGGCGGCGGGACAAGAAGTAGGAGATGCGAGCGACTTGCCTAGGCGATTGTATGACATGGTGGGCGCAGCGATGCTGAAGCCGCTAACTGGGCCTCGAGAGAGGAGGCGGGAGCTGGGTGGCCGGTCGCGCGACGAGGCGGGTTACTGCCGAGGCGCGAAGGTTCTTTGAAATATGCGTCGCCACGTGCTGGCGGCGCTCGGCCGGGTCTCGCTCGGTACGGCGAAGAGAGAGCAGAGGGAGGCGGCTGGGCTTGGATCGAGAGCGGCGAGTCCAAGGTCGCGTCGAGGTCTGGTTTCTCCGAGAGAGAGGGCGAGAGGTGGGCGAGGGAGGGCGAGGGAGAAAGGGCGCGAGAGGGAAAGGAAGAGGGCGAGCGGGGACAGCGAAACGACGGTGGAACTGACGGCGGTTTCGAATGAGGATTTGTCGACGCCCTTTTGAGCAGTGGTCGGTTTCAAAATATTGACTCCGGCAGGGGTGGAGAGTTTTGATCGGGTGCCTCTGGCAGGCTGGCGGGGAGATGGGGGTTGGCGATGGGTTGGCGATGGGGGTTGGCTTGTGCATGAGATTTCCAGGGATTCCCGGCGAGCGCACGCGTTTCAGGGGCCTGCGCCAACTGCTTACGAGGCCATTAGCGGTTGCTCGGGCAGTGAGTGTCCCCACGGCCTGGGCTGATGACGTCGCGCGAGACTGGTGGGTGGTACATGCACTTGGCAGGGCACTAGGTACCTAGGTAGGCGGCAGGTACCTAGGTAGGGAAAATAGGTTAGGGTCCCTACAGAGGGTACCGAGTCGCAGAGAGGGTGTCAATCGGCAGAAGGAACACAGCCGCCTCGGAGGAATTCGACAGTCGTCCGCGATATCGCCGAGCGTGGTTCCCAGCAGACAATGATACTGCGAGGCTGTGCTCTTTTGTGCTACTGTACTGTAGGTACTTACGTACATAGGTCCCCAGGTAGATACCTAGATAGGTACCTAGGTAAGGTAGATACCTATGTAGCTAATAAAAGCAGCTCCGCCACAGTCGAGGGAGCCACCAGCAGGCCCAAAGAGGGAATGGCGCCAATGCCAGTGGGGAGTAATCAAACATACACTCCTGATTTTCAAACATACACTCCCGACCTAAGCCCCATTTGGAAGAAGACCCCGCCACCAAAATTTGGCGCGCGCTTTCCCAACGCCCTGGCTTGCCGTGACCATCGCCGCCGCCCACCCGCCCAGCCACCTGCCTTTTTGGCCGCCATCTGCATTTTCGCAATCATCAACAATTGAAGCTATCACCACTTGACTCAACACAACAGCAACGCCGCCGCCGCCTACCGCAATAGTCACGTCTAGTCAATCGTCCCGATGAATTCGACCGAAAGCAATACCAACAGTAGCACCGAGGCTATCACGGAGATGTCTTTCGATACGTATGATGAGGCGCTTGAAACACTCAAAGCTACGCAAGAGCTCCTTGGCTACGTCGTAGTCGTTGCAAATAGCAAGAATACCGGCAAGCCTAGGCGCAAGGAAGCCAATATCCGCTGTGAATACAGTGGTCAGTAAACCCTGGGACGAGGCAGAGGGTATATACAAGACGTCATCCAAGAAGTCGGGATGTGACTTTCGCTGTTACATCCGCTTCTACCGACGTTGCAATGCATTCAAAGTCACCATCAAGCACGGCTCTCATAACCACGAACCTCTATTTGAGCCAATTGCTAACCCCATCGTCCGTCAACGAAGCCAACGCAAATTCGGCATCGAGCGTCTTCATAGCCTCGTCGAGGGGCTTAGCAAGAACGTCAATAACAAGAGCAGGGATATCGTGGATGCTATCCGACAGGAATATCCTGAGCTCCTTATTACCGATTCTGATATACACTTCATCCAGCTGCAACTTCGTGCCTTCCGTTACGGCGCCTCTACATCTACACAAGCCTTCCTCGATGTACTCAAAGATGCTAAAGCAAAGGGAAATCAGCTACTATGCAGTTGACCGTGGCCCTAATGGGAAGGTTTGGAGGTTTTTCTGGACATACGATGACTGTATTGCTGACTGGAAGCGTAACCCCGAGCTCCTTATCATGGATAATACGTATAAGGTCAACCGCTTTAACATGCCGCTTCTACAGATCATTGGCACAACAGGGCTACACAAGAGCTTCAGTGTAGGCTTTGGCCTCACTGCCAAGGAAGACGAAGGCGCGTTCAATGGATCCTCTCACAGTTGCGTGAGGCTGGTCGGCAGGCTGATATTCCGGACCCGGGCGTTGTGATTACCGACTTTGATACCGCCCTGAAGAACGCCCTTGACTCTATCTTCCCATCAACGCAACAACAAGTGTGCGTTTGGCATATGATGAAGAACGTGATCCTTCACATCAAGAAGAAGTGGGAAGGATCCCTCGATGGCACCGAGATTGGCGGAGATAGGCCAGAACAGGAGACTCGCCTCGCTGCAGCAGCCGCTCTCGACGACCCTATACAGGCAGATAATGCCATTGACGAGGACCGACCTATCGACCGTGCCACTGATTACCAGATTCAACATGCCTCACAACTGGCAGATCAGTGCGTTGAGCAACAAGATGATCGTGAAGATGACGATGGAAACCAATACTACCCCGGCTCCAAGGCGGACTTTTGAGCACACAGCTGACGGTATCCGTGATGCCTGGGTTTCAGTCTTTAGGGCTCGCACGGCTGAGGAGTGCAGAGATCAGTGGGATCTACTCTGTATAGAGTTTTCGGATCAGCCAGGTAACCCTAGCCTAACTACCCTCCTACTCTAACCTTTTACTAAATAGCTCCTCTTATAGCTCTCGTTAATTACCTCCGTACAACCTACTGGCCATGGCGTGCCCAGTTTTCCACCTACGCTATCCAACAGTACCGAAATTATAACATTACGGTAACTTCCCGTGTGGAGAGCACACATCACGAGTTGAAGTCACGATTACGCAACCGCTTCATTGACCTCCATCAGCTACAAGAGCACATCAGAGGGCTCGTTACCCATCGGCAAAAGAAGCATCGCGAGAAGCTTCAATCCGAGTTTGCAAGAGCTAGAGTTGAATGGGCCAAGCAGACGATTATGAAGTCACTGCACCGAAAAATTGGCTGGCAGCCGATGAAACAGATCTTCAGGCAAGTTAGGCTAGCCCGGGCTGAGCTTGCCGATAATCGAGGCATGCCTACGATTTGTACGGGTGCTTTCACGATGCAATGGGGGCTGCCCTGCCGGCATACAATCCGCGATTTGATCCAGGCTGACGCGGCCGCCCTTATACCATTGCATCTTATTGATAACCACTGGCGGGTTTACGGCGTGACTGTAAGTATCTTGCTCCAGCCATAAGTACTATACTAATTTACTAGCAGCCTGAACAACAGCAATATATCGATGCAGACCACGAAGCCGATCCTGACGTTGTCCAGCCTCGCCGGCGTGGAAACAGTAGACGCGAGGTATCCTCCACTAGAGGCATCTACGGGCCGGATCCTTAGTGCTTGGGAGCAAGAGGAGCATAGAGCCAACCCAGAGCTCGTATCACGGCCACCAGAGACGCAAAAGAAGAAGAGGAAGGGCACAGGCACCACTATCATGAACAAGAGGTCGAATACACTTGCTTCCGTGAGCAGCCGGGTTGACGATCTTGCCCAGCAGATCGGTGATTTCATCAAGTCACAAGCAGCCGTCACAGGCACATCACGACGGCTTCATGTGGGCACAGCCGCCGGCACAGTCTCACGAGACGGCTACGGAGCATTTCCAGCAGCTAGGGGATCAGAGGACACGGCACCATACAAAACTAGCAGGCAGGCCGGTCACAAATTCGTTCCTTACGTGCCTCGCCCTCCGCCGCGTCGGACGGATCCTTCCTCACAGTCACAGTCACAGTCACAGAGGTAGGCAAAGACCTTCCGCCATTATATGCATATTGTATATATATCGGAAGATCGATCGGGCCGGGCTTATTGATAGCTTCAATTGAATGACTCTAAGGGATGCATCTTCCGGCGTTGGTAATAATTGCAGATAGAATCCATATATGTCAGACAATAGTGTCCCACACCTCGCACGTGACAGCGGTTGATCTTTGTGGCATCAGTCAATTGATGAGAATTATCTAAAGAACAAAGGAAAGGAAAAGAATTGGATGCACACATTCGTGCAACAATATATACCCCGATCATTGCGGCGAAGCCTGGCGCAGCAGTGGCAGTGATCGAGCATAAGGTTTCAGGAACTGACACGGGCGTGATATGCGACAATATATCTAGGCAGGCAGCCGCGGCAGCGGCGTTGGGAAAGCGCGCGCCAAATTTTGGTGGCGGGGTCTTCTTCCAAATGGGGCTTAGGTCGGGAGTGTATGTTTGAAAATCTGGAGTGTATGTTTGATTACTCGCCAGTGGGTGCCTAGAGAGCGACTAAAAATAGGAATCTTGGTGCGCCACGGCGTTCGCCACAATGTTCTGCCAACAAGCCATGTGCGAGAATGCATGGTGGAGGTTGGAACCGTGGCTCAACCTCCTGCAGGTACGAAGCGCTGCACGAACGAGTAAGGTTCATGTAGATACTTGCCCTACACGAGTTTATATGTATATGGACGCACGAATGCCATTGACCTTGACCAGCAGGGGGTGAACTTAGACCCAAAACAGGTGGCTCACCGACTCATATTGGAGAGTATAACCCCACCGAAGCTTCACAAGTCCACATTCCAGGCGTCGATAAGCCCTGGGAAATGGCTCTTCAAGACTCAGCACCCCGCAAGACGACCACATGGCAAGGATAAATTCCTTGCGTCGTCCATCATCGTATCTACAGCCCACTAAGCTTTGTAGCTGTACAGTGGCCTATGAGGCTTGTAAGTCCCTGCACATAGAAATGGGCACCCCCCTGTTTTGGGCACCCCAAAAAAATCACGACCATTTTCAACACCATTAATTCAATCCCTTCTCACTGCCCACCACCGTGCACTACGATACAATCGTCACCTATTTCTGAAACCTCAGCTTCGGTTTCATCAGATTCTTCATTCTCAGCTGCGTTCACCTCCTCCTGCGCCCGTCGTATTGCCTCAATATTGGCGAACCTCGAATTCGGGCTCGTGACCACCCTCTTCCTTTTTTTCGGCTTGACGGCCGCCAATTGTGTTTCCAGTGCCTGAATCTGCAATTGAGCTTTTGCTAAAGGCCATCCTTCTCGTCAAACCCTTTTGTGATCTTCCTGAACAGCAATCTCTTCGTGGGCACGTCGTCGTCTAGCTGGTTGAATTGAACTACCTGAACCTTCAGATCTTGCGAGCGCCTCGGGGTCGACCACGCAATCTGGGATGTGTCTGATTGCCAGTCACTGGTGGGTAAGTGGCTATTGAATGCATTGGCCACATTTTTCGCGTTCTTTTGCGTCTGTTGCTGTTCTCCAGCAGAAGAGGGCTCAAAAGTGGCTTCGCCATCGACACCGGCCACAAACCCGTCGCTTTCCAGCCACCCTTGATGTTTGACACAGTGAGCGCTTGCTCGCGTGCTTTCTGGTAGCAGGAAAGAAAGTTTTGCTTGCCGACTGGGCTTGAATCGGTCAGGAGGCTGAAATCCGACCTGTTTGCGGTAGTAGTGCTTAAGAGCGGGGAAGACAGACAAATCGAGCGGGTGCAGCACATGAGAGGTATGGGAGGTAAGAAAGAAGGTGAATCTGATGCTGGTAGCATAGATACATGAAGTCAACCGTCTCGTGACTTCCGTGGCCGTCCAATACTAGCAGTCTTCGCTCCGAAGGGTCGGGTGGCTGGGTTCTTGGAATGAACACCTTTTCGAGCCACTCCACCGCAGTTTGGTCCGAAGTCCAGCCGTTCTTTGTCGCAGTGAATTGCCAGTCACTAAAAGTACTGAGATCTTCTGGGAACCACTGTTGCTGGACCGATTTGCCCTTGAAAATGACGGGTGGAGGAGGAAGGTGCCGGCAGCGGACACGCACTCGATGAACGACGTCCAGACCCGAGAACCAGGCGTCTTCTTTTGTACAGATCGTTTTCAGCACTGCCAACGACCAGGCCATTCTCCCCAAGTCCTTCCATGATGCCTGCTTCATCCATGTTGTACCTGTTCTCCGGCTTAATAGCCAGAATCTCGGGAAGGAAGAAATTGTTGAACCAAGGCCGAATTACCTCGGTAGAAGCGCCGTTGACACGCGCAGAGTCTCTGTGATGGCACTTCTGGGTCCGAACTGCAGGATTTCGTCTTAAAAATGCTTGCATCCAGTGTTTTCCGAGCGGTGTGTGGTCTCCTTTGACGGCGAGCATGCGCTGCGCGAACTGCCTGATCTGCGAGTGAGTGGGAGGAAGGCCCAAGGCGTCCTGAATGAGAATCCATTCGGTAAGTTGCTTTTCCTGTGTCTGAGAAAGCCTCTGAAGAGCAGAAAATGCATCCTTTCTGCATTCGTGACCATGCATGCGATTGTAAAGAGTTGCCCTCAGGACGCCCCAATCGCGAGCAGCCTTCTTGGCGGATCCGCCATTGGCGATTGCCTCAAGGGCGCTGTGAATGTCAGACTCTGTATATTTCATCAGTAGTGGCTTGAAGACACATGCGTCAATTTTAGCAGATTGGATGCGTTTCCGCGGTGAAATTTGCTGTTGAAGTTGACGCAGCCGTTTAGGTTGGGCACCCATCTTGGGTGCCCAAAACAGGGGGGTGCCCATTTCTATGTGCAGGGACTTACCTGCAGGGGTCTTTGTGATCCTAGTGTGCTGTACACGTTCTATACATAATATCTCATCGTTCTCCCTCTTTCTGCACTGATGGCCACTACGTAGTCTCGCCCGTTACCTATCTGTCTGTTCTGGATGGCAGCGTCACCTAGGCAACATTGCCACTCCAAGGCAGCCACAGAACTATAAGAAGCCAATTTATTATTATTAATTAGACAGTCACTCCATAAACTCTTCGGTTACTGCTCTCATCACCCTTTAACCTTCATGCACAATTGTATCTCTCTTCGCGAGAGTTATACACCAGAGAGTGTTGATTCAGTTAATTGGCTTCTGTCGCTCCTATTTTTGGGTCGAGAAGGGATTTTCTTTTCATACGTCAAGAGCCCATTAGCCAGTGAAACAGACGAAAGGTGGGGAAGGGTCTTCACTTCGCAACTATTTCTTAGGTTTGCAAATATAGCCAACGACCTGTTCGTGAATCGAGGCGACATTCAGTGATGTCGGAGTCTCTACGACAAGCGCCAATTGGCGGCGGTGGCGATGTTGCACCTAAGCTGCTTAGATGACGCTGGTCTCTGGAAGGTTCGATACCATTGCTTTGACTCTCAGATATGCGACAGTTAAATCTCTCCCGCAAGACGCCTCAAGCTTGCCGGATCGCGACAATACAGCGGCACCTGCTCCATGGCCTGAAGATCCGGGGAAACAATTCTAGCGTTGCTTTTCGCAAAAGCGTTGTATACTGGATATCTACGCCGTCTACCCTGCTCCCGGCAATACTCTTAGGTCGCTGTTCAGCAATGCAAAAGGATCCCTGCATCGTCCTCCCGGAAGATGTCGAAGTCTTCAACACGAACAAGGCCAGATTGCTTCATAACGTGCCAGGGCGCGCAGCAACTTGCCGGCTTAGGCGAATTAGCCAGTCGGACGGCCCATGTCATCTCCCCTAGGTTTAGCTACAAGAAATGGCAGTTTTGGTGGCCCCAGTGGCTCGAGGAACTATTCAAGTGCGAGAACCAGAATCTCAGCATTGCAGAATGAGGCGTGATTTACAGGGGAGACGCCACGGGTTGCGGCTAGGAGGCTGCTTGGGTCTCAGACATAGTGTTCCACGCCAGGCATCACAGTGGCAGTTATACAAGGCAACCTGAACAGCACCAGTTGATTGGCGAGAATTGTCTAAATAATGAAAGAGAAACAAACGAAAGCCGCATATTCGTGGTTGAAACTATACGTCGTACAAAAGGGAATCCCTGCGGCTAAGTGCTAACTTAACAGGTTAGCTGCAGGTTAGCTGGACGGCTTTCCAGCGAGGCGTTCGCGCGCAGTTCCCTGTTCGGCCAATGCACCCAAACGGCCTAATCTGCAGCTTACATTTGCCCGTACTTCGTACTGGTGGTATGTACATACAATAGTCATCTTTGTTTTCTCTCCCTCCATGGCCTCGAAAAAGGCAATCGCTAAGGCCCAGCCAGGTCGCGTTTCCAAAGCTAGGGTCCACGACAAGAGCAGCGCGAAAGGGGCCAAGTTGAGGACCGCTGCCGCCTCCAAGAAAGAGTCCTCATCGAGTGAGTCTCCGCCCTGCTCTCGACTTGCCCCAAATAACGATGCGTGTCATAGAATCCCAATCACAGCACCTTGCAAATCAGCGGAGTATTACGACTGCGAGCTTCTGGTTTAATACACATCTCCCTTCAGGATTGATTCCTTTAGTTTCTAGATCATCGATAACATTGTTTCCACTATTGACTTTTTATTTATGGATAGAATCCGTTTACTCGCTCGAATAGCCCTTACCAGGGATGAATGCAATTAATCGTCTCGTTAAAGAACTTCTCTGAATGGTCTTTCTTAGTGGCATTATCGATCTGACAAGGCTTCCAAGTTAGTTTCTTGCTTGAGACCACAGGATGGTAGATCCCGGAATCACATGACGCAATTGAGTATTGGAGGCTCAGAATCAGAAGCAACTTACGATGTGAGCCGTGTTTCTGCTGCTGTCTTCCAGTGTACGAGTTGCTTTCTCTAGCCCAAAGACACGAGCACCAGCGTTTCCCATATCGGTCTGGACCAGTCTGCTCCCCCGGGAACCTTTTAGTCGCCAAAGATATTGCATGGCCGGCAGCAGCTAAGCTGAGCGCATAGGTTGAAAGGGGTTCAAGGAGGACTCACCCAGGGTGGATACACAAGGTAATGAGCCAGTCGTTTTCCATGCCCATCTTAACGACAAGTACGTTGGCTAGAGCCTTGGAGCCTGCGTAGCTTGCATTCGGATAGGGGTACTTGGACATATCGTTCAAGCTGCCGCCCGAGGCACTGATAAAAGCAAACCGAGCTGGATGGGCCGCTTTGCGCAGCAGCGGTAAGGTTGCCTTATAGAGGAGCATAACAGAGAAGGTGTTGACTCTCAGCACCTCCTCCAACTCCTCCAGCGGCAGGTCCTCCATGGTGTTCATCTTGACGATCCCCGCACTGGAGATGACGACATCAACGTGGTCAACGCCCCGGGCCTGGATGTCCTTTACAGCCTCAAAAGGGTCCGTGATCGAAGCTGAGTCGATCTTGGTGAGGAGGACCAGGGTGTTGGAGCCCCTAGGCACTTTAAGAAGACCCTGAGCACCCTCCACATTGCGCACAGCAGCAATCAGCGTATTATCGGACTGGGAGACGTAGTGATCAAAGAGACCGCGCCCGATTCCTGTCATGGATTTCCTTTGATATCAGAGGGCGGCTGTGGCAGGGGTCTAGAGCAACTGCCAGGAGACATTCTGGGGACATGAGTTTAGGACGCACCTCGGTTGGTGCCGGTAATTAGGTATATCTTTCCCGGCATTGCGTCGAGGCTTGGAGATCGTATATAAGCTTTAGGGAGGCTTGTCAGTGAGTCGAACACAGTCTTCTCCTACTAGGGTGAAATAAAAATTGGAAATAGAGAAAGTAGCGCCGCGACCGGTTCCCAACGGCCATATAAGAAGAGTTTTACTATTCGGCCAAGTAGAAATCTCTATTCGGCCAACACTAGCTAAAAGGCAGGGTACCTTAATGTCCCGCATTAGTACCATCCTTTTACTATTCCTTTTAGCGAAAAATCCTTAAAAATTCCTAGATAGCTGTAACTACGAAGTAGCGTACTCGAGCGCCCGAGCCAGTAGGGGAGGGGTCCCCCTTGGGGATGGGCCCTAATTACTGTGGGGGTTTACCCCCGCGCGAGGTGAGCGCGACGTAATACAAGACGAGTACTTTAGGATTTTTCTTCGATGACTAAAGCGTATTGCAGCCAATTAAAAGAGGGGATTTTAAGAGACTCTTGGCCGAATAGAGATTTCCACTTGGCCGAATAGCAATACTCTATAAGAAAGGGCGCATCCGTGAGGCACACGCCTAAAGCTACAGATTGCGATCGGATTTATAATCGAAGTGGATTGATAAGCACAAAGAATGCGGCCATTCTAAGTAGGCCCTGACCAACGAGCCAACCGCTCTGCTCAACGAGCCAACTGCTCTGCCTAACGAGCTAACTAAGAATAAGGCGGCTATAGCATCGGAAGTAACTAGAGAGTACCTTATCCTTTATAACTTTAAGCCTTGAGCTAAGTTAAATTAGTATAATATATACAAGGCTAATAAATTATTATTATGATTTATAAAAATCAATATAATAATGAAGATCAAATATATTAATATATTAGATATATATATTATATATATCCGTCCTCTTTAAATATACTTGCTATAGTTGCCCTACTTTTAGTTGTCTCGTGAAACAGAGCGGCTGGCTCGTTAGTCAGGGCCTTTAAGTAACGCGGCATAGTTTTAGTTGGGTGTAGCCGTCTGGGAACAACGCAGGATGGCCAAAGGCCGGCCCTTGCGAATATTACCTCCTGGATCGGAGAAGGTGACAGGCGTGGGAGCATTTCCGTACAAGCACATAAAAATACAGCAATTCCCTGCTTATGTTTTATGATATAAGCAGGGCGGCAAAAGTGATTAACCGTTGGCCTCCTTATTGGTTCGAAGCAGGCGCTCGGCAGTGGCTTACGATTAACTGATCGCTTTTTAGTCTGTGCTAGGCCCGGTCAGCCTTGCATTCTTTCGTTTTAGAGACCGCCCGTATTTGAGGCTTATCACCGTCTTACATGCATACGCCACTTATAACTCATAGGGCCGGGTGCCATACCTAGAGACGGGTTTAAACCCGGCGGAGGAGGGAAAACGCAAAAATACTTGGTAGTAGCCTCACCGTAAGGGGTTGAGCCTTTATTACGTATAGAACCAACTCTGGGCGACTAAGAAGCCGTTAAATACAGTCGACACAGAACAGTCTGTTTTGCAATGGCCCAAGGCTCTCAGATCTCCGACATCGCCTATGCCAAGGTTAGCCTTGCTGCCTCTAGATTCCTTCTCCTATATACTGTTGGTCTTGCTATGCATCGAGTCGTCTTCTATCCCCTACGACGTATCCCCGGTCCTAAGCTCGCGGCGTTGATAGAATGGGTTAAAACGTAGTACGGGTGCTTTAAGTCTCCTGGAGGGCAGTTTATGTGGGAGTATTAGAAGGGGCACGAAAAATATGGTGCGTAAGATTAAAGTTGAAAGAATTGCGCCCATTGGATAAATTGCGCCCATGAAAGCTCTAGGACTCACCGTCCGTTCTCTGGTAGGTCCAATCGTACGCATTGGCCCGAACGAGGTCTACATCCAGGACCCAGCGTTCTACGAGACTCCGTATGCGCAATCTCGGCACTCTGACAAGCTGAAAAAGTTGGAGCATCGTTTTAACAACGAGCTATCTATCTTCTTTTACAACGGCTAAGCATATCGTCTACCTCGTCCGCCGTGGAGCCCTGAACCCTTTTCTCTAAGAGGAGAATCGCCTAGCACTTACCTAAGATCCAGGCTCACATGGGTCGCCTGTTTAAACGAGTGTCCTCCGAGTTTTCCGGTCGCCCCGGTGCTATCCTAAACCTGATAAATATGGGGGGTGCCTTTACCTCGGACATTGTTGCTGGGTGCTGCCTCGAGGAACCGTACGGCTTCATCATGAACCCCGAGTTCCGTGCAGAACTCTCCGACGCCATGTAGGTGTTGACTCTTACCTGCATCCCAAATACCATCATGCGCTTCCTTATGTGGCCTGCTATCACATCATTACAATGACTCCCTAGACTTAATGCCCGCAATATGCACACTCACCAACAAAACATAGGGTGATCTTCTCGACCCCGTTTATTTCATTACTCAGTTTCCCTGAATGATCAAAGCCTCCAAGCTCCTACCGGAAAGGCTGGTGGCAATGCTATACCCGCCCATGCGCTTCGTCGTTGCCTTCAACAGCGAGATGAAAAAGAAGATCCTGCGCGCTAAAACAGTATACGCATCGGGCGAGAAGAACCCAAATGTAGCGTATTACATATTCACGGCGCTCCTAGAGTCCGATCTCCCCACCGCGGAACTGTCGACAAAGCGTCTCCAACACGAGACCATCTCGGTCATTGGTGCCGGTATGGAGACGACCATGTTTATGCTGACGACGAGTTCCTATCACTTGCTGGCGAACCCCGACCAGCTCCTCAGGCTCCGAGGCGAGCTTGCAGCCGCCATACCTGACCCGCTTCACGTCCCATCCCTCGAACCGCTCATGCAGCTACCGTACCTAACGTGCGTTGTCAACGAGGCTTTGCGCTTCGCTTAGGCACTCCGCAGAGCATCCCGCGCCTGTCGCCCACGCCCATGCTGTACTCGTGCTGCGTGTCGGACTCTAGTTACGTCCTCACCGTTGGTGCCGTCGTCATCATGGATCACTACACATCCTCTCATGACCCGCACGTCTTTCCCGGCCCACATGACTTCCGGCCCGGACACTAGGAGGGCAACCCCGTGGCGCCCGATGGCAAGCTGCTCACTCGCTACCTGCTCGTGTAATAAAAGAGGAGTATAGCTATGGATAAATGGAGTGGACCGGCTCTGCGCCTTGATGCGTGCAATGAAAAGTCGGCTTGGGTAGCCTAACATGAAGACTGGATGGCCTAACAGAGGGATCTATTAATATCAGGCTGCCATCTATATAGCTACTTGGCCCAACTAGCCCCCGGCTCACCAAGCCCAATGACCCCAGCGACCTCGTATTATAGTTAGATTGATCAGCTAATTTTGTCCCGAGCTATTACCTGCTATAGAGAAATATATTTATATTTATAGGTTTATAGGGCACTAGTATTAGTATAAGTATACTAGATTAAAGGAGTAGTACTCTAAATAAGTAGAGTAGAACTAATCGCACTTATTTATATATATCTCTAATCGTACTTACGCCCTATTTTTAAGATATATACTAACGCTAGCCCGCCCGCCTACTTATACCCCGCGAGGCTAGTAAGTATCCGTATCGCTTAAATGCCCGCCGCACCCGCGCTTACGCCCGCCTATATATATTACAACGTACGGAGGAAGCTTTCAATAGTCGTTGCTAACGCTAAAATAACCCCTGTTAAGAAAAAGGAAGAACGTACTAAATTTCTATGGCTCTACGAAGTATTCCCTGCTAATACCGGTACTATCCCTCCTTCCCTCTCGATACTTATTGCCGCCTTTTAATTTAATAATTTTCTATATATACCGAGGAATTCGCTTAATCTAGCCTTATATCTTCCCTTATAGAAGCTCTTTCTAAGCTGCCTCCTAAGCAGAAATAGCTTTAGCCCGGCTTTTCGGGGCGCCTTTTTTTATAGTAGTTCTTTTTAGCTAAGGCCAGCAAGGCTTAATAGCATTAAGATCAGGCGAATTGCTATACTAAAGAAGGCGCCGGACTTTATATAAGTCGTATACCTACTACTAGATATAGTGGTTATAAGCCGGAGCTTTATCTTCTTATATAATTATCCTAGGAAGATCCTTCTCGCATTCCTTTGCGAAAGGAAAGAGCTTTAGAATTAAGATCTTAGTTTAATAGCGATACTAATTAATGCCGCCGCGCTTAGAGCTTCGGGAGAGCTTGCCGTTCTTTAAATTCTATCGCTACTTAGGCTTTAGTCCGGGAAGCTGCCGTAGGTTTAGTCGTCGTATGCCGTTATTAAGTTCCTACGTCTCTTTTATTAAGGGCTCTAATTCCTAGTTTATTTTCCCGATATCTTCTTCGGAAGATTTCTTCTCCGTAGCAGTCTCTAGAGCCTAATAGTAATAAGGGCCCTTTTTATCGTAGGAAAAGTAGCCCTAGAATATAAATTCGGAGGATCCTTTCTATCTCTCGCGAATATAGCTACGAACGAAACGTTCGTTAGCTTTTCTCTAGACGCGATAGCTTCCTCGGCGGTGTAAAAGAATAACCGAAGTCTTATTAAACTAAATAACCTTCTTCTAATCCTTAAGGGTCTAGTCTTTATACGAGAAACACTACTCGAGTCGGTCTCTTATTATCTTCTTCGTTAATCTAGGCTTCCTCGTTAGCTTAGTCTTCCGGAAACTAGCTTTCTTTAATACCCTCTATATAGTAATAGAAGATACTAAATGCCCTGCTAAATTAAGCTCGGCAGCAATATTAGTATAGTTTTTTTCCCTTCTATACCGGTCTCGGCAAACCTTCTTAAAAACCTTATTTTTAATAGTAGCTTGCTTAGAAGGACGGCTAGAACGAGGAGCATCTTAAAGCTATTTATCTCGTATAGTTAACTATAGCTAGTTTAGCTAGAAGCCTCGCTTAATTACTTAAGCGTATATACTATTAATCGTATAAATCGAAATTCTAGTTAAAGAAGAAATCTCTACTAATAATTTACCGCTATAAGGCGCCTTTAACGTAATAATTAATACTTAAGTTAAAATATTAGTCTTTATTTTATAAGAGAAATAATAGTTAAGTAAAGAAATTAAAGGGAAATTATAGATATAGGAGGAAAAGTATATATACGGGGTTCTTTATTCTTCCTTTTTCTTAATATGGGTTATTTTAGCGTTAGTAATAACTATTAAAAGCTTCCTCTATACTTTTAACTATATAATATAAGACCCTCGCTTATATATATATATAACCTTTAAAGCTCTTACTACGCCGCCGCCTATATAGCTATAAGGGCTAGAAGAGGAACCGTATTAATTAATAGGCCGATTATTATAACTTTAAGCTTAAGGCTCGGAAATACGTTATTTAAGCGAATTAAGAGGCATATATTATATAGCTAAAAGTGCGTTATAATATATACGGGCGGGCGTAAGCGTAAGTACGGGCATTTAGGTAGTATAGATACTTACTAGCCTTACGCGGTATAGGTAGGCGGGGCGGGCTAGCGCTAGTACGTATCTAAAAAAATAAGGTATAAGTGCGATTAGAGATACGTATAAGTGCGATTAGTTTTACTTAATAAGTATTACTAACTATATATAAACGTATTACTATCTATATATTCGCCTTATTTTTAAGATATATACTAGCGCTAGCCCGCCCCGCTTATTTATACCGCGCGCGCCTAGTAAGTACCTATACTACTTAAATACCTATACCCGCGCCTACGCCCGCCTATATATATATATAACCCGTATATATAACCTATATATATATAACCTATATATATATAACCTATATATATATAACCTATATATATATACTAAATTTAAAGCTATTACTAGCGCTACGATAGATCCTTTTCTCGCTCTCCTTAATGCCCCTACGCCGCTTTAAAGTAATTTATATAATACCTACGATGCCTATAAAGAATATAGGGATATAATACCGCCCCTACCGCCTTCTATAGGCTTTAAATCCTATAACGAGGTATATAACTTCGTCTAAGGCTTCCTTTATAAGAACGGTACCGCTATTATTAAGAGGTTAAGTACTAGTAAGCGAGATATTAATAGGGTCTCCCTTATAATTTAAGTCCTCTTTATATATAATTATAGCCCTTAGCGAGCTTTTATAAGTACTAAGCTATATAAATCTTTTACTTAGAAGCTCGACTATCCTTTCCGCCTCCTTATAATAGCCTTATATAATAAGGAACGTAATAAGGAAGCTTAGAAGTAGGATTTTCGCGTTACTAAGGATCGCTATAACTATAGGCCTTCCTTTAATCCCTTTATATATAATATTTATCGCCGGCGGACCGATACTTAGTAAGCTCTTAAGCGGAACCTCTTTTAATATAAAGCGCTACTAGCTTAAGAGATATTAACTATTTTATATAATACTAAACCTTTTATAGCGTTCTTTTATATTAAAGATATTTATAACGATCGCTAAAAGATTTATTTTAAAGCTCTTAGCGGTATAATAGTAATATAAGCGTTTTTATAAGAGTCTTTAACTATTATAGGTTATAGGCTTAGGCTATAGCTTAAGCTATATAGTTATATATAAAGGGCCGGATCTTATATATATATATATAGGCTAGCTACGTATAAAAAAGCTCTATATAGCTTATTAATATTATCTTATAAATAGCACCTATATATACGCTTTTACTTACTCTATAATAGTATAAGCTATTAACTAATAGATCTAATAGATATCTCTTTAAAGTGGGTACCGCTTTCTTAAGGGAGTACTCCGCCCCTCCTTAGACGGATAGGAAGTATCGTAGCTATCCTAAAAGCGATTAAAAGCGCGACGGCTAGCGAGAAAAACGAGGTTCTCGCTATACTAAGGGAGCTATTTACGAGACTAGCGTTAACCCCTACGACCTCTATAACGCTAGTCGCGGTAGCGATATTACTAGCGCGGAAGCTACTCCCTTAGCCGACTTAAGATAGTAAGCTAGAGTCCTTTTATTTCTTCCTTAGCCGGCTTTAGATAAAGTTTATAATTAATTAGAAATAGGGCCTAAATAGCTATTATAATATAGCGTAGTATTCGCTCTTTTATACGCTACCGGAGCCTTAGATATAGCGGATCTCTAGATTCTAGGATAAGGGCGGCCTTAAAGGTAAACGTAACCTATAGGACTTCTTTTAATACCTTATATATATATTCGGTAACGTATAGGAGCGGAAGAAAGTATAGGATAAGCTATAAACCATTAAGTAAAGAGATAGATAAACCTTTAATAAATTCCTCCTTAACTTTAAAGAGACGCTTTTATAAGTAGTAGGGACTATAGTATAGGAAGATAGCGCGAAGCTTATATAGCTATAGAATTTAATTACGCTAGCCTTATAAAAGCTACTTACCCTTATAATTATACTTACTAATTATAGCGAGTATATAAGCTAGTTAATAAAAGTAGTATAGGGCTATAAGTAAATACCGCGTTTTTAAAAGCTTTATAAGTATACGCTATATAGTAGCGATAAGATAACTACTCTTTTATAAGATAAATAGCCGCTAGTACTATTATATTATATTATTATATCTTCTTAGCTAACTTTTTAAAACTAAGCTTAAAATATAAAAAAAGTATATACCTAGAACTATCGTAAATAGCGTATTACGCCCCTTTAAGTATAGCCTTATATAGCTACTAGCGGGTATATAATATACTATTAAAGATTATAAATTAAGTAAGGTTCTCTTTTATATAGGTAGAAAACTCTTCCTTACCCTTACTAAATAAAGGTATATACCCCTGCTAATAAGACCTAGCCTAGACCTAACCTAAGACCCTAGCCTAGACTTATAAAAGGCCCCTTTAACTTTAACCCCCCCCCCCCCTTAACCTAAGAGCTAAAATAAGTACTTTAGAGGCTAGGGCCCGCTTAAAAGAAGCTTTAAAAGGCTAACGCCTTTTAAAGACCTTAGAAGAAAGGCCTAGGACCTAAGACTAAGACCTAGAGGATATTAAGATAGAAGATAATACCTAGCCTATACTAAAACTAGTATTTTTAGGCCTAGCCTAGCCTTACTTTAGGCTAGCTACTTTTAGCTTAACTAGCCCTTA